TCACTTATGCAAAAACAAATTTTTTTTCAGGATGAACGTTTAAAACTTTAACATCCCAAAACATACAATATTTATAGATTTTTACGTCATGAAAAGCTTATACTGCTTAGCTATTCATCTAATATTTTTTTTAAAAAAACTTCAAATATTGTATGTTTTGGGATGCTAAAGTTTTTAAACGTTCATCCTGAAAAAAAATTGTTTTTTTTTTTTTGCAAAAACAATTTTTTTTCAGGATGAACGTTTAAAACTTTAACATCCCAAAACATACAATATTTATAGATTTTTACGCCATGAAAAGCTTATACAGCTTAGCTATTCATCTAATATTTTTTTTAAAAAAACTTCAAATATGTTTTGTATGTTTTGGGATGCTAAAGTTTTAAACGCTTCTCCTGAAACAATGATTTTTTTGCATAAGTGACAGTGTCGCGTATACTATAGCCAGGTAGGCAAATGACTCTACCCCACCTGATGTTAAGTGGTGATAAAGTACAAACGCGAAGATAGCTGGTACAGCAGTTATAAACTGCCACACCAACCATCCTCACCTTGCCGGCCTGCAAAATAAATAAATAAATATAAATATTTCCAACACTCACCAATTAGCCTAGCCCCAAAGTAAGCACTGTAAGGCTTGTGTTATGGGATACTAGGGTAACGGATAGAATACATATACCGTACATTTTTATATAAATACATATTAAACATCCATGACTGGAGTAAAAATGCTCGTATTCATCACACAAACATCTGCCCCCACCGGGATTGGAACCCGGGACCTCTCGAGTCGGAGACACCATGAAACCCGGCGTACAAACCACTCGACCACGGAGGTCGTCTAAAAATGCTTCTTTAATAATAATTCAATAATAAGTGTAAATTTATGATTATGTTTTCACTATTTTTATAATTGTGAACTCTAAGTCTTATCATTTAATGTTCGTTTTAACAAATTACTTAATATTTCCTAACTATAAGCAATATAATACAAAATGTACTTTGCGGAATAGGGTATTTGACAAGTTTTAGAAAACGATCTCACGTTATTGACTAATGTTTATGGAGTCCGTAAAAAGTGGATATTCATCATTCTGTTGTGTATTTCAGTAAAAATAACTTAATCAAAAACTCCATTTTCAAGTTGCCGCGAAAACGTTTTTTTGGGCAATATGGCGTCTTACTAGTGTGTGACGTCACACGACTGTTATTAAATCGTCAAACGATACGATGTAATGTCACTTTAACCGGAAGTTTACTTGCGAGTGACGTCATTTTAGGCTCCACCAATCCCAAGCGTTTTGGGTCACGTGACAATAGATGCGAAAACTATTATCTTTTTCGTGGGTTTTTAGAAAAAATATGTTTTTTTTGTAAAAATAGTAAAAACGCCTGCCAATATTCATTCTTAACACAGATGCTAACAATTGGCACTTTATTTTTAACACTGTCAAATACCCTATTGTTATTTTATTTATTTACTTGTCTATATTATAGGTTAAATGACCTGTTAGCTAAAGTTGATGATTATTTAAATACTGTTAATTGTTAAGTAAAGTTACTGCAAATTATTATTAAGTTACACCAATCTAGTTTCTAAGTCTTATTATCACACTAATATTATAAAGGCGAAAGTCTGTGAGTGTGTATGTTTGTTACTACCACACTTCTATACGGCTGAAGTGAATATAATTAAATTTGGTATGGAGTTAGTTGTCTTGAGGAGCTCGATGGCGCAAGTGGTTAGCGGGCTCGGCTGCGATCGCTGAAGTTAAGCAATTTTCGGAGTGGTCGGTAATTGGATGGGTGACCAAAAATTTACTATCTCGAGCTCCTCCGTGCTTTGAAAGGCACGTTAAGCCGTTGGTCCCGGCTGCATCTGCAGTCGTTAGCACCCACCAATCCGCACTGGGCCCGCGTGGTGGGTCATGGCCCAATCTCCCTATTCCATCCATAGAGAAGGCCTGTGCCCCAGCACTGGGGACATTAATAGGCTGATGATGATGATGGAGTTAGCTGACACCCTGGATTAATACATAGGCTACGTTTTACTGCGGGTAAATATCTCTTATAAATGCGGGGCACAGATACAGTGAATAAGACTTAGAAATTAAATTGATGCAACATCAATAGATTGATATAAGAATAATACATAACCACAGTGGATGAGCAAAATCGCTTAAACAATAGCTTAAACGCCACTTCAGTGACATTACAGAAACGAGGCTCAGTTTTTTTTTATAAAAAAAAAATCATAACTTAAATGAGATATATTAATTTATATATATAAAACTCAAAGGTGACTGACTGACATAGTGATCTATCAACGCACAGCCCAAACCACTGGACGGATCGGGCTGGAATTTAGCATGCAGGTAGATGTTATGACGTAGGCATCCGCTAAGAAAGGATTTTGATCAATTCCACCCCCAAGGGGATAAAATAGGGAATGAAAGTTTGTATGAAACTTTGTCAATTTTAAACCGATCGGGCTGAGACTTTGCATGCAGGTATAAGAAGAATCATAGATGAATGTCATTGTGTATAATACAAGCCTGAGAACAAAAACTGTAGTCTACACTTCAGCTCTACACCGAAGCGAAGCGAAGGCGGGCCGCTAGTAAAATAAAATTTTCTAAAATATCCTCCTATTAAAAAGTTACAGTGCCTTTACATCACGAATTAGATGTCGCTTATGCGAAAATCACTTGGCCCGCCATACATTTTTCGTCGAGCAAATATCAAAGCCCACGCCAAATAGTAGGGCGTAAGAGCCATTGGTTCAAAAAAACACCAAAATTAATGTACAGTGCCAGTCACCAGTACAGTCTTTGACCTATTGGAGGCCCTGGGCATCTCTTATCTATTAGACAAGTCCGCCCGTCCGTCTGTGGTGCTGTTTCAGCGGCCAAACCGTAAGAGATAGATAAAGAGAATATTTAAGTTATAAGTTAAGAATAGTCTGATAAGACTACAAACCGGATTTGAGTAACGTAGCACTTCCGGTTTTCGAGAAATCACGAATTTCAAACGAAACCACACAAAATCTCCGAAGTTCTCAATTAATTAAATACATTTTTTTTTAAATCAGGTTTTGGTGAACATTTGGTTCACTGGTTTGCTAGTATTAGGATAATGGGGCCCCTACGTCCCCCGTTTGGTGATTTAACAGGAACTAGGGACTTTGTATTTGATCTGAGGTGGGCCCCTATCGATCGCGGGGTCCTGGGCATTAGCCCAAAGTGCCCACTGGGAAAGACGGGTCTGATTATGTAGCTTCAGCGTTGTCAACAATAAAAATCTTCAATACAATTTAATGTTCGCGGCAACACAACCAAAACCTGATTAAATCACACTAATAATATTATAAAGGCGAAAGTTTGTAAGTGTGTATGTTTGTTACTTCTTCACGTCTAAACGGCTGGAGCGATTTCAATAAAATTTGTTATGGAGTTAGTTGACACCCTGTATCAGGGCTTGAAACCGGTTTCGAAAATACCGGTAAATAAAGGTTAATACCGGTTTTTAGTAAAGGGTTTCGTTCGGAGCGCGTCCGAAATGAAAGCGGTACCTAAAACCGTAATAAACCGGTTTAATCCAGAGCGACACGTGCACGCGTCGGCATCGCTTGAAGTTTGTTTTGTTTGAACTAATCAAGTCACAACTTGTTAATGCTCAGAGATTGATGCATTTATTGACACATCTGCTAGCGTCTAGTGAGTCAAGTTATTCATTTACTATCGATGCCGTCAGAAAGAACGAAATGAAACCCTTTAAAAACCGCTAAATTGATTCAAAACCTATTTGATTTCGCTCTTTAGGAAAACCGATTTTTTAAGGTTAAGGTAGAGTCAAACCTAAATAAAACGCTCCTAATGTACTTGCCAATGATTTAGGTTTGAAAATTAACCGGTAAACTAGCCCTGCCCTGGATTGACACATAGGCTACGTTTTACTGCGGGAAAATATCTTATTCCCATGGGAAAAACGATGAAGATGAGTTTTCCCTAATAAACTAGTAATATATATCTAATATATAAAATTCTCGTGTCGCGGTGTTTGTGGTTAAACTCCTCCGAAACGGCTTTCCCGATTCTCATGGAATTTTGTGTGCATATTGGGTAGGACTGAGAATCGGACAACATCTATTTTTCATCCCCCTAAATGTTAAGGGTAATCCACCCCTAAATTTTTTTTTTCAATTTTAGATATTTTTTTTATGATACATCATTCAAAAATACATACAACCCTAAATTTTCACCTTTCTACCACCAACCCCTATTTTTTTATGGCGGTGCGAAGTTCGCTGGGTCAGCTAGTATACATATATATATATACATATAACTCATTTTCGACCAAAGTGGCGTTTAAGCAATTTTGCCTTTCCACTCTCAATAACGTTATCAGTTATAATTTTTATTATTTTCAAGCATGTAACTGCTTGATGTTTAAATCTAAGGAAAATATAACTAGAAAAAATTCCACGCGGACCAGGCAGCAGACGGGACTCGAACCCGCACCCTTCGCAATCCGGGCGAATGTACTGACCAATTATGCTACCGCGGCCCTGACGGATTGCTATAAGAAATAGCAATTATAGTTATACTAGCGAACCAGTGAACCAAATTTTCACCAAAACCTGATTTCTCGAAAACCGGAAGTGCTACGTTACTCAAATCCGGTTTGTAGTCAGCAGACTATTCTTAACTTATAACTTAAATATTCTCTTTATCTATCTCTTATGGTTTGGCCGCTGAAACAGCACCACAGACAGACGGACTTGTCTAATAGATAAGAGATAATTGCTATTTCTTCTTTCAAATGTTTAGTACTTGTAAAAGTATTCATTTGACATTGTGAGTTACCTATAATACGAAGAGATGGCGCTGCCTTGCAGCTTAAGAATGGCTAGAGGAATTTCGACGCGGTCCGTCAGGGCCGCGATAGCATAATTGGTCATTGCATTCGCCCGGATTGCGAAGGGTGCGGGTTCGAGTCCCGTCTGCTGCATGGTCCGCGTGGAATTTTTTTCTAGTTATTTTTCTTTAACGTCATCAGTTTTAAAATTAGTGTATTAATATCATTGTTGTGTACTTTGTAAATATAACAATAGGGATGTTGACTTACTTTTTTAAGTAAATATCACGAAATAAGTGTGACGTACTTTAAGGATCACCCCCAAGACCTAGCGCAAGTCCCATACAAATATGTATGAGACGTCTTCTTTCCATACATTTTTCGTCCATAACTGACGGTCTAAATAGATATTAGCTAACTGTCAACATCCCTATTGTAAATTGACCTAATCAGCTATCTATTTCTTAACATTAAATACATTCAAAGTATTGTGCACTTTAAGTGTAGTGGTATAAAGTTTACTTTCGTAAACAACAGCTTTCAACTTTAATTGTAAATATGTAAGGTTTAATATTTGCGCTCCTAAGGGGTACTTTTACGTAGTTTAGAGCTGTATTACATTATGTACTTTAATAGCTGGTCCATAAGGTTCATTTTCGCACTTTCTCATAGTTTGCAGTGGGCTCCTTTCCGTGGTATATTCGTGAACGGTATAGGATGAGGGTACAGCGGTCTTCTTGACTTGAATTCTACTAAATCCGTGATGACAACGGGCTGAAACAAATGTTTATTATTAGATAATTATATAATTTGAAGCTAAATGGTGCGCGATCGTGAAAATTAAGCAACTCTCGCAAATTGCCAACCGTGGGATGGGTGACCAAAAATGTATTCTATATGTATCTTTCGCTCCTCTGTGCTTCGGAAGGCACTTTAAACCGTTGATGCCATCTGCATCTGCAATCGTTAGCACCCACTAATCTGCACGCGCTCCCCCGTGGTGGGTCACGGAATAATCTCCCAATAGGGTATTTGACAAGTTTTAGAAAACGCTCTCACGTTATTGACTAATGTTTATGGAGTCCGATATTCATCATTCTGTTGTGTATTTCAGTAAAAATAACCAAATAAAAAGCTCCATTTTCAAGTTGCCGCGAAAACGTTCTCTGGACAATATGGCGTCTTACTAGTGTGTGACGTCACACGACTGTTATTAAAACGTCAAACGATACAAAGTAATGTCACTTTAACCGGAAGTTTACTTGCGTGTGACGTCATTCTAGGCTCCGCCAATCCCAAGCGTTTTGGGTCACGTGACAATAGATAAGAAAACTATTATCTTTTTCGTAGGTTTTTAGTAAAATTATGAATATTTTTTCTGTAAAAATAGTGAAATTCCCGGCAAATATTCATTCTTAACACAGATGCTTACAATTGGCACTTTATTTTTAATACTGTCAAATACCCTATTTCACCCATAGGGCAGGCCTGTGCCGCAGCAGTGGGGACATTAACAGGCTGATTATTATTATTATTAAGAATGGTCGTTAGAGTTATAAGCTCTTTCCTTTAATCATCATTATCATCATCAGTCTATTAATGTCCCCACTGCTGGGGCACAGGCCTTCGCTGTGGATGGAATAGTGAGATTGGGCCATGACCCACCACGCGGGCCCAGTGCGGATTGGTGTGTGCTAACGACTGCAGATGCAGCCGGGACCAACGGCTTAACTTGCCTTCCGAAGCACGGAGGAGCTCGAGACAGTAATAATTTTTGGTCACCCATCCAATGACCGACCACTGCGAAAGTTGCTTAATTTCAACGATCGCAGCCGAACGCGCTAACCACTTGCGCCATCGAGCTCCTCAAATGGCGCCTCATGGGGGTGGAAATTAGAACTACATATGTCGTCGTGTGGTGGGTCATGGCCCAAAAACCCACCACGCGGGCCCAGTGCGGATTGGCGAGTGCTAACGACTGCAGATGCAGCCGGGATCAACGGCTTAGTAGGAGTTTTTCAATTACGAAAACTATAATAGTTTTCGTAAGCTCGGACCCGTACTAAGGGTACTGATTTTATTGTTTTCGTTTCAATACAAATAAACAATGTTTAAATTCTATCATCAAATCATTTATGTCTTCTGAAATTTTAAGTTAAATTTGATTACTTTTCACCAAAACGGACATAGAAACATAATTTACAATTACGAAAACTATGATAGTTTTCGTGGGCCCAAACTCGTACTAAGGGTACTGAATGGAAAACTTAATATTGTACAATATTTAGAATTACTACCGACTACAATTACTACATTCCTATTGTAAATAGTAATAACTGTAATACGTATGTTTTTCATCCGGTAAAACGGTCTTCATTTAGTATTTGTCAGGGATCACAGCAAGTATTTCGAGAAGCGCGTAGAAATGAGCAATAGACACACGAGATGTCAATATAGATACTTATTATATCAGCCTCCTTGCCACGCATATATTTATAAAGTTAATGCTTATAACATGTTCATATGTATATATAATAAATTACCTGACAATATAAAATTAGAAACTGGGACACTGTTTAGAAGTGAGTTGACAAAATGGTTACAAAAAAAATAATAATGTTATTATAGTATTAAGGAATATATGACAGATGAAAAAATAACTGACTGCAATATTTGCACACCTGCCTGCAGGTAGAATACACGTACTTACTTAATATGTATCAACTTGTGAACTGTATTTTGGCAAATAAATTAAATTATTATTATTATTATTATTCAAAGACTAAATTCTAAATTAAGTTATGGGCTATTACAGTTTGTTCATCGCCCAATCGGCGTGCGACAACTTTGTAGGTTAGTAGACGCCACAGATCTTGTACGCAGAATGTACGAGAGGCCACGACCACTACGTAGGGGATTCGCAGACTCGTCTGCAAAAAAGGAATAGGCTATTTGACTTGTTAGGGGCTTTTAAAGTATGACGTAAGCAGATTTATTACTATATGTATATATTTTAGTACCTATATGCATTTTTCTTAACAGTCTTCAGTATACGCCACCTGAATCCATGATGCTGACGTAATCAATATCTCGACCCCCCCCCCCCCCCAATGACATCAAAAGCAAAGAGCCTGCCCATCTTTAGTGCTTAAGTAATACTTGAACGACCCCTTAGCATCTCAATTTAAAATTAATATAAGCAGCGATTTGACTGTGCTGCGAGAACAAATAATTAATTACTTTACGAAAACGTGTCTGTGATTGGCTAAAACTAAAAAGACGTCACACGCCAGTAAACTTCCGGTCAACGTGTCATTACATTGTATCGTTTGACGTTTTAATGACAGTCGTGTGACGTCATATGCTAGTGAGACGCCATAACGACAGAGAAACGTTATCGCGGCAACTTGAAAGTTGATTTTTTGTTTTTTTTTTTTTTTTACTGAATTACACAAAGAATGACAAATATCAACTTTTTATGGACTCCATAAACATTAGTAAATAACGTGAGATCGTTTTCTAAAACCAGTCAAATACCCTATTCTGAGGGATCGAGGGAAATTGCTAAAGGGACCGGGGAAAAGGGAGAGACTGATGTCAAATTTGCAAATAGCAAACACGAATAGCCAAGTGCAGGAAGACAAAAGGGAAAGATCTTCCTCCGAGCTGGGTGATGGTAGCTCGGGGGCCGCGGCCCGACTGATGTTGGCCGGGCATCGTATATACAGGGTGTTACAAAAATACAAATAAAGCTTGAAGGGCGTTAAAGTACATCATATAAGAAGTCTTCTCTAATTTTCTTAAAATATTGGTATGAAGTTATAACTTTTTATAAAAACAGTTATTTTTAATGATCCTCGAACTAGTGACGTGTCTTAAAATGATCGATATTTTCATTAATCATTAAAAATAACTGTTTTTATAAAAAGTTAAAACTTCATGCAAATATTTTAAGAAAATTAGAGAAGACTTCTTATATGATGTACTTCAACGGCCTTCAAGCTTTATTTGTATTTTTGTAACATCCTGTATGGAGTGTTAGCCTCCGAATTTCACTTGCGCGATGTAGGCTTCAATACTTATTGATCGCAGCGCCAGAGTGATTAATTCTTCCATGTTAGTTATATGTAGGCCACAGCGAGAAAAGTGTCGGCTTAGGAAGTATGTTTATTTTTACGACCTCACTCACCGTTCTGTCGTTGTCGTCTCTCTTCTGTGGTTTCTTGTCGTTGTCGTTGTCGTCTCGACCGGCGCCACCTTCGGCCGTCGATATAACGTGCACTGACAGCTTTTGCCTATCAGGCGAGTCTTGCCAAATATATGTCTGTTGGTAAATATGACATTATTTGGGATTACAATTTAAAAGTTTAGATTAAAACAAAAGGGAAGATACGGCACTCGCCGCTCAAAAGTAATCCGCTTCAATTGTGGTGCATGACCACAATTCGTTTTAGTCACAATTGGACATTCAAACACGCTGCATGTGCACTCAATATAACAATATTGCGTATATTCTGTGTTATAAAGTAAAACAATGCTTTCGATGCTTTTATAAAGAACACTATTTGGTCAAGATCAAATAACACGGCAACACTTTTAATTCGTAAAACTATGAAACGTTTTTTTTTTTCAGAATAATCACGGTTTGTGATGAATGCATTTTTTCGCCATTCGTTATCAAGAAAAGGACAAAATGCAGCTCAGCCGTTTGTAGAGAGAGAAAAGAAAATGTACAGTTCTGTCTCGCTCGCTCGATTAAATGTTTATTTAAAGAAGTTTGCGTGTGTGAGAATAGGGATGATGACTAAATTTTTTTTCTTCGTTTATCACGTAAATTATGAAAAAGTATTGGACACGTATTTTTTCTTTTTTCACATAATATAAACTGCAGAGATATATTGATTTGAAAAGTCGCATGAGTTTGAGTACACTTATAAGTGAAAATTCACTCAAAAGTGACGTCACGAGCCCCTACTCCCAAACTTTGACGCGCTAAAACTTTGTAATTTTTTGGTTGATTGCCCAAAGAAAAAATACGTGTCCTTTATTTTTTGATCATCTAACTGACGTGCGAAATAGAATTTCGTTTACTGTACCCCGTCATCACCCCTATTGTATATATTATTACCTATATCACTCAAGTGATTTACGCGATTTATGATAATTGAGGAGCATTGTGAGTGACCTACAATGCTAAGAGATGGCGCTGCCTTGCAGCTTAAGAATGGCTAGAGGAATTGCGACGCGGTCCGTGAGCGCCGCGGTAGCATAATTGGTCAGTGCATTCGCCCAGATTGCGAAGGGTGCGGGTTCGAGACCCATCTGCTGCCTGGTCCGCGTGGAATTTTTACTAGTTATACTTTCTTTAGATTTAAACATACAGCAGTTACATGCTTTAAAGTAATAAAAATTATATCCATTGTAATTTGTCAATTGAACGTGATAAAAAGGCGTTATATATCATATCGCGGTGCTGATGCTAGGAGGCAGGTATTCGCGGCACGATCCCTTCCCCTCACGTCAATTTGCTATGATCACCTCTCGCTCCACAGAAGTAATGACACTTTTAAAATAATTGAAGGTATGTTTTTATTTATTTTTAAGCATTTAACTGCTAAATGTTTAAATCTAAAGAAAAGTTTACTAGAAAAAAATCCACGCGGACCAGGCAGCGGACGGGACTCGAACCCGCTCCCTTCGCAATCCGGGCGAATGCACTGACCATTATGCTACCACGGCCCTATTCGCCGCGTCGAAATTTTGCCAGCCTTAAGCTGCAAGGCAGCGCCATCTCTTCGCATTGTAGGTAACCCACAATGTCAAATGAATGAATACTCGAAAAAAGTATTCGCCCGGATTGCGAAGGGTGCGGGTTCGAGTCCCGTCCGCTGCCTGGTCCGCGTGGATTTTTTTCTAGTAAACTTTTCTTTAGATTTTTTAATTGGAGGTAACTGACTAATTAACTTAATTTTATGTTAATATGATATTGAATCGTATTTTTACTTAGCGCACCGGACAAATGCTTGCGATTAATGGCGTGATTTTAAGCTGTGTAAATGTTTTGCATTTACATGAGGAGCTTGATGGCGCAGGCGGTTAGCGCGTTCGGCTGCGATCGTTGAAGTTAAGCAACTTTCGCAGTGGTCGGTCATTGGATGGGTGACCAAAAATCTTCTATCTCGAGTTCCTCCGTGCTTCGGAAGGCACGTTAAGCCGTTGGTCCCGGCTGCATCTGCAGTCGTTAGCACCCATCAATACAATGAGTGTTGGAAATATTTATTTACTTTTTACTAATTAATTTAAACATTATCTATAATTGAATCTTTCCTCTGTATATTATTAGTATACTAAAGGAACAAAATGCATATTGAAGAAATTTAACAAAAGCGTATGCGTCTGGGGACACACCACCGAAGTGATAAATTAAACTAATTTAAGCGTGATTCGAGGGTGTAAAGGGGATTCGAGGGTGAAAGGGGATTCGAGGGTGAAAAGGGATTCGAGGGTGTAAAGGGGATTCGAGGGTGAAAAGGGATTCGAGGGTGTAAAGGGGATTCGAGGGTGAAAGGGGATTCGAGGGTGAAAAGGGATTAAGGGTGAAAGGGGATTCGAGGGTGAATAGGGATTCTAGGGTGAAAAGGGATTAAGGGTGAAAGAGGATTCGAGGGTGAAAAGGGATTAAGGGTGAAAGGGGATACGAGGGTGAAAAGGGATGCGAGGGTGATAAGGGGGTTCGTGGGATGATAATAAGGGATTGGTGGGTGATAGTGGCGATTGACAGGTGACGGAGTGGGGCGGCTCTTGTTTCGCGGCGAAGAGAAGTCAGACATACTGGATTAACTTCCCATAGGATGTTATCTTTTTAAAAATTGCCTAGTTATAACTCACCTTGACGACCTCCGTGGCCGAGTGGTTTGTACGCCGGGTTTCATGGTGTCACCGACTCGAGAGGTCCCGGGTTCGAATCCCGGTGGGGGCAGATGTTTGTGTGATGAACACGAGCATTTGTACTCCAGCCATGGATGTTTAATATGTATTTCTATATAAATATACTTATATATATACTGTATATGTATTCTATCCGTTACCCTAGTATCCCATAACACAAGCCTTACAGTGCTTATTTTGGGGCTAGGCTAATTGGAGTGAGTGTTGGAAATATTTATTTATTTTATTTATTTACCTTATAGAACTGTATGAGTTCTTCCTTCGTGATAGTGTTCAGTTGTTCCACTTCAACTCGGGGCCGGTCGAAATTATAAACCTGGGTGTAAGAGAAAATTAACAATCAATTCAAATCCAAAGTAATAACATTATAACCAATTAAATATTGTCAAAAACGCTCTCGAACCAAAACCGCGAAAATATTGGTCACAGATGTTACTAGCAGGGATGTTGCGAACATTCGCATCTGCATCCGCAAATGCGGAACATCCGCATTGATTTGGACATCTGCTTCCGCATCCGCATTAATCAATGCGAATGTTCATGCGGATGCGAATATTATACAAGTAGCGACAAGAAAGAAATTGGGCGGGGCCGGTGATTGACTCGTGCCGGCCGCACGTGAAAATAACCAATGGGAGCGAAGAAATTGGTGACAAGATTCGACACGTTTGTTTGTTCTAGCTAGTGCATCATTTGTTTCTTGCAAGTGAATAAATATTACGTGTTTGTTTGCGCTGTGAAGTGAAAGTGAACTACTTATCGTATCATAAAGATAGATAGGTATTTTTAATGTTGTTGTGATACAGTGTGTAAATAAGAAGAGTTTACAAGAAAACTTTATATTATTTAAGACTAATATCCATAAGATCACAAGGTAAATTCTATTATACTACGCCGGTAATACGTTTTATTGTAGGAAAAATTATCGTTTTATGACGAAATTCGTTATTTTTACAGTGTGATTACGTTGTCATTGTTTTAATTCTTCATTAATAGACTTTATTTACATAATATCTTATACATCCGCATCCGCATCCGCATCCGCATCCGCGGATGTGAAAATATCGGCATCTGCAACATCCCTGGTTACTAGAACACCGCGGGTCGCGGCGTGAATGATCGCGATAAGTTCATTCTAATATAAGCCTTATGCAATGCAACGTAAGGGTGAAAGTGCAATGACATAGCTGCACTTATAATTTAGACACATGTATATAAAGAAAATATTACAAGGAAACATTCCACGCGGACCAGGCAGCAGACGGGACTCGAACCCGAACCCTTCGCTATCCGGGCGAATGCACTGACCAAAATGCTACTGCGGCCTTGATGGCCGTGCCGAATAATTTCTAGCATTTCTTAAGCTGCAAGGCAGCGCCATCTCTTCGCATTGTAGGTAACCCACAATATCAAATTAATACCATTACAAGTATTAAACATTTGAAAGAAGAAATAGCAATTATTATTATTTCCAATAAGTCTGTCAGTTAGATTATTAAAAAAATAATAGATACGTATTTTTTCTTATGACTGTCAAACAAAGAATTACAAAGATAAAGCGCGCCAAATTTGGAAGTGAAGGCTCGTGACGTCACTTTCTAGTAATTTATTTACGAAAACGTGACGTCATACGACTTTTCAATTCAAAATATCACTGTAATGTTTTGATTATGTGATTTTTTTTAAATACGTTTTCAATACTTTTTGATAATCTACCCGAAAGAAGAAAAAAAAACAGTTACTCATAATCCCTCATCATCATCAGCCTATTAATGTCACCACTGCTGTAGCACAGGCCTTCCCTATGGATGGAATAGGGAGATTGGGCCATGACCCACACGCGGACCCAGTGCGGATTAGTGGGTGCAAACGACTGCAGATGCAGCCGGGACCAACGGCTTAACGTGCCTTCCGATCCGAAGCACGGCGGAGCTCGTGATAGTAAATTTTTGGTCACCCATCCAATGACCCACCACTGCGAAAGTTGCTTAACTTCAACGATCGCAGCCGAACGCGCTAACCACCCGCGCACTCGAGCTCCTCTTATAATCCCTATGTAAGTGAAATTAGCGGCAAGCGGTCGTCAAAACGAGTTTGTTTTACATAAACAAAATATGTATAGGCCGAAATTAGTTACAAATAGCAGTATATATACACATATAATAAAATGGTAGGAAAGTCAAAACTGTACATTGAATATTTTTTAAAAGAATACTTGGGGTGTGATCTACAATCGATACCGAATCCAAAAATATAGTTTTTAGAATTTCTGTCTGCTTGTCTGTATGTATGTCCGGGATAAACTCAAAAAGTACTGCATGGATTTACTTCAAATTTGGCACGAATATTATTAAGAAGTAGGGTCAACATATAGGCTACATATTGTCACAAACGCTCTCGAAACGTAACCGCGAAAGTGCCAGAGATCGAATTTGCCAGAGCACCGCGGGTCGCGATAGAGGTCGAGTAATGCGGCTCATTCTAAAATGAGCTTTATGCAGTACGTCGTAAGGGAGAAAGTGCAACGACATCTGCACTCGTTTACAAGTTATGCGCGGTACCTGCGTAGGTATAAGTAGGTACTTCGTACTCGCGGGTGCTAGCTAATTCTCAATTTACCAGGAACTTTCAGGAATGCGTCGATCTGCGTAAATAAGCGCGATTGGCGCCGCGCAGAGACAGTTGAGTTTCAACAGCGATTTCGGAGCGAATCCAAAGGCGATCAAAGTGCAACAAAAGTGTTCAAGTGAGATAGTTTAGAGACTTGTATAGTGAAATACAGTGTTTAGTGAGTGTTTTGTAATTAGCATTGTGTGTTAATTGTGTGTACTGTGTGGTGAATAATGAACTGTCAAGCGTGAACTGGCATATAAATTCGAACCCCATCCCGACACGTAACAATATTATCACGCTATCACCTACGGGGAACGAGCAGTGAACCTTTATTTCTAATTGTGACGACCTCCGTGGCCGAGTGGTTTGTACGCCGGGTTTCATGGCTGTCGCCGACTCGAGAGGTCCCGGGTTCGAATCCCGGTGGGGGCAGATGTTTGTGTGATAAATACGAGCATTTGTACTCCAGTCATGGATGTTTAATATGTATTTATATAAATATACTTATATATGTACAGTATATGTATTCCATCCGTTACCCTAGTATCCCATAACACAAGCCTTATAGTGCTTACTTTGGGGCTAGGCTAATGAGGGCTATCGCGTATGAATCCGCCGCTAGAGGCGCTAGTGTAGCGTGAGGTCTCCGAAATGTCAAATGTTATTGCTTGTTGGTTGACTACGCGAGTTTATTTCTTATTAAAATAATGTTGTGAATAATTGGTAACAATTCGGCTTAATTATGGCAAATATGAGTTATGTGGCAATGAATGTCAGTTATTAAAAATTTGAGCTTAGAAAAATGATTATGTTCCCATTTTTTCCGAATAAAACGGAACTGGGCGTCACTGTGGCATGGCCTATTATGTTTAGGATATGGTTCTTTTGTGTTAAAATACGATCTAAATGTAACCTTTGATTTCATGTGCGTATTAATAAACTTTAAAAGTTACAATTTAGGACCTCACTCAACAGTGGCGCCATCTGGTGAGGCAGAAAACGGTAGCCCTCATTGGTGTGAGTGTCGGAAATATATAAAAAAAAAAAATGTCCACGCGTACAAAGTCGCGGGCGGCCGCTAGTCGTTATATAAAGATGACTTCGCTGAGGCTACTGACCTGTGATGTGATCTCTGTCCATATCTGAGAAGCTCTGGACGCCATCCGTTTTGGTTTCTCCAACCGTTGGGCCGCCAGAGCCGCCCTGTGTTTCAGAAACTCTTCGTCGCTCATTTTCTCCAAGTATTCCTGTCGGCAAGAGATTTAACAATATTATGCGATTCAACTAAGAATAGGATCGACTGAGCGCCATATTGTGACGTCATAGTAGAGTGAGCAAAAAAGTTTTTATTTAATAAAACTTATTTACTAAGATTAAGTGAGAAAAATCAACCGATTTTTCATAATATTTATTTATTAAGACTGTGAGAAAAAATATTAATCAGAATCTAGCTCTTCACTTCCGCTCATCTCTGCATTACCACCGGAGTAGTTATGAATAGTCATGCACTATTACTAGGTGACATACGAACAGGCTTCTTTTATATAAACGAAAGTTTTAAATCGAGTTTCTGAACGCAACTTAAAGTGACATTTGGTTGACGATTTAGGTTATCAACCATTCATAGCCAAATATCAATAAATGAAAAACAAATATCAAAAAAATTTAATTATCAATATTTGTTATTGTTTGTTTAAAAATGTTTGGATTTTATTCTAGAATTAGCTAAGTGCTAAAAAAGGGTTCCAAGATTTTTTTGCAAACCGTACTTTTCAAGCGACATTTGACAGATGGAGGTCATTAAGCCAATGACCTATGTAGGGATAGCGAAGGGTGCGGGTTCGAGTTCCGTCTGCTGCTTTGGTCCGCGTGATTTTTTTCTTATTATATTTTCTTTAGATTTAAACATTGAGCAGTAACAAAAGTAATAAAATACATGCATTATTAATCATGATTATCTAGAACAGTACCCCTAACACGAACCATTATCGAATTCGAATAGTTTGCAAAGCGAAATATCAATGTCAAATTTTGTGTGGAAACTTGAACAGCAGCGGTACAAAGTACGTAACGAGAACTAAAAATCAGTACACATTTGACAGTGACATTTCGGACTCGCAAACGATACGAATTCGATATTGGTACGTGCTAGGGGTACAGAACAGAACTCACCAGAGCCCCTTCTAGGAACGCCTCTATCCTATCCTCGACGTAGGAAGGATGCCTGTCACTCTGCACTATGACCCTCAAACCCTGGACTCCGTTTGAACGCCGCACGCCACTGAACACTATGTAACCTAGTTGTTCCTGGGAGATATAAATATTAGGTAAAAATAAATAAATGAATATTTCACACCAATTAGCCTAGCCCCAAAGTAAGCACTATAAGGCTTGTGTTATGGGATACTAGGGTAACGGATAGAATATATTCTGTACATATATACGTATATATTTATATAGAAATACATATTAAACATCCATGAATGGAGTACTAATGCTCGTATTCATCACACAAACATCTACCCTCACCGGGACTCGAACCCGCAGCCTTCTCTATCCGGGCAGATGCACTGACCATTATGCTACCACGGCCCTTAATGGTCAGTGCATTCGCCCGGATAGAGAAGGGTGCGGATTCGAGTCCAATCTGCTGCCTGGTCCGCGTGTTTTTTTTTCTAGTAAAATTTTCTGTAGATTAAAACAAACAGCAGTAACATGAAATAAAACTAGTTTTAACGGGTTTAATGCACGAAACTTTATTTATTTATGGACGTTTCGCAGCCTTTTTAAGTCTGCATCGTCAGAACACTGATTTTTTTATTTAATTTTGTCGAGCTACCTTCGATCGGTTTTTATTGAGCGCTCGGTTATTTCATTGAAAGATTTTTAAAATTTTATTGAATAACTTGCTATGATCAAGTTTTGTTCAGTCACAAACACAAAAAAAAATGGGTGCGTGTACTTATGTAGGCGCGTGAGAAGTTATCCTTCTTTGGCATCGTTTAAAATTAGTTTTTAATTGCATGCAAATAATTAATTACAATAAATTAATAAAAAGTCTGGAAAAGGACACAGTCAATAAAGTTCAGTTTTAATTTGAAAAAATAAATAAATAATCAAAATATTCAATTAAAATCGCTACTGAATATAATTTATTAGAACATATGTGATTTGCACTTGTATGAAACTCAAACACGTATTCCGAATATACAAACTAGAAACATGTGGATAAATATTATAAATATGAATAGTTACTTTATTACAGTTTTTGTGATACAGTGATGCGCGCGCATCTTAAAATTTCACTCTCATCATTTTTTCATAACGCGCCTAAAGAAGTATAGCTTCAATTACAAAATTGTATAAGAAAATTTTAAAACTTAAAATACTTGTACATTTGACGACCTCCGTGGCCGAGTGGTTTGTACGCCGGGTTTCGTGGTGTCCCCAACTCGAGAGGTCCCGGGTTCGAATCCCGGTGGGGACAGATGTGTGATGAATACGAACATTTGTACTCCAGTCATGAATGTTTAATATGTATTTCTATACAAATATACTTATATATGCACAGTATATTTATTCTATCCGTTACCCTAGCATCCCATAACACAAGCCTTACAGTGCTTACTTTGGGGCTAGGCTAATTGGTGTGTGTTGGAAATATTTATATTTTTATAGCGGATTTTCCAATCGAACAGGCTATTTGAAAGTATGCAAAATAATATACCAAATGTTGGCATCTGTATTTAATAGGAATATAAGCAGCGATTTTTCTATACTGAAAGAAGAAAATATTAATAACTTTTCTATAAAATCATTAAATAGAAATGATTATTTCGCTCCATGGTCGCGTAACCGAAAACACGTGGGATAGGGCAAGACTAAAATGACGTCACACGCCAGTAAACTAAAAATATATTTGTTTCTTAGGTTTTCACGCACACCACTCATTAAATAAAACTAGTTTTTACGGGTTAATGCACGAAACTTTATTTCTTTATGACGTTTCGTAGCCTTTACAGGCTTCGTCGTCAGAATAAAACTTTTATTTTTGTTTTTATTTTTTATCTTGTTTTTTATAAAATAAAAGTTTTATTCTGACGACGAAGCCTGTAAAGGCTACGAAACGTCATAAATAAATAAAGTTTCGTGCATTAACCCGTAAAAACTAGTTTTATTTAAACTAAATATATGTATATATAAATGGTTGTATTACCCCATTGTTTCATGTTAGGGCACCCTACCTTGGTCCTTAGCACGCTGAAGCAGGGTTCCGACAGTGCCTGAGCCAACAGTTCCAAAGCCACGTTCTGTCGTGAAGACCTCACTCCACACGCGTAGTACAATGACGCACACGACGACTTGTGCACTGAATTATTGGTCTCGCGTAGGTATTCAGTACCTGATATGAAATGAAAATAAACTATAGTCTGTTTCAAACGAATTTAGACCAAAGGTGACTGACTGACATAGTGATCTATCAACGCACAGCCCAAACCACTGGACGGATCGGTCTGAAATTTGGCATGCAGGTAGATGTTATGACGTAGACATCCGCTACGAAAGGATTTTGATCAATTCTACCCCCAAGGGGATAAAATAGGGAATGGAAGTTTGTATGAAACCTTGTCAATTTTAAACCGATCGGGCTGAGACTTTGCATGCAGGTATAAGAAGAATCATAGATGAATGTCAGTCTACACTTCAGCTCTACACCGAAGCGAAGTGAGGGCGGGTCGCTAATTAATATTTTTATTCCTTGCACTCACCCTTTTCCAGTTCAATTTCTCTATGTAATAACAGCTGCTGTGCTAATAATGGAGTGGCGTTCTTCGGTAATCTGTAAATAACAAAATAACATATTTTGGAATAATTCTTCGACCAAAAACGAAATTTGACAATAGTGTTTATTTTATTTATTTACGTAATTTGGTTACATGGAACACCAATAGCTTATCTCAATAAACAGCAAATTTAATAGCAACAAAGAGCAAATTACAGTTCCTCAAATCTAATAAGAAGTATATCACTATCTTCTATTATGTTTATTTGTGTAGGTATATATAGTATGTATATATTTGTGTAGGTCTATGTTATATACGTACTAAGTTTTGAATGTGTGGTATGTAAAAAAAGATCCGGCCTTTAAAATTTAAAATAGTCGCACTAAAATCTGACGCTCAAATCGTGACGCGGCCTTGAAAAGTTACCCTCATAGCGCGCAAAGAAGTGTCACTTCAATAAGACATGGTCGACCCTCCCCTACCCTTAGATTAAAACAAAAAGGGTAGATACGGCACTAGCCTCACAAAAGTGATCCGCACCAATTGTGGTCCACGACCCTAATCGCTTTAGTCACAACTTGGCGTGCAAACGACGTACATGTGAACGCCAAAAAGTTATATTGCTAATATTTTGTGTTTATATGATAAAACAATGCCTAAGTGTGTTTTTCAAAAGTGCTCAAATTGCTCAAGAACTAAAAATAAAACCCACGGCATCACTTTTCATTCGTAAGTACTATAAAATATATTTTTTCATAAAAATTGCTGTTTGTATTGAATCTTATTCGGTAGTGACGTCGAGTACTGGTCGCGTGATTGGTCGGTAGTGCAGTGACGCGGATCTCGCCGTCTCGTTCGCGCTGCCGTTGAAACTTAACGTGCTGTTTCGTTCGGGTCGGTAATGCAGTGACGCGGATCTCGCCGTCCCGTTTGCGCTGCCGTGGGATCAGTTTTTGTTTGATGCAAGTATGAGCGTATCGTAATCTATCCTTTTTGTTTTAATCTAAGCCCCTACCCCCTAAATCGTCTTACTTATTAAGAGCCCTTTTACAAAATTGCACCGCTGCCGTACTAGTCGACGCGTAGGTAGATTTGCACTAGTATATATTGCATTTTAGGGGGGATGTTTAGAGTCTCATAAAATAATTATTAATGAACTAATTATAAAAATATATACATATTTCAGTAGTACAATGATGGTAGATTAGTTTTATGAAATTTTTTGATAGTAATTCTATTTAATTCAATATCAAAATACGAGGTAAACCTGCATTATTATTTGGGAAAGCTCACGGAGGTTAGATGGTTTTATTTGATAATTAATGAAATAGAAAATCAAAATTCTAATACATTATGTTACAATAAAAACATATTTCTGATGTCGTACTAATAAATTTGATCTAACTTATTAAACATTATTGAGCGATTGAGGCGTTTGAAGTTGTGCATATTATCGTTTTTTCTGTAAACTAGCTGCAGTAGAACGATCAGTACAAAAAAAGGAAAATAGTATTTGCAAACATTCTACATTAACTTACAATAGGAAGAATAATTCTACTGTTTACTTTTATTGAAAATAGTCAAAATCGTAGATGTATCGTAGTAAGAGGGTAAATAAGGCGCTCAAAAATTACGATTTTTCGCAAAAACTGTGAAAGGGCTCTTAAACGAGCGGCTCCTAGTAAACTTAAACTATTGTTTTTTTTTGAGGAGCTCGATGGCGCAAGTGGTTAGCGCGTTCGGCTGCGATCATTGAACTTAAGCAACTTTCGCAGTGGTCGGTAATTGGAGGGGTGACCAAAAAATTACTACCTCGAGCTCCTCCGTGCTTCGGAAGGCACGTTAAGCCGTTGGTCCCGGCTGCATCTGCAGTCGTTAGCACCCACCAATCCGCACTGGGCCCGCGTGGTGGGTCATGGCCCAATCTCCCTATTCCATCCATAGGGAAGGCCTGTGCCCCAGCAGTGGGGACATTAATAGGCTGATGATGATGATGATGATTGTTTTTTTTCGGTTACCAACTTGTTCTCTATAGTGTCTGCGATGTTGATCGCTCTCTCCCTGGTGATGTTGCCAAACATCAGCCCTTCTATATGGACTCGGTGCATCATGCGACAGGCGTAATCGTCCAGCATTTCCGGGGTCATGGCTGTCATGGAGAAATGGAACTTATTGCAAGGTCTAAAGAAAAGTTTTAATAGAAAAAAATCCACACGGACCAGGCAGCAGACGGGACTCGAACCCGCACCCTTCGCAATCCGGGCGAATGCACTGACCAATTATGCTACCGCGGCCCTGATGACCGCGTCGAAATTTTCCTATCCTTACGATGCAAGGCAGCGCCATCTCTTCGCATTGTAGGTCAGTGCATTCGCCCGGATTGCGAAGGGTGCGGGTTCGAGTCCCGTCTGCTGCCTGGTCCGCGTGGATTTTTTCTCTATTAAAACTTTTCTTTAGATTACCATCTAGCAGTTAAATGCTTAAAAAAAACATAATTATTGCAAGGTGTTTGAGTACAATATTCCGCATCATAACGCAACGATATTTTTTATGAGGCTTGACCGATATGTCTGCCAATAAAATCTACCCGCAAATACTTCAGTTACTCCGTGATCATGGCGCTTGCAACAGTGCCCAAATATCGGAGACTCATAAAAAACAAGGTACATGGTAACAATCCCGGTAATAGCTATAATGTTAGTGACCATGAAAGTTTAAAACAATGCAACGATATTTAATACCCTAAATACAGTAACACGAACACCCGGTGCGGGCAGATGTTTGTGTGATGAATACGAGCATTTGTACTCCAGTCATGGATGTCTAATATATATTTCTATATAAAATAAATAAACTTATATATGTACAGTATATGTTTTCTATCCGTTACCCTAGTATCTCATAACACAATCCTTACAGTGCTTACTTTGGGGCTAGGCTAATTGGTGTGAGTGTTGGAAATATTTATTTATTTAAAATCGTGCCCGAAACCTGTCCAAAAGGTTCATTGGACGATCCACGGAGCTCCGTAAGATGATCGTTTAGTCAAAAACAATATAAGGAAGTATTTGAACTTTCATAGTCACCCTTAATGCTTAGTATATAAGGTCTTAATGTAAACGCATGCGTCAAAGAGTTATGACAGTCTGAATAAATAGGGTATTTGACAAGTTTCAGAAAATGATCTCACATTATTGACTAATGTTTATGGAGTCCGTAAAAAGTGGATATTCATCATTCTGTTGTGTATTTCAGTAAAAATAACCAAATCAAAATCTCCATTTTCAAGTTGCCGCGAAAACGTTTCTCTGGACAATATGGCGTCTTACTAGTGTGTGACGTCACACAATGTAATGTCACTTTAACAGGAAGTTTCCTCGCGTGTGACGTCATTATAGGCTCCGCCAATCCCAAGCGTTTTGGGTCACGTGACAATAGATAAGAAAACTATTATCATTTTCGTGAGTTTTAAGTAAAATTATGAATATTTTTTGTGTAAAAATAGTAAAAACCCTTGCCAATATTCATTCTAAACACAGATGCTAACAATTGGAACTTTATTTTTAATACTGTCAAATACCCTATTTAATACTAAGCAATACAAACAAATTTTGCTTTAAATAACAAACATTGATTAGATATCTATCGAAAAATATTTTTCTTCGCATTTATTCACGGAGATCATGTTGACTTTTCAACGGTCCGCGCATGACTGTGACCTAAGAAGTGCTTGAGTGGAGTTCAAGCACCGCGAAGGGCCATTAGGGAACGGCCGTGTCAAAGGAGAATGCCCAAACATAGGTCCCTTTTGAGGTATCTTATGCCTCATTCAAATATGTACCTAAAAATATGATTTACTTTTTTATGCTCATGACATTTATATTGTAATTTCTTTCACCCTGGGTATCTCTTATCTATTAGACCGTCCGTCCGTCCGTCTGTCTGTGGTGCTGTTTCAGCGGCCAAACCGTAAAAGATAGATAAAGAGAATGTTTAAGTTATAAGTTAAGAATAGTCTGATAAGACTACAAACCGGATTTGAGTAACGTAGCACTTCCGGTTTTCGAGAAATCACGAATTTCAAACGAAACCACACAAAATCTCCGAAGTTCTCAATTAATTAAATACATTTTTTTTTTAAATCAGGTTTTGGTGAACATTTGGTTCACTGGTTTGCTAGTTAAGTTATAATTAATTAGATATTTGCTCAATTTCAATTTCCTCTTCACATATATTTCTTTTATATTTATAGCTTGGTTGGTGACGTATTTCTCGATGGCTATAATGTTGCCAGGTATTAAACAACTTCATTGATTAATCGATATTAAACTCGTGATGTTCGCTAAAAGTAAATTCGGCCCTGACCGGCTGGCTGATAGCTAACTGAAACATTATTGTGCATTTTTTACAATTATAATATGCAAGTTTATATCAATACTAGCTGACCCAGCGAACTTCGTACTGCCATAAAAAAATAGGGGTTGGTGGAAGAAGGGTGAAAATTTAGGGTTTAGGTTATGTATTTGTGTATAATGTATGATAAAAAAAATAAAAAAAAAAAACTAAAATTGAAAAAAAAAATTTAGGGGTGGATTACTCTTAACATTTAGGGGGATGAAAAATAGATTACATCCGATTCGCAGACCTACTGAATATGCATATAAGATTTCACGAAAATCGGTCGAGCCGTTTCGGAGGAGTTTAACCACAAACACCGCGACACGAGAATTTTATATATTAGATAGTGATGTAGATAGGATAGCATGGAGAAATTGTTAATGGTGTCGATTCCGGCATGATTCTCTAAACTTAAAGCTAAATTTAACATCAGCCTCTCCTTTTCCCTCTGTATAGAGAATGACAAGGATACACTGTTGTCAAATTTAAGTTTAGGTTTAAAGAACCCTGCCAGAATCGACACCATTGTCAAGCTTTTTTATAACCTCAATTTCCAGAACAGAAAATAAATTATATCTCGTGAACCACGGTGACTAAATTGGTAATTTCTTTTGAATGTGAATATAGCGTTTTTCCTACAACATCCAACAAAAAACTTTAGGGCACAACTATTTACTCAAGGACTCAAGTCTCCTTACTGAATGGGCATTCTCCTTTTCTCGTGTTTCTTAAGTTTTTTTTTAGATTTAAGCATCTAGCAGTTAAATGCTTAAAAATGATCTCTTTTAATATTATTGGATATTCTAATAAAAAAGCAATCTTTGATTACTCACTCTCAGCTGCATCCATAAGTTGGCATCGCGTCCAAACCACGTCTGATAAGCACAAAGCCTGCTGGTATACTGCATGCTAAATAAAATAATAAAGAGCATTATTATTATACAGGAGATAAAATCCCAACCCCGAGCACACACTGCAAGACCATCAGATACTATTAGTTCTTTTTGTTTGCATAATTTAACATAAGAAGGAGATAGAAAGCCTCTCTTGAGTTTGTTTCGCCGGTTCTTCTCAGGAAGGTCTCCCAATTTTGGAACCGGTGGTAGTTTACGGTAGTTAGGGTCAAATAAATAAACTCAAAATTACAAACAAGAATTTTAAATAAAATACTTTATTAAGTAAATTAAATAATAAATTCATACATAGACAATAAAAATTTTAAAATCTTCCAATGAAATAACCGAACGCACAATATAATTCTTTCGAAGGTAGCTCGACAATTTTAAATAAAATCATTATTCTGACGATGCAGACCTGAAAAGGCTGCGAAACGTCAATAAATAAATAAAGTTTCGTGCATTAACCCGTAAAAACTAGTTTTATTTAAAGAGCATTAACATTGACTGAAATAGAAGTTATTTATTCTTCCTGGTGTCGTTCGCACGGAGTGGCTTTAAGGTACATGACGTATTAAAAATCAAAACTTTTGTGAATACTTACTTATAGGCTACTAACCCTTAGTTATAAGTTATATTGTATACTAACATATGGATCTGTGTTGTCTGACAATAAATGATATTAAACTACTTGACCGTCACTGAAAGCTTTATATTGAGATAGCACTTCCGTTTCCCGTCGAATTACCATCAGTTTCCGTACTTTTATTCACCTTATATCCGGTCCAGTGGCGACACCTGGCAGAAGCGCGGCCATTTTTGTTTTCCTAAGTTTTGACAGCGCCATATTAATTCATTGGCGTTCTGACTCCCGTCGAAGCAACACGTCCTCAATCTGAGCGATCGTTGTGAGATTTTAAAGGTTTTATTATTATTAAGTGATAAAACTGTAAGTAAAACTATTTTATTTTAACGGTTTTTGCCGTTCGTGTTATTCCAAATAGGTACTTTACGTGTCAAAAGTGAAGGAATCGTAAGTAAAACTATTATTCTTTTTGATAGTTTTTGCAGCCCTTGTGATAAGGGATATTTAAAACAAATATGTTAAATTGTGCAATACGCTTGTTTGAAAAAGTAATAATAAGCCGTGAGTAAAACTTAACGGCAATTCAAGGTGCGTTTTGTTTAAAAAATTAAAGTACCTACATTAAAGTAAATTTTGCAATACTTTACGCCTGTCTTGGTCGTTTATCATAAAACTATTTTAAGAGTGTTTTCTCTTGGTACTCAATTAATGTTTCCGTATAAGTAAATGTGAAAGTAAATTGGTAAATGTATTACAAAATACTTAATTAAATTGTTTTACAGTTTAGAGTGAAGGAATATCGGTCAATATTGACGTTTCAGCCGCCGACTGACTGGCATTATTGGCAAAAACAGCAAGATGTGTGGATCTAGTCATTATTGTTCTTCGAACAGCTGCAGTAATAATTGGTTGAATTTGTCGTCTTCTGGTATAACGAAAGCGGCATCGCTGCCTCAAGAAAAATAAGCGAGCTTGATATTCCAGCCCTTTTATTAAAAGATTGTTCGAGGGGTAAGTGAACTATGTACAATCTTAATAAGGTATTTCTAATGTCGATATGCCGTTTTCTGAACATGGCCAGCCATCAATATCTAAAGGCTTATGAATAAAAAGTTCTAACATTTTTACTGACCAATACACGTAATAAAAATTCTCATATGAGTCGTGTGACTAAACTAGGATAAAGGAACGCTCTGTTCGAAAGACATTCAACGTTTATTTTAAATGATATGCTGATGTAAATTAAAAATTATAATCATAGTCCAGGCTTTATCAACCTGGAAACAAACAACGAGGTAAAGAAGTATGATGATAATTTATGATATATCACGTTCCTGACATTAATTTTCTTTCAGCAATTGCATATTTCTAAAATAAAAATGAATCATTGCGGGAAGGCACCTGCTCAGTTAATTTTAATAACGAAAGTGATAAGATAACAGAATCGTTTCTTAGGTCTTTTACAGCTAGCACAAAGCTAAAAAGTAAAAACTAAAGCACTGCAAGAAGTTAGTGATCTCTGTGATGAAGCACCACTTAATAAGATACCATCTATGAGGTTGTTTTTATCGTATTAAGTAAGTATTTGTCATGGATTTAAGTGATTGACATTTCATCAACCTAATGAGCAACTCGCGCAGAGGCAAGTGATATTCATAAGCTTCATCTCATGAAGCCCAAGGCGTGTCAGGACATGCCCTCCCATGGCGTACCTACACATATGAGTACCGGTGGCAAATCACCCTCGCGAGGTGCATATTATATATAATTTGTTTCCACTACGTGGAATCTTATTAAATGCCTCTAATGCCTTGCCTACATATACGAGTACCGGTGGCAAATCACCCTCGCGGGGTGAATATTATGTACAATTAGTTTCCACTACGTGGAACCTTATGAAATGCCTCTAATGCCTTGCCTACATATACGAGTACCGGTAGCAAATCACCCTCGCGGGGTGCATATTATATACAATTTGTTTCCACTACGTGAAACCTTATGAAATACCTCTAATGCCTTGCTTACATATACGAGTACCGGTAGCAAACCACCTTCGCGGCGTGCATATTACCAAAACTCTGATGACCGCCCCTCGCGGGGGCATATTATGTATAATTTGCTTCCTCCGTATGAAACTCATTATGAATAAGGACTTGCCTTCCATGGCTTGCCTACATATACAAGTATCAGTAACAAAACATCGTTGATAGAGAAATATCCTCATCAATTTTATAATCGCCCTTGTGGGGTCATATCACACATAATATATTATTTCCATTACGTGAATATCAATATATGTTCTCCTTAGAACATGTTCGCTTATGGAGTTCGTACTATTATGTAAGCACCGGTAACATACGACACTCGAGTGGAGCAAATTATGCATAATTTAACATGTAGTCTATTCGTGATTCATAATTTATTTTTGTGACCATGGGGTCTGTAAAAGTGTAAACGATTCGAAACATTAAAAATAAGTAATTTGAAAATATAATAAATGTCGCTTGACATAATTCATTACTTCCATCGCGTGGAAATCCATACATCAACGCAACGCAACATACCCGCTCATGGCTTGCGTACACACATAAGTATCGGCTATAAACTACCCTCTTAATAGACTATAAATATCGAACATCGAATGTTGACGTAACCCGTTGGGAAGTGCAATGTACGTGGTTTTTAAGGTGTCGCATACTCCGAGGTCTTGGGTTCACCCCGGTGGGGCAAATCATTGTATGATAAAAACGAGCATCTGTGCCTAAGTTTTGGTTGTTAACAAATATGAATTCAAAATCTAATCTAATAAATTCTAATCTATGCATCATCATTATGCATTTCTAGGCGTTAGCCCATAACACAAGCCTTTCAATGCCCATTATAAGGCTAGGCTAATTGGTGTGAAGTGTTGACTCGATCACTACGGTTGTTCTACCGTAATATATAATACATTTCAAAAGAAAAAGGAATATCGAAACAATTAATGTTTGAAAAAATTTAGTGCAGGTAAGTTGATAAATTGGGAGCTCCATAAATAATTCTTAAATAAATTTAATGGTATCGCATGCCATTCAAAAGCTTGTTTATCTAAATCCAATATATATCAAACTCCAATCTCAAGTGCAGTACACTATAAATATGTAAAGAATTCTAAGTTTTCTGCAATTTAAGGACTATCTGCCAGATAAATAGAAGATAACATATTTTCTCAAAAGTAAACCAAATGGGTTGCTCACTCTTTTGATCGCGTAATGAGAGAAACTTGCAATATTAGAAATGTCGTGTATGTGGTGTCTGAGGTGGCCAACATGATCATTTTGATATATAAGTGGTGCTAGTTACTGAAGAAAGATTGCACGATCTACCAAATTCTTGAAAGGTTTTGAAGATCATTGTATGCAATTATCCCCTTTATGTTATTTTAGTAAAAATTACTAAAAACTGTTCTTAATATTAAACTTACGCTTTCTAACCTTGCCACGACTGTCTGGAATAAATATACTTCAAACCCTACGCATAGTACATGCACACCTCATGTAAGCTGTGTAAATCTTATAAATAACAAAATCTTTATTTAGTATTAAGTAATACATATAAATGACTCGGATCTAAGAACTGAAAAACAAAAGAAAAATTACAATCAATTATAGATTCCAGGATGGCAAATGAATTTCATAAAATCTGGTCTGAACTTCGGAATAGCATAATTTATCACGGCAACCCAGCAACAATATAAAAACTATACCAGAGAATTTCGTTGTTAATAACGTAAACTTCAGAAGTTGATCGGTTTCAACATTTTTGTTATTCCGTGGGGTTGTATCAACCACTCCCTACTTCTAACAATAATTATGAATTCACTGCAATCCACCTTGCAATCACTTCCCGCCAATCTAATATGAAAGCTTGGGAAGTATAGTTGAAGAACACGGCACGATATGCTAGCACTACGCTTTTCAACATATTCTACAAAGAGCGACAGCTCTGTCTTAAAAACAGCTATGAGATGGCTCGGAAACGCTGGCTTGCGTGGTTGCATTGGTCTAGGAACAAGAATGTTTATCGGAATAATCCCGCAAGTTGTGGACTCGGCTCTGAACTAACACGATTTTTGAGAGACTTATTTTTAACTCGTGACTTATCTTAAAATAAGTACCATTATTTTAAATAAGTAAGTAGTTTTTACATGATATACCAATGGATGATAAGTCTAATTACCTAAGCTCACCTGTCTTGGCAAACACATATATTGAAGTCGATTGTTTTTAAAGAATCAGTCCGTAACCTACTATTCTGTGTCTATAAGTTAACCTATTTCCTTTTCTTCAATAATGTACTCTTTACATCATAATGATCTGTTTCAAATACTTCGTCATATATGTTGTTCTGAACGTCATACAGTAATTATGCTGCGTATTATTTGGTTCAGCATGTGGTACACATGACTTGTTCCTACTTCAAATTATCCCGAATCATTGTATTTGTACCGACGAAGATTAGTTTAGCCTTGTTTTGGTTCAAAACAGGTGAAAGTAGTTAAAGACAATCCGATTGGTGACTTGTACCGAATAATGGTAATCGTAAGTGGGACCCTGATTTTTGGTACTTAAGTAAAAAGTACAGTCTTGTAAAATGTAAGACTCAGTATCGAACAACTTTACATCTTTTTCTCTCGTTCGTACGCCTTATTTGTGATATACAAAAATACAAATGAATGCTACACAAGGAAGCGTCCGGTCATTAACAAAACAAATATATGTAGAAGTATATATATATATATATATATATATACTTCGCGAGTTAAGCAGCTTCGTAAGCTTGAAGAAATTAAAGGCGTGATTCAAATAATATTATTTGATTCATTTTTAAGCTTACTCGTTTCTTTATACAGTTTCATATAATCTGATAAATGTTAATATTTAAATTTATCATAAATTGTCACATTGGCGTATATATCTATGTACGTGGCGATCACCAGGCGATAACAAACAGGTCTCAATATAAAGCTTTCAGTGACGGTCAAGTAGTTTAATAGCAGCATTTTACCTGAAATAAAATGCATATTAAAATACTTACCTCACTGAAAGCTTTCACTTTAAATTCTGCCTGGTGAAATAATTGAGCCAATGAATTAATATGGCGCTGTCAAAACTTAGGAAAACAAAAATGGCCGCGCTTCTGCCAGGTGTCGCCACTGGACCGGATATAAGGTGAATAAAAGTACGGAAACTGATGGTAATTCGACGGGAAACGGAAGTGCTATCTCAATATAAAGCTTTCAGTGAGGTAAGTATTTTAATATGCATTTTATTTCAGGTAAAATGCTGCTATTATTATTATATTATTATTATTAACAACAAATTATACGAGACAAGCGTTTTTAGTAATAATAGGATTCTGTTCGTTTATCTAAATTTAAAATTAAATATGACAGCAGTCTCTCCTTTTATCGTACAAGATGCGATCCATTTTTGTGTAGTTCTTTGGGTGGTGCAGAAAATAATGGGTAATCGTTAACTCGCCCCAAGCTTACTTTCATCATCATCATCAGCCTATTAATGTCCCCACTGCCTGGCACAGGCCTTCCCTATGGATGGAATAGGGAGATTGGGCCATGACCCACCACGCGGGCCCAGTGCGGATTGGTGGGTGATAACGACTGCAGATGCAGCCGGGACCAACGGCTTAACGTGCCTTCCGAAGCACGAAGGAGCTTAAGACAGAAGATTTTTGGTCACCCATCCAATGACCGACCACTGCGAAAGTTGCTTAACTTCAACGATCGCAGCCGAACGCGCTAACCACCCGCGCCATCGAGCTCCTCTTACTGCTAAGCTTACTTTAAACCGTTCCAATGGTCTGTTGTGGTGGATGGACGCCATTTAAGATGCCAAATATCTATATGTAATATGTGTGGAAAAAGATGGACGACCGCAGAACATACTCAAAGCTCACTCTTAACCTTTCCAACAGCTATATTTGTCAATCAAGATGCTAAAAATAGATTTTTATCCATTTCTGCGATTGGTGTGGAAAAAGATGGGTGACCGCTAAACTCATTCCAAGCTTACTCTAAGCTATTTCATCAGCTTTACTAACTTTTCAAGATGCCAGATATCCATTTTCATCTATTTCTGTGAGTGGTGTGGAAAAAGATGGGTGACCGCCTAACTAGCTCCAAGCGCACTATTAACCAATCCAACGGTCTTACTCATCGTTGTAGATGCCAAATATCGAGTTTAAGCTAATTCTGCGAGTGGTGTGGAAAATGATGGGTGACCGCTCAAATATGAAACTCGCCTGGTACGGCTGCTCGGCCTCGAAGTTCTTGATGGCGCGGATGTGGTTCTCCTTCATGATGTGGAACCGCTGCGGGTCCGCCTTGAAGCTGACCAGGTGGTCTATAATCTTCTCCAGTAGAACGTGTTGTTTGTCATCATAGCCGTCTATGGTTATCTGAACAAATTCAAAAAATACAAATTAACATCAAGTAGGGTGGAGGTATTCGCTCGGACCTCGGACCTATGATAAATAAAATTAAAAAAAAAAATGATGTGGTGTCGTGGAACACCAGGTAGAAAAGAAGTTCCTTCGGCTAATGTAGAATGGACACAAATTGCAAACTCGCTTGTGTATGCGACTGTCGCGCCTGCGCACGTCTCATTTAACGGTTTTTTTCCACGGATTTTTTCTTACGGTTTTACTATCACATTTTTTTCAGGTCGGTCGCGCAGCAAAATCCCTATCCCCCCCAAGCCTGCCGTAAGGAACTTCGTTCCAAAAAAAAGGGGACACTGACCCCACATTTGAAGTGACTTCTTTTCTTCAATAACCTTACATTAGGCGGTGCATTAGGCATAGGGGAATGGAGCAGCGCACGCATCACTCATATATAGTTGCGTGTGACGTTCGTGACGCTCATAGCGTTTCAGCCTTCGCCAAGTTACCATCCACATGTGCTGTGGAAAAAGATGGGTGACCCCAAATTCACTCGATCCTCCTTTAATATCCTTATTTACCCCATGTAGAAGTCCAATATAGATATAATGTTTTTGGTAATTTATTGGCATCATTAGTTATGCTTTTTTTTAAGCATTTAACTGCTAGATGTTTAAATGTAAAGAAAATATTACAAGAAAAAATTCCACGCGGCCCAGCCCCCCTAGCATGACTAAGAAAACGCGATATGATAAAGCGATTTATCGACATTAACTGTCAAACTATTATATCGCGTTTTGTTAGTCATGCTAGGGGGGCAGGCAGCAGACGGGACTCGAATCCGCACCCGTCGCTATACGGGCGAATGCACTGACCATTACGCTACCGCGGCCCTGATGACCGTGTCGAATTCTTTCTAGCCTTTTTTTAACTGCAAGGCAGCGCATGCCCAATTTTTAAATCTAAAGAAAATATCACTAAAAAAACAATCCACGCTTAACATGCTTAAAAAATAAAAATTTTAATTGCTATTTCTTCTTTCAAATGTTTAATACTTGTAAAGGTATTAATTTGACATTGTGGGTCAAATATAGTTTTTCAACGTCACTTGTATTTGATGTAGAAAATGATAGTTAATCGTGTACCTAGCTGACTCAAACCTCTCTTAACAGCCTCAGTTACCCCTGCTTTTGTCAAAAATCAACTTTCACTCAATTCTAAGCGTGGTGTACAACAAGATGGGTGACCGCTAAACTTATTGCAACCTCACTCAAACCCCTTTAAATATACTTATTAACCTTTGCACAACTTAGATATCGATTTTCACCGTCACTTATGAGTGGTGTAGAAAATGATGGGTGACCGCTGGACTCACACTGAGGCCGTACTTGGCGTTGCCGAGGCTCCAGCGCAGCCCCGCCAGCTCGCCCGCGTACGCGAACTGCTGCAGCCCATCGCGCAACAGAAGCACCCACACTGAGGTCAGGTTGCAGCTCAGAGGATCCGCATAGGCTAATGGGCTGGAGGAAGAAATGAACATTAAATAAAATAAAAAAATAAAGATGTGGTTTTTGGTTCTACTACACCAATGGTCAAGAGATGGCGCTGTAGTCTCCTGAATCGCGCTTTGGTTCCGTTGTTCCAGATTAATAAATACTTTTGATATTATAAATATAAATACCTATAACTGTTACTTTATTACAAAAAATAAAGATTTGGTTTTTGGTTCTACTACACCAATGGTCAAGAGATGGCGCTGTAGTCTCCTGAATCGCGCTTTGGTTCCGTTGTTCCAGATTAATAAATACTTTTGATAGGCCTTCACAATGCAGTGGTTAGCACCCACTAAATAGAGATTCTATTTCTATTTTGTTGGTAGATTTTCTTAATGTGCGGTAAACACAAAAGTAACAGCATGAAGTTGGTCGCTAAAGCCAACGACTAGGGATGCAAAGTCTTTTGAAATATCGATATTTATATCGAAGTCAGGCAAATATCGATATCCGATATATCGACCATTTTAACTCGATATTATCGATATATCGATATTTTTTTCTTTTTTTTGCTTTGTATTAAGTTTGCAAAGCAAAAGCCTAAAATTAAGGAAGCAAAGGTTTCCGAAATATCGATATTTATAATGTGGGCAGGTAAATATCGATATCCGATCAGATATGTCAGCCATTCCAACATTTCCAACACGATATTTTCTATATTTTTATAGCGCTGTAAGAAGTATCAAATCAAAAGCAATTTCGAATCAAAGATATTTATTTTGTTTAAAATATTTGCACGCAGCCAAAATCAGAATAGATAATCATATGAAAAACAATTGTTATGAATTAGTAAAACCTACACATCAGGCTTCAGAATAGGGTAAGCCCAAAGCTTCCAAAATTACTATACCTATCTTACTTTCTTGACTTGGCGAGCTTAAAAAAATTACGATTTGTATAAGATTCTTAATTTTATTTTGTGTTATATTACAATAATATTAAATTGCAATTAATCAGTAGTTGACAATTATCTAGAAAGAGAGGCAAGGATTTTATTTAAGTGCATGAGTTACCATTAGGTATACGATTATACCTATATACGTTGGTGTCGATTCTGGCATGATTATCTAAATTTAAAACTAAATTTAACATCAGTCTCTCCTTTTCATTCTGTATAGAGAATGACAAGGATACACTGTTGTCAAATTTAATTTTAGGTTTAGAGAAACATGCCAGAGTCCACACCAGCTTAGTATATTTCTTGGGGTTCAAGATATTTTTGATACATCTATAAGTTCTTGCAATTTCAAAGCAATAGTTATTTCAATATTATTCAATTTAGATAGTCATAGCAGGTAAATTAATTGATATGATTGTTTTCAAATTAAGTCTACTAAATATCGATATTTTGGAATTTCCGATATCGATATTATCGATATCAGTGAATTTTAAATATCGATATAAATATCGATATTTTGGTCTCGGTATTATCGATAATATCGATATTCCGATATATCGTTGCAACCCTACCAACGACCAACTTCATGCTGTTAATTTTTGTGTTACAGTGATGCGCGCGCATCTTAAAATTTCACTCTCATCATTTTTTCATAACGCGCCTAAAGAAGTATAACTTCAATAAAGAGCAGGCGGTGGTTAGCGCGTTCGGCTGCGATCGTTGAAGTTAAGCAACTTTCGCAGTGGTCGGTCATTGGATGGGTGACCAAAAATCTTCTATCTCGAGTTCCTCCGTGCTTCGGAAGGCACGTTAAGCCGTTGGTCCCGGCTGCATCTGCAGTCGTTAGCACCCACCAATCCGCACTGGGCCTGCGTGGTGGGACATGGCCCAATCTCCCTATTCCATTCTTAGGGCCCGTGCACCAGCAGTGGGTGCTGATGATGATGTTAAATGCTGACGAGTTTCTTGCGCCCATTCTTCTTATCAGCAAAAAGTCCTGAATCAATGGTAGGAAAAATATTGGACGATTCAAATAAGGTTTCAATAAGAAATATAATTTCATTTTATTTCACAATCATCGCAAATATTAAGGATTGTACTTCACTACATAGTATAAAGCAAAGTCGCTTCCCGCTGTCTGTCCCTATGTCCCTATGTATGCTTAGATATTTAAAACTACGCAACGGATTTTGATGCGGTTTCTTTTAATAGATAGAGTAATTCAAGAGGAAGATTTATATGTATAATACATGCATAATATAGTAGAGAAACACTGATAATTTTAGAGGTTTTTAATGTTAGGTCGTAAATAAACACATTATTTTGCGCTTACATTGCAAACGCTGGCTGCACCCTACGAGATAGATCAAAATAATGTACAACAGTATTGTACACCTTAAAAAGGTCTACAAAAAAGTCCGCGATGGTATATGTCTATCTCTTAGGAATAACCCACAATAACCATTTTTTATCCAATACTTTTTACGAGAAATAATAGATTATTTACGAAGCGATTTTCAGCAATATAACATTCATCCTTATCCAATTAAGTACCTCAAATACATTGTGCATTTAATATAGACCAATTTGGCCCTTTAACGCATATAATTTAAATGAATATTTTCGAAGATATTATAGATTTAAAATGCAGGGATATAGCGGTTCCGACGCTACCGGGCAGGGGGCTTGGCGGCGCGTGCCTATTGTAATTAGGTATTAGAAGAATGTCATTGTCTATAATACAAGCCTGAGAACAAAAACTGTAGTCTACACTACAGCCCTACGAAGAAGCGAAGCGAGGGCGAGCCACTAGTCTATAATAAAAAGGTTATTAAATAAAAACTGGCATTATTTACATCAATCAGTGAGCTTACCTGACTAAATCCAATGTGATGACAGCCTTCGGCAGGTGGAACTCGTTGTCGCGCTTAAACCATAGCCGCATCAGGGGAGAATCCTAAGAAATTAAAACATAGTTATTAACACGCATACAACATTTTTATGTTAAGCATTAAACTGATACATTTTTAAACATATATATATATATACTAACTGACCTAGCGAACTTCGTACCGCCATAAAAAAAAAATTAAAAAAACATTGTCCAGCGGACAAAATTGTGAATCTAAACCATTCTCAGATCCCCTTGAACACACACAAAAAATTTCATCAAAATCGGTCCAGTCATTTAAGAGAAGTTCAGTGACATACACACTCACAGAAGAATTATATATATAAAGATATATATATAAATAAAGAAAATAACTTCACTTATAATTTTTATTTTTAAGCATGTTCAATGTTTAAATCTAAAGAAAATATTGCTAGAAAAAAGTCAACGCGGACCAGACAGCAGAAGGGACTCGAACCCGCACCCTTCGCTATCTGAGCAAATGCACTGACCAATATGCTACCGCGGCCCTGACAGCCGTGTCGAATTCTTTCTAGCCTTTCTTAAGCTGCAAGGCAGCGCCGTCTCTTTGCATTGTAGGTAACCCACAATGTCAAATGAATACCTTTACAAGTATTAAACATTTGAAATAAGAAATAGCATTTTTTTCTTTATATTTAAACATGTAGCAATTAAATGATTTAAATATAATAGACTATTAGATAACTACTAGCAAACCAGTGAACCAAATGTTCATCAAAAAAAAATGTATTTAATTAATTGAGAACTTCGGAGATTTTGTGTGGTTTCGTTTGAAATAGAAATCACGTGATTTCTCGAAAACCGGAAGTGCTACGTTACTCACATCCGGTTTGTAGTCTTATCAGACTATTCTCAACTTATAACTTAAACATTCTCTTTATCTATCTTTACGGTTTGACCGCTGAAACAGCACCACGGACGGACGGACGGACTTGTCTAATAGATAAGAGATAATATGGTTCCGAAACACTATAGAGGTAGAGAGAAAAATAACGGTCAACCATCCGACTTCTAGCCAGTGAAAAGATTGCTTAACATTTCTAACCTACTAATTTCTCGGACGTCTTGGTCCTATGGCGGCGACATCTATATGCCCCACATATAACCAACGGATGGAGGAAATAATTACTCGCCTACTCAAGAGATGGCGCTACCGGCGCGGCGCTGCGTTCACAACGTATGGAAGCCTACATCGCGCAAGAGAAATTCGGAGGCTAACACTTCGTATATACAATGCCCGAACAACATCAGTCGGGCCGCAGCACCCAAGCTACCATCACCCAGTTCGGAGGAAGATCTTCCCCTTTGCTCTTCCTACAGACCCATCAATTCTCTGAGCTCTCTTGATCACCCATCTCAGAACTGACCAAGCTGCTTAATTTTCATAACCTTATTTTTTCTCATATCTTAATGAACGCTGGCGAGGTCGCCCCAATCATCTGTCATTAAGTTATCTGCTCTAGCGTAGCGTCATCTGATGTGTTGGTCACCCATCCGAAAACTGACCACTGCAAAAGTTACTTAACTTTCTTTACCCACTCATTTCTCGTACCTTAATGATCGCGGGCGTTGTCCCTTCTAACGTCGCGTCCTCCGAGGTCTCCAGTTCGAGTCTCGTCGGTATAAACTCGTTGGGAGGCGGCATTCGAAGCTCGGGAGCTGGCGATACAGATTTCCATTCCTAGGGTAATAAAAAAAATATTGATGAAATATATTAAAAGTGAATACTTCAACATAAAGTAATAGGGTATTTGACAAGTTTTAGAAAACGATCTTACGTTATTGACTAATATTTATGGAGTCCGTAAAAAGTGGATATTCATCATTCTTTTGTGTATTTCAGTAAAAATAACCAATTCAAAATTCCATTTAACTCCATTTTTGTAATTAAACAGTCGTGTGACGTCACACACCAGTGATACGCCATATTGTCCAGAGAAACGTTTTCGCGGCATCTTGAAAATGGAGTTTTTGATTTGGTTATTTTTACTGAAATACACAACAGAATGATGAATATCTTGGTCTTTTGTGAAATCGATCTATCTGTCCAGATCCTGCCTAGCCGGGTCATCGCGCTTATTGCCATACCAATCCGCTTCCGAATATCCGGTTCGCATGAGCCATCGCTGCATATAGTAGAGCTAAGGTACACAAAGCTGTCCACATATTGGAGATCGAGTCTCCCACTGAGCTCCAGTTGCTTTGTTCGATCTATGATATATATATATATATATCTTTATATATATAATTCTTCTGTGAGTGTGTATGTCACTGAACTTCTCTTAAACGACTGGACCGATTTTGATGAATTTTTTTGTGTGTGTTCAAGGGGATCTGAGAATGGTTTAGATTCACAAAGACGTGTAGACAGGACAACGTCTGTCGGGTCCGCTAGTATATATATATATATTAATATATATATCAGCGTGTGTATGTATGTATGTGTGTATGCGCAATACAATATAATTAGTTAAGCATTGTTTTATGTATTGTTTTGATGCTTGTTAGCGCCTAATACGTCCTCGCACAGGCCCTGCCAGAATACCAGCGCTGATACAGTGAGAGAGTATTCTCCCACTGTGTCAGTATAAGCTGAGGCAGGGTCCTGATTGGCCGTCTTAGTTTTATGTTGATATTTTTTGTTTTCAGGTTAAGTTCCTTTTTAATTTTTTCTTTATATTTATAATATTTTTATTATGTAAGATGGCCAATAAAGGTTTTTTCATTTCATTTCATTTCATTATACGATTCTTAATTGCTTAATTGGAATATATAATGATTAATAATGATTGTCTGATTTTAAAATATATAATATGTTTGTGATTGATTACGGTTGATTTTAAGGTGGGTTATATTTAGTAATTTGTTATGTACATAGTTATCATTTTATTAATATTTTATAATTCAATTCAAATTAATTATTAATATTATTTTTTATAGGATAATTGATGAAATATATTAATTTTGATTGATCGAGTAGATATTTATATAACGTAAATTCAAGAAAATTTTATTTAAATTATATATTAGATTATCATAAATTCTATTCAAGAACACCAAGTATTGTGATGCCCTGACAGGGTTCATGTAACGTACTTTATAACATTTATTTAACCATCTCTGTGAATACATGAATGCAATAAATGATTAGATTGATTGATTGAACAAGACCCCCAGCGTCTCAATAAATGATTAGATTGATTGATTGAACAAGACCCCCAGCGTCTCAATAAATGATTTGATTGATTGATTGAACAAGACCCCCAGCGTCTCAATAAATGATTAGATTGATTGATTGAACAAGACCCCCAGCGTCTCAATAAATGATTTGATTGATTGATTGAACAAGACCCCCCGCGTCTCAATAAATGATTAGATTGATTGATTGAACAAGACCCCCCGCGTCTCAATAAATGATTTGATTGATTGATTGAACAAGACCCCCCGTCGTCTGCTACCACGCGTATAATATCACTGTAACTAAGTGGGTGTTGTTTGCATTAGTGACTAAAATGTGGTAAAACGTTTTACCGCACGCTTCGTTGTATTGCTCGTAATTTTGAACTTTCGTACAATGTATACAACCTCCGAAAATGCATTTTTTGAGCAGATATGTATATGAAATAAAATGAAATATGAAAATAAGTAAAACCTTAATTCTCTCAGGTTCAATGTCTTCTTGCAAGTACTTGGTTCCGTACCACGGTTCCGTTTGCGTGCATTTTTCAGTGAAACATCTGAAATATAAATTATAAGATTAAAAACTAGTATCTACTAGAATCTAATTGGTGTGAGTGTTGGAAATATTTATATTGTTATATTATATTAATTACGGGAGTCATCTTTGTGGCTACATCTATCTTGTGATAGAAGGTACTTTACACAAAAACAGCTAATTTTTTCAAGGATGGCGAGACTGTCATTCTGGCTACTTTTTTTTAAAGTTAGCAGCCTAAGAAATGCTAGAGAAAATTTGGCACGGCCATCAGGGCCGCGGTAGCATGTCAGTGTATTCACCTAAATAGCGGAAGGTACGGGTTCGAGTTCCGTCTGCTGCCTGGTCTGCATGTTATTTTTCTAGTCAAATTTACTTTAGATTTAGACATCGAACAGTTAAATGCTTAAAAATAAAAACTTAAGTTAACATCTCTTATCTATTAGACAAGTCCGTCCGTCCGTCCGTCTGTGGTGCTGTTTCAGCGGCCAAACCGTAAGAGATAGATAAAGAGAATGTTTAAGTTATAAGTTAAGAATAGTCTGATAAGACTACAAACCGGATTTGAGTAACGTAGCACTTCTGGTTTTCGAGAAATCACGAATTTCAAACGAAACCACACAAAATCTCCGAAGTTCTCAATTAATTAAATACATTTTTTTTTAAATCAGGGGGTCTACTCTCTTTCTGCGAAACGAACATTCGAAAACGAAGTTCAAACGAAATCTGATTTCGTCAATTTAAGGTTATACTTAATTAGAACGATAAACTATCAAATTGAAGCATTCTTTGTGTAGGCTTAGAAAATCTACACCTAAATCTATATTCCGGCGACGAATATTATTATAATTAAAAACGAACCAGAAACATAGTAAGAAAAGTGCGAAGTTTCGATCGAAATTTCGTTTTTCGTTAAATTAGAGTAGGGCTCCTGGTTTTGGTAAACGTTTGGTTCACTGGTTTGCTAGTAACATATAATAAGTTAGTAGTTCTTCTGGCTACTTCTATCTTCTGCTAGCAGGTACACTTACTTGGCCACGCTGCCCACACGCACATTGTCAGGAACCAGAAGGGACAGCAACTCCTCAATCAGATCCGGTCTCCATTCTGATAGCAAGTAGTATGCGCTCAATACGTCTTCCATAGGAAACTCCTGGAAACAAATATAAATAAATAAATAAATATTTCCAACACTCACACCAATAGGGACGATGACAATTTTTGAAGTTATACTTCTTTAGGCGTTATGAAAAAATGATGAGAGTGAAATTTTAAGATGCGCGCGCATCACTGTAACACAAAAAATTAACAGCATGAAGTTGGCCGCTTTTTTGTGTTTAGCGCACATTTAGAAAATCTATCAAAAAAATAGAAATAGAATCTCTATTTAGTGGGTGCTAACGACTGCATTGTGAAGGCCTATCAAAAGTATTTATTAATCTGGAACAACGGAACCAAAGCGCGATTCAGGAGACTACAGCGCCATCTGTTGACCATTTGTGTAGTAGAACCAAAAACCACATCTTTATTTTTTGTAATAAAGTAACAGTTATAGGTATTCATATTTATAATATTATATTCAGCAGCGATTTTAATTGAATATTTTAATTATTTATTTATTTTTTCATATTAAAACTGAACTTTATTGACTGTGTCCTTTTCCAGTTAATTTATTGTGATTAATTATTTGCATGCAATTAAAAACTAATTTTAAACGATGCCAAAGAAGGATAACTTCTCACGCGCCTACATAAGTACACGCACCCATTTTTTTTTCTTCGTTTATCAGATAGATTATCAAAAAGTATTGGACACGTATTTTTTCTTTTTTCACATAATATAATCATTGCAGAGATATATTGATTTGAAAAATCGCATGACGTCACGTTTGAGTACACTTTTAAGTGAAAATTCACTCAAAAGTGACGTCACGAGCCCCTACTCCCAAACTTTGACGCGCTATAGCTTTGTCATTTTTTGATTGATTGCCCAAAGAAAACATACGTGTCCATTATTTTTTGATCATCTAACTGACGGACTAAATAGAATTTCGTTTACTGTACCCTTACAACAGTTTGGAATTACCTATCTATTTTATTGTATCTGGAATCATTGGACATTATAACAGCAACAAGTATTCCTTAATGCCCCCACAAAGTATTATTCTAACTAAACACAAAATAAGAAAGGTGAAACGAGTACTGTAAAAACCATCTAATAAACAGACAGACGGACTCACCTGCAATAAATGTACGTTACTAAGCCCCTGGGTTCCTGCGCGTCTTTGAACCTAAACTCCATCGCCATAAGGTCTACTGTATCGTACTAATATTATAAATATGAAAGTTTATAGGACCAGCTCGATGGCGCGGGTGGTCAGCGCGTTCGACTGCGATCGTTAAGTTCAGCAACTTTCGCAGCGGTCAGTCATTGGATGGGTGACCAAACATTTACTATCTCGAGCTCCTCCGTGCTCCGGAAGGCACGTTAAGCCGTTGGTCCCGGCTGCATCTGCAGTCGTTAGCACCCGCCAATCCGCAATGAAGGAAGGCCTATTACCCAGCAGTGGGGACATTAATAGGCTGCAGATGAGATGATGATTTAGAAACTTTATATGTTTGTCACGCAAAAACTACTGAACAGATTTGGATGAAATTTGGTGCGCATATAGTTTACGACCTGGATCGAGAAATAGGATACTTATTATCCAGATTTTTTTTTAACTTCCTGGTGGTCTTTGCTAAAAACTAAAGTTAAAGCACCGAAGCAGTAAACAATATATTAACAGACAGACAGACAGACAACACTCACCTGCAACAAATGTACGTGTCCAGTGACTAAAGCCCTGGGTTCCTGCGCGTCTTTGAACCTAAACTCCATGGCCATAAGGTCTTTCTGTTCCTCCCAAACCCAGCGTTGGGGACCCTCGGATCGCACCATTGAGATGTACTGAATGGAAAATGAAAAAGATTTTTAATTATAAAAAAGGGATGGGGGGGGGTTGCTTATGACCACACGGACGAAGTGAAACTTCTTTAGCTCCATCTGTATTTATATATATATATATATCCGCGTTGGGCCCGCGCGGTGGATCATGGCACAATCTCCCTATTCCATACATAGGGAAAGCCTGTGCCCCAGCAGTGGCTGATGATGATGATGAAGGTTAAATTCGCAGCAAAATAGCATTTTAATATCAACCAGAAATACCCTTTATTCTTTTTTTCGAATACTTTATAATACACTTGTAGCATTTTTGCTAAATCTCAATTTAACTAAAACTTGACAGAGCCCATCCATTAATCTCAAATTGACATAGACGCTCTGTCACTTTTCTATGGCATAGACCTAGTTTTAGTTGAATCGAGATTTAGCAATTATATTAAAATTTCTTGCAAATACTTTTTCATTGTTCTCGATTGTGGTTATTGCGCGTCTCGAGGTAAACGACAGAAGTGATAAATTAAACTATATTTGTTTGAGCACAGGAGATTGGTAGATTGAAAAGGGGATTGGATTGTGTAAAGGGGATTCGAGGGTGAAAACGCGATGCGGGGGTGAAAAGGGTTTTTTTATGCATAATAGGCAATGCGTTTGACCAAAATCTCGTTTGATGGAAAGCGATGATTAGGCCTAGGTTGGTACACGCCTGCCTAGAAGATTCGGTAGGGATTCGGGTGTGAAACTTAGATTAAAACAAAAAGGGTAGATACGGCACTAGCCTCACAAAAGTGATCCGCACCAATTGTGGTAGACGACCCTAATCGCTTTAGTCACAACTGGACATGCAAACGACGTACATGTGAACGCCAAAAAGAAATATTGCTAATATTTTGTGTTTATATGATACAACAATAAACCAAATGTTCACCAAAACCTGATTTCTCGAAAACCGGAAGTGCTACGTTCCTCAAATCCGGTTTGTAGTCTTATCAGACTATTCTTAACTTATAACTTAAATATTCTCTTTATCTATCTCTTACGGTTTGGCCGCTGAAACAGCACCACAGACGGACGGACGGACTTGTCTAATAGATAAGAGATTATTTATATTATCAAATTTAGGTATTCTTACATATAAAATGTTCCTAGAATACTGAACAATAGGTACTAAATTCTTACCTGGAACACCAGTTTAACGATGTCGTCGATATGTTCGACTCCGTCTTCGGTGAGGTCCACTTGTACGCCGAAGAAGCCAAACCCGCGAGCACCTATACGAGTGCCACCCACTAAGCTGTGGGGCACAAAGAACAATCACGATTAATAAAAAACTAGGTCATCATCATCAGCTTATTAATGTCCCCACTACTGGGGCACAGGGCTGGGGCCTTCCCTATGGATGGAATAGGGAGATTGGGCTATGACCCACCACGCGAGCTCAGTGCGGATTGGTGGGTGCCAACGACTGTAGATGCAGCCGGGACCAACGGCTTAACGTGCCTTCCGAAGCACGGAGGAGTGAGAGATAGTAAATTTTTGGTCACCCATCCAATGACTGACCACTGCGAAAGTTGCTGAACTTCTACGATCGCAGCCGAACAGAACTCCTGAAAAAAAAAATTTATACTGAATTTTTAACAGGATCACATAAAAGAAATATCACAGGTTATACAAAACAAAATACCACCCGCAATTTAACTAAAGTAATAAAGCCAAGATTTTAGGTATATATTATAAAATAAAACACATTTTCTAACTAATTTTAACAGTATCCGACAAAAGAATATTACAGAAATTATTATTATTGTATACTATTATTATGAGGAGCTCGATGACGCAAGTGGTTAGCGCGTTCGGCTGCGATCGTTGAAGTTAAGCAACTTTCGCAGTGGTCGGTCATTGGATGGGTGACCAAAACTTTACTATCTCGAACTCCTCCGTGCTTCGGAAGGCACGTTAAGCCGTTGGTCCCGGCTGCATCTGCAGTCGTTAGCACCCACCAATCCGCACTGGGTCCGCGTGGTGGGTCATGGCCCAATCTCCCTATTCCATTCATAGGGAAGGCCTGTGCCCCAGCAGTGGGGACATTAATAGGCTGATGATGATGATGATGATACTATTATACATAGTTACAAAAAAATAACTTATGTAATTATTATTTTTAAAACAGGGTCTAAAATTACTCATAGTTCAAACCTAATGTTGTCTCTGTCTTCTTTTTAGTAAACAAAAGTTGACAGCATCATTTTTAATCCAGGTTCTACTTAAGTCTACACTTTGTAGTAAGGCGATACAAGATACTTGTATATTACTACTAGCTGGGGCCCGCGGTGTTACCCGCGGATTATTAGGAATGTTTTCCCGCAGTAAAACATTAATCCAGGTTGTCAGCTAACTTAGTACCAAATTTTATTAAAATCGCTCCAGCCGTTTAGACGTGAAGAAGTTACAAACATACACACTCACAAACTTTCGCCTTTATAATAATTAGTGTGATTACATTATACAGGTTGTCCCCCTGTATAATTATACAGGGTGTCCCACGGGCTTCTCACACGGAGAGAAAGTATGTTAAATATTGAAGAATGGTTATTTTACTGAAAGAAGACATCATTTTATTTTTAATAATAACTAGAACTGCAGTCACAGATTTTTTCTGCTTTATTATTTTTTCACGTATTTATAGTAAGGATTTCCTGTATTATTAAGTGAGCAGGTATTGGTTAGTAAATATTGTGAAATGATAACATTAGCTGTTGGTAGCACGGAAAACTAATAGGAAATTTTCCTGAACAAACATGTCATTTCATGATCTTCCTTTAATTTAAAATGCTTTGTTATTTAGGAAAGAATAATCCTCATTTAGCCTTTCGACGATTATCATAAAATACATGTGCGTTTTTTTGTTTCACATTTCACGAATTTCATTCCCGGTTTTCGCAGGCGATTTCTTTAAATCTGTGAATGCAGTTCTATCTATTATTAAAAATAAAATGATGTCTTCTTTCAGTAAAATATTCTAACTTCAATATTTAATATACTTTCCCTCCGTGTGACAAAAACCGATGGGACGCCCTCCCTGTATATGATAACTAGCTGACCCAGCGAACTTCGTATCATTATAAAAATATGGGTATGTATTTTTTTATGCCACATAATTAACAAAAAAAAATGGGGTTGACAAACCTTATCACTTATGGGTATAAAAAATATATATATAAGCCAATATAATGCGATTCAACTAAGAATAGGATCAACTGGGCGCCATTTTGTGATGTCAAAGCTGTCAATTGAAACAAAATAGGTAGAGTGAGCAATAAAAGTTTTTCTTCGATAAAACATATTTACTTAGATTAAGTGAGAAAAAATATCAGTTTTTTTTAAATAAAACTTATTTACTAAGATTAAGTGAGAAAAATCATCAGCTTTTATTAATAAAATTTATTTACTAAGATAAAAAAAACACCGATTTTTAATAACATTTATGACTGTGAGAGTAAAAATATTAATCGGGATCTAGCTCTTCAATTCCGCTCAGCTCTGCATAACTACCGGAGTCGTCATCGTCGTCATTTTTGTTTATAAATGTTTGGTTTTTTTATTCTAGAATTAGCTGAGTGCTAAAAAAGAGTTCCAAGATTTTTTGCAAACCGTACTTTTCAAGCGTCGTTTGACAGATGGAGGTCATTGGCTTTCCTATTCTTATTTGAATCGCATTATACTCAGACATACTGAATATGCATATAAAATTTCATAAAAATCGGTCAAGCCGTTTCGGAGGAGCATGGTAACCAACGATATAAAATACCCTAGATACATCACGTGAGCTCAAAATGTGTCCCAATCAAGAAGTGCTTGAACTCCACTCAAGCACTTCTTGGTTCACAGTCACTTGCGGACCGTTCAAAAGTCAATATGCCGCAGAGCTCCGCGAAAAAATTCGAAATAATTACTTACAAACGTATAGTGTCGTTTATTCGACAGGTATCTAATCAATGTTTGTTAATTTAATATTTAAAGCAAATGTTGTTGTAATACTGACTATAAATAGTTTTAACAGAAAATATTAGTGATATTCAAATGCATGGTTGGTAATATAGCCGTCTCTCTTCCTCGCGGTTCATACCTGCTATATTGCTAACAGCGCATTCAGAATTGCGCGTAGAGACAAACTATCTAAAAATAAGGTCTATATTCTTCCGCATATTATTGTATTGTTATATTGTTTTTAAGTACGCGATTATATTTCGGAGCTCCGTGGATCGTCCAATGTACCTTTTGGTGAGGCATCGGCCACGATTTTGTTCATGATGTTGTATCTAGGGTATTTAATATCGTTGATAGTAACTTACAATACAATACACAATACTTTATTGAAAACAGAACAGAAATGAGCTTCAATGGGCGGTATAATCGCTAAAAGCAAAAGAAAGATGGAGTCGGCGGTGTCAGTAAAAGAAATAAGAGATATTAACGAATTTATGAATTTAATATACATAAACATACATATATATACATATTATATATACATAGACTATACATATAAGTTTAGTCCAGTCAGCAGAGATAAAAATACAGCTACATAGTCAAATAATAATTTACAACAAGATTTTTAAAGACATCAATACATTGCGCTCGTCTTACGGATACTGGAAGAGAATTCCATTGACGTACATCTCCGACGGTAAAAGAACGACCATAGAAGGTCGTGTCATGGATAGGACATACATTGTGACACGAGAATTTTATATTTAACATATTCACCTATTACACCAGCCCCGTTCCTTTAACGCAGACAGCAAACTGCCGGGTCCCTCGTGCCCCAGCAGGTGGGACAGGTAGTGGCCTGGCTGGGGGGACAGAATAAACGATACTGATACAACCAATAGATCTAAAAAAAAAACGCGGACTAGGCAGCAGACGGGATTCGAACCCGCGCCTTCCGCTATCCGGGCGAATGCACTGACCATTATGCTACCGAGGCCCTGATGGCTGTGTCGAATTTCCTGTAGCATTTCATAGGCTGAAACCAGTCCAGGCATCAGGATTCGAACCTGCATCCAGGCGGAAGGCAAAAGCAGTGAACGTTTTCTTTAGAGGTTATTTTATTATTAATATTATAATTTCCATAAATTAAAAAGATTAATGCATTAGAAATAAAATAACCAATACTATTTAATTTTAAACAGCAACTGCGCTCATTTTTATTTAAATTAGCATCAAAAACACTTCAATTAAAGTATAAATTTATTAATGTTCTAATGATTAATTTCAAATTTACATTATAAAATAAATAAATTCACAAGGAAACGTCAATTTATTGCTTCATTGTGTCACTCAAAAGTGAATGGCCTTTCTAATTGAGTCTTTATGTTTAATCTAAGTTAGAAATTTCTCAAAAACCATAAACAAAACCAAACAACCATAACTCACCCCACTCTTGTAGTGTTTCCTGGTGTCCGGTATAGGGAAGTCTATGGACAACGACCGGAGATCCTTCACCGGAACACAGTACGCCCTCTTGCGGCGCAACTCCGGCGGAAACGGATGTTCCGGCCACGAGGGGGCTATCACCGAGGTGTCCTCTACGGCCGAGAATAGGGGTACTACCATAGCTTCCAGCTCGTCTAGGGACTCTATGGAAACAATCACACTATCTTTATATATATAATTCTTCTGTGAGTGTGTATGTCACTGAACTTCTCTTAAACGACTGGACCGATTTTGATGAAATTTTTTGTTTGTGTTCAAGGGGATCTGAGAATGATTTAGATTCACAAAGACGTGTAGACAGGACAACGTCTGTCGGGTCCGCTAGTAATATTATAAAGGCGAAAGTTTGTGAGTGTGTATGTTCGTAACTTCTTTACGGCTAAACGGCTGGAGCGATTTTAATAAAATTTGGTATGGAGTTAGCCGACACCCTGGATTAACACATAGGCTACGTTTTACTGCGAGAAAATATTCCCTAATAAACCGCGGGTAACACCGCTGGGCACAGCTAGTAAATAAATATTTTCAACACACACACCAATTAGCCTAGCCCCGAAGTAAGCACTGTAGACTTGTGTTATGGGATACTAGGGTAACGGATAGAATACATATCATCATCATCAGCCTATAAATGTCCCCACTGCTGGGTTACAGTCCTTCCCTATGAATGGAATAGGGAAATTGGGTTATGACCCACCACTGTGCTGTGGGTGCTGACGACTGCAGATGCAGCCGGGACCAACGGCTTAACGTACCTTCCGAAGCACAGAGGAACTCGATTTAGTAAATTTTTGCCACGACAAATATATAGTTCTCATTGAGAGCTGAATATAGGGTTACCATCCATCCGGATTTATCCGGACATGCCCGGACTTTCCGTCTTTTGTCCGTATTTTTTTAATTAGATGGAATATGAGTAAATCTACTTATTGAGTTATATCAAATAAGTCAAATAATCTTTATTAAGTTCTCATTAATTTAAAACAAAATATAAATAATTCATCTTTAAATATCAACAACGAGACCCCCCTCGCGATGCGAGCGTCTGATAACACGCGTTTAATATCACTGTAACTAAGTGGATGATGTTTGCATTTTGTGACTAAAATGTCCGGACCTTTATCGAAATGTCCGGCTTTTTGTCAGGACTATTCAAATTTTTGAAGTTATACTTCTTTAGGCGCGTTATGAAAAAATGATGAGAGTGAAATTTTAAGATGCGCGCGCATCACTGTAACACAAAATTTTAACAGCATGAAGTTGGTCGCTTTAGCGACCAACTTCATGCTGATTACTTTTGTGCTTACCGCACATTAAGAAAATCTACCAACAAAATAGAAATAGTATCTCTATTTAGTGGGTGCTAACGACTGCATTATGAAGGCCTATCAAAAGTATTTATTAATCTGGAACAACGGAACCAAAGCGCGATTCAGGAGACTACAGCGCCATCTCTTGACCATTGGTGTAGTAGAACCAAAAACCACATCTTTATTTTTCAATGTTACTTTTATGTTATTATTGTAATAAAGTAACAGTTATAGGTATTCATATTTATAATATTTATCCACATGTTTCTAGTTTGTATATTCGGAATACGTGTTTGAGTTTCATACAAGTGCAAATCACATATGTTCTAATAAATTATATTCAGTAGCGATTTTAATTGAATATTTTGATTATTTATTTTTTTTTTCAAATTAAAACTGAACTTTATTGACTGTGTCCTTTTCCAGACTTTTTATTAATTTATTGTAATTAATTATTTGCATGCAATTAAAAACTAATTTTAAACGATGCCAAAGAAGGATAACTTCTCACGCGCCTACATAAGTACACGCACCCATTTTTTTTATTAAATAGTAACCCTAGCTAATCATAATCAAAATCATTTATTCAAAAGAAAATATAACTAGAAAAAATCCACGCGGACCAGGCAGCAGACGAGACTCGAACCCGCACCCTTCGCAATCCGGGCGAATGCACTGACCAATTATGCTACCGCGGCCCTCAAGGACCGCGTCGAAATTCTTCTAGCCACTCTTAAGCTGCAAGGCAGCGCCATCTCTTCGCATTATAGGTAACCCACAATGACAAATGAATACTTTTACAAGTATTAAACATTTGAAAGAAGAAATAGCAATTATAGTTATAATTTTTATTATTTTTGAAGCATGTAACTGCTTGATGTTTAATTCTAAAGAAAATATAACTAGAAAAAATTGGTCAGTACATTCGCCCGGATTGCGAAGGGTGCGGGTTCGAGTCCCGTCTGCTGCCTGGTCCGCGTGGATTTTTTTCTAGTTATATTTTCTTTAGGTTAAAACATCAAGCAGTTACATGCTTTAAAAATTATAATCATTTATTCAGTTTAGGCTGTTACAAGCACATATGAATGTCTAGAAGCTACGCCATCGGTTCGTAAATCTACGGCGGGAGACCTTGTACTGAGAAGAACCGGCAACAACTCAGCAAGAGCTGTTTTTATCTCCCTGTTTTATTATTTACAGAGTCGTCAAGTTGAAAAATGACTTCAGAGATGATTCATGACGTCACCTTTCATTACATAATGTGAAATTATACATTAATTGTTCACCTGCATTTTGATTGCTGTGTCACACAGTATAAATACAAACAGAATTATTTATAACTAGCAAACCAGTGAACCAAATGTTCACCAAAACCTGATTAAAAAAAAAGTATTTAATTAATTGAGAACTTCGGAGATTTTGTGTGGTTTCGTTTGAAATTCGTGATTTCTCGAAAACTGGAAGTGCTACGTTACTCAAATCCGGTTTGTAGTCTTATCAGACTATTCTTAACTTATAACTTAAACATTCTCTTTATCTATCTCTTACAGTTAGGCCGCTGAAACAGCACCACAGACGGACGGACGGACGGACTTGTCTAATAGATAAGAGATAGGTGTAATTAAACATTTACATCTTAAATATCAAAGTAGTTAGGGCAAACTCATCTCCGCTGGCAGCACCCGTTCACGAGCATGACGCATGAACCAGCTGAATATAAATTGTTATTTTTTTCATGTCCATAACTTACCTTTCCCCAAAACCACAAGGGTCATGATGTTGGAAGAGTACCACTTGTCGTGGAACTTCAGCAGTTCATCTCGCACGTTGATGCCGCGGGCCTTGGGAATAGTCTCCAAGGTTTCGCGGTTACCTATGAAACAAGGCCTGAGGTCAAAATTTATTTACTTTTAAGAGCCCTTTCACATTTTTTACAAAAAAACGTAATTTTTGAGCGCCTCGTTTACCCCCTTAGAAAAGATTTTGACTATTTCCAATAGAAGTAAATAGATAGTAGATTTATTTTTCCTATTGTAAGTTAATGTAGAATATTTGCAAATACTATTTTCCTTTTTTTGTATTGATCGTTCTAGCGCAGCTAGTTTACGAAAAATAGGATAATATGCACAACTGCAAACGCCTCACTCTCTCAATAATGTTCAGTAAATTAGATCAAATTAATTACTACGACATCAGAAATATGTTTTTGTTGTAACATAATGTATTAAAGTATTGATTTTCCATCTCATTAATTATCAAAAAAAATCATCTAACCTCCGTGAGTTATCCTAAAAAATAATACAGGTTTACCTCGTATTTTGATATTGAATTAAATAGAAATACCATCAAAAACTTTCATAAAACTAATCTACCATTATTGAACTACTGAAATATCTATATATTTTTATAATTAGTTCATTAATAATTATTTTATAAGACTCGAAACATCACCCATAAAATGCAATATATACTAGTGCAAATCTACCTACGCGCCGATCAGTACGGCAGCGACGCAATTTTGTAAAAGGGCTCTTAACTGCTAGATGTTTAAATCTAAAATAAAATTTTATTGGAAAAAAGTCCACGTGGACCAGACAGTAGACGGGACTCGAACCCACACCCTTCGCTATCCAGACGAATGCACTGACCATTATGCTACCGCAAAAAAAACATAATTGCTAGTTCTTTTTTAAAAGTTTAATATTTGTAAAGGTATTCATTTGACATTGTGGGTTACCTACAATGCGAAGAGATGGCGCTGCCTTACAGCCTAATAACTACTAGAGAAAATTGAACACGGCCATCAGGGCAGGGTAGCATAATGGCATAATATATATATATATACAGGGTGTAAAAAAACCTATAACGAAGTTGAAGGCCACGTATTTTCCACATCATGACGATCATTTTTTTCTCCTGGGAAATTTATGGTTATGGAGATATTGAAGGTCAAAGTCACAATTTTTTTTTCTAGATTTATACATTAATATTTTCAAAACTTTATTTAGAAACTTTTTTATCGACGCACTTACACACACGCACGCACATACACACAGGCACATTCTTTGCGCACTTACACACACGCACACACATACACACAGGCACATTCTTTGCGCACTTACACACACGCACACACATACACACAGGCACATTCTTTGCGCACTTACACACACGCACACACATACACACAGGCACATTCTTTGCGCACTTACACACACGCACACACATACACACAGGCACATTCTTTGCGCACTTACACACACGCACACACATACACACAGGCACATTCTTTGCGCACTTACACACACGCACACACATACACACAGGCACATTCTTTGCGCACTTACACACACGCACACACATACACACAGGCACATTCTTTGCGCACTTACACACACGCACACACATACACACAGGCACATTCATTGCGCACTTACACACACGCACACACATACACACAGGCACATTCTTTGCGCACTTACACACACGCACACACATACACACAGGCACATTCTTTGCGCACTTACACACACGCACACACATACACACAGGCACATTCTTTGCGCACTTACACACACGCACACACATACACACAGGCACATTCTTTGCGCACTTACACACACGCACACACATACACACAGGCACATTCTTTGCGCAGCGCCACAGTAGCGCGCCGCGCTATACATTGCGTCCTGGAAAAAAAAATATTTTTTTAACTTAAAAATATTTTTTTTCCCTTCTTTAATATTTTTTAATGTGACTTGTTTAGGTGTACAGAATGCGTTGTTTAAGTCTTTGTCATAGGTTTTTTTACAGCCTGTATAATGTTTTATCACCCGTTCTGAACTTGTGGAAGAAATTCTGCATAGACTCCTTGGTTTTTTGAGCTAACGAGGATCATTACTAGGTCAGCAAATTAACTCAAAATCACAACAGTATAATCTAATAAGCTTTTCAATTAATATACTTTTTAAATCATCGAAATCGTTTCATTCGTTGCGATTTTATAACTAACTAGCGGCCCGCCCTCGCTTCGCTTCGGTGTAGAGCTGAAGCGTAGACTACAGTTTTTGTTCTCAGGCTTGTTTTATACACAATGACATTCATCTATGATTATTCTTATACCTGCATGCAAAGTCTCAGCCCGTTCGGTTTTAAAATTTACAAAGTTTCATACAAACTTTCATTCCCTATTTTATCCCCTTGGGGGTAGAATTGATCAAAACCCTTTCTTAGCGGATGCCTACGTCATAACACCTACCTGCATGGCAAATTTCAGCCCGATCCGTCCAGTGGTTTGGGCTGTGCGTTGATAGATTACTACGTCAGTCAGTCACCTTTGAGTTTTATATATATAGATTATAAAAAAACTGAAGATGGTATATTTATCTTTTCCAAACTTCTATTGACATCACGTCGTTCAATTGTTTTGCCTTCCCAGAATCTCTCCACTAACATTTGAAATTTATGGTATGGTATTAAAGTTCAAATTGACTTTTAAGTATTATTACGAATTGTTTGTATGGGAGTAAAGTAAAGTTTTGTTTTTTGACATTTTCAGGCATTTTTTTAATTTTTCTCTTCGTAAGAACCATCCTCGTACTTCAAGGAATATTCTAAAAAAAAATCAGCCAAATCGGTCAAGCCGTTTTGATGTTATGTCGTGACAACGGAAAACGGGTTTCATTTTTATATATATAGATTTTATAGTAGCCAATATTCACCGGCCGCCGAAACGTGTGACGTCACAGAGCTCGATCGTGGTTTACTCCGGTTGAATTTCTGTAGCGTCTCTACGCACGCTAAAAATTTAACCACTGTATTTTATGAAATCCTTAGTTCTATAAACCTGCATTCTCAATTAAAATCGTAACAAATCCTCATTCTGGCGCTACGACTCCGAAATATGATTTTCTCTCTCTCTCATGTATGTGACGAGAAAGAGATGGATTGTATTCTCACCAGTGCCAAACTTGTGGAAGGGATGCTGCGGCGACGCAGTGCATTTGTTGAGCTGATCCAATCTCCAAGTGTCGGAAGATGTGTTCTTCTCGTGTTCAGAGTTTACGGCCGACAACTCGCGGCCTGTTGCAGATTCCGTGAATAGGGGAGATATGAAGAATTGGGCGAATCTGGGAGGAGAAAATAATAAATGAATAAAATTAGTATTAAATAAAACTAGTTTTTACTGGTTAATGCACGAAACTTTATTTATTTATTGACGTTTCGCAGCCTTTTCAGGTCTGCATCGTCAGAATAATGATTTTTTATTTAAAATTGTCGAGCTACCTTCGAAAGACTTATATTGAGCGTTAGGTAGCTCGACAATTTTAAATAAAAAATCATTATTCTGACGATGCAGACCTGAAAAGGCTGCGAAACGTCAATAAATAAATAAAGTTTCGTGCATTAACCCGTAAAAACTAGTTTTATTTAATGAGTGATGTGCGTGAAAACCTAAGAAACAAAATTAATATTTCCAACACTCACACCAATGGAGAAGTATACGCAAAGCTCGACATAGATGGCGCTGTAAACGCTTGACCCAAATCACAGCCAAATATTGCCGCTGTCAAACTTTGAACGTGTTTTTTTGTTGTTAAAAAAATGTGTGCGTGTACTAGTGTACACACGTAAGAAGTGAAACTTCTTTATGGCCTTATTTTTTTCGAAAAATGATCTACATGCAACTTTCCAGAAATATATATATAGGCGTGCGCTAAGATTTTTCAAAAACTCACCCACTAAAGGGGTATAACTACACCTTACCTTACCTTAACTTACCTTACCTTACCTTACCTTACCTTGTGTGAAACACGAATATTTGCTGTCGATACTTTTTTTTTTAAAGTTGACAGAAGAAGCAATTGTTCGGAGGAGGTAAATAGTGCTCTTTTAAAAAAAAAGATGGCGCGTAACCAAAAAACGTGACGCGTAACCGAAAAAATGTGACGGTAAATTTATTTCCAACGCCGATAAAGAAGTTTCACTTCAATATTAAATAAGTGGTGAAAGTATTCATCATGGTCTATAATACAGCTGAAAACAGAGTTGAAAAGGAGAGGAGCATCTATGCAAGGCAGAAAAGCTGATCTAGTAGAAAGGTACTCTTTCTATTATAATGCTAGAATGCTCATTCTCGATACATAGATGCATTTTCCATGATTATTTTAATAGTTCATGGATCTGAGTAACTTTTAGCGGGCTCATTAATCAAATCTATCTTATTTTTGCATCAGTCAGACATCTCATAGAGTTAGGTTACCTCTGGCTAAAGTGGGAGGTATAACGTTGGGTTTTTTTTTACAGACTTGAGGCATATGACCGCAAATTTTAATTTCAGTTTTCTCACAACAACCAGGAACTGCACAGCTCGGCATTTGTATGTTGTTCAATAAAAAGCTTAAAAATGAATATAGTATATGAATATAGCTAATGGGTATGTATTTGATCGAAATTTTGGGTCAAGCGATGACAGCGCCCCCAGTGGCCAAATTTTGTAGAATTCTTGTCGATTAGCCACTGCTCCCCATTTTGTGCTACTCTCATCCAGCCCACTCCAGCCAGCCTACGAATATCATCATCCCATCTTATCTCAGGGCGTCCTACACTACGTTTACCGAGTCGTGGTCTCCACTCAAGAACAAAATCGGGAGCAGTGGCGTGCATTAGGGGAGACGTATGTCCAGCAGTGGACGAACATGGGTTGATGATGATGATGATGACACCAATAGGGTATTTGACAAGTTTTAGAAAACGATCTCACGTTATTGACTAATGTTAATGGATATTCATCATTCTGTTGTGTGTTTCAGTAAAAATAACCAAATCAAAAACTCCATTTTCGTTTCTCTGGACAATATGGCGTCTTACTAGTGTGTGACGTCACACGACTGTTATTAAAACGTCAAACGATACAATGTAATGTCACTTTAACCGGAAGTTTACTTGCGTGTGACGTCATTTTAGGCTCCGCCAATCCCAAGCGTTTTGGGTCACGTGACAATAGATAAGAAAACTATTATCTTTTTCGTGAGTTTTTTGTAAAATTATGAATATTTTTTTTTGTAAATATAGTAAAAACTCCTGCTAATATTCATTCTAAACACAGATGCTAACAATTGGCACTTTATTTTTAATACTGTCAAATACCCTATTAGCCTAGCCCCGAAGTAAGCACTGTAGACTTGTGTTATGGGATACTAGGGTAACGGATAGAATACATATCATCATCAGCCTATAAATGTCCACTGCTGTGGTACAGGCCTTCCCTAAGGATGGAATAGGGAGATTGGGTTATGACCCATTCATTCTCCTGTGGGGCAAACAAATAAATTGACTATGGGTCCTGACGACTGCAGATGCAGCCGGGACCAACGGCTTAACGGCCTTCCGAAGCACGGAGGAACTCGAGATAGAAGATTTTTGGTCACCCATCCAATGACCGACCACTGCGAAAGTTGCTTAACTTCAACGATCGCAGCCGAACGCGCTAGCCACCTGCGAAATCGAGCTCCTCAAATATCCAAAATTATTCTTCGTTTATAAAAAGGGGGTATGAGTTACTGTAGAAAAATAAACCATTTAAAAAAAAAGAGTTTGATGTGAGGCGGCGACATCTACATGCCCTACATATAACCATCGGATGGAGGAAATAATTACTCGCCTCCTCAAGAGATGGCGCTACCGGCGCTGCGATGAATAAGTATGGAAGCCTACATCGCGCAAGAGAAATTCGGAGGCTAACACTCCATATATACAATGCTCCACCAACATCAGTCGGGCCGCGGCCTCCAATCTACCATCATCCAAATTGGAGGAAGATCTTCCCCATTGGCCTCCCTACAGATGATTTTTCTTAAAAGCAAGTACATTTTTTTAATTGATTTGAGTAATTTTCAGAGGGGTCATTTGTCATATTCACTAGTAACTTAATAATAATATGATGACGCTATGACTCACATGTCTAAAGCACCGGATAAATGTGCCGGCAATACATCGAAATAGTATGTGGTGTGGTCTGATGAAGTAGAGGCATTCGATGAACCACCGTGCTCGGATAGAAACTTGTTGTATTCATTCTCCTGTGGGGCAAACAAATAAAATGATACGCAAAAATCAGCCATCGCGGAACATTTAATTGATTCGGGTCCCAATCACTGGATTGAGCTCCATAATCCACAAATTATCTCGACAGAACGCCACTACATACCAAGATTGGTCAGGGAAGCGATTGAAATAACCAAACACAAGAATAAAACTAGTTTTTACGGTTTATTTGACCCTAACTACTGTAAACTAATAAATAAACTCAAAATTACAAACAAGAATTTTAAATAAAATACTTTATTAAGTAAATTAAATAATAAATTCATACATAGACAATAAAATTTTAAAAATCTTCCAATGAAATAACCGAACGCTCAATATAAGTCTTTCGAAGGTAGCCAGACAATTTTAAATAAAAAATCATTATTCTGACGATGCAGACCTGAAAAGGCTGCGAAACGTCAATAAATAAATAAAGTTTCGTGCATTAACCCGTAAAAACTAGTTTTATTTAATGAGTGATGTACGTGAAAACCTAAGAAACAAACAAGAATTTCAATCGTGAGGATGGGTTTAAATTGTCAAATGTCTGGAATCCAGTGGTTCGTATGTGTAAAAACCGCAAAAATCAAAAAAGTGTCGTTCCGCGATCTGATACTGTGAGTTTTGTGTGTAGGGAACAAGTGCGAGTGAATAGTGAGAATGTGACCAGTGGTAGGGGTATCGAGCGCAGTGAAAGACGACGTCAGAGGGTAGACCGATATGTCTGCCAATAACATCTACCCGCAATTACTTCAGTTACTCCGTGATCATGGCGCTTGACTCATACAAAACAAGGTACATGGTAACAATCCCGTTAATAGCTATAAAGTTAGCTGACCATGAAAGTTTAAAACAATAAACAAATAAAATTTTAATAATATCATTTATTCAGTCTAGGCTGTTACAAGCACTTGTGAAAGTCGAAAAGCTACGCCATCGGTTCGCAAATCTACGGCGGGAGACCTTGTACTGAGAAGAACCGGCAAGAAACTCAGTAAAGGCTGCTTTTTTCTCCCTGTATTATTGACATTTCAATGACTTCAATATGGGATAACTCATAAAGTCACTTTCCATTTATTACACAAATGTTAATGATATAAAAATTGTGACTATAGGTACAATTAAATAAAAACTTTTAAGGAAACAAATATAATATAAAAGTTCCTTAATTACTAGCTGCGCCCAAAAGTTTCACTCGCGCTAATTTGAGGAAAGAATAGTGTACTAAAATACAGTAAAACCCGTTTAAGACGATTTCACAGGGTCTTAAGCGAAAAAGCGTATTAAGCGGGTAGGGAAATTTCGAATGTAGGCATGTGGTAATGAGGTATTAAATGTACAATATTTACGAATTATGTACGTTATAAAAAATAGTGTATTAATATTACGTTCGTATTAAATTAATTAAAAATTAATCACTTATTTTAGTTTCACAAAAATATTTTGTGGCATTAGCAATTACAAAATATTCACGTAAATAAACCTTTGCAGTGCGTCTTTGCTTTGATTCAAAGAAGTCACATAGCGTCTTAAGTCATTAATTGCTGATAATGCCTGGGCGTGTGACAAAATCGCAGTTGATTCATCTTCTTCTTGATCATTATCACTTAGGGCCTCGTCTTGTGTGATATTCACATTCTCAATAAGACCTTGATTTGATTAAATTTGGTACGGTGCCACATTGTCATCAATGGAAGAACGTCAATCGCAAGAGGTATTATGTGTGGTACGTGTTGGCGATTTAGGCGTATTAAACGGGATGACGAATCGTATTAAGCGTTTAGAAATATATGAAAATACGTCTCAAGTTGCAGGGACTGACGCAAAATGGCGTATTATGCAGGAAATCGTATTAAGCGTGATCGTATTAAGCGGGTTCTACTGTATATTCAATTACATTAAGGATTTCTTCAGATTATAAAAACAAGGTATAATGAGTCAACCTTAAATAATATGCCACAGATTTTTCATCAGAACTAAAAAGAAAAACAATTCCGTCATACATGAATTTTGCGTAAATTTAACCGTTTACGGCGTACGCAACGGAATCTTTTGTCTTCGCTAAATTGTGATGATATAAAGATTATTGTGATTCGATTCAACTTGAATCGGTTAGCTTTGTAGATGCAAGCCTTTATCTTACGTTAAGAAAAAAGTTTGTACCCCTTTTTAGATTTACTTGAGCACTTAGGAATGTGATATTTCTGCATAATCAAAGTTGAAAATTGTTTGTTTATTGCCATATCTTTATGCTTATCTATATATATAAAACTCAAAGGTGACTGACTGACTGACATCGTGATCTATCAACGCACAGCCCAAACCACTGGACGGATCGGGCTGAAATGGCATGCAGGTAGATGTTATGACGTAGGCGGATGCCTGCCTATTTTATCCCCTTGTTTAACATCCGTTAAGAAAGGATTTTGATCAATTCTACCCCCAAGGGGATAAAATAGGGAATGAAAGTTTGTATGAAACTTTGTCAATTTTAAACCGATCGGGCTGAGACTTTGCATGCAGGTATAAGAAGAATCATAGATAAATGTCATTGTGTACCTATAATACAAGCCTGAGAACAAAAACTGTAGTCTACACTTCAGCTCTACACCGAAGCGAAGCGAAGGCGGGCCGCTAATTGTATATAAGTACCGAGCAGAAAGACCGATAGAAAGCCATTAAGTTATGATTCAGAGACTAAATGGCACTATCGTAAGATGACTATTTCATGTTGTAAGTTTTTCTTTAAAAACAAATCTTACCTCGGGGTATTTCTCCGTTCCAAGGAACAGCATGTGTTCACAGAAGTGCGCTAAACCTGGCAACTCATCGGGGTCACTCAAATATCCTGCAAGAAACAATATAAAAGTTATATGATATTTTGTTGCACTCCGAATTGTAATTAACGTTAGTATAGTCTCTTTCTTTGCTATGATATTGAGTGAGACAGCCAATGGGATTATTAAAATATGAAATATGGGACTTATCCACGCAATAAATTGGTCAAAGTATATTTTATTATACAAGTTGTTAAAATGATCTAAGCCAAGTCTTACCCACGTTGACATCAAGGGCGGCAGCTGACTTATCTGTAGTGGGATCGCTGACCAGTAGAACTTTTAGACGATTCGCCAGAACTAATCCTCTGAAACAAACCGAAAAGGTCTTTTTCATAACGAAATATTAAGAGATATTTTTACTCTCGTAGTACAAAAGAAAAATCCCATTCAATCATTACCAAAATTCAGGAAAATATTAAAGCCGTCTGCGTTAAAAAGAGTAAAAAACGTCAATAAATCAAGTAATTAATTAATGAAGGTATAGAATAGGAGCGGGTTCAGGGGTGAACCCTGGGGAAATCCCTAAAATAATAGCTAGAAGACTAGATAAATAACGCTTAACAGTGACAAATAGACACCTGTTATCCAAGTAAGATGTTATCTATCTCTGTAAACTATCAAGTATACCAACTTATGAGTTTTAGGCACAGCAAGCAGATATCCACCTTATCAAGTGCTTTACTGTAATCTAAGTATGAATGTAGGTATTTCTATATAAATATACTTATATATTAGCGCAGGACCGATCGTTGTGGAGATCCTTGGGGGAGGCCTATGTCCAGCAGTGGGCGTCATACGGCTGATATGATGATGATACTTATATATGTACAGTATAAGTATTCTATCCGTTACCCTAGCATCCCATAACACAAGCCTTACAGTGCTTACTTTGGGGCTAGGCTAATTGGTGTGAGTGTTGGAAATATTTATTTATTATTTATTTATCACGACTTGTCTTAACCTCCAGGCAGCAGACGGGACTCGAACCCGCACCCTTCGCTATCCGGGCGAATGCACCGACTATTTCTTCTTTCAAATGTTAAATACTTGTAAAGGTATGCATTTTACATTGTGGGTTACCTACAATGTGAAGAGATGGCGTTACCTTGCAGCCTAAGAAATGCTAGAGAAAATTCGACACGGCCATTACGGCCGCGGTAGCATAATGGTCAGTGCATCGCCCGGATAACGAAGGGTGCAGGTTCGAGTCCCGTCTGCTGCCTGGTCCGCGTGGATTTTTTTCTACTTATATTTTCTTTAGATTTAAACATCAAGCAGTTACATGCTTTAAAAACAAAAATTATAATTTGTAGATAATAAAATCATAAACATACCTATACTCCCTCTTGTCCTCCTGAGATTTCACGATGTTGTCGTATCTTTTGACAACGTCCTGCCCGCCAGCGGAGCCCGGGGGACTCCGGGGAGCCGCGGGCCCCCGCCCCGGCGGCTGCCGCGCGAGCTGCGGCGTAGACATACCCGAATGGCTGCGTCTCTGGTACGCGTAGCTGGATAGGAATTCCATATAATTGTTATCAAAGAAGTTTAGTTAGATTACCGTTAGAGCGACCGACACAACGAGTGATAAATATATGACTAGTGGGTTGGTCTATTGTAATTATTTATATTATAATATTTCTTTGTAAGAGGCGTGAAGAAGCAACATGCAGGCCGGCAAGGTGTGGATGGGTAGTGTGGCAGATAGAACTGCTGTACCAGCTATCTTCACGTCTGGACTTCACCGTCACTTAACATCAGGTGGGGTGGAGTCATTTGTCGGACCTATCTATAAAAAAAATGTGAAAAACAATGATTTTTAGGATTCTGTAGTCCTGACAAGGAACCCTTATAGTTTTGTTATGTCCCCAGTTTTGCTTGAAGACTATTAGCACTAGAGAGCTGTTATTTTGTGGAGATATGTATATCGATCGCGCCGACAAAATGGCAGAACACAATTTTGATTGAGGTGAATATGAATTGAGGTGCTCATGCTACAGGGACAGGAGAATCGTTATACCAACTACCAGTTTATTCCATCTGTCCCACTGACTTTCAAGTTGTAGTTCATTACATAAGATTAAATTGAAAACCTTAAGTCATATTTTTAATATAAAATAACAATTATTCTACTAAAGTAATTAAATTTTGTGGTGACAATGTAGAATTGAAATGGGTAATAGCTCAAATCCAAAATATACTAAAAATTATATACATACATCCACAACATTAGACTTTATGATCTAATAGTAACTTATTATTCTACTTATCTACCCTTTCATAAAAAAATGTTTCAGCACTTGATATCTTTAAGTAAATTGTGTTCCTAAATTAATTACTGTGTAGTATTATTTTTTCATTTTCATTTAAATTTTCCAGAAAAGCATTGAATAGGTTCTACTTCATCCAGCTTTATGTTGCTTTCGGACAACACTAGTGCCAGACAAGCGTGTAAAACACCTTTTCAAGGTACTTAATTCCATTAGCTGCGGTTGAATGGGGGCTACCCCCGACTCCCGGACTGATTTTTGGAGGAAATGCGTTTTTAAAAATAAAAATTAACCTAACCTGAAAATTATTAAATCTGTTAAACATAATGGAATTTCAAGGGGATAAGTGTTAGGGAGGACCCCTCGGAGGAAGGGATAACCCCCCTCCAGCCCCCCCTTTTTTTTACAGATATGATAATTATAAAAAATGTGATGGGTTTTAATGGTAGAACTGTAATTCCAAGGCCCAAGAGGTGATACTTGATTTGTTTTTTGTAGAAATGATTAACGAATTTTTCTTTCTGGCGCTTCGCCAGCTGCTACCGCGATACACTCGGTTCGCTCGCTCAGCTTGCGTGTTATGGTCACAACACTAACCTAACCTAGTGTGAAGTATCACTGCTAAGTAGGGCACCATGGTAGTCAGACAATGTAATTATCAAACAGGAGTACAAAAACGCTCTCAACTGCGACTACCAAAAAGACTGCCAGACGGATCTCAAAACAAGCTCAAAATTGCGGCATATCTGTCATTTTGACAATAGCACCAACATGATAAACTTATTTTTACCACAGCCAACAAGAAATATGTTGTGTTTTTGTATGAAAAAATAGCAGCACTGATCAAAATGGCTGTCAAAATTGACTTTGCACCTACAAAAATATTAATTTTCAATTTTTATTTTTTTTGGGTTCTATTCGTTTTCTCCAAAAAAGATATTGTATACGTGTTTCTAATAATCACTACTTTGTGTGACAAAATTTTCAGCTCGCTACTCAACCACAGCTAATGGAAAGCTGAGCCCTTATCAAATCTATCATTTTTAGAAAACATAACTTGCTATGATCAAGTTTAGTTCAGTCACAAACACAAAAAAAAAATACATATAATTGTATAAGAAAATTTTAAAACTTATAATACTTGTACATATGCATTAAATATAATCTCATTACTAATTTCTAAATTGAAAGACATAAGTATTTGAAAATTAAATAAAATACTTACCTATTTATTAAACAATGGTTTAAAAAAACGAATTAGCACAACTAATATCTGTCACATAATCTTATCACAAAGAATCATGAAACTTAATTTTGTAAACATTTAATTGAGATCTTTACGTGTAGAAATGGTAACTTACCTTAAAGTTGAAGTCAGCTAAGCTGTACAAGCAAAAGGTAAAGGATTCTCACACTAACACAACGACAAGTTTGTAAAATAATTTAAAAAATAAGATTTATTCTTATAAATAAAATAGGGTTAGATAAAACCTAACCTATTGAACGTGGCGCGATATGATATAGTCGGTGAAAAGCTGTGGATGCCCACGAAAAACAGCCTTCTTGATGCCAGCTTGGATAAGTCTAGTTACAATTGATAAATTCAAAATATAAAGTTTTCACGATACGTATCGGATCGATGACGAAATATTTTTCGTACAGCTGATGACGTTTTGTTGACGTTTCAATAAAAAGGGTAAGGATGACGATTACAATAACCTTTAAGACTCTTCATTTTAGTATGGGAAGGTCAAATGTAATACTTAGTCGCATTATACTTACGTTCCATTGCATGAATTTCATATGATTGATTTGATATGAGTGCATTGAAATCGAAGACTAAATAGTATTAACATGAAAATTTAATTTACATTTTGATGAAGATAAAAAACACTACCGAAAATGGAATTAAAACGAATCTAATTTTTATTTTAGCTAGACTCTATAACCTTTTTATCATTAACCTTCTTATAAAAACTATTTAGCAAAGTTGCCATCAAAAAATTACGTAGTTATTTAGTAACTAAAATAAAACAGCTCGCAGGCTATAAAAAACAACTGATTATCCACAATGCATCAATTTATTATGTATTATAGTTGTTACTTAACTTACTAACTTATAAAATAATAAAAATATTTTTTTTAATGTCCAAATACATAACCTTTGCTTTTTTAGATTAACAATGGTGTCGAAACTGGGATGATTCTCTAAACTTAAAACTAAGTTTAACATCAGTTTTTCCTTTTAACTCAGTATATTTTATTTATTTATTAGCCACACAAAACAGATTTATAGCATTTACATAAGTTTAGTTAATCACTGAATAGACATGCAATAGATATAAACTGTAATTCCACTAATATGTGTGAATGTGAACAGCATGCATAATCAATTGAGCAACATAATTAAATTAAATGAATATTAACTTAAACTATCGTCACAACCATTTCAAATTATTGAATAATAGAAATCGATTCATCCAAAATAATTCATTGGTAAAAAAAACACAAATAATCAATAGAAAATGAAAAATATTTTGAACATTAAATACAAAAAAAATATGTATGAATTACGATAAATGGTTGATGATCATTATTATATCGATATTCATTTTATTATCTTACAAAGCAATGATTTCCATACACATATTACAGTTTTCTTTAAATTGATTATTTGTAATCCCTACACATTTTTAAGATGGGTTATTTAAAACAGGAGAGATGTATGAATGGTGCTGTTTAAAATTTTATAGAGATAGATGACTTCTTGAATCCTACGCCGAGCTTCAAGGCAAAAATTGATTTCAAAATATCAAGCGTAACTTGTTAACTCTCGCTTCATACCAGGTCTTATTTAAAATGAAATGAATTTAAAATGAAAAGTCATTTATTCAGTCTAGGCTTATATATTTATATATGTATATTGATAGAGTTCTTAGCATTCACCTCTGAACAGTTTCAATAATAGAAGAATAAGCTGTTTCGAGAGGTGTTCTCCCACAAAACTCTACTTTTATCCCCAGTAATTCCTAGATGTGTAGGTAGAGTACAATACATCCTTGGGGTGGTTCTTGTTGTACTTCCTCACACCACGTATAGGTTTTTGAAGTTATACTTCTTTAGGCGCGTTATGAAAAATTGATGAGAGTGAAATTTTAAGATGCGCGCGCATCACTGTAACACAAAATTTTAACAGCATGAAGTTGGTCGCTTTAGCGACCAACTTCATGCGTTACTTTTGTGTTTACCGCACATTAAGAAAATCTACCAACAAAATAGAAATAGAATCTCTATTTAGTGGGTGCTAACGACTGCATTGTGAAGGCCTATCAAAAGTATTTATTAATCTGGAACAACGGAACCAAAGCGCAATTCAGGAGACTACAGCGCCATCTCTTGACCGTTGGTGTAGTAGAACCAAAAACCACATCTTTATTTTTTGTAATAAAGTAACAGTTATAGGTATTCATATTTATAATATTTATCCACATGTTTCTAGTTTGTATATTCGGAATACGTGTTTGAGTTTCATACAAGTGCAAATCACATATGTTCTAATAAATTATATTCAGTAGCGATTTTAATTGAATATTTTGATTATTTATTTATTTTTTCAAATTAAAACTGAACTTTATTGACTGTGTCCTTTTCCAGACTTTTTATTAATTTATTGTAATTAATTATTTGCATGCAATTAAAAACTAATTTTAAACGATGCCAAAGAAGGATAACTTCTCACGCGCCTACATAAGTACACGCACCCATTTTTTTATAATACCTTTAGTTTTCTTTGCGGTGTTCAGAAATATACTGGACTTCTAGGTTAGAACTTCATGAAGTTTTCCGGTTTGGTTCAGTCGCAGTTTAAATATGGCCAGTTTAGAGTGAAGCTTGGTATTTTTGGCTTCAAGTTGCAAATTTTTATGATATGTAGTTGACTCAAGATTCATCTTGATATCAATCTGCTCCACACATATAAAATCTGTAGTTTCTGTGTATTCATTCCGAATGATTTCAGTCACAGTCAAATTTAAGTTTAGGTTAGAGAATCATGCCAGAATCGACACCAATAACACCAGTATACTGAAGTGACAGTGGGCTGGCCATTTTTGTCGAAGGATTGATAACCGTAGGAACAGACGAGGACTTGAGTGGAGAGCACGTAGAGGCAATTTCAGTGTAGATGGACCGACAATTTGGTCGGTTGGGTCAGACTGGATGTAAAAGGTGGAGAACCGGGGATTGTGGCGCAAATTGGGAGAGGCCTATGTCCAGCAGTGAACTGCGATAGGCTAAGTTGATTGATTGATTAACATCGTCACCGCTACTGTCTCTAGCCATTTTAAAAATAAATAAACGAAAGTTGGTCTTATTCATAAAATCGCGCCGTACAACCTTGTGCTACAAGTTATTAATGAAAAACGCGAAAATGCTATTGGGATTTCTTGCCAATTATAACTATAACTATTTGGCAGGGATGTAAAAAGTAAATTCTGTACTTAAGTAAAACTTCATACTTGAAAAAAACTTTCATTTAGTCAGCCCCACAATAAGTGCTGTAGAACGTGTATTATGGGCTAAAAATGTAACTGATACAAATACATATAACAAGAGATCAGAAATAAACCTATATATTTGAAAATTAATAAAAAAAATGTTTTGACCCAATCTCCCTATTCCATAAAAGAAGTATCGCTCACACCAATCCAGGGTCTAGTGCGTTTTGAGCCCAATGCGGATTCGGCCCAGTACAGCTTGGGCCCAGAGTGGATTGGGTCTATTGTAGATTGGACGTAGTACCCTCCCCTATCCATATCAATGAACCCCGGTTTAAAAAAGTCCTACCCACCAATGAGCACTTGGCCCATTCCATACTGGGTACAGTGCGGATTTGGTCAATTGCCCTCCTACCCACCAATCCACACTGGAGCCGCATGGTAAGTCGCGGTCCGTTCTCCCGATTCCATCAAACATTAAACAAAACTTAAATCCACAGCCACCGCCGTCAGTTGTCGCCCACCTAACTGCCCATATCTTCCTAACTGCCTCGCTAGGTTTCGTAACTTCGTTCTAATTTAAATAACCTTAACTCAGGTGCAAATGCTTAGGTAAATGGTGTTATGATGAGTACAAACATTTGTGAATCCAGCCAGGACTACAAGCGTTGACGACACCTTGAAAACCAGTCTTCATACCACTCTATCACACAGGTTGTCACTCACTTTCACATTTTTACTCCTTTGCATCTCGGCAGAAAAGAAGTTAGATATATTAAAAACTCATAGTATGCAACCACTAAATCGGTCTATTTCACGTAAGTTATCAGATTGTCTTTTTTGAAAACTGTTATCCGCGTCTAATATTACACTTATACGTACAACCTATATATGTACAAGCGTTAATCGGCGTGGATGTTGTCCATCTACTGCATGATGAGATGCTGCGTGCGGATCTCGTTGATGGTATATAATACGACACTATAGTAACACTGATTCACATAAACACTAAGGAGTAATACATTATTTTAGCCAAACGTAGGAAATATCCGATAGTAAAGCACAGTCACACAAGTATTACGCGCTCGTACAAATATTTTTAAAAACAGCAGATACAAAAATAAATTGAAAACATTCCAAAAATTTTATAAATAATATGTGTATTTCTTAACATTTGGGCTTGAGAATTTTTGACCGCATTGGTCAAAAAGTTTCAGGTCGTTTAGCTAACCACTGACATCTTCCTTTCGCCTGCATGGTGCACAGAATAAAAATAATTTAGGAATAATTCTATGATATGTGCTGGTATCCCTTTATAGCTGTCAATGTCAGATTGCAATATTCGAATCGTGTTTGACGTTTACCCGAGAGCGAGCGCGAAGGGAATCGAAAGTTTGTTTGTATATTTTTGCCGGTGATCTTTTTTGCTGGGTAAGTAAGAAATTCAGGATTGCTATAAAGAGTTTCAACTAATGCCACCGTCAACGTAATAAGAACAATGTGGGCTGAGTAACATTGTACTAAACTTGTCCAGATATCAACCAGAAGTATTATCAATAGAAATCAAGATAAAAATATTGTATCTGGGAAAATTCACAAAACGACCAAGTAACATAAAGAAAGGGGACAAGTTTTATAAGATAAGATAAGATAATCATTTATTGTCCAGAACTGTGTACAAATGGTTCTTAAAATTTGGTAGTGCTAACAGTTTGCCCATTTCGGGCGTACAATTAATAATTAATTAAAAATAATTACATTAAAATAATATTTAGTAATTAAATGTCAGCTACATAAAATAATATTAAATTTACTCTCTAAACTATATTCATACAATCATAAATTAACGAGTTATGTCAAAATTATACATAAATTGCAATTTTATTGTCAATGATCATTGAAATATTCCTCCAAACTATAAAAACATTTCGATAATAACCAGTGCCTAAGCTGTGTCTTGAATCGTTTACTTTCTAAAGCTTTAATGGAATTAGGTAAATGATTAAAGACCTTGATTCCAGTTGTTATGGTACTTTTGTTACATATATAACTAGATGACTTATAAATACACATATTATACGCATATTGCAATCGCAAGTTCTTTTTCACTTTGCTTTTTGATAAAAAATGGTCTTTATTTTCTTTTACAAATACAGAAATTTCAAAAATATAGATGCATGTCAGAGTTAGGAACTTAAAATCTTTAAATACATTTCTCAGTGATTATTTATTTATTTATATATTTTGTACAAGTGCACTGCTTATTTCATATTGAAATTTCTTCCAGCAGGCCAGCGAAAGGAAAGAACATAAAAAAAGCCGTCAGTGTGTGCCTCCTGAATATAAATAACAAAATACAATACTTACATAAACAAAACCTACATATATATCTTTAAAGATGTACAAGTAAATATATATACTTAAATAAAATATATAAGTGTTCAGAAACAATGATTCAAGAGGATAGATAGTGTTCCTTCAACCGTTTTTTGAATGTAGTTACAGTTGGGCTGTCTCTGATTCCTGCTGGCAGCGAGTTCCACAAGCGGACGGCAAAGTTTAGTTGAAATTTATCACTTATTTCAGATATAATGGAAGACTGGGAGCTGATAGTAGAAAGTTATCCAGCAGTACCAGACTTGAGGTTGTTCAGTAAAATGTTAAAGACAGCTGAGGTGGCCTTAAATGGAGACTTAGCAGCATTTGAGTCCGGTGAGTGTTGAATCTATATTTTCCATTTTTCACTTTCATCCCAATTCTAATCTACAGTGAAAGTAACGCTATTGCAATCAGTCTATGAAATATTGGATATACTGTACTTCCAGGGCCCAAAAGTAAAAACTTCACAGTTTTGTTGGTTGTGATTTCGCATTTTTGTTGTTAAAAAGGTTTCTGTTAACCACATTATTAAAAAAAATGTCACACTTATGCACTGGTAGATTTTTAGAAAAAAATATTGAAAATTTTTACTTTTCTTATCAAGTGGTGATACTTCACACTGGTTAGGTTAGGTTAGTGTTGTGACCATAACGCGCGAGCCGAGCGAGCAAAGCGAGCGTGCCGCGGCAGCGGCCGGCGAAGCGCCAGAAAAAAAAAATCTGTTAAAAAGACCTTTTCTACAAAAAAAAAAACAAGTATCACCTTTTGGGCCCTGGAAGTACAGTTTTACCGAAATATTTATCATTTACAAGCGGCCACCTGTGTCTTTGTTTTCCCTCTAATTTCAGTTTTTTGAAAATCCCACAGGTTGTTACCCAATTTTTTTTGGATCATAAACTCTATGTATCATCATCACCAGCCTATTAATGTCCCCATTGATAGGGTACAGGCCTTCTTTATGGATGGAATAGGGAGATTGGGCCATTTCCCACCAAGGGGGCCCAGTGCGGATTGGTGGGTGCTAACGACTGCAGATGCAGCCGGGACCAACGGCTTAATGTGCCTTCCGAAGCATGGTGGAGCTTGAGATAGTAAATATTTGGTTACCCATCCAATGACCCACCACTGCGAAAGTTGTTAACAGATTGTTGAAACGATCGCAGCCCAATGCGTTAACCACTTGTGCCATCGAGCTCTGTGTATACCAGTAGATTTTGCATGATTTAGTAACAAACATACCGACAGTGAAAAAGCAAAATCACTTAAACTCCACTTTAGTAACTTACAGAAACGAGCATCAAAGTTTTTTCTTTCACAGAAAAAAATCATAACGTATTGTAAATAAAAAGTAGCACCATAAACATAGAAACATATTAAAAAAAAAAATCTAAATATCCTCCTAAGTTACATAGTGCCTTTACTTTACGAATTAGATGTTGCTTAATCGGAAATCACTTGGCCTGCCATACATTTTTGCCAAGCAATTATGAAAATGATTTCATGATTGCTTATACACCGTAATAGTCCTGTCTGCTGCTTGGTCTGCGTGGATTTTTTTCTAGTTATTTTTTTAGATTTAAACATCGAGCAGTTACATGCTTAAAAAATAAAAATTAGAACCATAATAGTAGTTCGTAAGCACCATTGGTACAAATAACACCAAAAATTCAGCAAAAATTTTGGTACTCAAATCTTCACAAAATATAAACAGATATGGACCCATAATAAAAATATGATTCAAATGATATATATGTTACAATTACGAAGGAAAATGCGTTCTATCTAAACTAAAACCAGTTTAGATAGAACGCGTTTTCCCAAGTTAAAACTAGTTTTTAGTAAATGCCTTAGTTAAAACTAGAAATACAATACAAAAACTCTTTATTATACACCACAAAAAAACATTGAACATTAAGTACAAAACCATTTAGTACACGTGATGCAATGGGCGGCCTTATCGCTTAAAGCGATCTCTTCCAGGTAACCTTAGATTAGACCAGGAAATAACTAATGCTCAAGCTGGAATTTCAGTTTAAACTAGTTCTAACAAGACAACACTCGTTTTTCCGAAGCGAGTCAGTTAAAACTGTTCTCAAAGTTCATCGTACCTATATTTTTTCTTATTTTCAAATTATTTTTTGCCTCTCCTGAAAAATTGGCTTTTCGCAGTTACGGTAATTCATATTACAAGTGACGATATGACGTGTCCTAGATCTTTTTAATAAATATTTTTAAAACTATATCTTGTTTTCAATCCAAAATTAGTTTCTCTAGTGCTAGTTTTAACTAAAGCTCAGAGTGACAACTAGTTTTATCTGAAAATCAAATACATCAGTGGTGAATTCTAGTTTTGACGAGTTATTCCTTGTTTTATCAAAAGCATTTAGTAAATATTTTTAATTAGGGAAAACGCGTTCTATCTAAAAACGTGTTTTGACTGTAACATTTTTTTACCAATGTGGCGTATAAGTGATTTTGCCTTTCCACTGTAGATACAAACTTACACATTTATAAAATTAGTAGTAAGTAAGATATTTATTATTTATTTAATAAAAAGAAGTAACATAGTTAAGTAATTTATAAAAAAAACTATGTTCCAAAACTGCTTGTTATAAATAACATTGGTAAAAAATTTACTCATGCTTTCATAAGCTTTCATAAGTTTTTTAATACTATCAGCATAACAAAAAAAAAAATAGGGATTATTATCAAGCTTTTTGTTCGCAGATTGGATTATCAGCACGTTATTCTATAAGCCAGTTAATCTATTTGAAACGGTGACCTCAAACTGCCACGATAGCCAGTGGTGCAAGCCAATCTGCGATGCGTTCAAGCTGATATGTTGTGTCGTCGAGAAGTACTCTTTGGATTATGATAATATTGTTACTGTGAGTTATACTAAAAGATGACAAAGTTTTAAAATTTGTATAATACTTAAGCTCGTTTAGTGATCAAGTTAGAGGTTATTTCCTTTCCCAACTTTAAGTCTTACCTCTCTCTTGTCTCTCTCTTTATATATATCTATTACATCTATTCTATTCATATCTATTATATTCATTATTTATTTTATCATACCTGCTACACCGCCTCCCCCCCCCTTCTTGTTCCTCTTATTTATTTATTTCACTGTCATGGGTTACCTGGAAGAGATTGCTGTTTAGCAATAAGGCCGCCTATTGTGTACGTTTTCACTGTCATGTTTAATGTCTTGTATGTCCTGTGAGGTGTATGTCAATAAAGAATATTATTATTATTATTATTATTTCGTTTCATATTTTAGCACACAACTAAAAAACGAAATTTGTATCTTATATAATAAGTAATAAGATTTTTATCATTTTTGGCCCTATTGGTCCTTCCAGCAGGATAAATATATAGTTAAAATCTAATTTAAATGTTTGTAGCTATGTCTCGTGTCATATACGCTTCAGATTCGTAAAGACACGTCGAACTGTCTAACAGCAGTCACGAGGCTGACCGTAGAAGCAGGTCCAGATGTGGTCAGACTTGCTCAGGAATCGGAAGATTGGTCAGCAATATATTCTTACCAAACCATGGTCTACAGGAAATCAAAATGTGACTGCTGTCAAATTTACAAATAGCAAATGCGAATAGCCATATGAAGATCCATTTTAATAGAAAGATATTATTACCATATAAGAGAAAAACATTTTTCTTTTTTTTTTAACATACACCAACTAGCCTAGCCCCAAAAAGTAAGCACTGTAGGCTTGTATTATGGGATACTGGGGTAACGGAAAGAATACATATACTGTACATATATAAGTATATTTATATAGAAATACATGTTAAACATCCATGACTGGTGTACAAATGCTCGTATTCATCACACGAACATCTGCCCCACTGGGATTCGAACCCGGGACCTCTCGAGTGGGCTACACCTTGACACTCCATACAACTCGGCCACGGAGGTCGTGAAACTTGTCATGTCTTGTCAAACTTGTAAAGTCTTGTTGACTTCTTGTCTTTATTTTTATTTAATTTGTATAACATAGTATACAGAGTGCCATAAGCCCTTTAAAGCAATAACAAATAAGGATTTTTACAATATTTTTAAAGACCTTCGTAGCCGAGTGGTTTGTACGCCGGGTTTGATGATGTCACCGACTCTAGAGGTCCCGGGTTTGAATTCCGGTGGGGGCAGACGTTTGTGTGATAAATACGAGCATTTGTACTCCAGTCATGGATGTTTAATATGTATTTCTATATAAATATACTTATATATGTACAGTATATATATTTTATCCGTTACCCTAGCATCCCTAATACAAGCCTTACAGTGCTTATTTTGGGGCTAGGCTAATTGGTGTGAGTGTTGGAAATATTTATTATTATTATTATATTTTGGTCCTTCGAGCAGGATAAATTTATGTTACTAATTGCCTTTAAATGATTTTAATCGTTGTTTTTAGCTATGCCTCGTATCATACGCGCCTCAGATTCGTAAAGACGCCTTAAAATGTCTGACTGCAGTCGCGAGGGTGACCGAAGAAGCAGGTCGTGACGTGCATAAACTTGTCTCAGAATTGGAACAAATTGTTACAGGGAAAGCGCCATTGGCTGTGCTTATTGGTAAGATAATCACAATCAGCTTTTTTATTACTAACATAAGTATCACTGAAGTATTTTTTTTAACTTGACGACGCTGAATACAACGATATTAAATAGCCTAGATACACCAACACGAACAAAATCGTGCCCGAAACCTGTCCAAAAGGTACATTGGACGATCCACGGAGCTCCGTAAAATGATCGCGTTGTCAAAATCAATATAAGGCATTATTTAAGTATTGAAAGTAACCTTTAATACATACTGTATAAGGTCTCAGATAAAACACATGCGTCAAGAACTTCTGACAGTTCGAAATGCTAGCTCGTAAAATTTTACGACTTATTGCTATAATATGCGGAAGAATTTAGACCTTAGTTCTTTGACTCTACGCGCAATTCTGAACGCGCTGTTAGCAATATAGCAGGCACGGACCGCGAGGAAAAGAGACGGCTATATGGCGACTTATAATAGACCATGCATTTGATTATCACAAATATGTTATATTAAATCAGGTTATAGTAAGTATTAGATCAAAATTTACTTCAAATGCGTTAAATTAACAAACATTGACTAGATACCTGTCGAAAAAACGACACTTTTCGTACTCTAAGTATTATTTTCGCATTATTTCGCGGAGCTCTGTGGATACAATGGCAATAAATAAAGCATTTATGGGAACCGTTAAATATAAATACATACACACACAAAAACAAACACACACACACACACAATTACTTTTCTTTATTTTATTTTTATTATTGTGATTTAAGTTGTTTCTTTAGCACTTCTCATATTAATTAATACATTAATCAAATAAAACTAGTTTTTACGGGTTAATGCACGAAACTTTATTTATTTATTGACGTTTCGTAGCCTTTACAGGCCTCGTCGTCAGAATAAAACTTTTATTTAATTTGTCGAGCTACCTTCGAAAGACTTTTATTGAGCGTTTGGTTATTTCATTGTTCGATTTTTAAGTTATGCTATGTATGAATGTATGAATTTATTATTTAATTTACTTAATAAAGTATTTTATTTCAAATTCTTTTTTGTAATTTTGAGTTTATTTATTTGACCCTAACTACCGTAAACTACCACCGGTTCCAAAATTGGGAGACCTTTCTGAGAAGAACCGGCGAAACAAACTCAAGAGAGGCTTTCTATCTCCTTCTTATGTTAAATTATGCAAACAAAAAGAACTAATAGTATCTGATGGTCTTGCAAACGTCAATAAATAAATAAAGTTTCGTGCATTAACCCGTAAAAACTAGTTTTATTTAATGAGTGATGTGCGTGAAAACCTAAGCAACAAATATAATACACTAATCACATAAATAGTACAAAGGTGGCTTGCTCTGTTCATATAGTTTTGGGAGTGGAGGCCTGGTGTCTTGTAGAACAGATTTATTCTATTGCAAGCACCAGTCTTCATATTAAGTAATGAAATATTGTAATTAAGCACTTTATTGTAAATGTTTCTTTTTTCTACTTATGTGAAGAAATAAATAAAGAATTTATTATTATTATTATTATCTTGACTTTGTAACGGTCCGCGCGTGACTGTGAACCAAGAAGTGCTTGAGTGGTGTTGAAGCACTTCTTGATTGGGACACATTTTGAGCGCTCGTGGTGTATCTAGGGTATTTGATATCGTTGGCTGTATATAATAATGCAGGGAGAAAAAAACAGCCCTTGCTGAGTTTTTTGCCGATTCTTCTCAGTACAAGGTCTCCATCTTTTTTAGTAACAGCATAAGTATCTCTCTGAAGTCATTTTTTAACATGACGATGCTGTATATAATAATGCAGGGAGAAAAAAACAGTCCTTGCTGAGTTTCTTGCCGGTTCTTCTCAGTACAAGGTCTCCCGCCGTAGATTTGCGAACCGATGGCGTAGCTTCTAGACATTCATGAGAGCTTGTAACAGCCTAAACTGAATAAAAGATTTTGATCATAATTATGATTATTATGATTAATTCTTAGCATGATAAGGACACATGATGTGGGCTGGTCACATTAGCCGCAGAACTGATGGCCGTTGGAGCCGGAAAGTTCTTGAGTGTAGACCACGACTCGGTAAACGTAGTGTAGGACGCCCTGAGACAAGATGGGATGATGATATTCGTAGGCTGGCTGGAGTGGGCTGGATGAGAGTAGCACAAAATTGGGAGCAGTGGCGTGCATTAGGGGAGACCTATGTCCAGCAGTGGACGAACATGGGTTGATGATGATGATAAGGACAGGCTATTGTCAAGTTTACAAATAGTAAATACGAATATAGTGCTGGCTCACTCTTTAAGTATACAACAAATCTATATATATAATACTCAAAGGCCCAAACCACTGGACGGATCGGGCTTAAATTTTACATGCAGGTAGATGTTATGACGTAGGCATCCGCTAAAAAAGGATTTTGATCAATTCTACCCCCAAGGGGTTAAAATAGGGAATGAAAGTTTGTATGAAACTTTGTCAATTTTAAACCGATCGGGCTGAGACTTTGCATGCAGGTATAAGAAGAATCATAGATGAATGTCATTGTGTATAATACATCATCAACAGCCTATCTTAGTCCACTGCTGGACATAGGCCTCTCCAAATGCACGCCACTTAGATCGATCTTGGGCTACTCGCATCCAGCTCCTGCCAGCCACCTTGCGCAAATCGTCACTCCATCGCGCCTGAGGACGTCCTACACTACGTTTGCCTAGACGCGGTCTCCACTCCAGAACTCGTCTACCCCAACGGTTATCGGTTCTTCGACAAATATGGCCAGCCCACTGCCACTTCAACTTGCTAATCCGGTGGGCTATGTCGATAACTCTGGTTCTCTGCCGGATTACCTCATTTCTGATGCGATCCTTCAGAGAAACGCCGAGCATAGCCCTTTCCATAGCGCGTTGAGCGACTTTGAACCTGTGGACCAGCCGTACCGTCAGTGTCCACGTCTCGGCTCCGTATGTCATCACAGGTAGGACGCACTGATTGAAGACTTTCGTCTTTAGACACTGTGGGATCGACGATGTCAGGACCTGACGTAACTTCCCAAACGCTGCCCAACCTAGCTGAATTCTTCTATTCACCTCGTCCTCAAAGTTGTTTCTACCTAACTGCAATGTATGCCCGAGGTACACATATTTTTGAACAACTTCGAGAACGGCACCGTGTATTGCAATCGGTTCCGGTAGAACATGTTCATTGAACATGACCTTGGTTTTATCCAAGTTCATCCGTAGGCCGATGCGTATAGAAGAGTCAGCCAGGTCATTCAGCATCTGTTGTAGGTCCTGCAGGGTTTCTGCCATGATGACGATGTCGTCTGCAAATCGCAAGTGAGAGATGCGTTCGCCATTTATGTTGATGCCACGTCCTTTCCAGTTCAGCGTCTTGAACATATCCTCCATTGCATTAGTGAACAATTTCGGGGAAATAACGTCCCCTTGTCTCACTCCACGATGCAATGGTATGGGACTTGTTTGCTGATTCTGTACTTGGACAGACATGGGGGCGGCTTCGTACAGACATCTAATCACTTGGATGTATCGCCAGTCGACTTGGCAACGCTGCAGGGACTCCAGAACAGACCAGATTTCAATCGAGTCAAAGGCCTTCTCATAGTCCACAAATGCTAGGCACAGGGGCTGATTGTACTCTTCAGTCTTCTGTATAATCTGCCGCACTGTGTGAATGTGGTCTATGGTGCCGTATCCGCTCCGAAACCCAGCCTGTTCCGGTGGTTGGAAGTCATCAAGTCTTCGCGCAAGACGGTTCGCGATCACTCTTGAGAACAGCTTATAGACGTGGCTTAGAAGGGATATGGGTCGATAGTTCTTAAGTTGGGTCTTGTCCCCCTTTTTAAAGAACAAGACAACCACACTCCTACTCCACGCCTTCGGAGTTCTCCCTTCGAACAGGACAGTGTTGAAAAGCTTTTGGAGCTCCCTCAGTACGGGTTTACCTCCAGCCTTTAAGAGTTCTGTTGAAACACCATCCTCTCCAGGGGCTTTTCCATTTTTAAGCTGTCCAAGAGCAATTTCGATTTCGCCAATACTGACTTCTGGCAGGTCTTCGGTGAAGTGGCGTGTTAATGTGGCTCTAGAATCCTCATTTCCGGGATCGGGTCGAGATGCATGTGATGCGTACAACTGGCTGTAGAAGTCTTCCACTTCCGAAAGGACTGCCGGCTTTGAAGCAACAACTTCCCCACTTGCTGTGGTCAACTTCGTCAGATGGCTTCTTCCAAGAGATTGTACGAACACTTTGGATCCTCGATTCTGCTCGATCGCTCTCTCGATCGAGAGAGTATTGGAGCACCGGAGGTCGCGTCGTACGTGCTTACTGATCTCTTGGTTTAGAGTCCTCTTTGCCGACGAAGTGACGGGTGGATTTTCACGTCGTTCCTTCATTAGCCCTAAAGTCTCTTCCGAAAGCTTTGACTTCCTGCCCTTACGCTGCATTGCACATAATCTCGTACCCTCTTCCCTGAGGATCCGAACCACATTTTCGAGGTTTTGGTTTACGTCTGTTGTGGTTTCCACGGCAGCAAATCGGTTCTCCAGATTTGACTGGAACGTTTCAGACCCTGTTATAGATTGGAGCAGAGTAGGTTGGAGCCTGGATTTCATCAAACGGACGCGCTCGGCCTTAAAGTTGATATTCAAAGAGCCCCGGACGAGTCGGTGATCACTACCGGTATTGAACCTGTTGATCACTGAGACGTCTCTGAATATGTACCTCTTGTCCGTCATGATGAAATCGATCTCATTTTTAGTCATAGTGTCGGGGCTTTGCCACGTCCACTTCCTTTGGGGTTGTTTCTTGAAGAAAGAGTTCATCAAGAAGAGCCTATGATTTCTGCCTCCAAATCCATGGGATCCTACTACCGATTCGCTGCAATTCTGTACTCCCACTTTAGCGTTGAAATCCCCTATAACAACGTTGTAGTGGGTCTTAGTAGTGGAGTGGAGGGCCCTCGATATATCATCGAACATATCCTCCACTTCGTCGTCCGAGTGTGTCGAGGTCGGTGCATACACTTGCACCACCTTGAGGCTATACCTCTCGGTGAGCTTTATAATAAGGTGCACTACCCTGTTCGACACGCTGGATATTTCCACAACGTTATCGCCAAGGGACTTATTCACCAAAAACCCAACGCCACCTTGGGACTGTTGGTCTCCCCCGCGGAAGTACATTAGGTGGCCAGATTCGAGCGTTATGGTGTCCTCCCCCTCTCTTCGGACTTCACTTAACCCTAAAATGTGCCACCTAATCTTCTCAAGTTCCACCTCGAGTTGCGCCAGATGCGAGTCAAGCCGTAGCGTGCGTCCGTTGTACGTCGCCAGGGTCAGTCTATTGTGGTGGCCTCCCGTAGCCCGGAGATTCTTCGCACCCCCCGCCCCGCCGTTACCGTGGTCGCCACCGTGACCAGGAATAGCGGGGCTACCGGGAACTGGGGGCCGTGGCTTTTTGTTTGTGTGCATTCAAGGTATTGCCCATAATCGCCACGCTGGGCAGGCGGGTTGGCGATCGCAGAACGTAGGTTATTTCACTGATGACGCTGCTGCCCGTCACCAATGAGATTTTCCTCCCCTACGTCGTTGGATGGTTATACCGCCATCGGTCGGTTTGCCAGAGCCTCGTCTGTTGGTCAACAGGGTGCACCACGTGAAGGTGAGGTTGGCTTGGGTTCTTGCAGGTATATTAAGAACCCCTTACACCCCTGTATAATACAAGCCTGAGAACAAAAACTGTAGTCTACACTTCAGCTTTACACCGAAGCGAAGCGAGGGCGGGCCGCTAGTTCTTAATAAGAATAAACGAATTCTTCTTCTTAATTTAATAACTTTATCTTTTAAATGGTTAATTTTTAGCGTTTCCTTGTAGGCACTATAGCGGAATACCACCCGGAGTTGGTAGCAGATGAAGTGCATCGCATATGGAGGCTGTTTTTAAATCTTCTAGATTCCAATAAGAATACAGTAAGTTAAAATAAATAAATATTTCCACACACACCAATTAGCCCGGCCCCAAAGTAAGCACTGTAAGGCTTGTGTTATGGGATGCTAGGGTAACGGATAGAATACATATACTGTACTTAAATAAGTATATTTTATATAAAAATACATATTGAACATCCATGAGTGGAGTACAAATGCTTGTAATCATCACACAAACATCTGCCCCCACCGGGATTCGAACCCGGGATCTCTCGAGTCGGCGACACTATGAAACAAACCACTCAGCCATAGAGGTCGACAAGTTAATACTATAAACAAAACAAGTTTCAACGGTATAGATGCACTGATTTATTTATTTACTAGCTGTGCCCCGCAGTGTTACTCACGGTTTATAAAACATATTTTCTCTCAGTAAAACGTAGCTTATATGTTAATCCAAGTTGTCAGCTAACACAATACCAAATTTTATTAAAATCACTCCAGGCGTTCAGTCGTGAAGAAGTAAAAAACATACACACTCACAAACTTTCACCTTTATAATACTAGTGTGATTGACGATTCGCATCCTTTTTAGGATGCGTCGTCTGAATTATGATTTTATAATTCAGACGACGCTGAATTATGATTTCATAATTCAGACGACGCTGAATTATGATTTTATAATTCAGACGACGCTGAATTATGATTTTATAATTCAGACGACGCTGAATTATGATATTATAATTTAGACGACGCTGAATTATGATTTCATAATTCAGACGACGCTGAATTATGGTTTTATAATTTAGACGACGCTGAATTATGATTTTATAATTCAGACGACGCTGAATTATGATATTATAATTCAGACGACGCTGAATTATGATTTTATAATTTAGACGACGCTGAATTATGATTTTATAATTCAGACGACGCTGAATTATGATATTATAATTCAGACGACGCTGAATTATGATTTTATAATTCAGACGACGCTGAATTATGATTTCATAATTCAGACGACGCTGAATTATTATTTCGAATTCAGACGACGCTGAATTATGATTTTATAATTCAGACGACGCTGAATTATGATTTTATAATTCAGACGACGCTGAATTATGATTTTATAATTTAGACGACGCTGAATTATGATTTTATAATTCAGACGACGCTGAATTATGATATTATAATTCAGACGACGCTGAATTATGATTTTATAATTCAGTCGACGCTAATTATACATGTAACCTTAATTAGTCCAATAAATATATTTTCATAATAAGCTATAATGATTTCTCCCATCATAGGACACAGTCGTTTCATCAGTACTAGAAGGCATACGGGGCTTGTTCAAACATTTCGGCCAAGATTTGCCCGTTATTGAATTTAGGGATTTGTACTCGAAGATCTCTTGCGAGTACATTGAGAAGAAGGGATGCGAGAAAGGTAAGTTTAATCCATTGACCTTGATTTAAGTCTAAAAAGCATGTGCTCTAAATAGTCTATTTGACAGTATGAAAAATAATGTACCAATAGGGTATTTGACAAGTTTTAGAAAACGATCTCACGTTATTGACTAATGTTTATGGAGTCCGTAAAAAGTGGTTATTTATCATTCTGTTGCGTATTTCAGTAAAAATAACCAAATCAAGAACTCCATTTTCAAGTTGCCGCGAAAACGTTTCTCTTGACAATATGGCGTCTTACTAGTGTGTGGCGTCACACGACTGTTATTAAAACGTCAAACGATACAATGTAATGTCACTTTAACCGGAAGTTTACTTGCGTGTGACGTCATTTTAGGCTCCGCCAATCCCAAGCGTTTTGGGTCACGTGATAATAGACAAGAAAACTATTATCTTTTTCGTTAGTTTTTAGTAAAATAATGAATATTTTTATTGTAAAAATAGTAAAAACACCAGCCAATATTCATTCTAAACACAGATGCTAACAATTGGCACTTTATTTTTAATACTGTCAAATACCCTACTGTTGGCAACTGTATCTAATATAAAAGTGAATCGCTGAATGTGTGGCTAAGCGCAAATCTCGAGAACAGCTGACCCGATTTCGATAATTCTTTTTTTAGGATATTTCTTGAAGTATGAGGATGGTTCTTACGCAGAGAAAAAATTAAAAAAAATGCCTTAAAAAGTCCAAGAATAACACTTTTCTATACTTCAATACAAACGATTCTTAATAATACTTAAAAGTCAATTTGAACTTTAATACCATACCATAAATGTCAAATGTTAGTGGAGAGGTTCCGGGAAGGCAAAACAATTGAGTGACGTGATGTCAATAAAAGTTTGGGAAAGGCAAATATACCATTTTCTTTTTTTATAATTATATGAAGTCATTTTAGTCTACACTACAGCTCTACACCGAAGCGAAGCGAGGGCGGGCGACTAGTTTAATATGAATATAAGCAGTAGTTGTAATATTCTGAAAGAGCAAATAATTAATAACTTTTCTATAAAATCATTGAATAGAAAAGTTTCTTTTTCTCCATGAACAGGTGACCGAAAACGCCTGGGATTGACCAAGATACAGAGTATCCGTCGTTCTCTTAACAGAATGAAAATGAGTAACCGATTTTATTATTTATCAAATCATTAGGGGGACCAAACCATTACATTAGATTTGATAAACCACAGATCCTTGCAACTGAGCAACGATTCATTCCTAGAATGATACGCGAGGCTATTGAGATTAAAAAATATACAAATTTCAATAGGGAAGATGGTTGGTATATGCCACCAGCTTGGGAACCTATTATACAGGAGATAAAATCCCAACCCCGAGCACACACTGCAAGACCATCAGATACTATTAGTTCTTTTTGTTTGCATGATTTAAGAATAAGAAGGAGATAGAAAGCCTCTCTTGAGTTGTTTCGCCGGTTCTTCTCAGAAAGGTCTCCCAATTTTGGAACCGGTGGTAGTTTACGGTAGTTAGGGTCAAATAAATAAACTCAAAATTACAAAAAAAAGAATTTTAAATAAAATACTTTATTAAGTAAATTAAATAATAATTTCATACATAGACAATAAAACTTTAAAAATCGAACAATGAAATAACCGAACGCTCAATAAAAGTCTTTCGAAGGTAGCTCGGCAAATTAAATAAAAGTTTGATTCTGACGAAGTAGCCTGTAAAGGCTACGAAACGTCAATAAATAAATAAAGTTTCGTGCATTAACCCGTACAAACTAGTTTTATTTAATGAGGAATGCGTGAAAACCTAAGTAACCGATGTTATATCTAATTTTAAGTTTAGAGACTTAAGCTAGTTGACACAGATATATTATTAACTTCTCTTTTTTCCAGAATGTTTACAGATATTAGAATTGTACTCGGATTTATTCAAAGAGTTGTTGGCTAAAGATTTGTCCATACGCGAGCGTTTATGGTCCAGGCAGGAATCTGCAGCGCTTAAAAGTGTGTATGCCGCCTTAGCGACTACTGTTGATAACCAGAAATTACAGGTAAGTACGAGTTGCGGACGATTCGGTTAAAATATATTCGGACACAGCGTGCGAATTAACCGTTTTGAAATTAGTTTTTTGCGTGACAAATCGGTCACCGCCAAATAATGGAAGCTCTTTAATGTAGTTAGATAAAAAAGTCGGTTATTATTACCCTCAATCCCCACTATCGCTCACCAATCCCTTATTATCACCATCAATGCCCACTATCACCCACCAATTCCCGATTATCACCGTCAATCCCCACTATCACCCACCAATCCCTTATTATCACCATCAATCCCCACTATCACCCACCAATCCCTTATTATCACCATCAATCCCCACTATCACCCACCAATTCCCGATTATCACCGTCAATCCCCACTATCGCTCACCAATCCCTTATTATCACCATCAATGCCCACTATCACCCACCAATTCCCGATTATCACCGTCAATCCCCACTATCACCCACCAATCCCTTATTATCACCATCAATCCCCACTATCACCCACCAATCCCTTATTATCACCATCAATCCCCACTATCACCCACCAATTCCCGATTATCACCGTCAATCCCCACTATCACCCACCAATCCCTTATTATCACCGTCAATCCCCACTATCACCCACCAATCCCTTATTATCACCGTCAATCCCCACTATCACCCACCAATCCCTTATTATCACCATCAATCCCCACTATCACCCACCAATTCCCGATTATCACCGTCAATCCCCACTATCACCCACCAATCCCTTATTATCACCGTCAATCCCCACTATCACCCACCAATCCCTTATTATCACCGTCAATCCCCACTATCACCCACTAATCCCTTATTATCATCCTCGAAGCCCCTTTTACCCTAGAATCCCCTTTACACCCTCAAATCCCCTTTACACCCTCCAATCCCCTTTTCACATTCCAATCCCCTTTTCACCTACCAATATCCTGTTCTCAAAAAAGGATTGTTTAAGTTATCACTTCTGTCGTGCATCCCGAGACGCAGACGCTATTTTTTTTTTAAATGTTTATGAACAGTTTTCTAAAATCTTTCTAATATTTTCAGATTATAACAGATACAGAATTGCAACCACGCTTTTTATCAGACTCCACCGAAGTGAAGTTCACAGCTCTCAGTATAACACGAGTGCTGAGTATACAGTATGGAGTCACAGCAAAGACTGAAGGGTATGTGGATGTGCCAGTGTTACAGCAGGAGCTGAATATTGGGAATGTCACTGTAGACACAGCTAGTGCGGTGAGATGGTTAAAATAATAATTTTCGCCAAAAATATTTTCACTTCATAAGGTATCATCATCATTAGCCTATTAATGTCCTCACTGCTGGGGCACAGGCCTTCCCTATCGATGGAATAGGGAGATTGGGCCATGACTCACCACGCGGGCCCAGTGCGGATTGGTGGGTAACGATTGCAGATGCAACCGGGACCAACGGCTTAACGTGCCTTCCGAAGCACGGAAAAACTTGAGATAGAAGATTTTTGGTCACCCATCCAATGACCGACCACTGCGAAAGTTGCTTAACTTCAACGATCGCAGCCGAACGCGCTAGCCACTTGCGCCATCGAGCTATAATATAAATAATAAATAAGTAAGTATAATATAAATAATAAATACTGAACTATAATTTTATCTTTAGTTTAATCTATGTGTGTTTAAAGAAAATATAACTAGAAAAAATTCCACGCGGACCAGGCAGCAGACGGGACTCCAACCTTAACCTTTGCCTTGCAGCTTAAGAATGGCTAGAGGAATTTCGACGCGGTCCATGAGGGCTGCGGTAGCATAATTGGTCAGTGCATTCGCCCCGATAGCGGAAAGTGCGGGTTCGAGTCCCGTCTCCTGCTTGGCCGCGTGGAATTTGTATAGTAAAATTTTCTTTAGATTTCATTTAAGTTTAAGCATCAAAGGTTATATTAAAAAACTAGCGGCGCGCCCTCGCTTCGCTTCGGTGTAGAGCTGAAGTGTAGACTACAGTTTTTGTTCTCAGGCTTGTATTATACACAATGACATTCATCTATGATTCTTCTTATACCTGCATGCGAAGTCTCAGCCCGATCGGTTTAAAATTGACAAAGTTTCATACAAACTTTCATTCCCTATTTTATCCCCTTGGGGGTAGAATTGATCAAAATCCTTTCTTAGCGGATGCCTACGTCATAACATCTACCTGCATGCCAAATTTCAGCCCGATCCGTCCAGTGGTTTGGGCTGTGCGTTGATAGATCACTATGTCAGTCAGTCACCTTTGAGTTTTATATATATACTAGCAAACCAGTGAACCAAATGTTCACCAAAACCTGATTTCTCGAAAACCGGAAGTGCTACGTTACTCAAATCCGGTTTGTAGTCTTATCAGACTATTCTGAACTTATAACTTAAATATTCTCTTTATCTATCTCTTATGGTTTGGCCACTGAAACAGCACCACAGACAGACGGACGGACTTGTCTAATAGATAAGAGATATGTTTCCTTTCCTTGACTGATAATCCATCAACGGCTTGCCATCATTTCGCGTTACATTTATTTTCATTTGTTTCAGGTACTTTGGTGTATAGAATCAAACGCATTGCACAGCGATAGCTTGTTACAAACCGCCATATTGTTTTACACGAATATACCTAATTCTAAGAGGAAGAGTATTGTTGTTTATGGTCTTCTCAACGCACCAGAGGATGTGAGGAAAGTAAGTGGTTAAATCATCAGCTTATTAATGTCCCCACTGCTGGGGCACAGGCCTTCAGTATGGATGGAATAGGGAGATTGGGCCGTGATCCACCACGCGGGCCCAGTGCGGACTGCCGCCGGGACCAACGGCTTAACTTGTATTCCGAAGCATGGAGGAGCTAGATATATATATGTAGTAAATTTTCGGTCACCCATCCGGTGTTCTTGTCTAGATAATTTCATTATTTTGATAAGTGTAATAATGGGCTTTTTTTGACAAGTTTTTGAAAATGTTCATACGTTATTTAGTAATGTATAGTGACTTCATAAACACTGGTAATTTATATTTCTGTTCCTAGAAATATCAGTAAAAAATAAATAAATGATCCTCGAACTAGTGACGTGTCTTAAAATGATCGATATTTTTATTAATCATTAAAAATAACTGTTGCGTTTATAAAAAGTTAAACTTCATGCAAAAAAAATTAAGGAAATTAGAGGAGACTCCATAAATGATGTGATTCAACGCCCTTCAAGCTTTATATGTATTTTTGTAACATCCTGTATAAATAAATAATAGTTATTTATTATACAAGAGTGGAAAGTTCCTTTTTAACCGCGTGCTCGATTTGGATGACCGAGCAAGCGAAGGATTCTAAAGTTGAATCACGAGCGCAGCGAGTGATTCTAAATTAGAATCCTGAGCGTCAGCGAGGGAAACAAACGAGCACAAGGTGAAAAATCTTTCCACTCGAGTGCAATACGTAACTTTTCATCCCACCTCAGCGAGGAAATGACAAAATGAAAAAGAAAACAATTTATAATGACAAAATATTTAAGCAATAAAACGTGAAAAACTAGAATGGCGCGAAGCACGCAAATAAAACAAAGAAACCAAGAAGGTTCCAAATTTAAATTTTTTCACAATTTAAAAAGTTCTAATCATAAATTTGGCACCATAGAGGTTACATTAAATAGGTTTAATGACGTTTTGAATTTACAATTATATTGAGTACTCATTATATGTGATGTTCTAAATTCAAATCTACTTTGCCGCTCAAGCGAATAAAATAGAATTTTCCAGCCAGATTTCGAAGCGCAAAATTACACTTTCCGAGGTGGTGGGATGAAAAATAAATATTTCCAACACTCACACCAATTAGCCTAGCCCCAAAGTAAGCACTATAAGGCTTGTGTTGTGGGATACTAGGGTAACGGATAGAATACATAAACTGTACATATATAAGTATATTTATATAGAAATACATATTTAACATCCATGACTGGAGTACAAATGCTCGTATTCATCACACAAACATCTGCCCCCACCGGGACTCGAACCCGGGACCTCTCGAGTCGGCGACACCATGAAACCCGGCGTACAAACCACTCGACCACGGAGTTCGTCAAAAGTATATTTATTTAGTGTAAATATTGTAATTTATATATTATTTCAGTAGTTAAGTAGATTAAGGTTATTTGGAATGTAAATTTTAGTAATCATGTAGTTATTAAGTTTTTGTTATTTAAATGTAAATATGTGTAAAAATAAAATTAAAATATTGTAGACAAAAATAATAATTTATACAGGAGCAATGAACCTTAAAGTAAAAATCTTAAAAAATATGATATAATAACTAAAATATATTATTAAAAGGAGTCCCTTTAGGCAAGGTTCCGAAGATACTGGCAGCGTTCTCCCTTCGAATAGCTAGACTAATTCTTTATCCGAGGTAGCTGCCAGCTCTTCGGTCTGCAGTGATGTCGACTCATATAGAAATACATATTAAACATCCATGACTGGAGTGCCAATGCTAGTATTCATCACACAAACATCTGCCCCCACCGGGATTCGAAGCTGGGACCTCTCGAGTCGGCGACACCTTGAAACCCGGCCGCGGAGGTCGTCGAAAAGAATTATTTTTTATGTTTTTTTTTTAAGCATTTAACTGCTAGATAGTTATAGTATATTAAAGACGAAGAAAAACATACAAAGTTCAGTAAAAAATTAAAAGATTTCTTAATTAATAACTGTTTTTATAATATTGATGAATACCTTAATAATGAAATTAAATAATTGACAGTATACTAATATTGAAAATAATAATATCACAATAATAAAAAATGTACAGTTTTTCAATTATTGCAATATATATTTAAATAATTTATTTATCAAGTTATAATAGAACACCAAATATGTATAAATAAATGCATATCAATTTTATGTTAATGATAAAAAATAATGAAATGTAAATATTTATTTTATGTTATGTCTATTTAATCAGGACAAATAATGAAATAATATATAAACATAATTATCACTTGTATTACTATTGAGTGTTACTATTGTTTGTTAGAAATTAAGAAAATTTGCAATGGCCTTGCAGGGCTCATGTTCTTTATTTTAAACTAGCTGACCCGGCGAACTTCGTACCGCCTTAGCGTAGTTTTGATGCACTACTTTATTTTGTATAGCTGACCTATCTTATGTATGAGTACCTATTCAATTTGAACTGGAATCTATAATATCCTCCATATAAAAATGAATCCTTATTTCCTTGGTCTCGCCATACCTGAGGACTTTACTAATTTTTATTAAATAAAAAACAACATATATATTTTCATAATAGTGTTTATTCCATAGGGTTCAATTTCACTCATATTTTTACAAATCGCTATTGAACAACTTTGCATTTTGAAGTAAACACTGAGCTCAACACCACGCGCGCTCTAGAAAGCAACTAATAGCTTCTATACCCTTCACTGCTTCTCTCTATTCTAATGCTTTTTGATAAACTATAGATTTTTTTGTTTTAAATTGAATGACGTTGACATTCGTTACGTTATATTTTTCAATCTTTCTGAGAGATTCTCTATATATTTTTTTCCGTAAGAACCTAGAACAGATTATTAGAAAACTACAAAAAAAAAATCAGCCAAATCGGTCAAGCCGTTTTCATGTTATGTCGTGACAACGGAAAACGGGTTTCATTTTTATATATATAGATTTAAGAACCCATGTATGTACCAACATGAAGCAATAAAGATTATGATTAGATGTTTAAATCTAAAGAAAACTTTTACTAGAAAAAAATCAGGCAAAGCGAGTCCCGTCCGCTGCCTGGTCCGCGTGGATTTTATTCTACTAAAATTTTTCTTTAGGATTAATCTCTTATCTATTAGACAAGTCCGTCCGTCCGTCCGTGATGCTGTTTCAGCGGCCAAACCGTAAGAGATAGATAAAGAGAATGTTTAAGTTATAAGTTGAGAATAGTCTGATAAGACTACAAACCGGATGTGAGTAACGTAGCACTTCCGGTTTTCGAGAAATCACGTGATTTCTATTTCAAACGAAACCACACAAAATCTCCGAAGTTCTGAATTAATTATATACATTTTTTTTTGGTGAACATTTGGTTCACTGGTTTGCTAGTTTTATTTAATTTATTATTCAATTAATCTTTTAGGCAGCAGTAACCCTTTTGATATCAGAGTCCTGTCAATTAACAGACTCCTCCCATAACATAGACAAGTATATGCCTCTATGGTCCGATCTATTCGATAGCAAAGGAGGCAAAGACACAATGGTCTTGGAAAGAAGGAGTTTGGTGTTCGGAGATGTGATGGCATACTTGTTTGCAGTCTTGGAGTCGATTCTGGATGAGGGATGCGAGGTAATGTATAGTTTTGTAACGGATTGGTGTTTTTTTTAATGTTAAAGCATTTTAATTCTGACATATTAGAACAACTATTTAATATATAATAAATATAAATATTTCCAACACTCACATCAATGAGGGCTACCGTTTTCTGCCTCACCAGATGGCGTTACTGTTGAGTGAGGTCCTAAATTGTAACTTTTAAAGTTTATTAATATGCACATGAAATCAAAGCTTACATTTAGATCGTATTTTAACACAAAAGAACCATATCCTAAACATAATAGGCCATGCCACAGTGACGCCCAGTTCCGTTTTTTTCGGAAAAAATGGGAACATAATCATTTTTCTAAGCTCAAATTTTTAATAACTGACATTCATTGCCACATAACTCATATTTGCCATAATTAAGCCGAATTGTTACCAATTATTCACAACATTATTTTAATTAGAAATAAACCCGCGTAGTCAACCAACAAGCAATAACATTAGACATTTCGGAGACCTCACGCTACACTAGCGCCTCTAGCGGTGGATTCATACGCGATAGCCCTCATTAGCCTAGCCCCAAAGTAAGCACTATAAGGCTTGTGTTATGGGATACTAGGGTAACGGATAGAATACATATACTGTACTTAAATAAGTATATTTATATAGAAATAGAAATTAAACATCCATGACTGGAGTACAAATGCTCGTATTCATCACACAAACATCTAACCCACCGGGATTCGAACCCGGGACCTGTCGAGTCGGCGACACCATGAAATCCGGCGTACAAACCACTCGGCCATGGTCGTCATATTTATCCCCAAATACAGCAGGGCTTGTACTATGGACACTCATCAGCATCATCAGCCCATTAATATCCCTACTGCTGGGGCACAAGCCTTCCCTATGGATGGAATAGGGAGATTGGGCCAGGACCCGCCACGCGGGCCCAGTGCGGATTGGCGGGTGCTAACGACTGCTGATGCCGGGACCAACGGCTTCACGTGCCTTCCGAAGCACGGAGGAATTCGAGATAGAAGATTTTTAGTCACCCATCCAATGACCGACCACTGCGAAAGTTGCTTAACTACAACGATCGCAGTCGAACGCGCTAAAGGTCACTAAAAAGCGTTAATTTATTTTTATTAGCTAAACACTTCTATGGCGTTTCGCATAAAGCACATATTTATTTAAAATTAAACCTAATAGAATCTTTATATATATAATTCTTCTGTGAGTGTGTATGTTACTGAACTTCTCTTAAACGACTGGACCGATTTTGATGAAATTTTTTGTGTGTGTTCAAGGGGATCTGAGAATGGTTTAGATTCACAATTTTGTCCGCTGGACAACCCCTATTTTTTTAGGGCGGTACGAAGTTCGCTGGGTCAGCTAGTATTTTATAAAACAGGAAGAAATTTTTCTAGATTTTATTTATTTAAATTAGTATTTACTGTAAATAATTTAACTCTAATTTCAGACTCTCCCCGACAAATTATCTCCTCTCCTAACCCTGACCTTCCATATCCTAACAATTTACCCCCAAGAAGAAGACACTAGTGTCCACTGTAAGAAACTGCTACGACTTCTATCTGACTGCATGCACGCAGTCACTGCGCCCTTACTGTCTGCAGTGGTAGTCAGCAGTCAACATGCGGGGATTAAACTTACTGAATATTGTGCTGTGAGTCATTTTATATATCTACCATTAGTAGAAGATCCGAACCTACATAGACCTTCACGGAGCTGATAAAAGAATGAAACATATTTTACCATGACTTCAGTATATTACAAAATATATTAAAACTGTGTTGCCATTAATTAAAAATAGTCTGTCCAGAGTTTTTTTAGGCAATCCCTTTTCTAATATATTTTCTAACATACTAAATTCATGATAAAATATGTTTCATTCTATTATCAGTTCGTTGAAGGTCGATGTAGGTTCGGATGTTTGACACAAGCCCGCATAAGCCTTATCTATCTGTATATATATAAAACTCAAAGGTGACTGACTGACTGACATAGTGATCTATCAACGCACAGCCCAAACCACTGCACGGATCGGGCTGAAATTTGGCATGCAGGTAGATGTTATGACGTAGGCATCCGCTAAGAAAGGATTTTGATCAATTCTACCCGCAAGGGGATAAAATAGGGAATGAAAGTTTGTATGAAACTTTGTCAATTTTAAACCGATCGGGCTGAGACTTTGCATGCAGGTATAAGAAGAATCATAGATGAATGTCATTGTGTATGATACAAGCCTGAGAACAAAAACTGTAGTCTACACTTCAGCTCTACACCGAAGCGAAGCGAGGGCGGGCCGCTAGTATATGTACAATACAGAAGAACGTGCAAAATTATATCAAAGGGTTTGCACAGGCGGATTTTACATAGAGGTATAAGAATAGAGTAGGGGAGATATAGACTCTACTACAAGTGGAAGTGTCCCTCTAATAGAAAGAGAAAAAAGATGAGAGACCGCTAGCTTTCTCTCTCTAATTGCGCATGCGCATTGGATGAAAAACCTATGGGTGAATACCGACGAATCACACGACTGCGCAGCGTCACAAGAGAGAGAGATAGCTATCGGTCTCTCATCTTCTTTCTCTTTCTACTAGACGGGCACTTTTAGAGCCGCCTTCCCCATTCTATTGTTATACCTCTATGAGTCGCTGTCTGTCAAACCCACCACGTGGTACGAGGATTCGCCATAGATGTTGCTTTCGTAACTTCTTTACCGGCTTTACCATCAGTACTGTAATGACTTAACAAATTTATCTTGCACTTGTAAATTCACTCCATCATTATATGAAGGGAAATACGAGAAAAACCGAGTTCTTATCGAAGAATACTCCTGGTTCTATGCCCAAACAACCATCTTATGTCCGCGACTTTTTCCGAATTTACTTTAGTTTCTTTTAGGATCCCACAGGAGTCGTAACATTTTATCGGGATTATGAACTCAAATAGGAAATCTCCGTATAAAGAAACGTCATTAGTTAGACGCAATTTGTCATTGACTAACAGCTAATACTATTGCTTTAAATTCATATCCTTGATTGTGATTGGTTGCAACGCTATCGGTTCGCAAATCTACGGCGGGAGAAGAACCGGCAACAAACTCAGCAAGGGCTGTTTTTTTCTCCCTATATTATATACAAGAGTCGTCAAATTGAAAAAGGACTTCAATATGAGATACCTCATGAAGTCACTTTCCATTACAAATCTAAATAATATAAAAATTATGACTATAAAATAAAAAATATAAAAATAACTGATTCTACAAAGTTTAGGAGTGTTTAGGAATGCGGTGTCCTACTGTTCAGTCATAAAAAATGTACGATTAAAGTTAAATACAACGATTAATAGGACCCAACGTAGCAAGAGCAGACTCATATCCGCTGGCAGCTTCCGTTCACGAGCATGACGCATGAACCAGCCATCGCTTCGCTCAGCCATTTTTTAGGGAAGTGTGAATCGAATTCAATTTTACAGCCATACAAAAATTATAAGTGCTTATGCATTCCTATTCCATTCACATCAATGCAATAAGAATCCACCGCAACCTCCGGTAATTCAACTTTACTTTGAGTTAGTACGGATTTTACTCGCGTTCGGGAAATACCTATTATAATTTCCTAAATAAAGTAGTAATAAAATAAATAAATAAATACAGTCGAAATCGGATATAACGACATTGAAGGGACCATATTACTTTCGGACGTTATGTCCGATAGTTGTTATAAGCAATATACAAAAGTAGTCATATTATTAAATAAAACTAGTTTTTACGGGTTAATGCACGAAACTTTTATTTATTTATTGACGTTTCGTAGCCTTTACAGGCTACGTCGTCAGAATCAAACTTTTATTTTTTTAAATATTTTTTTTTCTGAAAATAATAATAAAAATAAAAAAAAAAGTTTGATTTTGACGACGTAGCCTGTAAAGGCTACGAAACGTCAATAAATAAATAAAGTTTCGTGCATTAACCCGTAAAAACTAGTTTTATTTAATGAGTGATGTGCGTGAAAACCTAAGAAACAAATAGTCATATTATTGTCATAATGTATGTATGTACTATGGTTATAGATAATAAATATAAGCTTTGAAGTACGTACAGTTTATTTTATTTTACTGGAACAAGTAAATTGGTTAGTTGTTATAACCAAGGAATATCGATATGAACTTTATCAATATTCATTGGTTATAAGTCGTTTTAAGCGGTATTGTGTTGTTATAGGCGGTTTGTTTACTTAAGGGTTTATATACGGCCGGGACCTTACCAATTAGTCCGTAATAACTGACACGTCGTTATAAACGATGTCGTTATATTCGGTTTTGACTTTATTTCCAACACTCGCACCAATTAGCCTAGCCCCAAAGTAAGCACTTTAAGGCTTGTGTTATGGGATACTAGGGTAACGGATAGAACACATATACTGTACATCTTTATATATATAATTCTTCTGTGAGTGTGTATGTCACTGAACTTCTCTTAAACGACTGGACCGATTTTGGTGAAATTTTTTGTGTGTGTTCAAGGGGATCTGAGAATGGTTTAGATTCACAATTTTGTCCGACTGGACCGATTTTGATGAAATTTTTTGTGTGTGTTCAAGGGGATCGTTAGATATTGTCATAACATTTGAATAATAATTTTCATCAAAATGGTCCAGAATGTTTTAGCTTATTAAAAAAAGTTTGAAATTTTCAAATTAAAGACGTGTAGACAGGACAACGTCTGTCGGGTCCGCTAGTATCTTTATATATATAATTCTTCTGTGAGTGTGTATGTCACTGAACTTCTCTTAAACGACTGGACCGATTTTGATGAAATTTTTTGTGTGTGTTCAAGGGGATCTGAGAATGGTTTAGATTCACAATTTTGTCCGCTGGACAACCCCTATTTTTTTAGGGCGGTACGAAGTTCGCTGGGTCAGCAAGTATAAGTATATTTATATAGAAATACATATTATGAGCCCTTTTACAAAATTGCGCCGCTGCCGTACTGATCGGCGCGTAGGTAGATTTGCACTAGTATATATTGCATTTTACGGGTGATGTTTCGAGTCTTATAAAATAATTATTAATGAATTAATTAGAAAAATATATAGATATTTCAGTAGTTCAATGATGGTAGATTAGTTTTATGAAAGTTTTTGATGGTAATTCTATTTAATTCAATATCAAAATACTAATTTTAACTAATGAGATGGAAAATCAAAATTCTAATAGATTATATTACAACAAAAACATATCTCTGATGTCGTAGTAATTAATTTGATCTAATTTATTGAACATTATTTAGAGATTCAGGCGTTTGAAGTTGTCCATATTATCGTTTTTTCCGTAAACTAGCTGCGGTAGAACGATCAGTACAAAAAAAGGAAAATAGTATTTGCAAATATTCTACATTAACTTACAATAGGAAGAACAAATCTGCTGTTTACTTTTATTGGAAATAGTCAAAATCTTATCTAAGGGGGTAAACGAGGCGCTCAAAAATTACGATATTTTGCAAAAAATGTGAAAGGGCTCTTAAACATCCATGTCTGGAGTACAAATGCTCGTATTCATCACACAAACATCTGCCCCCACCGGGATTTGAACCCGGTAGTGTCAATATGTGAATAAATTGTTTTTTAAAAAGCCATTCCTGACCCGCCCCGTAACAGAACGTAACAAAACCATAGTCGGCTTAACCTTTTGCCATTTTTTGTATACAGAAAATACGAGTAGACAAGTGTTCTAATGAAGCTCTGCTCTGCGAATGTTGCTTCATGTTGATACAAGGCGACGCTGGGGTAGATGTTGACAACGTGTTGGAGGCTTTACAGGTGAGTGGGGAGAGGCGGTAGAAATATCATCATCATCAGCCTATTAATGTTCCCACTGCTGGGGCACAGGCCTTCCCTATGGATGGAATAGGGAGATCGGGCCATGACCCACCATGCGGGCCCAGTGCAGATTGGTGGGTGCTAACTACCGCAGATGCAGCCGGGACCAACGGCTTAACGTGCCTTCCGAAGCACGGAGGAGCTCGAGATAGAAGATTTTTGGTCACCCATCCAATGACCGACCACTGCGAAAGTTGCTTAAGTTCAACGATCGCAGCCAAACGTGCAAACCACTTGCGCCATCGAGCTCCTCATATATATAAATCGATAATACAAATATATTAATTTTAATTGAATTGAAATTTCAGTTCATATAAGTGTGAACGAAAAATATTAGTTTTAGATAAATGGATTTTGTTTCACAGATACTGTTCTCAAGAGGTAATGTCGACCCCAAAATTCTGATACAAGCTCTACAGAGATTGGAAAACGTTATAACAGAGCACGACGATTTAGATACTGAGAAATTGAACCATGTAAGTATGTCGCATAAGGTTCAAATCACTTTAGTTTTAGAAAAACTTTATCATTGGATATAAATAATACTTAATAATATTTCGACGATCCTGAAATAATTAAAGCATGCGCGTGGAAGAATGTGAGATTTATGCATCATTAATTATTTATTATTATTTAATTGTCTACCTTATTAAAAAAAAATGTGAGAGAGTGTACAAAGCTAAAAATAATAATTATATTTCAATCATAAATTAGACGTAGATAAAATTTATAAAATTACCATTATACACATTGCCGTGCGTTTGACACGATTTTGCCTGCGTATGTCAAGCGCATTTTATCGACTATACCACGGCGAGTGTTCTGAGGAGTTATTCTCCCTTATCCCTCCATCACCTTTTCTTCAGAGGACCACAATTCCTACACGAACAAAGAAATTTGGTAACTCATTTCTTTGTCGTACTATTTGTAAGTGGAATTCTTTGCCCGCGCAAGTGTTCCCTCCTTCCTACAATCTGGGGTCCTTTAAGAGAGGCGTGAAGAAGCATTTTTGCAGGCCGGCAAGGTGAGGATGGTTGGTGTAGCAGTTTATAACTGCTGTACCAGCTATCTTCGCGTTTGGACTTTATTACCACTTAACATCAGGTGGGGTAGAGTCATTGCCTACCTTAATAAAAAAAAAAAACGTTTGACACATGCACAATGATTTATACATTATACAAGAATATTTTTTGACATTAGATTGGAAATTACCCAAAAGTGTTCAATACAGTATTTAATATTTATTATAATCATCTATGTCTGCAGTGACATAATGTATTATTAGTTGTATTGATTTGTGATGCAAATAAATGAATGTATAATGCGATTCAACTAAGAATAGGGCCGACTGGGCGCCATATTGTGATGTCATAGCTGTCAATTCAAACCAAATAGGTAAAGTGAACAAAAAAAAGTTTTTGTTTAATAAAACTTATAAAGTGAAAAACATCAATTTTATTTAATAAGATTGACAAAAAAATAACATCCGATTTTTATTATTAAAATTTATTTTTTAAGACAGTGTCAGAAAAAAACATTAATCAGAATCATGTTCATCAATTCCGCTCATCTCTGCATTACCGCCGCAGTAGTTATGAATAAATTTGCACTATTACTAGGTCACATACGATCATGCATCCTTTATGTAAACGAAAGTTTTAAATCGAGTTTATGAACGCAACTTAAAGTGGCATTTGGTTGTAGATTTAGGTTATCGACCAGTCATAGCCAAAGCTCAATAAATGAAAAAAAAAACCATACAATATTAATTATCAATATTTGTTATTGTTTGTTTACAAATGTTTGGATTTTATTCTAGAATTAGCTGAGTGCTAAAAAAGGGTTCCAAGATTTTTATGCAAACTGTACTTTTCAAGCGACATTTAACAGATGGAGGTCATAGGTTTTCCTATTCTTATTTGAATTGTACTATGTTTGAATTAAATCGAATATTTATTTCTCAGATTATCCATCTAGTGAGCAAAATGCGTACACTCAAAGACAAAAGCGACAAATATGCGAGACTATTGCACAAAGACATTATTGTATTTCTCGGTGAGTTATTAATTTGTTAACGCTTTACATAGGTCCAAGTTTGCAATTTGCAAACTTGACTGCAGTGTTATCCTAGATAATTTATTATTTGTACGAATATAAAACATTAAAATAACACAAACTTAAAAACTATATAGCTTAACCTGGTTACCTACATCTGTACGTATAATAAAATGGTAGAAAAGTCAAAACTGTACATTGAATATTTTTTGACGTGACAACGTCTTAAATTAGGTTGCGGCTGGGAGTCACTTATGAAAAAGTGTAACGCTCGGTAACGTTACGATGAGTCTCGTAGCATGCTGGAACCCCGTAGCCGTGTAGCAAGTTTGCTACGAATCGTCGTAGCGTGGTTGCATGCTACGATGGTATTCACAAGCACAATGCATTGTAATATGTTTTTTTGACGTATTATATATATTTCTATAGTTAAAATTTGTGCAATTCTTATTTTCATTCAATTCCTTGTTCCTATTGTGCAATTTAATTATATTCATATCAATAAATATTCTACCGAGAAAAAGACGTTGTCACGTAAAATCTTCGCCCGTAAAACCGACTTTACAGGCAACCATTTTTTTAAAGAATATTTGGGGTGTGATTTACAATCTCTACAGAAGCCAAAAATATAGTTTTTAGAATTTTTGTCTGTTTGTCTGTATGTATGTCCGGGGTAAACTCAAAAAGTACTGCATGGATTTACTTCAAATTTGGCACGAATATTATTAAGAAGTCGGGTCAACATATAGGCTACATATTATAAGGGGGTAATACGGGGGTTGGAAGTTTGTATGAAAGTCCTATGTTTTTAAAGTAAGAGACTTGAAATTTAACAAGTATGCTCTATAGACGGTATAGAGGTGTACTAATAATGTATCTTTAGAAATAAACCCCCTTTTGAGGTCAAAAAGTATGTGTAAATAACTAATTCCACGCGTACGAAATCGCGGTCGGCCGCTAGTAAATAAATAATTTACAAAATAAAAAACATATCACACGCTGCACCGCCATCAGGAATGGGGCTCAATAGGCTGGCAGCAGTGCCACGTTGGATGGCAAGGCTGATCCGTTTACCAAGATAGCTGCCAGCCTTTTGATCTACAATAATCATGCCTCAAAGGACACCCGGCATTTTGTGCCAAAGTTGTATACTTTTTTAATTTTTTTATCTGTGTTTCATAATTGGTTAACGTAGTCTGGCAATATTTGTCATCAGCAGCTAGCTGTCAATGTCAAATACGTAGGTTTGTCATCAAAAGGGTTTCTATATCAAAAAATATTAATCATTAAATAACTTCTTTCCACGATTCACTAAAAATAAGGCAAAAGTAGTTTTATGTAGCAAATAATTTTGGCTTTATTTTGAGACCAAATTCAACTGTATACAAGTTTAGCATTTTTTCTATGAAAAGTGCCGGGTCTCCTTTAGAAGTTATATTTTTTTTGTGATGACGTTACTTTAAGCTTTGGTGGAGTGTTTTTTGGAAAGAATAGTGAGAAATGGAAGTTTGTAACCGTGATCTATTTTATTACTTACAAGTTTGGTCAGTAGATATAAAGATTACCCTCTACAACTTTAGAAACTCACAAACTTTACCTCTTCGTTATGTTAGTGAAGATTAAAATAAAACTTTGTGCCTGAAAAGGCTTGCATTAGAACATTTTGCTTTAAGAATTATTTTGTTCATATTTCATCATCATCATCAGCTTATTAATGTCCCCACTGCTGGCGCACAGGCCTTTCCTATGGATGGAATAGGGCGATTCGGCCATGACCCACCACGCGGGCCCAGTGTGGATTGGTGGGTGCTAACGACTGCAGATGGAGCCGGAACCAACAGTTGAACATGCCTTCCAAAGGACGAAGGAACCCGAGATAGAATATTTTTGGTCACCCATCCAATGACTGACCACTGCGAAAGTTGCTTAGCTTCAACGATCGCAGCCGAACGCGCTAACCGCCTGCGCCATCGAGCACCTCCGCCATGTTCATATTTACTTTTTATTTATTATCAGGTAAATATGGAAATGATAACTGTAGTGAGATATGTAAAGAGAATTCTGTCATAGCCAGACTGAAAGATAAACTATTTCTGAATATACCAAACACAGAAGATGGGAAGATTTATAAAGTAAGTGAATTCTTTATTATCCTTACATTTTTATTTTTTAAGCATTTAACTGCTATATTTTAAATCTAAAGAAAAGTTTACTAGAAAAAATTCCACGCGGACCAGGCAACAGACGGGACTCAAACCCGCACTCTTCGCTATCCGGGCGAATGCACTGACCATTATGGTACCGCGGCCCTGATGGCCGCGACGAATTTTCTCTAGTGTTTCTTAAGCTGCAAGGCCGCGAGTCCCTTCTGCTGCCTGGTCCGCGTGGATTTTTTCTAGTAAACTTTTCGTTAGGTTCTATATTATCCTATTAATGTCCCCACTGCTGGGACATAGGCCTTCCCTATGGATGGAATAGGTGAGTGCTAACGACTTCAAACGTTACAACAATCAGCCCAAAACTTAGCATTGCTTAAACAATGAGCACTAGGTAACTTTTAGTACTAAATCAAAATCAATATTCAATTATTCAGTCTAGGCTGTTACAAGCACTTGTGAACGTCGAAAAGCTACGCCAAATCGCAAATCTACGGCGGGAGATAGCGATGTCGAAAGTTGAAAAAAATATCGATATATCGATACATCGATCTTTTAAAAATACCAATATCGGCTTCGATATATCGCGAAAAAAACATCGATATATCGGACCAATTTTCCCAAAAATATCGTACAGTATCTCGCGAAATATGACACGCGGAATAATAATGGAACGAAAATTATCTCCCTTAAAATAGACCCTATTTTCGAATGATGAAAATGATTGCAGGGTTTCTTTCGTAAATAAGACTAGACAGTCACACACTTCACAGAATATAATGGAAATCAGCACAACCAATTCACCAGCGAAACAGATTTACAAATAATAGGCAATACTAAATACAGCACAGATCATAGATATGTTGAACATCATTAATCTGAGATCCAGTTACGATTTTTCCAGATACGAATTTAGTTAGATCGTTTTATGCCGTTAATAATTAAAAAAATATCGTTTTTGATACGAATTTCGATATTGGTTATTTTGTATCGATGTATCGAATCAAAATATATCGGCAAAAAATATCGATATATCGGTACATTGATATATTTTCAACAAGCCTAGCGGGAGACCTTGTACTGAGAAGAACCGACAACAAACTCAGCAAGGGCTGCTTTTTTCTCCCTGTCTTATTTCATACAGTGTCGTCAAATAGGCTAGTTGACTCATGTCAAATTGTACTACACAATTGTTTTAATATATTTTTCATGTAATCTATTAGAAATCATGGTTTTATCATATGAGGAAACCGAAAAATTGCTCGCTGTTGTATTCTAAATAACATGACTTGCATCTACTCACACCTGCACAATACATACGCACACACACACACTCACACACGTCATACACATATCTATGGTCTGGTCTATTTGACGACCTCCGTGGCCGAGTGGTTTGTACGCCGGGTTTCATGGCGTCGCCGACTCGAGAGGTCCCGGGTTCGAATCCCGGTGGGACAGATGTTTGTGTGATGAACATGAGCATTTGTACTCCAGTCATGGATGTTTAATATGTATTTATATAAATATACTTATATATGTACAGTATATGTATTCTATCCGTTACCCTAGTATCCCATAACACAAGCCTTATAGTGCTACTTTGGGGCTAGGCTAATTGGTGTCTAAAAAAATAAAATAAAAAAAATCTATCCATTTTATGTAGTCAGTAATTTTTATTAATATCTTTGTCATGAACAAATGCTGTTATCTGATCTGCTTCGCTATCCTGTAACAACTTATTACTGTGTCATCTTAAGGAACCTATTGGAACGGTCTGAATCCCTAAACACAGGCTATATTTATAGCTTATCTAGGGTCAGTTGTACTTTTTCATTTTAAGACTACTGCCTTATGTAGAAAAATATTATAAAAATGAATTCCAGTATACTTTGTCTCGTAAATTTAACAGCTGTAAAATGTTTATACCTTATATGTTTTTTGGCATAAATAAAAATTATTATTATTATAATATAAACTCCGATAAGTTATTTATTACGTGCTTGCGAGTTTTTGTTTACAATTTTCAATGACGTCATAGCATAGATAAATCTATAGACTAAAATAACCGACAGCGTTTTTTTATGTCCATGTAAATTCTATTTTAAAATTAAAGTGTTGCTTGCAGCTTTCTAGGTCAAAAATGAATAGAATACATTTTTTTGGGCCTAATAGAACAATTATTAACCATTTCAAACATATCCCACCAAAAACATTCTGTAAAAAACTAGCCAAGTCTCGATGGAGCTGCTTGTTTATAAAAGATATGAAATCTAGACAAAGTCGTGCCAAGTCTAAGGTTCCTTACTGCGATTTCTTTATTATTATAGTTAATGTTGTGTGACTTGGCTGTTGGAGGGTACATAAGGGTACAAAACCAGGTGCTACATGACACCATTGCACCAATCTGTCGCAAGAATCGCTACCCATTGACGATGGAAAATTGCCACTTGGAAAACGTTGATTGAATAACCAGTCAATTGTAGGCTTGATAAAGTTGCGTTTACACGTATGTTGCATGTATGAATGCATAAGTGCAATGGTGTCATGTAGCACCTGGTTTTGTACCCTTGTGTACCCTTCAACGGCCAAGTCACATCCGCCGTGCCCCCCGATTTCCAAAAAAGTGTCAACTAGCCTATTGAAAGCTGACATCAAACTTATCAACATGTATTGAGGTCAACTTCAAACACATAATGCAAAATAGGTAACAATAAATATAAAAAAGCCTCGAATTATCCAGTTAACAAATTTCAAAATATATGAGCAAAATATATATAAACATACTTGAAAAAGGGAGAAAAGTGCTGTTTTTCACATTTGCGTCCTCCAGTCCAGGATTCGACTTTGTAGTCGCTAGATTCGTAATTTGGATCACTAATAATATAAATCAATATTTTTAACACACACCAATTAGCCTAGCCCCAAACCCACTGTAAGGCTTGTGTTATGAGATACTAGGGTAACGGATAGAATACATATACTGATACATAATAATATTTATGTAGGTATGTGTATCTAGAAAATTTAGAACTAATTTTGGGGTTTAAGCTAATTGGTGTAAGTGTAGTAAATATTAATTTAATGTATTGAATTAATGCTTGTAGGTGAATCTTCAACGAATTTCGCAATTAGCGATAGTACACGAGGACCCAGAAGCTCTGCAGAAGCTGTTGGCCATCATCTGTGCCAGTCGTGAGTAAATGTCCTGTTTAAATTCTTTCTTTGTTACTCATGCTTTATCACTCCTCACCGGAAAAATCATCGAAAACAATTCATCGAATTACAATTCTTCGAACACAATTCATCGAAAAAATAATTCGTCGAACAACAATTCTTCGAACGGTAATTCCCCGAAAAACAAAAAAGTAAACCATTCTGATCCAGACAACCCATTTATTGCCCCAGACGGTACTCACACGCAGAGGATCGAGTCCCAGTGGAGGGCTGTCAAAAGATATTTCAGAAAAGATAATTATAACCATCCGCACGATTTTGCAGATTCGATTGTAGAATATTTGTGGCGCAGAAACATAATTAAATATAAAAAAGACGCGTTTTTAGAAACAATTAATGCCATAAAACATGTATACAAAATAAATTAATGTGTAGAATTTCATGCTTTTTATATTTCATATTATTAGTGACAGAACCGAAGTGGGGCGGGGGGGCGCAGCCCCCGCAAGGGGGGCTCGGGGGGCGAAGCCCCCCGCAATGAATAAAGTCTAAAGAGTTCATTAGGTTAGGTTAGGTTAGTATGATGACCAAAAACGCGCGAGCCGAGCGAGCGGAGCGAGCGTGCCGCGGCAGCGGCCGGCGAAGCGCCAGAAAAGACACTTTTGTACGTGCAACGTTTTTTTTTTCATACTTTTTCCCCTTTCCCCACCTCGTTTTAGCCTCCCTCCGGCTAAATTTTCATTTTTTTTTGGAATTACCGTTCGAAGAATTGTTTTTCGACGAATTGTTTTTTCGATGAATTGTGTTCGAAGAATTGTAATTCGATGAATTGTTTTCGATCAATTTTCCGCAAATCTTTATCACTACATAGTATAAAGCAAAGTCGCTTCCCGCTGTCTGTCCCTATGTCCCTATGTATGCTTAGATCTTTAAAACTACACAACGGATTTTGATGCGTTTTTTGACGTGACAACGTCTTAAATTAGGTTGCGGCTGGGAGTCACTTATGAAAAAGTGTAACGCTCGGTAACGTTACGATGAGTCTCTCGTGTTAAGTTTAAGTTTACATGTACAATGTTTTAGTAAACAAAATATATTTCTATAGTTAAAAACCACACCAGGCTGGTGCACCACGCGCAGGTAATGTGTGACCCACGCGTGCCCCACCTGCGGGGCATGCTTCACCTACCACGCCGCGCTATACAACCACACCAGGCTGGTGCACCACGCGCAGGTAATGTGTGACCCACGCGTGCCCCACCTGCGGGGCATGCTTCACCTACCACGCCGCGCTATACAACCACACCAGGCTGGTGCACCACGCGCAGGTAATGTGTGACCCACGCGTGCCCCACCTGCGGGGCATGCTTCACCTACCACGCCGCGCTATACGACCACACCAGGCTGGTGCACCACGCGCAGGTAATGTGTGACCCACGCGTGCCCCACCTGCGGGGCATGCTTCACCTACCACGCCGCGCTATACAACCACACCAGGCTGGTGCACCACGCGCAGGTAATGTGTGACCCACACGTGCCCCACCTGCGGGGCATGCTTCACCTACCACGCCGCGCTATACGACCACACCAGGCTGGTGCACCACGCGCAGGTAATGTGTGACCCACGCGTGCCCCACCTGCGGGGCATGCTTCACCTACCACGCCGCGCTATACAACCACACCAGGCTGGTGCACCACGCGCAGGTAATGTGTGACCCACGCGTGCCCCACCTGCGGGGCATGCTTCACCTACCACGCCGCGCTATACAACCACACCAGGCTGGTGCACCACGCGCAGGTAATGTGTGACCCACGCGTGCCCCACCTGCGGGGCATGCTTCACCTACCACGCCGCGCTATACAATTACACCAGGCTGGTGCACCACGCGCAGGTAATGTGTGACCCACGCGTGCCCCACCTGCGGGGCATGCTTCACCTACCACACCGCGCTATACAACCACACCAGGCTGGTGCACCACGCGCAGGTAATGTGTGACCCACGCGTGCCCCACCTGCGGGGCATGCTTCACCTACCACGCCGCGCTATACAAACACACCAGGCTGGTGCACCACGCGCAGGTAATGTGTGACCCACGCGTGCCCCACCTGCCGGGCATGCTTCACCTACCACGCCGCGCTATACGACCACACCAGGCTGGTGCACCACGCGCAGGTAATGTGTGACCCACGCGTGCAAGTAAATTCTTATTCTTATTTTCATTCAATTCCTTGTTCCTATTGTGCAATTTAATTATATTCATATCAATAAATATTCTACCGAGAAAAAGACGTTGTCACGTAAAATCTTCGCCCGTAAAACCGACTTTACAGGCAACCATTTTTTAATACATAGAGTGATTCAAGAGGAGGGTTTATATGTATAATACATGCATAATATACTAGAGAAACACTGATAATTTTAGAGGTTTTCAATGTAAGGTCGTAAATAAACACATTTTATAGCGCTTACATTGCAAACGCTGGCTGAACCCTACGAGATAGATCAAAATAATGTACTACAGTATTGTACACCTTAAAAAGGTCTACAAAAAAGTCCGCGTTGGTATATGTCTATCTCTTAGGGATAACCCGCAATAACCATTTTTATCCTATACTTTTTACGAGAAATAAACGATTATTTACGAAGCGATTTTCAGCAATATAACATTCATCCTTATTCAATAAAGAACGTTAAATACATTGTACATTTAATATAGACCAATGTGGCCCTTTAACGCATGTAATTTAAATGAATATTTTCGAAGACATTACTGATTTAAAATGCAGGGATATAGCGGTTCCGACGCTACCGGGCGGGGCCTGGCAGCGCGTGCCTATTGTAATTAGGTATTAGAAGAATGTCATTGTGTATAATACAAGCCTGAGAACAAAAACTATAGTCTACACTACAGCTCTACACTGAAGCGAAGCGAGGGCGGGCCGCTAGTAACGTATATTAAAGACTCGAACAGTTTATTGATAACATTAAAACATCCAATGTCATTTGTCAAATCAAAATTTGTCAATGTCAAAAAACCATTAGAACGCCCAAACGGGTGTTATAATGTTGTACTTAATTTCATAATAACACTCCTTCGCTTTTTAAATCCCTCTAGCGCCAAGAGCTCACTCATCAGACAGCCACAATTCGCACTGCTCGGTGTGTGGTATTTTTGGTATATTTGTATGAATTTCAATAAAAACAATATTGTCAATCACGAGCGTTTGACTACCACAGCGCCGACGCCGAAACTTTGTATGAATTTTAAGTTCTTAGAACGCCGTAGAGATAGCGGCGCAGATAAAGTATTGTATGCAACTGTTACAATTAGGTATTAAAACCATCTCTAAGATATAATCTTATATATAAAAGTAGCTGACCCAGCGAACTTCGTGCCGCCATAAAAAAAAAGGGGTTGGTGGTAGAAGGGTGAAAATTTAGGGTAGTGTGTATTTACCAATGCTGTATTATAAAAAAATAAAAGAAAATATCTAAAATTGAAAAAAAAAATTTAGGGGTGGATTACCCTTAACATTTAGGGGGATGAAAAATAGATGTTATCCGATTCTCAGTCCTACCCAATATGCACACAAAATTTCATGAGAATCGGGAAAGCCGTTTCGGATGAGTTTAACCACAAACACCGCGACACGAGAATTTCATATATTAGATTCTCGTGTCACAATGTTACTTACCATACTCCTCTGAAACGGCCTGACCGATTTTTATGAAATTTTATATGCATATACCGTGGGTCTGAGAATCAGCTACTATCTATTTTTCATATCCTTAAGTGATAATGGTTGCCTACCTGTAACGTAGTGTTCTGAAACCTACAAAGCGCCTTCGCGTCAAAATTCAAACTATTGGGTATTGTAACGTAGTGTTCTCATATGGGTTAGGAGGAATGTTATCCCAGGAAATGGATAGAACACTACGTTACACGCCCCTAAATTTTTTTTGGACAATATTTTTTTTTATAAATGTGGTATTAAAATATTCATACCACCCTAAATTTTCTCTTCTACTACCGGCCCCTATTTTTATGGCGGTACGAAGTTTACTAGGTCAGCTAGTATAGATATAATATATTTATTTAAACTGCTCATTTTTTCTCTATAAACAGTGCACAACAAAGACGACCCAGATCTGCAGTTAGTCCTAACCAATATCATACAAGCTTCGTGTCGTGCGCACGCGCATTCTTCTATACAAGGCGTGGAATCTATTCATGCAGCCGTCCTGCTCTGTCGCACCGTGCCATGCGTCTGTGCTCTTCTAACGGTGAGTTGAGTTGGATATTAACACAAGATCAACTTGGACATTTTTGACGTTTCGCAGAAAAACTTTAAAGCAACATTGTTTGAGATGCTCGATTCTCATTAATTCCGCATTATTATAGTTATTATTATTATTTTTTGTATCAATTTAACATTACATTGTTATTTTTTTCATCTATTTGACATACATTTTTAATTTTAAATCAAACATTGATTATTAATTGCACTATTTTGTATTGATTATTAATTATATTGTACTTTTCTGAATTGAATGTTGTGTGTGCTTGTAAAGGCTTGCATATATGTCTTAGAATAAGTACTAGCAAACCAGTGAACCAAATGTTCACCAAAACCTTATTTCTCGAAAACCGGAAGTGCTACGTTATTCAAATCCGGTTTGTAAACTTATCAGACTATTCTTAACTTATAACTTAAATATTCTCTTTATCTATCTCTTACGGTTTGGCCGCTGAAACAGCACCACAGACAGACAGACGGACGGACTTGTCTAATAGATAAGAGATTATTTTAATTTTTTAATGTTTTTGTATGTTTAGCTGTAAGTACACCTATTAAATAAATAAATAAATAGAGGTATAATAATAGAGTGGGGAAGGCGGCTCTAAAAGTGTCCATCTTTTAGAAAGAGAAAGAAGATGAGAGACCGCTAGCTATCTCTCTCTCTTATGACGCTGCGCAGTCGTGTGATTGGTCGTATTCATCCAAAGGTTTTTCATCCAATGCGCATACGCGATTAGAGAGAAAAAGCTAGCGGTCTCTCATCTTCTTTCTCTTTCTATTAGAGGTACACTTCCACTTGTAGTAGAGTCTATATCTCCCCTACTCTATTCTTATACCTCTATGGTTGGAAATCGATGAAGTTGCAAAATTTTCTTTATTAAAAGCCGGTTTAGTTTAAAAATAAAACTGTACAGTCATCATCATCATCATCAGCCTATTAATGCCCCCACTGCTGGGGCACAGGCCTTCCCTATGGAGGGAATAGGAAGATTGGGCTATGACCCACCACGCGGGCCCAGTGCGGATTGGCGGGTGCTAACGACTGCAGATGCAACCGGGACCAACGGCTTAACGTGCCTTCCGAAGCACGGAGGAGTGAGAGATAGTAAAGTTTTGGTCACCCATCCAGCGACCGACCACTGCGAAAGTTGCTTGACTTCAACGATCGCAGCCGAACGCGCTAACGACCTACGTCATCGAGCTCCTCAAACTGTACAGTACAAAGACCATATCTATTGCAAAAGGAAAGGATGGCAAGACAGCGATTTTTTCTTTCATCTACATTTAAATGTAAAGATTTGTTTTGTTTTTCATTTAAATAAATACTCTCTACCACCTAATAATATCAATATCTCCCCACAAGGCGATCGGCTCGGAGCAATCCCCAGGGGCCCGTAAAATGTTATCGGACGCCCTCGAGGGTTCCCTACTCTTGGAATCGGGGTCCGAACTCACAGAACTGCTGGTGAGGACCGCAGCCGATGAAGCTATTGCCATGATGGGTAGCGGGAATGGTGAGTGACTTGAAATCTTAACACTATTTGTATCAAGGGCGGATCCAGCTTTGGCGCCAGGGGGGGGGGGGGGTCATATAGCCAGCGTTGGCGCCATTTGGGTCATATAGTCGTGGTATATTAAATATTGAAAGTACTTAAATAAAATCCCCCTGGGTTTGGTCCATCTGTACCCAGCCCAGGGGGTGCCATGAGCCCCCATGACGCCCCCCTGGATCCGCCCTTGATTTGTATAGACATTTCGATTTGCATTAACTTTTTGAATGAATTACAAATAACATGGAAGCATTAATCTCTAACAAAGGCGTTGAAACATGGTACTAAACTCATAAAACTAAACTTTAGTACTCTGTGTGCGTGACACAGACAAAACAAAATAAAGACTTTATTTTAAAAGAATTTATTTTTGTTATATACTATGTTTATGATGGCCAATAAATAATTTTTCATTTCATTTCATTTCAAGACAATATAACTAGAAAAGGGGGGGGGGGGGGGGAGGGCACATGTTTGTGTGATGAATGATGAATGTACTCCAGTCATGGATGTTTAATATGTATTTCTATATAAATATACAGGGCGTCCCACGGCTACCTCACACGGAGGGAAAGTATATTAAATATTGAAGATAGGATATTTTACTGAAAGAAGACATCGTTTTATTTTTAATATTAATTAGAACTGCATTCACAGATTTTTGAAAAATCGCCTGCTACAACTCAACTGGGATTCAGACTCGTGAAATTTCGAAAAAAAAGCACGACATATTTTAATATAAGATAATTATTATTTGCAAAATAACATAGCATCTTAAATAAAAGAAAAGTAATTTAATTTAACATTTTATTTAAAATTTAGATAACAAATTAATATAAAATCGGATACGCCTCAATAAGTTAAAATGTTTAGTTCATCATCGTTGACGTTTATCATTCGCTGCTGTGGTTTCTGTAAGCACATACCAAAGCGTCCTAAATTTCTTAAAGTATCCACTAACCTTTTAAATACATATCGAGAAGGTACGGTTCTATCAGGGTATCTTTCGCGGTACCACCGCAAAGCTAATATTGTGTCTTTGTGGTTCATAAAGTAACCTTTCATTAAACCCATTTTATTTTGATACGCCATGGTAAGTAAATTAACAACACAAATAAAATTGCAGACGCTTGAAAATTTATGTGTTCCAATTTCGAATTATCTAATATATAAAATTCTCGTGTCGCGGTGTTTGTGGTTAAACTCCTCCGAAACGGCTTTCCCGATTCTCATGAAATTTTGTGTGCATATTGGGTAGGTCTGAGAATCGGACAACATCTATTTTTCATCCCCCTAAATGTTAAGGGTAATCCCCCCCCCCCATTTTTTTCCAATTATAGATATATATATATTTTTTAATTTTTTTATGATACATCATACAAAATTATATACAACCCAAAATTTTTACCCTTCTACTACCAACCCCTATTTTTTATGGCGGTACGAATTTCGCTGGATCAGCTAGTTATTTTAATAAATTTCAGCCAATCGCATTGTAACTGTGAGTTCAAAAAGAAATGCATACGTACTACAGTTTGTATATCACTTTATTATTTTTATCACGTAATAAGATATTCCTTTCATTTAAAATGCTATGTTATTGAGAAAAAAATAATCCATGTGATTAACCCTTTCGATGGTTATCATAAAATATGCTGTGTTTATTTTTTCATATTCACGAGTTTGATTCCCAGCAGGCGATTTTTAAAAAATCTGTAAATGCAGTTCTTGTTATTATTAAAAATAAAATAAAAATAAAATTTCAGTAAAATATCCTATTGTGGCGGCGACATCTATATGCCCCACGTATAGACAACGGATGGAGGAAATCATTACTCACCATCCTCAAGAGATGGCGTTACCTGCACTGCGATCAATAATAGTATGGAAGCCTACATCGCGCAAATTAAATTCGGAGGCTAACTCTTCATATATACAATGCCCGACCAACATCTCGTCGGGGTCACCAGTGTAGGAAGGCCAAAGGGGAAGATCTTCCTCCGAGCTGGGTGATGTTAGCTCGGGGGCCGCGGCCCGACTGATATTGGTCGGGCTTCGTATATATGAAGATAGTGTTGGGTAGGACACGACTTGAAAAAGAGTTTGTAAGAGTAGCCTCTTTTTTGTACTGAGCCAGTACAATGTCCCACTTCAAATGAGGCGAGGCGTACTGAAGCTCGGCAACACATTTGAAGTGACGAGTACAAATATGACATTGAGGCGTACAGAAGCTCGACATTACGTTTGTGTGTACGAGTAGCACCTCCTCTACGCACTATCAATCTTACTGGATCCAGCATGCAGGACAGCGCTATACATGTAAAAGAGATAGAGATACAGATGGATAGTGCGTAGAGGACTTAAATGAAATGTCATGCCTCGCTCTCTCTCAGACTTAGAAGAGTGAGTGAGTAACGAGACGCGACTATCGCGACATTTAATGTGAAGTAGTACATTTTAAAATTTTGAGCCGCTCTTACATTTTGACGTCATGTCCGGGACAAATGTACCGCCTCTTGTAAGTCCTACTCAACACTATATGAAGAGTTAGCCGCCGAATTTCATTTGCACGATGTAGGCTTCCATACTAATATTGATCGCAGTGCAGGTAACGCCATCTCTTGAGGATGGTGAGTAATGATTTGTTATATCCGTTGTATATCTGTGGGGCATATAGATGTCGCCGCCACACTATCTTTAATATTTAATATACTTTCCCTCCGTGTGAGGTAGCTGTGGGACGCCCTGTATATCAGTATATGTATCCTATCCGTTACCCTAGTAGCCCATAACACAAGCCTACAGAGCTTACTTTGGGGCTAGGCTAATTGGTGTGAGAAGTCAAAATTAAGGAAGGAAGAAACTGGTTAGAATAGGGTAGTATTCAATTGACTTTTTCTTTATTTTAGCTACCACCCGCAGTGGCGGCTTGAACGTAACCGAAGCACTATTGGCAGCTTTGAAAGACAATCACATATTACAACAAACCATATTACCTGATCTTCTAACTCTCATACTAGAAACATCAGATTTCGACGCCAAAGACACATTCCAAAACGCAACAAAAATCCTACTAGACAACATACAAATATACGATAAAAACACTATTAAAGAAACTATAGTGAAATTGGCTAAAAATGTTGTTAAAACTGATAATTTTAACAACAGCATTGATGTTAAATTATTCAAAGTTAAAGTCGAAGAAACTTCTTGTCTAATGGTGGATGTGGAAAATTTTGATGATGAAGTTGTAGAAGTTTGCCTCTCTGGTTTGAGTGAGAATTTTGGTAAAGTTGTTTACTTTATGGGTGAATACAAGATGGGTCTGGGTGCTGGTGTCTTTGGCGAGGTTTTGGAAAGGATTGTAGTTTTGTCTATGGATGGTAAGGGTTTGGAGGGTGACTTCACTGCGGAAGCGGCTCTGAAGTTTCTTCAAGAGTACTGCGATGTGCTGTATGATACAAATCGTGAGGTGATTTTTTTATATTAATAATTTTTATTGTATGTGGAATAGAATATTATCCCATTCCACCTGATGTTAAGAAAGCAAGAAAAACTGGACTAAATCATAGTTATTTTTCTGAATTACTCCATAGCATCCGATCCTGGCTCGATGGCGCAAGTGGTGAGCGCATTCGGCTGCGATCGTTGAAGTTAAGCAACTTTCGCAGTGGTCGGTCATTGGATGGGTGACCAAAAATTTACTATCACTCGCTCCGCCGTGCTTTGGAAGGCACGTTAAGCGGTCGGTCCCGGCTGCAGTCGTTAGCACCCACCAATCCGCACTGGGCCCACGTGGTGGGTCATGGCCCAATCTCCCTATTCCAACCATAGGGAAGGCCTGTACCCCAGCAGTGGGGACATTAATAGGCTTCTGATTATATCTTGGAAATAGTTAAGCTTCCTAGGGAATTATCAAGAATAACACAAAATGAATCCAGAATATATAACTTTCGTTTGTGGTCATATATGTCTAAGCATGGATTTTCTGGATATTAAGTTTGCATCAAGGTCTACTGAGTTCTAGTCTATAAGAAATGATAGTTTCATAAAGTTATATTAGTTGGCGGGAAAGAGAAAAAAAACCCTTATGTTATTTAATATAAATGTTATTTTCAGATGACATCAAAAGCTTTCGGCCACATTGTAAGCAATCTTCATCCAAACAACGTGATTTCTTTACGTAAACAAATAAACAATTTCGCCATTGTTCACAAGAAACATTTAAAACATAGTAGTATACAAGAAACATATAAAAATTGGTGTTCAAAGTATCAAATTAATTCAGCCATTCTAATAGAAGATTTCTCAGATGATATAGAAAATTTAAATGCTAATACAGTGAGAGCTATGAGAATATATGTCGAATTGTTCAACATAGCGCTATATGATGATACTATGTTACATACTATATGTTATAATATATTAGATTTTTACGCGGTGAAAGAAGAAAAGCAACTTGATACTTGTAAAGAGTATTTTACAGATCTTCTGTTTGTAAGTCTGAAATCTTTGACTGTGGATAATATCAAGAAATTCTTTCGCGTTGCTTACGAAAAAGCTGATGTTAGATTTTTAAGTTATTTCATGAATGTTTTAATGAAGTATTTTTTAACGAAACCATATATTTTGTTGAATGGAGATATGAAACATATGGCTATGATTTTAAAGTACATTTTGCAAGAAACACTGAAGAGGAAACATGACGATACCTTTTATAACGGTGTTTTGGAATTGATAGATGAGGTAAGGATCTTTTAAATCTATATATATAAAACTCAAAGGTGACTGACTGACTGACATAGTGATCTATCAACGCACAGCCCAAACCACTGGACGGATCGGGCTGAAATTTGGCATGCAGGTAGATGTTATGACGTAGGCATCCGCTAAGAAAGGATTTTGATCAGTTCTACCCCCAAGGGGATAAAATAGGGAATGAAAGTTTGTATGAAACTTTGTCAATTTTAAACCGATCGGGCTGAGACTTTGCATGCAGGTATAAGAAGAATCATAGATGAATGTCATTGCGTATAACACAAGCCTGAGAACAAAAACTGTAGTCTACACTTCAGCTCTACACCGAAGCGAAGCGAGGGCGGGCCGCTAGTAACATATAATATTACTAGCTGTGCCTCGCGCTGTTACCCGCGGTTTATTAGGGATATTTTCCCGCAGTAAAACGTAGCCTATGTGTTAATGAGGGCTATCGTTTTTTGTCTCACCAGATGGCGCCACTGTTGAGTGAGGTCCTGAAGTGTAGCTTTTAAAGTTAGTAAACACGCTCGTGATATCAAAGTTTACATTTTAATACAAAAGAATCGTAGCTTAAACATGATCGCCCATGTCAGCGTTGCGCAGTCCCGTTTTGTTCGGAAAAAAGGAGGACGTAATATCTTTTTACAGCTCCGCTTTTAACTAACGGACATTCATTGACACGTAACTCATATTTGCCATAATAAGTCTGATTTATTACCAAATATTACAACTATTATTTTGATTAGTAAAAACCGCGTAGTCGACCCACAAAGCTCCATCAGAAGATCTCCAAATAAACTCATATTTAAAAGGAATGTTCGCACTCATCTGCTTCAAAATTTAAGATAAAGAGTCACTTTATTAATCATCATCAGGTGTATAGTTATGTGTATATATATATATATTTAAATACAATTGTGGTATGTATGTATGTATGTGTATTCCTTTCGTAAGTACTATCTATTTACGTATATATGTATCTATGTTAATTCGTATAAATTTTAATATTATTTATTATTTCAATATTTATGTGTGTATATTTAGCTTTATACCGCCGTTCGCGTTTTTCTTTTTTCCCAAAGGTTGACTGGGAGAGAATGCTATTAGCATTAAGTCCGCCTTTTGTACCATTGTTTTGTATTTTGGTCAATAAAGTTTAAAATAAATAAATAAAGCTATAAAATTTGACATTTCGGAGACCTCACGCAACACAAGCGCCTCTAGCGGTTTCAGACGCGATAGCCCTCATTGAGGGTGTCAGCTAACTCGATACTAAATTTTATTAAAATCGCTCCAGCCGTTTCGACGTGAAGAAGAAACAAACATACGCACTCACAAACTTTCGCCTTTATAATATTAGTGTGATTTGTTTGTGCAGACATTTCAAAGTTATTATTGTTGTGGCATGAGGGCCTACTGAAACTAATTAAAATTTCCTAGATGGCACACTGAATTTCTATTATTCCTGTTTCATACGTAAATTCGGTTAAACTAAAAATATTATTTTAGTCAGAGTATGACTATAATAATGAATTGTGTAAGAGTATATGTATGTTATGTTGTATGTTTATAAAATATCTTACGAAGTACCTAGAATTCATAAGTTTTCTGACCATTGTTTGGGGTGGAGGGTTGATAACCTGGGATACAGGATTTTTCCTAGTTCTGGTATCAGCCCACCACAATCTGCTACATTGTACCATTGCTTCATGTAAGTCTTATTTAGATTGTGGTATGAGAAAATAAAAAAATATTATTATTATTATTATTATTATATGTTTGTTTATGAGGAGCTCGATGGCGCGGGTGGTTAGCGCGTTCGGCTGCGATAGTTGAAGTTAAGCAACTTTCGCAGTGGTTGGTCATTGGATGGGTGACCAAAAATCTTTTATCTCGAGTTCTCCGTGCTTCGGAGGGTTAAGCCGTTGGTCCCGGCTGCATCTGCAGTCGTTAGCACCTGCCAATATGCACTGAGCCCACGTGGTGGGTCCCTATCTCCCTATTCCACCCATAAGGAAGGCCTGTGCCCCAGCGGTGGGGCATTAATAGGCTGATGATGTTTTTTTATGGGGTTTTTAGAACAATATTTACGCAACCTTCTCTTTGACATTAAATTTCACTTCCTTATAGATGATCTCTGTTTAGAGATATGGTCGCCAATTTTTCACAAACTAAATTCTCATTCTTGCACTTAAGGCTTAATTTGGTGTATACTATTGACTATTCTATTCTATCATGTCTTTGGTTGTCAGGTTTGGCCAATATTTGATCCAATATTAACGTTCGAGGACAAGCACTACGTATTGACATTGGCCAATCGTTTGCCAATTCGAATGAAGGCTGAATCTAATGGAATGCAGTGGGCAATCAGAGAGTGTATTGCCAGAGAGAATATAGAGGATAAAATTAGATTAGTCCAGTTATTGCCTGGAGGGGATGAGTGTAGGTGAGTGAATTTATGGAATAGAATAACTTTATAATTATGTTTTTATTTTTTTAAGCATTTAACTGCTAGATGTTTAAATCTAAAGAAAAGTTTTACCACAGTGCATTCGCCCGGATTGCGAAGGATGCGGGTTCGAGTCCCGTCCGCTGCCTGGTCCGCGTGGATTTGTTTTCTAGTAAACTTTTCTTTAGATTTAAACATCTAGCAGTTAAATGCTTAAAATAAATAAACTATAATTGCTATTTCTTCTTTCAAATGTTTAATACTTGAAAAAGTATTAATTTGACATTGTGGGTTACCTACAATGCGAAGATATGGCGCTGCCTTGCAGCTTAAAGGCTAGGAAAATTTCGACGCGGCCATCAGGGCCGTGGTAGCATAATTGGTCAGTGCATTCGCCCGGATTGCGAACTTTATAATTTTTATTTTTTTAGCACGCATCTGCTCGAACTTTAATTGCCGCCTGTCCTCGTGGATTTCTTTTACTTATATTTTCTTTAGATTTAAACATCTAGCAATTATATGCTTAAAATAAAAATTATAACCTTAATAATAATTGCTATTTCGTCTTTAATGTTTAATACTTGTAAAGGTATTCATTTGACATTGTGGGTTACCTACAATGCGAAGAGATGGCGCTGCCTTGCAGCTTAAGAAAGGCTAGAAAGAATTTGACACATTCAATCAGGGCCGCTGTAGCATTCGCCCGGATAGCGAAGGGTGCGGGTTCGAGTCCCGTCTGCTGTCTGGTCCGCGTGGTTTTTTTTTGTAGTAATATTTTCTTTTGAATAACTTATTTATTATACACATATTAAATTGATGTTATCTTTCGAATAACTTTTTACAATTCTGTCTAATGATTTACCATTCTTTGTATAAATATGAAAGATACTAATTTTAAAATTCTGCCTATATATATATAAAATATATAAAATTCTCGTGTTTGTGGTTCAACTCCTCCGAAACGGCTCGACCGATTTTCGTGAAATTTTATATGCATATTCAGTAGGAGAATCGGACAACATCTATTTTTCATCCCCCTAAATGTTAAGGGTAATCCACCCCTAATTTTAATTTTAGATTTTATTTATTTTTTTATGATACATCATACAAAAATAAATATAACCCAAAATTTTCGCCCTTCTACCACCAACCCCTATTTTTTGTATGGCGGAACGAAGTTCGCTGGGTCAGCTACTATATTAATATAAAAGTAGTAATGGCCCGCCCTCGTTTCGCTTCGGGGTTACATTTTTGGAACGAAGTTCCTTACGGCAGGCTTGGAGGGGATAGGGATTTGCTGCGCGACCGAACTGAAAAAAATGTGATAGTAAAACCGTAAGAAAAAATCCGTGGAAAAAAGTGCGTGGAATAATACCGTTAAATGCGCATTAGCCGAAGGAACTTCGTTCCTACCTGGTGTCTCACGACACCACATCATTTCTTTTTAATTTATTTATTTATTTATTTAATAATCACTTACATCTATCATTACAGGTATAACCTAATACAATAGAGCAGTTACGATACATCCAATTATTGTACAAAACTAAAAATAAAAAAAAAAAAAACACAAACAGGAAAATAAAATAAACATTTCTATGATAGTATACAATAAGCGGCCCGTGTGAATTCATTCAATGTGCATTGAAACAAGTCGTTAGGTTAGTGCTGCCTCCGTCGCCCCGCGTACTCGTTGGGCACACACAACTGAACTGTGTGAACAATCTCTGGGTTCCTTAGTTTACCACGAATCACTTTGAATAAATAAGTGGCCAGAGACACTTCCCTCCTTACTTCTAATTTAAAATGGCCCGTCATGCCTAGTGTGAACAGAGTAGGGTACAAAAGTGGAAAGCCTGGATACACACCATACTGCTTCAAAAAAATAAATCTCACGAATTTGTTCTGGATGCGTTCTAACATTAATTTATATTTCGCTTCTTGTGGCGACCAGACTAAAGCATTGCATTCTAAATGGCTTTTTACGAGGGATTCGTATAAAGCTTTTGTTGCACTGAGATTTGTGAATTCGTTCGCTTGACGTAAAACTAAGCCCGAATTCCGGTAAGCTTTCTTACAAACTTCTACGATATGCTGTCGAAAATTCACATCGGTAGTGAAGCGCACGCCTAAGTCCTTCACTTCGGATACACGTTTCAGTGGCATGCTGTCCATGTAGTACTGATGGTGACTCGGGCTACGCGCTCGACTAAACGATAATACGGAACATTTGTCCACGTTGAAATACAATTTATTTTTAAAACTCCACTCTACTACCCTATCTATATCCTGTTGCAAAGAGTCATGACCGGATCCCTTTATTGTGCGAACTAATTTTAGGTCATCAGCAAATAACAATGGTGTAGACATCTTGACTACTTTCGGCAAGTCGTTGATCATTAAAATAAATAGCAGAGCTCCTAAATTACTGCCTTGACTTACACCTGATCTTGTAAAATAGGGTTCGGATAGCCTGCCGCTGCAATCCACGTATTGGCATCGGTCTCGTAGATACGAGGCGAAAAATGACAACGTGTGCGGTGTGCAACCTACGTTAGCCAACTTTGATAGAAGGACATCATTATCAACAGTATCAAAGGCCTTCCTAAAATCAAAGTAGGCAACATCAACTTGGTGACCGGCATCTACTGTCGGTACTATGTGTGCCATAAGATTCAACAAGTTCCCTGTTGTCCCCCGCCCAGGACGGAAACCGTGCTGTGCGTCTGACAACAAAGCACTTATTTTCGGATACAGGCTACTATGAATAGTCGACTCGAATACTTTAGCTGGAGTGCATAAAACCGCAACTGGTCTGTAATCACTAGCCGCCGATCCTCCACTACCTTTTGGCACCGGTACTACCCTTGTGAGTTTCCAGCGATCAGGACACTTTGCATTTTTGATACATAAGTTGAATATATGTAACAATGGTTCCACTAACACTGCTCTGCAATCTCTAAAAATTAACGAAGGAATGCCATCGGGCCCTGCTGAACGTTAGGTCGCTGCGCCTGCTTCAGAATTTGCACTCGCCGCCTCCACACTTAGCACGGGAGGCTCTGGATTATATACAGAACGGAAGAACCGAGCAAACTCATTGGCACATTCGTTTTCCGTCAGTACCCTCCCGTCTTTAATCAATCTACGATTATTCGAATTCCCTTTCTTAGATCTTATGTATTGCCAAAAAGCTCGCGGGTCCCTCACTAAGTGTTGCTGTACGCGGTCGCGGTACTGATCATGAGCTAATGCAGTTTCAATTTTAACTTTCGCTCTACATTGTGAAAACTTTTCATAATCACCGCGCAATTTACTGGACTTATATTTTTTATGCAATCGGTATTTCAACTTTATATTTTTAATAATTTCAGCCGTGTACCACACCGGGTAAATAAACCTGCTATCACCTTTGTTTGTATGATTTTTTTTATGAGGAACACATTTGTCAAAAATTTCATATATCTTATCATAAAATAAATTTAAAACTACATCCGGATCTTGTCTATCATACAGATCACTCCAGTCTGCCTCTGTTAATCTACTATATAAAAATAAGTCGGGTTTTCCTTCCTGACGCTATAACTCCAGAACGCACGAACCGATTTCCACGGTTTTGCATTCGTTGGAAAGGTCTCGGGCTCCGTGAGGTTTATAGCAAAGAAAATTCAGGAAAAATTAAAAAAAAAACTTCTTTTAATCACCAAACGAAATGTTACATAAAACGAAGCCATCTGGTGGCGAAACGGAGTTCGCCGGGTTTGCTAGTCTACTATATAAAAATAAGTCGGGTTTTCCTTCCTGACGCTATAACTCCAGAATGCACGAACCGATTTCCACGGTTTTGCATTCGTTGGAAAGGTCTCGGGCTCCGTGAGGTTTATAGCAAAGAAAATTCAGGAAAATTTAAAAAAATAAATCGTTTTCTTTTAATCACAAAACGAAATGTTACATAAAACGAAGCTATCTGGTGGCGAAACGGAGTTCGCCGGGTTTGCTAGTCTACTATATAAAAATAAGTCGGGTTTTCCTTCCTGACGCTATAACTCCAGAATGCACGAACCGATTTCCACGGTTTTGCATTCGTTGGAAAGGTCTCGGGCTCCGTGAGGTTTATAGCAAAGAAAATTCAGGAAAATTTTAAAAAATAAATCGTTTTCTTTTAATCACAAAACGAAATGTTACATAAAACGAAGCTATCTGGTGGCGAAACGGAGTTCGCCGGGTTTGCTAGTCTACTATATAAAAATAAGTCGGGTTTTCCTTCCTGACGCTATAACTCCAGAACGCACTAACCGATTTCCACGGTTTTGCATTCGTTGGAAAGTTCTCGGGCTCCGTGAGGTTTATAGCAAAGAAAATTCAGTAAAAATTTTAAAAAATAAATCGTTTTCTTTTAATCACAAAACGAAATGTTACATAAAACGAAGCCATCGAAGTGGTGAAACGGAGTTCGCTGGGTTTGCTAGACTTATCATAAAATAAATTTAAAACTACATCCGGATCTTGTCTATCATACAGATCACTCCAGTCTGCCTCTGTTAATAAAAAATATAATAAATTAAAATCGGCTTTATTGAAGTTCCATGAATTATGAGTACTCAGGGAATGGGTGTATATATATATAATGTTGATAATGAGCACGGGTGGTATGCGCCCAGCTCCACGTTCACGGCCAGCGGGGGGTGATATGCGTCCACAGGTCGCAGGCCCTCATCTGCTGCGCTCACAGACACGCCTCCGCTCGCGCTCAGCACGAGGTCCAATTGTCTATTATTGCAGTTTGGGACCGTGTTATATTGAATGAACTCACAGAAGGCCAAAAATAATGTTAAAAGGTTCGCAAATATAAATAAATAATAAATAAATAAATATGTCCAACACTCACACCAATTAGCCTAGCCCCAAAGTAAGCACTGTAAGGCTTGTGTTATGGGATGCTAGGGTAACGGATAGAATACATATACTGTACATATATAAGTATATTTATATAGAAATACATATTAAATATCCATGACTGGAGTACAAATGCTCGTATTCATCACACAAACATCTGCCCCCACCGGGATTCGAACCCGGGACCTCTCGAGTCGGCGACACCATGAAACCCGGCGTACAAACCACTCGACCACGGAGGTCGTCAAACATTATACATATACATTTGGACGGACGGATTTTTAGACGACTGGATTGGCTCAGTGGTTTGTACGCCGGGTTTTATGGTGTAGACTACTCGAGATTCGCATCCTGGTGGGCGCAGATGTTTGTGTGATGAATACGAGCATTTGTACTCCAGTCATGGATGTTTCATATGTAGTTCTATGTAAATATTAAATAAAGGAATGAATATGAATGAATGAGAATTCCTAATGGCATTAAGTCCGCCATTTGTAGACTCATTTGTGCAATAAAGTATAAATAAATAAATAAAAATAAAACTTATATATGTCTGTGTAGTATATGCATTCTATGCGTTATCCTAGTATCCCATAACACAAGCTTGCAGTGCTTACTTTGGGGCTAGGCTAATAGGGTATTTGACAAGTTTTAGAAAACGATCTCACGTTATTTACTAATGTTTATGGAGTCCGTAAAAAGTGGATATTCATCATTCTGTTGTGTATTTCAGTATCAATAACCCAATCGAGAACTCCATTTTCAAGTTGCCGCGAAAACGTTTCTCTGGACAATATGGCGTCTTACTAGTGTGTGACATCACACGACTGTTATTAAAACGTCAAACGATACAATGTAATGTCACTTTAACCGGAAGTTTACTTGCGTGTGACGTCATTTAAAGCTCCGCCAATCCCAAAGGTTTTGGGTCACGCGACCATCTAGCAAAATAATCATTTCTATTTAGTGATTTTATAAAAAAGTTATTAATATTTCGTTCTTTCAGAATAAAAAAATCGCTGCTAATATTCCTATTAAATACACTTGCCAACATTTGGTATATTATTTTGCATACTGTCAAAAGGCCGATTCGAGCGGAAACTCCGCTATGTTCTACCTCTGTTAGATATATGATTCTCGGAATCTACTCGAGTTTGCGTTTATTTCAGATCATAACGTAACTGCGTAGTGTTAACTTTGGGCATCTCAAAAAAATATAATGCATTGATAATAGACTATTTTTTTTTCTTTGTTCATCAGGTAGATTATCAAAAAGTATTGGACACGTATTTTTTCTTTTTTCACATTGATTTGAAAAGTCGCATGACGTCACGTTTGAGTACACTTATAAGTGAAAATTCACTAAAGTGACGTCACGAGCCCCTACTCCCAAACTTTGATGCGCTATAACTTTGTCATTTTTTGGTTGATTGCCCAAAGCAATAATACGTGTCCATTATTTTTTGATCATCTAACTGACGGACTTAATAGAATCTCTTTTACTGTACCCCGTCATCACCCCTATTACCTTAATTTTTGAAAGAAAATTTATCAATTAGTAATCTCTCGTTCACGCAATGATAATTAATGGTTTGGCTACAGCGTAATAAATTTTTTTATCGGAGCCGGAGCCATTTTGATTTGAGACGCCATTTTGTCGATGGATGACGTTTGATGACGAGTATCAAATTTCATTGTGTTCTTTGACAGGTTAAATAATTTTATCTATTTATTTCCTAGCTTATCATACAGATCGCTAGCCAGTTTGTTACCCACAAGAATGTCAGAGCTGACAGGGTCCCAGCACACAGCCCTGCGTGTTATATTAGATTCGTTGGCTAACACAGCTGATGGAACCTTATTGAATATCATCGCTAATTTAGCTGATCGTAAGTTTAATCATTATTCATAATTATCAGTCTATTAGTGTCCTCACTTTTGGGGCACAGGCCTCCCCTATGGATGGGATAGGGAGATTGGGCCATGACCCACCACGCGGTCCCAGTACGGATTGGCGGATGCTAACGACTGCAGATGCAGCCGGGACCAACGGCTTAACGTGCCTTTCGAAGCACGGAGGAGCGAGAGATAGAAGATTTTTGGTCACCCATCCAATGACCGATCATTACGAAAGTTGCTTAACTGCACCTGCGCTATGGAGCTCCTCACTCCTCACATATCATTATTATTGACATATAATTTTCCCATTGCTAATGACTAGAGATCGGATGCATATTTACCTGAAGTGGCTTTTTGTATAACAAATTATGTGTTACGACAGCGCCATCTAGTCACTATACATGTCGACTCTGTAAATGATAAAACAGGGAGAAAAAACAGCCCTTGCTGAGTTTGTTGCCGGTTCTTCTCAGTAAAAGGTCTCCCGCCGTAGATTTACGAACCGATGGCGTAGCTCCTAGACATTCATATGTGCTTGTAACAGGCTAAACTGAATAAATGATTTTGATTGATTATGATTATGATTCTAGGAGATTCTAGATGGCTTGCAAACTTCGCATAATGAGTTTAGGTTTCGATACTTGGAAACTAGATGGCGTTGGCGACAATGTATCTATACTAATATTATAAAGAGGAAAGATTTGATTGTTTGTTTGTATTGAATAGGCTCTGAAACTACTGGGTCGTTTTGAAAAATTCTTACACATTATCCCTGATGAACATTCGTAGTATCTACTTATACGTAGGTAACGCGCATAAATTGTAAACGAGTGCAGATGTCATTGCACTTTCACCTTTACGTCGCACAGCATAAGGCTCTATTAGAATGAACCGTATATTGTTTTAAACTTTCATGGTCACTAACATTATAGTGATATAAGTTATTTACGGGATTGTTACCATGTACCTTGTTTTTAGCGAGTTTCCGATATTTCGGCACTGTTGCAAGCGCCATGATCACAGAGTAACTGAAACGTTGAAACGATACGCAGAAATCAGCCATCGCCGAACATTTGATTGATTCTGGTCCCAACCACTGGATTGAGTTTTATAACCCACAGATTATCTCGACAGAACGCCACTACATACCAAGATTGGTCAGGGAAGCGATTGAAATAACATAACAGTAAAATTTCAATCGTGAGGATGGATTTAAATTGTCGAGTGTCTGGAATCCAGTGGTTCGTATGTGTAAAACCGGAAATAATCAAAAAAGTGTCGTGTCGCGATCCGATACTGTAAGTGTTGTGTGTCGAGAACAGTTTCGAGTGAATAGTGAGAATGTGAACAGTGGTACGGGTATCATACGCAATAAAAGACTTCGTCGGAGGGTAGACCGATATGTCTGCCAATAACAGCCTACCCGCAATTACTTCAGTTACTCCGTGATCATGGCGCTTGCAACAGTGCAGAAATATCGGAAACTCGCTAAAAACAAGGTACATGGTAACAATCCCGTAAATAACTTATATTACTAGAATGAACCGCTTCACAATTGAAGCCTTAATCGCGATCATTCACGTATTAATACTTATTTTCAACCTATTTTGGTCCTTAAAGCTACTGCTTTAGAGTATATAAACCAGTAACTACGAAAATAAAGCAAAGAACCTATCAGTGGAAATAAAACCCTTATCATAAGTTTAATAATGTCGCTACTACTGAGTAAAAGTCCTCCGTGGGAAAAATAGGGAAAATGGCCCGTTTGCAATCGCGGGTCCAGTGCTGCTCTTAAGAGCCCTTTTACAAAATTGCGCCGGTGCCGTACTTATCGGCGCGTAGGTAGATTTGCACTAGTATATATTGCACTTTACGGTTGATGTTTCGAGTCTTATAAAATAATTGTTAATGAACTAATTATAAAAAAAAGTACATATTTCAGTAGTTCAATGATGGTAGATTAGTTTTATGAAAGTTTTTGATAGTAATTCTATTTAATTCAATATCAAAATACAAGGTAAACCTGCATTATTTTTTGGGAAAACTCACGGAGGTTAGATGTCTTTTTTGATAATTAATGAGATGGAAAATCAAAATTCTAATACATTATGTTACAACAAAAACATATTTCTAATGTCGCAGTAATTAATTCGATCTAATTTATTGAACATTATTTAGAGATCCAAGCGTTTGAAGTTGTGCATATTATCGTTTTTTCCGTAAACAAGCTGCGGTAGAACGATCAGTACAAAAAAAGGAAAATAGTATTTGCAAATATTCTACATTAACTTACAATAGGAAGAATAAATCTAATGTTTACTTCTATTGGAAATAGTCGAAATCTTATCCAAGGGGGTAAACGAGGCGCTCAAAAATTTTTTGCAAAAAATGTGAAAGGGCTCTTAAGCTTGGTCCCGGCTGAGCAGTCGTTAGCACCCACCAATCCGCACTGGGCACAGCAGTCTCCCTATTCCAACTATAGGGAGGCCTGTGCTCCAGCACTGGGGATATTGCAAGTGGTTAGCGCGTTCGGCTGCAATCGTTGAAGTTAAGCAACTTTAGCAGTGGTCGGTCATTGGGTGGGTGACCAAAAATTTACTATCTCGAGCTCCTCCGTGTTTCGGAAGGCACGCTAAGCCGTTGGTCCCGGCTGCATCTGCAGTCGTTAGCACCCACCAATCCGCACTGGGCCCGCGTGGTGGGTCATGGCCCAATCTCCCTATTCCATCCATAGGGAAGGCCTGTGCCCCAGCAGTGGGGACATTAATAGGCTGATGATGATGATGATGATGTTGAATAAAAATCTGCATATCAGGTGATCCTTCTAAGGGTTGGTGGGATGATGCTATGGCGTCCAGTGTTGCCTCTCTGGCTCGCGGAGACTGCCTCAAGCATAGACAAGGCACCATAGCCAAGGAAGAAGACGATACCGTTCTAATGAGGTGAGGAATACATTGATTATAAATGAGGAGCTTAGGAACAGAAAGTGTCATTTACAGTTTTTAACTTTTTTAGTAAATTGAGAAAATAAATATTCAAGTTGATCTAAGCAAGTTTTTTTTAATTTTTATTCACCATTTATGTGCCAATCTAATATATAAAATTCTCGTGTCATGGGTGTGCGTAACTGAACTACTCCAAAGCGGCTCGACCGATTTTCGTGAAATTTTATATGCATATTCAGTAGGTCTGAGAATCGGACAACATCTATTTTTCATCCCCCTAAATGTTAAGGGTGGTCTCACCTTAGGTTTTTTTTGAACAAAATTTTTTGTGTTTATTTTTTATATGATACATCATACAAAAATATATAAAACCCTAAATTTTCACCCTTCTACCACCAACCCCTATTTTTTTTATGGCGGTACGAAATTCGCTGGCACAGATAGTAAGTTTATAGAACTTCTGGTTTAGAGGTTAAAAATCGCTTCACAGAATCCATATGCTACCGCAATGAGGGCTACCGTTTTCTGCCTCACCAGATGGCGCCACTGTTGAGTGAGGTCCTAAATTGTAACTTTTAAAGTTTATTAATACGCACATGAAATCAAAGGTTACATTTAGATCGTATTTTAACACAATATCTTAAACATAATAGGCCATGCCACAGTGACGCCCAGTTCCGTTTTATTCGGAAAAAATGGGAACATAATCATTTTTCTAAGCTCAAATTTTTAATAACTGACATTCATTGCCACATAACTCATATTTGCCATAATTAAGCCGAATTGTTACCAATTAATCACAACATTATTTTAATAAGAAATAAACCCGCGTAGTCAACCAACAAGCAATAACATTTGACGTTTCGGAGACCTCACGCTACACTAGCGCCTCTAGCGGCGGATTCATACGCGATAGCCCTCATTCGCGGCACAGTATGGGCTCGTTATTGTATAAAAATATTAGCGATTATTCTCCACTATCTGGTTCCTAGTTTGAACCGACTAAAGACTTTTCAAATGTATTTCTTAGGAATATGTCACTTTTTGAATTCAAGTATTAATAGTCACTGTAATTGAATAAAAACGTAACCGGGGTAACCGGGAGAACCGGGAAACTAGGAACCAGATAGTGGAGAATAATACAGGGTGTAAAAGAACCTATGACAATGACTAAAACTACGCTTTCTGTACACCCAAACAAGTAATATTACAGAATATTATACGTGGGAATCATTTGTATTTTTAAGTTTCAAATTCAATATTTTTATACAAGTATTAATAATCACTGTAATTGAATAAAAACGTAACCGGGGTAACCGGGAGCAGCACTTCACATCGATTTTTTGAAGTTATACTTCTTTAGGCGCGTTATGAAAAAATGATGACAGTGAAATTTTAAGATGCGCGCGCATCACTGTAACACAAAATTTTAACAGCATGGAGTTGGTCGCTTTAGCAACCAACTTCATGCGTTACTTTTGTGTTTACCGCACATTAAGAAAATCTACCAACAAAATAGAAATAGAATCTCTATTTAGTGGGTGCTAACGACTGCATTGTGAAGGCCTATCAAAAGTATTTATTAATCTGGAACAACGGAACCAAAGCGCGATTCAGGAGACTACAGCGCCATCTCTTGACCATTGGTGTAGTAGAACCAAAAACCACATCTTTATTTTTTGTAATAAAGTAACAGTTATAGGTATTCATATTTATAATATTTATCCACATGTTTCTAGTTTGTATATTCGGAATACGTGTTTGAGTTTCATACAAGTGCAAATCACATATGTTCTAATAAATTATATTCAGTAGCGATTTTAATTGAATATTTTGATTATTTATTTATTTTTTCAAATTAAAACTGAACTTTATTGACTGTGTCCTTTTCCAGATTTTTTATTAATTTATTGTAATTAATTATTTGCATGCAATTCTAATATTAGCCTATCGTTGGTTATTTAAGGAAACATAGTTTATAGTTTGAAGTCCGTTTATTGAGTGCAATAAAACATTACAAAATAATTGAATTAATAATATTGCTTACTTGCTAAAACTATCTACGTAAATAGCGGATTGCGACATGACCTAATTACGTTTCCGATAGGTATACACTACAACTCCCTGGAAAAAGTCCTGTTCACCCTTCCCTTTTAAAGGAAAAAAATAAAATTAGATAGAACAATTAAGTCATGTTGCATAATGTATGTTAAGTATATTATAAGGCTAATTCCATAGTACTTAAAATTATAGTAACATAAGTTTAGTTATAAAATTAATCTAGTTATAATTATTATTTTTAAGTGTAATACAATTTCGTATTATTCTTATGTATAAGATATTCCTTATTATCCTTCAAGATTTTTACATTGGGTGACACTTCTTCAATAACTACAAATGGACCATTATAAATGTTTTGGAGTTTATCTCCTGTTTGATTTTTCACTAAAATAAGGTCACCTTTTTATATGTAATAGGATAAGTACATTTATCATACAATAATTTTCTTTTCAACTTACTAGAAAATAAATTATTTTTTGCATCGTACTGTGCTCTCTGTAATCGATACTTCATCTCTTTAGGGTAATCATTATAATTATACAATGGTTCTACTGACATTCCAAAGTCTGAAGGCAGTTTACAAAGTTTTCCAAACACTAATTCGAATGGAGTGTATTTTGTTAGTGTATGTACCGTAGTATTATAAGAAAATGTCCAAAATGCTAACCAGTCGCTCCAGTCTAAAGTGTTCCTATCACACTGTATTCGCAGATATGCTCCTAATGACTTATGACTATTTTCTAGAGAACCTATTGTTTCGTGGTGATAAGCCGTTGAATTTAATTTTTCTATATGTAATATTTTGCAAATATCAGTCATAATATTAGACATAAATTCTGTGCCTCTATCACTAATGATTTCCTTAGGGATTCCATATCTTAAAATAAAATTGGTTACAAAAACTCGTGCTACAGATTCGGAATCTTTACTGGGCAAAGGATACGCTTCTACAAATTTAGATAAATCGCATTGCAGCGTTAAAATGTATTTGTTATTATTAATAGCAATGGACCCATGATATCTAAAGCTATCCTTTCAAATGCAGAGCTTGCAGTATTTGTGATAACCATTGGCTCCTTAATACTATGATTCGAAAATTTATTAAATTGACAGTGACTACATTTTTTGACGTATTCTATGACGTCATTAGTCATTCCTGGCCAATAATAGTATTGTTTTAAATTATTCAACATTCTGTTTACCCCTGCATGACCGCTAGTGGGCAACATATGAAAGTCGTTAAGTATAATTTTCTTATCCTCGTAGCTACTTATTCTTATCACATCTCTAGTAATTAAAATTTTTGGTACCTTCTGATGCAATTTTTTCATATAACTTGCAAGTATTTTTATATTAGTTGCATTTTGCTTAGTTTTAATGATTAAAATCTCATTAATATTTTGTTTTTCACAAAAAGATCCTAAATCTCTCGCTAACACCTGTGGGGTAGATAACGATCGAGTATCTAGGTATATAGTACACTGTGAAGGCACATAAATACAAAATTTCTTATCAGAGAAAAGACAATCCGTGTTCTTATTTATTTTTTCACTAGTGAAAACTAACTCTGTCACGTCCTTGGGTTTTTTAAGAATCTCTACAATCTCAGGTTGATCAGGCCTGCTACTGGTAGATAACTCTTCAGTCAAATTATTTTTATAGACCGGTTCTTTAGACTCTAGCTTTTTACTTTGTGCTCGTGTAAGTACCGATACAACTTGTTCATTAAGTGATTTTAATTCCTCACACGTCATCGTAATCGGGAGTCGACTTAATGCGTCTGCAGCTGCATTATTTCGACCCGGGATATACACGATCTCAAAATCATACTCTTCGAGGTAGAGCCTAAACTTAGTTAGTCTACTGGACGGATCTTTTAAACTAAATAAATATACGAGCGGTTTGTGATCTGTAAGGATTTTAAACCTTCTACCGTACAGATACGGTCTAAAATGCCTTACAGCCCATACTATAGCGAGCAATTCTAAATCGATTATAGGATATCTGCTTTCGGCTGGCGATAAATTACGACTTGCGTAAGCGACAACATGACCATTTTTGTTTGACAAAACGGCGCCTAATCCTGTTTTACATGCGTCTGTACGTAACTCAAAAATATTATTTTCCGAAAAATCTGGATACTGTAGTACGGGTGGCGACATCAAAAGGGATTTTAATTGTTGAAATGATTTTTCGCATTCGGTTGTCCACTCAAATAAAACATCTTTTTTGCATAATTTATTTAACGGAAAAGCTATATTTGCAAAATTAGGTATAAATCTCCTATAATAATTAGCAAAGGCTAGGTATCGTTTTACGTCGTCCGCGTTCGAGGGAACCGGATACTTGCGCAATGTCTCTATTTTGCTATCGTCGGGAAAAATACCTTGCGACGTTATTTTGTGTCCTAAATAAACAATTTCGGTTTGTAAAAATTCGCATTTCATTGGATTTAATTTTAAATTGACTTTTCGTAAACGTTCTAATACAGTTACTAGGTTTTTATTGTGATTATTTATGCAATTTCCAATAACGACGCAATCATCTAAATAAATAAAAGCTTGATTATAATTGATACCTGACATAGCAATTGTCATTAATCGCGAGAAAACACTAGGAGATGTTTTTAATCCCATAGGAGAACGCTTCATCTGATACATTTTATCAGTTGTAAAGGCTGTATATTTTCGGGATTCTGGGTCCAATTCAAGTTGGTACATTTTATCTACACTAAATGCAGTATATTTTCTTGAGTTTTCGTCTAAGCATAATTGGTAATAACTTTGTGATAAGTCTAGTTTTGAAAAATAAATACTACCTGATAAGGAATCTAAAATATCGGTTATATTTGGCAAAGGGAATTTATCATCTTTTATTCTGTTATTAAGTTGCCTATAATCAATAACTAATCTCCATTTCTTTTTGTTTGACCTATCTGTTTTTTTTGGAACTAAAAGAACTGGACTAGACCATTCCGAAATTGTTTCCTCTATTATATCGTTGGCTAACATATCATCAATTTGTCTTTGTACCTCTTGCTTTAGCGAATGAGGTATTCTATAGGGCTTTATATAACAAGGAGAGACATTATCCTTTAAGGATATGCTATGAGTCATAACATTGGTAGTCGATAATTTATCTCCTGGAAGATGAAAAACATCTGCGTATTTCGCACAAATATGTTCGATACTACGTCTTTCTTCCTGATTCATATTTGACAAATTCAATAACTCAAACAATAATTTTACTCTACTCACACTATTCTGTTCTTCCGAAATACAACATACGTCAAAATAATTCAAGTCATAAATAGTTATATTTTGAAAATCATATTCTACTTCATTACTTGTAGTATTTAATATTCTCACGGGAATGCGACCATTATTTGGTTTCGCAATTAATCCAGCTACGAAAACTCCTTGCTGAATCTCTTTTGATAAAACAACGCAATCGCTAGAAAATGATGTAGGAATAAACCTTATTACTTCGCACCGCGGCGGAATCAAATGTCTGTACCTAGCGTTATACGATATCCCAATAGAAACATTCATGTTATTGTTAGTTAATTGTAACACACTATTTTTATAATTTATTATCGCATTATAGCGTTTTAAGAAATTATCTCCTAAAATACCATTAGCTGAGCAAGACATATTTTTAAAAACGTAAAACTTTTCTCTAAATACTATATCATTATAAACTAAATTTATAAAAATATAACCTTACGATTCTAATCTTCCACTTACTCCCTTAATAGTTATTCTATCATAACATAAGTATTTTAATAACTGAGGATACTTACTAAGCCATTCATACCTTAATACACAGAGACTTGCTCCACTATCGACTAAAAGATTAATTATCTCGTTACATACAAGGAAAGTTACTGTACTACTGTTATTAAAATTAAAAATAAAATTATCTGAATTAACGAAAAAAATCACTTGTCGTGTCATAATTAACATTTTGATTATTAGTACTAGTGGAGGGCAACTCGTTTTTTACGGGTGCCATCTCCTCAACGATAGTGTGGCGTATTGGTGCAGCTGATCTACGTGACCTTGTGCTATATGATCCACGTGCACGACCTTGTTGATATATTGTACCGCGCGGTGAGCTGTAAGAGCCGCGTGGTGTATTGGGTAAGGGTTTCGTATTATAGCGATTGTAATTATTTGAATAATTACCGCGTGCTCTCATAGTGTTATTACTATTACGATGACAATAATTGCTACCACGATAAAAGGCTTTACGACGACTGACATTCATTACCTCGAATGATGAAGACAGGGACTGCTCATCCATGGCAGTTCTGATGGCTTCCGGCAAGGTCTCGAACTGTCTCGATGCTATAATAGTACTAAGTCTACGGTCATACAAACCATCTGCGAAGCGCTTGATAGCGATTCTCTCATTAATTGGTTTTAAAACTTTGTATGAATTAGGATCACCACTAGACTGAGCGATTGTTAAGTTGACAAATAAATTTTCTAATTCTGAACCAAAAGATTCGATAGATCGATTGTCTTGTTTACTCTGATGCAACTTCCATTGTAAAGCGACTTCTGATTTTTTTTGAATAAGATGTTTGCGCATGTCATTTAAAAGATTTTCAATTGTATCGTAAGTTGAACTCAGCCGTAACTGTGCGCTCGGTGAAAGTCGAGTTTTTAAAACAAATTCAATTAATTGACTTTTAGATTTGTCCGAGATCATCTTACTGTACAATTCTATACTATTTATAAGGGAATTAGTAACAGACTCTTGTCCCGTCATTACAGGCAATAAGGCTATGGCAGTTTTTAAATCAAACTCGCAATTATCACTCATTTTGACTGTTTCACTTTGTTTCTGCTCAGAAATTGATAACTCTATAATTTTATTAAAAATTTGATGAATTTCATTTATTATTTTATGGATGGAAGTTATATCACTAGTAGAAATCTGTTCAGTTTCAATTTGAGAATGCAACACAGACAAAATACTCTCCAACTTTGAATACAAAACTTTTGCCTCTTTAACTCTTTTCAAACCAAGGTCCTGTTGCCTTCCTTTAGGTCCTAATTTAACTAAATAATCTCTAAGATATACTAATGATTTATGTAGTTCATGAATTTCAAATACTACACCTGACATAATTATTTAAACTAAAAACAATAAAAACATTAAGTACGTGCTTCATAACGATAAATTGAAAATAAAAATAGTTAAAAAAAAATATATGATTACATACTTTTTAATTTGGTTGTTCAAGATACACCTTTTTACTAAGATTCTTCCGAGGGACTGGGGCAGGCGAGCTGGTTGCAGTGGTGCTGATACGGTGATATGACTGGCTGCCGATGACCGATGATGACAGACGTTTTGGCCGGGCTAAATCCTGGACTCCTCTTGTTAAACTTCTTAGACTGCGCTGGTAGTGAGGTCAGCTCGTGAGAGGGTGGCTATGTTGTTCCTGTTGAGCTCTCGTTGTATGGTGCGAACAAAATGTTTATTGCATTTCTTGAAAATGTAATAAATTGCAGCAAACAGGATTATGCAGACGGTCGCTCCGATCAAAATTTCTAGGATAGCCAATTTTTCGCTCTGGGATTGGGATGCTGTTGCCGAAGTTGGATGCCGATTTTCCCATTATCTGTTTCTTCTGTAATCTCTTGTAGTCTTAATTCTTCTGAAGTTTATCTTGTATTCTTGAAAAATACGGATTCTGAATTTTTGGAAATAGGTTTGGTCTTCTTTTGACTGAGTTCTTGGTGGAAGTATATTACACGATTCGAATGGCAAGGGTCGCCATCTAATATTAGCCTATCGTTGGTTATTTAAGGAAACATAGTTTATAGTTTGAAGTCCGTTTATTGAGTGCAATAAAACATTACAAAATAATTGAATTAATAATATTGCTTACTTGCTAAAACTATCTACGTAAATAGCGGATTGCGACATGACCTAATTACGTTTCCGATAGGTATACACTACACAATTAAAAACTAATTTTAAACGATGCCAAAGAAGGATAACTTCTCACGCGCCTACATAAGTACACGCACCCATTTTTTTATAATATAGGAATATAGAATTTAACATTTTGAGCCGATTAAAATAAATAAAAAAATAATTGAGCAAAATACGTAAATGACACTTTTTGTTCCTAAGCTCCTCAAATACATTTTAGATTTCTAAATATTAAACTGCAATATTTTGAAAGAACTTACGGAGAGCTACCGTTTTTTGTCTCACCAGCTGGCGCCACTGTAGAAAGAGGTCCTGAAGTGTAGCTTTTAAAGTTTTTTTTATAATTTCCCTTAGCTCCGCTTTTAAATAAAATGCAAAGTAATTGCGCTGCCTAAGAAATGCTAGAGGAAATTGAACACGGTCACCAGGGCCGCGGTAGCGCAATGGTCGGTGCATATACCCGGATAGCGGAGGGTGCGGGTTCGAGTCCCGTCTGCTGCCTGGTTCGCGTTGATTTTTTTCTAGTATTTTTTTAATCTGTATTTTCTTTAGATTTTTTATCGAGCAGTTAAATCCCTTAACATGACAACCTCCGTGGCCGAGTGGTTTGTACGCCGGGTTTCATGGTGTCGCCGACTCGAGAGGTCCCGGGTTCGAATCCCGGTGGGGGCAGATGTTTGTGGGATGAACACGAGCGTCTGTACTCCAGTCATGGATGTTTAATATGTATTTCTATATAAATATACTTATATATGTACTGTATATGTATTCTATCCGTTACCCTAGTATCCCATAACACAAGCCTTACAGTGCTTACTTTGGGGCTAGGCTAATTGGTGTGAGTGTTGGAAATTTCTAATATATAAAATTCTCGTGTCGCGGTGTTTGTGGTTAAACTCCTCCGAAACGGCTTTCCCGATTCTCATGAAATTTCTTGTGCATATTGGGTAGGACTGAGAATCGGATAACATTTATTTTTCATCCCCCTAAATGTTAAGGGTAATCCACCCCTAATTTTTTTTTTCAATTGTAGATATTTATTTTTTATTTCTTTTATGATACAGCATTAGTAAATACATATAACCCTGAATTTTCAACCCTTTACAATCAACTCCTTTTTTTTTATGGCGGTATGAAGTTCGCTGGGACAGCTACTTTATTTATATATTTATTAACATTTACTGATTGTTTTCTTTGTTATCAGTATCGCCAATACACTGTTTGAGATCCCGTCGTCAGGCGTGTATCATCGTTTGCTGATACCTTTGCTCAGGTAAAAATAAGTGTTAATTTGATGTATACACACATGTTGTATGTACACATGTGACTATTTACTCGCAAGCCATATAACACCCGGTGGCGTTCGATGGCGCAGGTGGTTAGCGCGTTCGGCTGCGATCGTTGTAGTTAAGCAACTTTCGCAGTGGTCGGTCATTGGATGGGTGACCAAAAATTTTCTATCTCGAGTTCCTCCGTGCTTCGGAAGGCACGGTTGCATCTGCAGTCGTTAGCACCCACCAATCCGCACTGGGCCCGCGTAGTGGTTCATGGCCCGATCTCCCTATTCCATCCATAGGGAAGGCCTGTGCCCCAGCAGTGGGGACATTAAGAGGCTGATGATGATGATGATGATATAACACCCCAACCTACAGTCTCTGTATAACTCACGGTTGTCTGGAAGAAATCGCTCTTAGCGATAAAACCGCTAATTATAATGCTTTTGTTAAGTTTATGGAATTATGTATTTGGTGTTATAATAAAATGTTAATCTATCTGTCTATCTATACACTTTTATTGTTCCTTTTGGCAATCCAGGTCCGCGTGGATTTGTTTCTAGTATATCTTTTCTTTAGATTTAAACATCTAGCAGTTAAATGCTCAAAAAAATTAAAACATAACTTATTATGATCTTAATTTTTTGTTCGTTAGGTTCAGTTTTCTTGTATTTATTTTGTTGTTGTTGTATTTATAAGTTATGCTTTTGTTAAGATGGCCAATCATCATCATCATCAGCCTATTAATGTCCCCACTGCTGGGGCACAGGCCTTCCCTATGGATGCAATAGGGAGATTGGGCCATGACCCACCACGCGGGCCCAGTGCGGATTGGTGGGTGCTAACGACTGCAAATGCAGCCGGGACCAACAACTTAACGTGCCATCCGAAGCACGGAGGAACTCGAGATAGTAAATTTTTGGTCACCCATCCAATGACCGACCACTGCGAAAGTTGCTTAACTTCAACGATCGCAGCTGATCGCGCTAACCACTGAACAAGATGGCCAATAAAGGTTTCATTTCATTTTCATTTACTTCTGAGTTACATTTCTCTAAATAAAACTAGTTTTTACGGGTTAATGCACGAAACTTTATTTATTTATTGACGTTTCGTAGCCTTTACAGGCTACGTCGTCAGAATCAAACTTTTATTTAATTTGTCGAGCTACCTTCGAAAGACTCTTATTGAGCGTTCGGTTATTTCATTGTCCGATTTTTAAATTTTATTGTCTATGTATGAATTTATTATTTAATTTACTTAATAAAAGTATTTTATTTAAAATTCTTTTTGTAATTTTGAGTTTATTTATTTGACCCTAACTACCGTAAACTACCACCGGTTCCAAAATTGGGGAGACCTTTCTGAGAAGAACCGGCGAAACAAACTCAAGAGAGAGACTATGAAACAAATACATTTCTCTACCCACCAGGTACTCCACTACGTCGTTCTGTGAACAGTTTTACTGTAACGGGTTGAACAAGTTATTGACAACTCTGAACACTTGGCCTCGTGGACCTACTCCTGGTTGTGAAGAACTCATGAGGACTTTGAAAGGACATGCCCGGGCAATGGCACTCATCACACTGGCATTCGAAAGGGTAATTAATTATTGGTGTCGATTCTGGCAAGATTTCTCTAAAACTAAATTCAATAGGGCTGATGACGGGGTACAGTAAACGAAATTCTATTTAGTCCGTCAGTTAGATGATCAAAAAATAATCGACACGTATTTTTTCTTTGGGCAATCAACCAAAAAATGACAAAGTTATAGCGCGTCAAAGTTTGGGAGCAGGGGCTCGTGACGTCACTTTGAGTGAATTTTCACTTAAAAGTGTACTCAAACGTGACGTCATGCGACTTTTCAAATCAATATATCTCTGCAATGTTTATATTATGTGAAAAAAGAAAAAATACGTGTCCAATACTTTTTGATAATCTACCTGATAAACGAAGAAAAAAATTAGTCATCATTCTCCTATTCGAAGACCTCCGTGGCCGAGTGGTTTGTTTTGCCGGGTTTCATGGTGTCGCCGACTCGAAAGGTCTCGAGTTCGAATCCCGGTGGGGGCAGATGTTTGTGTGATGCATACGAGCATTTGTAGTCCAGTCTCCAGTCACACGCGACAATATATAAATATACATATGTATATATTAGGGATGTAACGGAGGTAAATTTATCGGAACCGAAGACGGAGTCGGAGTTTTAAATTTGATTTGAGAGATATTTCAAGTTTTTTTTCTAGTCAAGTTTTCTTTATAATATTTCTACTTTCAGATACCGTTGAACTCGTTAAAGTCGCCCGAGTCGGTGTTATATTCGCAAGTGGCTAACAAACAATCCTCTTATTTGATAAAGCGAGTGTGCACACTCTGTCATACGCTGCGATCTAAAACTATCCCTGATGAAGCTTCGGAAGATTTGAAAGATTGTTATAGGTGAGTTAAATCATACTGTTACGTAAATAGAACTAGTTTTAACTGGTTAATATGCACGAACTTTATTTAATTATTGATGTTTCGCAGCCTTTTCAGGTCTGCGTCGTCAGAATAATGTTCTTTTATTTACTTCGTCGAGCTACCTTCGAAAGACTTTTATTGAGCGTTCGGATATTGCATTGGAAGATTTTTAAAACTTTATTGTAAAGAAAATATAACTAGAAAAAATTCCACGCGGACCAGGCAGCAGACGGGACTCGAACCCGCACCCTTCGCAATCCGGGCGAATGCACTGACCAATTATGCTACCGCGGCCCTCACGGACCGCGTCGAAATTCTTCTAGCCATTCATAAGCTGCAAGGCAGCGCCATCTCTTTGCATTGTAGGTAACCCACAATGTCAAATGAATACTTTTACAAGTATTAAACATTTGAAAGAAGAAATAGCAGTTATAGTTATAACTATATAACAGCTTAAGAATGGCTAGAAGAATTTCGACGCGGTCCGTGAGGGCCGCTGTAGCATAATTGGTCAGTGCATTCGCTCGGATTGCGAAGGATGCGGGTTCGAGTCCCGTCTGCTGCCTGGTCTGCGTGGAATTTTTTCTAGTTACATTTTCTTTAAATTTAAACATCAAGCAGTTACATGCTTTAAAAATTAAAACTTTATTGTCTTTCTATGACAACCCGTAAACCTAAGGAATAAATATACTGTTACGTGTTGGGGTGGCGTTCGAAATTATGTGCCAGTTTACGCTTCACAGGTCTTTATTCACCACACAGTTCTAAATTCTTTAGTAATTATAATAATTTATTTGCCGAAATATGGTTACAACAGTTGTTAGGTATTTCTTAAGTTTCCAGCATACTTTGTTGAATGTCAATGTGCAAATATTACTGGTTATAGAAGATAATTCAACATTAATAAGGTTCAGTGACGTCAAAACAAATAAAATCAATTTAATGAAAATAGTAATATGCAATGTCACAGAAAAGTACTACTAATTTATTCATAATTAAACAAAAAAAATGGGTGCGTGTACTTATGTAGGCGCGTGAGAAGTTATCCTTCTTTGGCATCGTTTAAAATGTGGATAAATATTATAAATATGAATACCTATAACTGTTACTTTATTACAAAAAATAAAGATGTGGTTTTTGGTTCTACTACACCAATGGTCAAGAGATGGCGCTGTAGTCTCCTGAATCGCGCTTTGGTTCCGTTGTTCCAGATTAATAAATACTTTTGATAGGCCTTCACAATGCAGTCGTTAGCACCCACTAAATAGAGATTCTATTTCTATTTTGTTAGTAGATTTTCTTAATGTGCGGTAAACACAAAAGTAACAGCAATTAAAATAATAACAATAGAATATAATTTTTTGTGTTACAGTGATGCGCGCGCATCTTAAAATTTCCCACAATGTCAAATAAATACTTGAAAAAGTAGTACTTGAAAAAGTATTCATTTGACATTGTGGGTTACCTACAATGCGAAGAGATGGCGCTGCCTTGCAGCTTAAGGCTAGGAAAATTTCGACGCGGCGAATAGGGCCGTGGTAGCATAATGGTCAGTGCATTCGCCCGGATTGCGAAAGGTGCGGGTTCGAGTCCCGTCCGCTGCCTGGTCCGCGTGGATTTTTTTCTAGTAAACCTTTCTTTAAATAAACATTTATTTAATGCAATTCGACATGAGTCAACTAGCCTATTGTGTACCTACGACACGAGGTACACAAGACAATGTTGTTACCTTTTGACAATTCACACGTCATCTCGTATTTGCTAATTGTCACTTTTGACAGCAGTTTGTCCTTGCCATACTCTCCATGGAGATTAGGGAGGAGAACGATCCCTACGTGCTACAGCACTAGTCCGCCTGTCCCTGAAAATTTGTAGAGTTTTTAGTTCATTTTTTAGCCACCAGCCGCGCTGCCGTCGTGAAGTAGTGTAACATATTTTTTTAAGTGGATATGCTACTCACCGACTATCAAAATCAGAGAACAAAAGACTTAATTATACCAGGGTGTAGTTTATGCTGTGAAATGATTGAAACAACTATCTTTTACCATATACTGGGTTTAATCGTAGAGTGGTGGCGTTAACATCTAATTTCCAATGTTATTAAACTAAATACATATTCTTCTTTACCTTATTGTACGACGTTGACAAACTAAATTTACATTCCTTGATGAAATCTGTTGAAATGGGTAGCCGAGAAGACAGTCATGATGGTGACAGCTTCTTATTATCCTCTTATTTGAAGATCCGAAGTCCACACTGTTCACCAAGCCTTGTTATATTTCATCACCACAACGTGGTCTCATGACGTCGCCATTTTGTTGTAAGAAATGAAGCCAACTAATTCTTGATTAATTTCATGTGGAATGATTCATCACATGTAAGTACGAAGACTAACAATTAACCACTACGCCTACGGACCCCTAAAACAATAAAGAAATGCAGTAGATTTGCACTTTTCTCTAAAGATCCCTAACTATCCAAAAATTAAAGTTGTACTTACAGTTATGGGATTTTCTATTAACTTATCTTTAATCTACCACCACATCATCTTCCTTGATGTACTTTTAGCCACCTTTCATCATCTATTTATTCCTCTCTTTAATTCTTTTAAGCGAGCTCAAAATACGTCGTTCCTTTCGTAGCCTAATGCAGAAAGAGACCCCCACCTTTTTTACATAATCTCTCATTAACCAAGACGCCCCCTGACGGCGATTTGTGTCACCGTCTTTACGTTTGAAACTAATAAGAGAAAGCACGCTATATTGAACTAAGACTTTTTCTTTGCGTACTAATTCTTATTAGTTTCACTAGATGGCGCTTAACACAATTAATCATGTTACAGTAGTATCTGTGAAGTTAGCTGTTTATGAGTACAAGTAGATGAAGTTAGTTGTATAATGTACAAATTTTAATCGCGGCATTGGTCTTTTCAAATTAGCCAGCTTTTATTGAGACAACTTAGCGATCGCAGCGCCTCACTTACTTTGTCCATATTTCTGGGATACTATTTTCTACAGCGATTGGTTTCTGCTCTCTAACCTCCATGATACCAAGGCGAGACTCTTGTAAATGTTTGCATGTAGCAAATACGAATAGATATGTGAGGAGTTCAATGGCGCGGGTGGTTAACGCGTTCGACTGCGATCGTTGAAGTTGAAGCAACTTTCACAGTGCTCGGTCATTGGATGGGTGACCAAAAATCTTCTATCTCGAAACTTTATTTATTTATTGACATTTCGCAGCCATTTCAGGTCTGCTTCGTCAGAATAATGATTTTTTATTTAATTTTGTCGAGCTACCTTCGAAAGACTTTTATTGAAGAACCGGCGAAACAAACTCAAGAGAAGGCTTTCTATCTCCTTCTTATGTTAAATTATGCAAACAAAAAGAACTAATAGTATCTGATGGTCTTGCAGTGTGTGCTCGGGGTTGGGTTATATAAATAAAGTTTCGTGCATTAACCCGTTAAAACTAGTTTTATTTAATGAGTGATGTGCGTGAAAACCTAAGAAACAAATCTTCTATCTCGAGTTTCTCCGTGCTTCGGAAGGCACGTTAAGCTGTGGTCCCGGCTGCATCTGCAGTCGTTAGCACCTGCCAATCCGCACTGGGCCCGCGTGGTGGGTCATGGCCCAATCTCCCTATTCCATCCGTAGGGAAGGTCTGTGCCCCAGCAGTGGGGAGATTAATAGGCTGATGATGATGATGATGATGTGATGTACCGGGGCTATAAATATCGGTGTGTTTAGACAGTGTCTGGTGCAGAACTACAAATGTTTCTGCGCCGCCGTCTGCGTGTCCCGGCCGGCGGAGAAGTTTTATTCGTTCCTGTTTGAACTTAAGGAATGGGAGAAAATGGTGGACTCCAATGTGGTGTACAAACTGCCTCTGCAGAGTCAGTGGGTGAGTTGACTAAATATAATATAGTCGAGAGGGAGAGAGAGAAAGAGAGAGACAGAGAGAGACTGAGAGAGAAAGAGAGAGCCTGAGAGAGAAAGAGAGAGAAAGAGAGAGACTGAGAGAGAAAGAGAGAGACTGAGAGAGAAAGAGAGAGACAGAGAGAAAGAGAGAGAAAGAGAGAGAATGAGAGAGAAAGAGAGAGACAGAGAGAGAAAGAGAGGGAGAACCATTTGATTGAGCAATAAAACACAAACATAAAAATTATAAACTGCTACACACATTTATAAACCTAACAGCCATCATATTGGTCAATGAGGACCCTGCCTCAGCATAATGCTGCCGTGACATGTAACTAAACGTGTCACGACAACGCTGGTATTCTGACCTGTATGGTGCACGGTGTTTCGGTATACAAATTACAATATATTAAATTATATATATAATATATAATAAATTTAATAAAGAATACGAATAGATTTATAATTAGATAAATAGTGCTCGACGACCTCCGTGGTCGAGTGGTTTGTACGCCGGGTTTCATGGTGTCGCCGACTCGAGAGGTCCCGGGTTCGAATCCCGGTGGGGGCAGATGTTTGTGTGAGGAATACGAGCATTTGTACTCCAGTCATGGATGTTTAATATGTATTCCTATATAAATATACTTATATATGTACAGTATATGTCTTACAGTGCTTACTTTGGGGCTAGGCTAATTGGTGTGAGTGGCGGAAATATTTATTTATTATTTAGTGCTAAGTGCAAAAATGAACAGAATCTAAAAATAAATAAATGTATATGTAACCCAGTATCTTAAGCTGTGTTATGTTATTCTGTGGTTAATCTGTGACTTGGCTTGTCACTTTTTTCAATTTAAATAATTAGGTAGGTAATCAAAATGAGGTTTCCCTTAAAAATATGCATTGAGTGAGATTCGCCCATGGCTTAATGTCTCTGCGTGTCCCCTTTTAATGATGTCGTTTTATTTTAACAATTTTTAACGGCTCCTGTAACTGAGAACCTGAAAGAGGGAAGGCTCAGATGGTACGGTAAACAAAGAACTAGAGATTATGTATCTTTCAAAAATTTCTGTGTTGTTTTACAATCACAACACTTTAATTCTCAAGTATTTATTTCCAAACGCACAGAACAAAGGTCGCAAACTCCACTTGGTAGCGGCGAATGTCCCCTCCGAAGGTGATTATCTTAAAGGCTTAACCGGGACTCGAACCAGCGGCACTCTTCACACGAGACTGTTCCTACGCACTCTCTCCGATGACCCGTTGAAGTATGATCTGCATCAGATAGGGGACCAGGTAAGTTGGAGATGGTTATATTTAACTAGTGGCCCGCCCTCGCTTCGCTTCGGTGTAGAGCTGTAGTGTAGACTAAAATGACTCTTCATATAATTATTAAAAAAAAAACTGATAATGGTATATTTGCCTTTTCCAAACTTCTATTGACATCACGTCACTCAATAAGGGCTACCGTTTTCTGCCTCACCAGATGGCGCCACTGTTGAGTGAGGTCCTAAATTGTAACTTTTAAAGTTTGTTAATACGCACATGAAATCAAATGTTACATTTAGATCGTATTTTAACACAAAAGAACCATATCCTAAACATAATAGGCCATGCCACAGTGACGCGCAGTTCCGTTTTATTCGGAAAAAATGGGAACATAAATATTTTTCTAAGCTCAAATTTTTAATAACTGACATTCATTGCCACATAACTCATATTTGCCATAATTAAGCCGAATTGTTACCAATTATTCACAACATTATTTTAATAAGAAATAAACCCGCGTAGTCAACCAACAAGCAATAACATTTGACGTTTCGGAGACCTCACGCTACACTAGCGCCTCTAGCGGCGGATTCATACGCGATAGCCCTCATTGTTTTGCTTTCCCGGAACCTCTCCACTAACATTTGAAATTTATGGTATGGTATTAAAGTTCAAATTGATTTTTAAGTATTATTACGAATCGTTTGTATGGGAGTATAGAAAAGTGTTGTTTTTGGACTTTTTCGGGCAATTTTTTTAATTTTTCTCTGCGTAAGAACCATCCTCGTACTTCAATGAATATTCAATTCTTCAATATTTGAAACTTCAATAATAAAGAATAGGGATGATGACTATTTTTTTTTCTTCGTTTATCAGGTAGATTATCAAAAAGTATTGGACACGTAATTTTTCTTTTTTCACATATTATAAACATTGCAGAGATATATTGATTTGAAAAGTCGCATGACGTCACGTTTGAGTACACTTATAAGTGAAAATTCACTCAAAAGTGACGTCACCAGCCCCTACTCCCAAACTTTGACGCGCTATAACTTTGTCATTTTTTGGTTGATTGCCCAAAGAAAAAATTCGTGTAAATTATTTTTTGATCATCTAACTGACGGACTAAATAGAATTTCGTTTACTTTACCCCGTCATTATGCCTATTATCGAAATCGGTTCAGCTGTTCTCGAGTATTGCGCTTAGCAACACATTCAGCGATTAATTTTTATATTATAGCTTATTATAGGTATATTTTGTTAAAAGAGTGGAATAGAAGCATACAGCCCGCCTGATGGTAAGCGCCCACCATAGCTCATAGATGCTTGCCTATTAATGTCCCCACTGATGGGGCACAGGCCTTCCCTATGGATGGAATAGGGAGATTGGGCCGTGACCCACCACGCGGACCCAGTGGGGATTGGTGGGAGCTAACGACTGCAGATGCAGCCGGGACCAACGGCTTAACCATTGTTACCAACCCTTACCAAAATTTTCCCCTAAGTATTTTTTAAATTCCCCTAAAATCCTCTTAATATACAATTTTTAAGTACCTTCTTATTACCCAAATTCTTTCGTTGCTCATAAATTAAAACGTTACATATTTAGTTACAGTAGGTATATTATTTTTTTGAATAAATAGAGTTTCCGAAAGTCGAACGAAAATGAGATGACAGGCTTTTAAATCTTATTTAGCTGTTTTTTAACTTTAGTCCATACAGCCTTAGGAAACAACCCGCCATACAGTCAGTTCAGTCGTTTCATATCGTGGTGCATTCCATTCTACGCACAAAACTGTAAGAAAACACACGCTTTGTTTTTCGATTTAATTGCAAGTTTTGATAAAAGCCTCTAAAAGAACCCCCATAAAATTCCAGCCCCTAAAAAAGTCCGTTTTAACACTTCTAGCCCCTAAATCTGGGGGCAAAATCCCTAAGTGGGGAACCGTGGGCTTAACGTGCCTTCCGAAGCACGGAGGAGCGAGAGATAGTGAATTTTTGGTCACCCATCCAATGACCAACCACTGCGAAAGTTGCTTAACTTCAACAATCGCAGCCGAACGCGCTAACCAGCTGCGCCTTCGAGCTCTTCTTATATATCTTTGATGTGGTCCTACCTTATATATATCATATAATTATTATCATAGGACGCCAACGCTCAAGACTTAGAACTTTTGGCCAACGAATTAAACAAAGTAGAATTGGTTCTCCCGCTGACCGCACTAGTGTCCCACGCGGCGCGACTCACACATTACAAGTGGAGGGAATCACTCTCACAAGCTTTGAAGCAAGGAACAAGGAATACTAGGTGGATATTGGCGCAGGTGAGGAGGTTCTCCCCTTTTGGTTTTTTTTCTTTGGGTCTACTCTTTATTTGAATTTGAATTTTTTTTATTCTTTCGAATAAAAAATATTTTTGGGAATCCGTCCACAAGTGACGCAGAAATCGGTGAAAATACATAAAAAAAAAATACAAACGAACGCAATAGGGTTTAAATCTAAAGAAAATTTTACTAGAAAATTTACGTATATTCTCTAGGATTTCTTTGGTTTTTCTGATGGAATGCCTTTGTTTTTTCTAAGGGTGTACTTTTTTTTTCTTAGAAAAGAAATAGAGTTTAAATCTAAAGAGTAAAATTTTACTAGAACAATGACGAATTTTATCTAGCCTTGATTTTATTTATTTTTTAAGAATTTAACTGCTAGATATTTAAATCTAAAGAAAAGTTTACTAGAAAAAAATCCACGCGGACCAGGCAGCGGACGGGACTCGAACCCGCATCCTTCGCTATGCACTGACCATTATGCTACCACGGCCCTATTTGCCGCGTCGAAATTTTCCTAGCCTTAAGCTGCAAGGCAGCGCGATCTCTTCGCATTGTAGGTAACCCACAATGTCAAATGAATACTTTTTCAAGTATTAAACATTTGAAAGAAGAAATAGCAATTATAGTTATGATTTCATTTATTTTTTAAGCATTTAACTGCTAGATGTTTAAATCTAAAGAAAAGTTTACTAGAAAAAAGCCTAAAAAGCCTTTCTCTTGCATTTCTTGGGCTAGCAAAAGCTGCGTTTCCTTGCTGCCTTAGAAAGGCGCGACATAAATTTTGAGTGTTTTTTGAACTAATGGCGCTTACGCTCTTCTGTTTGGCGTATGATTTGTAGTTTGTTTAACAAAAAATATATGGCGGGCCGAGTGGTTAACGCTTAAGCGACATCTAATTCGTGAAGAAAAGGCACTATGTATATTTATATATTTTTTATTGATAATTAGAAAATATTATTTTAAAGAAAAGTTTTACTAGAAAAAATCCACGCGGACCAGGCAGCGGACGGGACTCGAACCCGCACCCTTCGCAATCCGGGCGAATGCACTGACTAATTATGCTACCGCGGCCCTCACGGACCGCGTCGAAATTCTTCTAGCCATTCTTAAGCTGCAAGGCAGCTCCATCTCTTCGCATTGTAGGCAACCCACATCGAGTCCCGTCTGCTGCCTGGACCGCGTGGAATTTTTTCTAGTTATATTTTCTTTAGATTTAAACATCAAGCAGTTACATGCTTTAAAATAATAAAAATTGTAACGAAATTAATTAATTTAATTTATACTTCATATTATAGTCAAATAATTTCAGGTGATATGCAACTGCAAAGAGGAATTGTCACCGCACGCTAGCGTCATCCGCCCGGCGTTGCTTGAGCTAGTGGCGGACACTGCCTGTGATAATGGAGGAAAGAAAACTTTGAACGGACTGCATATTGATGTCGTGAGTTAATTGTCTTTTTTTAGAATTAAAACAAAAAAAAATTGTGTGTGTCAGCTCCGACGCACGACTGGAGTTTACTCCTTAAGTTCGATAGTCTAACCAGACGCAAAAAGAGTTTGTTTAACTTAAAAAAGATTGATACTGTATGAAAGGGTAAATTAACAAATCAATGAAAATAATATACATATATAAATATATATTTATTCATTTCATAAACATTTATTATAACTAATCAACGAAATATATTACATTAAACTTTTTACAATAGTCAATTTCAGATGTCCATAAATATATCATTAGGAATGTTGATAAATTATGTTATTATTATTATCAGACTATTATCATTTTTTAAATATTAATTAAATCAACATTGTCTGCATTATTAATTACAGTGACAAGTGGTTTATGGTAACTAAAATAAGACACATGGATGTTCGTAGATACGTGGTTCACGAATCTTGAAAATACCGCATCAATGGTTGTACCATACCTCGTTGTCCCCATTGCTCTATCAGAAACAATATCTAAATTCAGTTCAGATTTTAAAAATTTTATTAATGTCAATCCGTCATCTTTGTTTGTCAAAGTTGCGCGACATAGGATGCGCACCAAAAACGTAACGAGGTCATTCATCGATAGATTTTACTCCTCACATTTTTCTCATACCCCTATATCATATAAGGGGCCCCTTATATATGCAAATCAATTCTTAAGGAGTAAACTCCAAAAGAAAAAATACACCAATTAACCTAGCCCCAAAGTAAGCACTGTAGGCTTGTGTTATAGGACACTAAGTGTTCGAATAAGCATTAAAAATATATTATACGAATAGTAGTTACAACATTTGCCACTAGATGGCACTGTACCATGATGAATCGCGCTAAACTTTCGCGTCAGTGTTTTAGATATAAGTAATTGGTAACAAATAAATCCTTCTTGTTTCGCATTGGACACAGTTTTGTCTTTTTATTTCATCTACGTATTCAAAAGGAAAAAGCGCGAGAAACCCTTTTTATTTTTTATGTGGGATCTGTACATTACGGTAACGGATAGAATACATATATAAATATATGTATATAGAAAAAAATGGGTGCGTGTACTTATGTAGGCGCGAGAGAAGTTATCCTTCTTTGGCATCGTTAAAAATTAGTTTTTAATTGCATGCAAATAATTAATTACAATAAATTAATAAAAAGTCTGGAAAAGGACGAAGTCAATAAAGTTCAGTTTTAATTTGAAAAAATAAATAAATAATCAAAATATTCAATTAAAATCGCTACTGAATATAATTTATTAGAACATATGTGATTTGCACTTGTATGAAACTCAAACACGTATTCCGAATATACAAACTAGAAACATGTGGATAAATATTATAAATATGAATACCTATAACTGTTACTTTATTACAAAAAATAAATGTGGTTTTTGGTTCTACTACACCAATGGTGAAGAGATGGCGCTGTAGTCTCCTGAATCGCGCTTTGGTTCCGTTGTTCCAGATTAATAAATACTTTTGATAGGCCTTCACAATGCAGTCGTTAGCACCCACTAAATAGAGATTCTATTTCTATTTTGTTGGTAGATTTTCTTAATGTGCGGTAAACACAAAAGTAACAGCATGAAGTTGGTCGCTAAAGCGACCAACTTCATGCTGTTAAAATTTTGTGTTACAGTGATGCGCGCGCATCTTAAAATTTCACTCTCATCATTTTTTCATAACGCGCCTAAAGAAGTATAACTTCAATAAATATTAAACATCGAAGACTGGAGTACAAATGCTCGTATTCATCACACAAACTACGACCTCCGTGGCCGAGTGGTTTGTACGCCAGGTTTCATGGCTGTCGCCGGCTCGAGAGGTCCCGGGTTCGAATCCCGGTGGGGGGCAGATGTTTGTGTGATGAATACGAGCATTTGTACTCCAGTCATGGATGTTTAATATGTATTATATAAATATACTTACATATGTACAGTATATGTATTCTATCCGTTACCCTAGTATCCCATAACACAAGCCTTATAGTGCTTACTTTGGGGCTAGGCTAATGAGGGCTATCGCGTATGAATCCGCCGCTAGAGGCGCTAGTGTAGCGTGAGGTCTCCGAAATGTCAAATGTTATTGCTTGTTGGTTGACTACGCGGGTTTATTTCTTATTAAAATAATGTTGTGATTAATTGGTAACAATTCGGCTTAATTATGGCAAATATGAGTTATGTGGCAATGAATATCAGTTATTAAAAATTTGAGCTTAGAAAAATGATTATGTTCCCATTTTTTCCGAATAAAACGGAACTGGGCGTCACTGTGGCATGGCCTATTATGTTTAGGATATGGTTCTTTTGTGTTAAAATACGATCTAAATGTAACCTTTGATTTCATGTGTGTATTAATAAACTTTAAAAGTTACAATTTAGGACCTCACTCAACAGTGGCGCCATCTGGTGTGGCAGAAAACGGTAGCCCTCACTAAAAAAAAACGTATCATTTTTCAACACATTTGCGAGAAAGCAGTACCTATACCAAATTTAATTAATGGAGCAAACAGGGGGTTCCATCGAATTTGAAAAAATAAAGTGGGCGGTAAAGCATTTTACCGCACGCTCTGTTGTATGAGAGTTGGAAATATTTATTTATATTTTTTTATTATTTTAAAGCATGTAACTGCTTGATGGTAAAATCTAAAGAAAATATAACTAGAAAAAAATCCACGCGGACCAGGCAGCAGACGGGATTGTGGGTTACCTATTATGCGAAGAGATGGCGCTGCCTTGCAGCTTAAGAATGGCTAGAAGAATTTCGACGCGGTCCGTGAGGGCCGCGGTACCATAATTAGTCAGTGCATTCGCCAGGATTGCGAAGGGTGCGGGTTCGAGTCCCGTCCGCTGCCTGGTCCGCGTGGAATCTTTTCTAGTTATATTTTCTTTAGATTTTAATATTTATTTATTTATTTTATTTGTTATTTTGCAGCTTGAAACTGTATTACATTACGAGATGTCACCGCTCCCCGAGCTATCGTACTCGCATTTGTCTTCTACAATAGAGTATCTAATCAACACAGCCATAGACAACGGCCACAGGACGTCCATATTCGGCACTCTGTTGCCTATGCTCGGCAAATTGGCCGAACTGTACACTGAGAGGGAATTGCGATGGAACGGATTCGATGAATGCTTTTCGGGTAACTGTTTAAAAACATACATTCGTCGTTATTACAGATTTAGCCCTGTCGTCAGTGTGGTGTGGGACATAATTGGACACCGAATATCTATACACGGTCTGTCTTTAGTTTATTGTCTTTCAAATGACAAACATTGTCATATACGTGGCAATATGGCGTTCTATCGTGCGTGGCAATGTGTTTATTTACGTGTTGCGTGGCACTTCAGGGAGAATTTTAACTCCGAAATTGTCAGTGTGCAGTGTCACTGTCAATGTCAAGGCGGGCCGGCATGGTTGCGTTCCGGGGCTACACTCCGGATGCGGCTTTCGCAGGGGGGGCGAGGAGAGTAGCATATTCGGCCTAATTACCATTATAACTTTATTAATATATTATGCTTATATAATTTAATTATTTATGTTACATAGTTTAAGTATTTTAATATTTATATATTTTTGCACTGAACTTCCTTTTTATATACTTTTTGGTAATTTTATATTATTTAAATGTTTTATCCCTCTGGCATCCTTGTACAGGCCCTGCCAGAATACCAGCGCTGTTATGGTGGGAATATTCGTTCCCACGATAACAGCATTAAGCTGAGGCAGGGTCCTGATTGGCCATTCTTCTTTCTCTTCTGTATTGTTTAATTTTATTGTTTTTTTTTTTTTGCTCATTGTTTTTTTTTCTACAAATGTATTTGCGTGTTGGCCAATAAATACTTTTTCTTTCTTCTTTCTTTCTTCTTATTGAAGTGAAATTTCTTTACGCACGCTTAACTTGGGAAGTAAGCTGGCGAACGCGTTGCGCGTTACGAAAAGTCTGATCGGGAGTTGAGTGGGGGATATAAGCAAGAGAAAGCATTGCGCGCGCACATTTTCTTTCTCTCTTTCTCTTATAGTTAATAAAATATGTGTATATATATATTCATATGTATACATATATATATATATATATAGCTAATGGATGGAGCTAAAGAAGTTTCACTTCAGTCGTGTGGTCATAAGCACACTTGTTTTTTTTGACTTCTTACCACTCACACCCAATTATTAATTAGGTAACTCCAATGAATTGAAAATTATATGGAACCATTATTCTGTACCAAAGACCGTTAAAACATGCTTCCAAACTCATACATACACATACTTCAATACTAACGCGACACGCACACAGGCAATATAATGCGATTCAACTAAGAATAGGACCGACTGGACGCCATATTGTGATGTCATAGCTGTCAATTCAAACCAAATAGGTAGAGTGAGCAAAAAGAAGTTTTTATTTAATAAAACTTACTTACTAAGATTGAGAAAACAAAAACCACCGATTTTTAATAATATTTATTTATTAAGACTGAGAAAAAGCATTAATCAAAATCTAGCTCTTCTATTCCGCTCATCTCTGCATTACCACCGGAGTAGTTATGAATAATCATGCACTATTACTAGGTCACATACGAACGTGCATTCTTTATGTAAATGAAAGTTTGAAATCGAGCTAACAAAAAGTGACATTTGGTTAACGATTTAGGTTATCAACCATTCATGGTCAAAGCTCAATAAGTGAAAATAAAAAAATTAACCGATATTAATTATCAATATTTGTTATTATTTGTTTACAAATGTTTGGTTTTTATTATTGAATTAGCGGAGTGCTAATAAAGGGTACCAAGTTGTTTTTTTGCAAACCGTACTTTTTAAGCGACATTTGACAGATAGAGGTCATTGGCTTTCCTATTCTTATTTGAATCGCATTATACAAAATAATTCGACAAATCAAATATCAGCTAAACAATTCGGCATCCATTCATTGCGTAAGATAATGTTCAACGGAAATCCGGCCAATGCCATGATCGGCGTGTTGATCGCAGTTTTGTCGCCCCGCCCGCTTGATCGCAGTTCGCGTGGTACCACTTTTCAGCGCAATTTGTATACCATATCATTTCTAATTCAATGATATAAAAACATATGTACACTAACATTATCTTTGGTCTTTGTTTAACGCAAATAATTAATTAATTAGGTAACTCGGACGTAGCCAAGTGTAATTTTTAATTGTTTCGTACCCAAAGGGGAAATAATGGGACCCCATTACTAAGACTCCACTGTCCATCTGCCTGTCCGTCTTTCTTTTCTCACATGAACCGTGATAGTTAGACTGTTGAAATTTTATTTCTGTTGCCGTTATAACAATGAATATTCAATAATAATAAAATCAATATTTAAGAGGGGCTCCCATATAAGAGACGTGATTTTTCGCCGTTTTTTGTTCAACAATAGACTCAAATTTTGTTTAGATAATGGTACGGAACCCGTCGTTCGCGAATCCGACTCGCATTAGGCCATTTTTTTCGTTTGAACGATAAGTCTAATAGCTAGTAAACAATTATATTTAATTGCATGTTTTTATTTATTTTTCGGACTTAACAAGCAACGAGGCATAATTTTAAAGTTTATTGCAAAGTTTCAATATTGAACTTGTATGAGCGTTCGCTCGTATTCTTGTTCGATAGAAAGATGACTGCTTGTCCAAAGCGCCAGTGAATTTGTTTCGAAATTTAATACTTCAACACTTGTACACATATCAATTAGTAATAATTGATTTTTCTAAGCATGTAACTGCTCGATGTTTAAATCTAAACAATATAACTAGAACAAATTCCACGCGGACCAGGAACAGGCGGGACTCGAACCCGCACCCTTCGCTATCCGGGCGAATGCACTGATCTATTAATTATTATTACCTACAATGCGAAGAGATGGCGCTGCCTTGCAGCTTAAGAAAGGCTACAGAGAATTCGACACGGCCATCAGGGCCGCGATATCATAATTGGTCACTGCTTTCGCCCGGAAAGCGAAGGGTGCGGGTTCGAGTCCCGTCTGCTGCCTGGTCCGCGTGGAATATTTTCTTTATTGTAGTTGGTTAAGAGATGTACTTATATACTTTATCGACTGTATTTTCGATACACAATATTCCATTTAGTTAGCTATGTACATTGTTTTGTAGGTTGTAAACATATGTATATATATCATTATATGTTACTATATTTTTTTTCACAGCTCCAACTAAACTGAAGTATCTTCTTTCCGTATTATTAGTAATAACCAAACACAGAGTTAATGTCACAAACTTGCTACAGACATTATGTAATCTAGACCAAAAGTATTGGTCTCAAGAACCAAGGCTGTCTGAATTATTCGGTTACGCGTTATCGTGTGCGAGCGAGAGGGCTGTATATCTGTCTCAGCATCGAAGGTTTCTGGCGAGAAGAGTGGGGGATGTGGATTATGTCAAACTGGTGTATAATGCACAGAAGGGGTATCCGAAGTTGGTCGATGAAGCGATATTCAAGTGAGTCACATATTTTCTAATATATAAAATTCTCGTGTCACGGTGTGCGTAGGGTATTTGACAAGTTTTAGAAAACGATCTCACGTTATTCACTAATGTTTAAAGAGTTCATAAAAAGGATATTCATCATTATATTGTGTATTTCGGTAAAAAACTATTTTGAAAACGTTTTTCTGGACAATATGGCGTCTCACTAGTCTGTGACGTCACACGACTGTTATTAAAACGTCAAACGATGCAATGTAATGTCATTTTAACCGGAAGTTTACTTGCGTGTAACGTCATTTTAGGCTCCACCAATCCCAAGCGTTTTGGGTCACGTGACAATAGATAAGAAAACTATTACTCTTTTTCGTGGGTTTTTAGTAAAATTATGAATATTTTTTTTTGTAAAAATAGTAAAAGCTCCTGCCAATATTCATTCTAAATACAGATGCTAACAATTGGCACTTTATTTTTGACGACCTCCGTGGCCGAGTGGTTTGTACGCCGGGTTTCATGGCGTCGCCGACTCGAGAGGTCCCGGGTTCGAATCCCGGTGGGGGGCAGATGTTTGTGTGATGAACATGAGCCTTTGTACTCCAGTCATGGATGTTTAATATGTATTGCTATATAAATATACTTATATATGTACTGTATATGTATTCTATCCGTTACCCTAGTATCCCATAACACAAGCCTTACAGTGCTTACTTTGGGGCTAGGCTAATTGGTGTGAGTGTTGGAAATATTTATTATTTATTTATTATTATTTATTATTTTTAATACTGTCAAATACCCTATTATTATATTAAATTAAATTACTACTGTTTTGAATGAATTTTAAATTAAATAAGTGATAAGTTGTATTTTTAGTGACATGTACCTATTTCTATAGTAATGAACATGAGTTATGTTGCTTTAAATAAATTCATTTTATTTTATTTTTATTTTATTATAAAATTAAATCGAGGTGTTTATTTTAGAGTCATCACAGATTTGACACCGAAGTCAGTGGGCACTAACAAAACCTGGTGTCTGAAGATATTATCGAGTTACGTCGGTGAGTTGAGTTTAATTCATTGTCTATCTATCTGTAATATTGTGAAGAGAAAAGATTGTGTGTTTACGACTCAAAATCCACAGGACCGATTACCTGAATTCTTTTTCAATATAATTGATTAAAAATCAACGATATTAAATACCCTAGATACACCACAAAATGTGTACCAATCAAGAAGTGCTTGAACACCACTCAAGCACTTCTTGGTTCACAGTCACGCGCGGACCGTTGAAAAGTCAAGTTGCCGCAGAGCTCCGTGAAAAAATGCGAAAATATACTTATAGTATGTAAAGTGTCTTTTTTCGACTGGTATTTAATCAATGTTTGTTAATTTAACACATTCGAAGCAAATTTTGTTTTAATACTAGTCACTATTAAAACAAAATTTTATTATAGTCATAAACTGATTTAATAGAAAATATTTGTGATATTCAAATGCATCGTCGGTAATATAGCCGTCCTAATTTTTTCCTCGCGATTGTACCTGCTATATTGCTAACAGAGCATTCAGAATTGCGCGTAGAATCAAAGAAATAAGGTCTATATTCTTTAGCATATAGCAATAAGTCGTAAAATTTTACAAGTATGCATTTCGAACTGTCGGAACTCTTTGACGCGTGCGTTTTAATGAAGACCTTATACAGTATGCTTTAAAGGTGACTTTCAATATTTAAATAATGCCTTATATTGTTTTTGACAACCAGATCATCTTACGGAGCTCCGTGGAATGTACAATGTACCTTTTGCACAGGTTTCGGGCACGATTTAGTTCGTGTTGGTGTATCTAGGATATTTAATATCGTTCTTGAAAATGGATAAACGCAGGTTGTATAAACTGTTCAAGAGTTCAAAATAACATGCGAGCCACACAACGGAGCGTGCGGTAAAACATTTTACCGCACGCTCCCATACTTGGCGGCAAGCGTATCCATCACGGCTTTTTTATTCAATTTCATTCGAACAGGAAGCTCTAATATACTAAAATGAAAAAGACACTAACGATGTAGTTCCAATTTTCACCGCTCGCAAGTGGCGCCACTTGAAAATTTTCATATTACAAAACAGTTGGCTTCATGTCATTAATGAGGTGTAGGTATTGTTTTTTCGCAATGAGGGCTATCGCGTATGAATCCGCCGCTAGAGGCGCTAGTGTAGCGTGAGGTCTCCGAAATGTCAAATGTTATTGCTTGTTGGTTGACTACGCGGGTTTATTTCTAATTAAAATAATGTTGTGAATAATTGGTAACAATTCGGCTTCATTATGGCAAATATGAGTTATGTGGCAATGAATGTCAGTTATTAAAAATTTGAGCTTAGAAAAATGATTATGTTCCCATTTTTTCCGAATAAAACGGAACTGGGCGTCACTGTGGCATGGCCTATTATGTTTAGGATATGGTTCTTTTGTGTTAAAATACGATCTAAATGTAACCTTTGATTTCTTGTGCGTATTAACAAACTTTAAAAGATACAATTTAGGACCTCACTCAACAGTGGCGCCATCTGGTGAGACAGAAAACGGTAGCCCTCATTGTGTTGGAAAATATTGTATGATATACGCGCGGAATTGTTATTTACAAACTCGTGGCCTATGGTAAGCCCTCAACTTTCGTCTACTCGTTTGTAATAACCAACTTACCGCACTAATATCATAAATAACTATTACCATTACAATGCTACATCATCTCTGAGTAACGTAGGCTACAATTTAGCTCTAAAACATAAAGTTCTATTGCGCAAAGCCGGGGCGTACCGCTAGTGTACACATAACTAATTTCCTGAAATGTGGTTTTAGTATTAGTATTTCCATAAGGTCGATATCTCCAGATCAACATAGAGTTGAAATGTCAAGCAAGGGTATTTAAAATTTTCGTAAATCTTACGACAAGATACTCTGTACTGTCCCTATGTATGCTTAGATCTTTAAAACTACGCAACGGATTTTGATGCGGTTTTTTTAATAGATAGAGTGATTCAAGAGGATTTTTTATATGTATAATACATGCATAACATGGTAGAGAAACACTGATAATTTCAGAGGTTTTTAATGTAAGGTCGTAAATAAACACATTAGCGTTTACATTGCAAACGCTGGCTGAACCCTACGAGATAGATCAAAATAATGTACTACAGTATTGTACACCATAAAAAAGGTCTAAAAAAAAGCCCTAAGTCCATGATGGTATATGTCTCAAAATAGTTATTGTGGGTTATCTCTTAGGGATAACCCACAATAACCATTGTGGGTTAACCACCCACAGAATTAATAGATTATTTACGAACGATTTTCAGCAATATAACATTCATCCTTATCCAATTAACTAAATCCTTAAATACATTGTGCATTTAATATAGACCAATTTGGCCCTTTAACGCATGTAATTTAAATGAATATTTTCGAAGATATTACAGATTTAAAATGCAGGGACATAGCGGTTCCGACGCTACCGGGCGGGGGGCCAGGCGGCGCGTGCCTATTGTAATTAGGTATTAGAAGAATGTCATTGTGTATAATACAAGCCTGAGAACAAAAACTACACTACAGCTCTATACCGAAGCGAAGCGAGGGCGGGCCACTTGTACATATATAATCAAGATAATTCAATAAATAATTTAACTATGCTATTTTTTCTTTCAAATGTTTAATACTTTTAAAGGTATTTATTTATTTGACATTTTGGGTTACCTACAATGCGAAGATATGGCGCTATCTTGCAGCCTAAGGCTAGAGAAAATTCGACACGGCCATCAGGGTCGCGGTAGCATAATGGTCGGTGCATTCGCTCGGATAGCGACGGGTGCGGTTTCGAGTCCCGTCTGCTGCCTGAACCGCGTGGATTTTTTTCTAGAAAAAAAATCTTTATCTCGAAAAATTATTTCAATATTGAAATCTCAATTTTGTTTTAGAACACACCACAGACGCAACGGCCACTATATCCGACATGTTCGAAACTATAGACATTTGCTCGCTGCTCCAAGAGAGCAATATTGAAGCATTGTGCGTCTTAAAGCATGGTTGTAGTAAGATGGGTGGGAGGCTGCGTAGGAGAGTTGGTAATACGCTGGTAGGGCTGTGTTCCAGTACCGATGTGAAGGTCAGAAGACCAGCGCTGGAGGTGGCTTTGAAGATATTCCAGGGTAAGTTGGAGTTACATTGTTTTTATAGGAGCTAACTTTTTAATATTTCTACATCTATCTGTCCACATACCCGGAAAGAACATAATTTAAATATAAGCTTGTTTAAAAAAATGTGTTTATCAAGATAATGATGTCGATTCTGGCATGATTCTATTAACCCAAAAACTAAATATTTCCAAATATTTCCAACACTCACACCAATTAGCCTTGCCCCAAGCTAAGCACTATAAGCTTGTGTTATGGGATACTAGGGTAACGGATAGAATACATATACTGTACAAAGTCAGTATATTTATATAGAAAGACATATTAAACATCCATGACTGGAGTACAAATACTCGTATTCATCACACAAACATCTGCCCCCACCGGGATTCGAACCTGGGACCTCTCGAGTCGGCGACACCATGAAACCCGGCGTACAAACCACTCGGCCAAGGAGGTCGTCGTCAAATTTAACATCAGTCTCTCCTTTTCATTCTCTATAGAGTATGACAAGGATACACTGTTGCCAAATTAAAGTTTAGATTTGGAGAATCATGCCAGAATCGACACCTTTGTACATTTTAGTTTAGTTTTTAACCGCTTAAATTATACCCCTTGAAATTCATCAGGCAATTTTTTCACTTTATGAAAGTTAATGTTAATACTTATGTTATGGCTTTATGTCATAATGAACAGTGTGTTTAAACTAATTTACTACGAAATTGTGAATATTTAATTTTGTATTACCTTTGTGAACTTTATTCAATAACTCTTTGTGTTCCAAATATAACAAAATAAAATATGAACTTATTAGCTCTTGAGGAACTGAATGGCGCGGGTGATTACCGCGAATGGCCGATCATTGGATGGGTGACCAAAATCTTATTATGACGTGTTACGACAGCACCATCTAGTCACTCTAGGTGAATTTAGATGGCTTGCAAACTTCGCATTATGTGTTCAGGTTTCGACACTTGTAATCTAGATGGCGTTGCCGACAATGTGTCATCTTCCGAGCAGTTAACATCTAAATTACTCTAACCAAATTGTCTTTCATTTGGACTCCCACGTACATGACGAGCTCCTCCATGCTTCGGAAGGCACTTTAAGCCGTTGGTTCCGACTGTATCTGTTGACTATAGCAACACCAATCTTCACGATCCCAGTGGTGGCACTGGCTCTTATCCCATCCATAGGGAAGGCTTGTGTGGACTAGGAGTGGGGACATTTAAAGTCTGATAATAATAGTGGAACTATGAACAGTTTACTGGTGTGTGTGCTTCAATAATAGTCTATTTGACGGTATGAAAAATAATATACCAATAGGGGTGATGACGGGGTACAGTAAACAAAATTCTATTTAGAACGTCAGTACGTCTTTGGGCAAGATTGGGAGTAGGGGCTCGTGAAGTCACTGTTAAGTGAAAATTGTACCAAAACGTGACGTCATGCGACTTTTCAAATCAATATATCTCTGCAATGTTTATGTTATGTGAAAAAAGAAAAAATACGTGTCCAATACTTTTGATACTCTACCTGATAAACGAAGAAGAACAAAAATTAGTCATCATCTCTATTGTTGGTCTGTATTTAATATGAATATTTGCAGCGATTTAACTATTCTGAAAGAACAAATCTATACTTATAATAAATCTGTAGAGATGTCAATTCTGTACATGAAATATATTTTTAAAATAACTATCAGGGGGTGATTAATGATCGATACTGATGCCAAAAATGCAATCAGTAAAATTTTTGTCTGTCTGTCTGTCTGTCTGTGTGTATGTTCCTTATAGAAACAAAAACTACTCAACGGATTTTAACGAAACTTGGTACAATTATTCTTCATACTCCTGGGCAGGTTATAGTATACTTTTCATCACGCTACAATCAATAGCAGCAGAGTAGTGAAGGGAAATGTTGGGAAAACGGGAGAAGTTACTCCATTTTTTAAGCTTCCGTCGCGTGTGCAGCCTTAATGGTTAAAGTTACATAGAAATCATGTATGACGGAAATATTCTACATAAAATATATCTCGCAACAACGTATGTCTATCTTTTATGGTTGATTCACAATAACACGTGTAATTATATAAATAAAGTCATTCTTTATAGCACAAGCCTGAGAACAAAAACTATAGTTTACACTACAGCTCTACACCGAAGCGAAGCGAGGGCGGGCCACTAGTAAATAATAAATCTAATATATAAAATTCTCGTGTCGCGGTGTTTGTGGTTAAACTCCTCCGAAACGGCTCGACCGATTTTCGTGAAATTTTATATGCATATTCAGTAGGTCTGAGAATCGGATGTAATCTATTTTTCATCCCCCTAAATGTTAAGGGTAATCCACACCAAAATTTTTTTGTTTCAATTTTAGATTTTTTTTTTTTATTTTTTTTATAATACATCATACAAAAATACATACATTCCTAAATTTTCAACTTTCTACCACCAATCCCTATTTTTTTATGGCGGTACGAAGTTCGCTGGGTCAGAGCTTGTTTTCTATAAATTAAACAGAAATGATTTTTTTGCTCCATGGCCACGTGACCGAAAACGCCTGGGTTTGGCCAAGACTAAAATGACGTCACGCGCTAGTAAACTTCCGGTCACAGTGACATTACATTGTATCGTTTGACGTTTCAATGACGGTCGTGTGACGTCACACACTAGGGAAACGCCATAATGTCCAGAGAAATGTTATCGCGGCAACTTGTAAATTGAATTTTTAATTTAGTTTTTTTTACTGAATGACAAAATAGAAATAAAAATATAATAACGTGAGATCGTTTTCTAAGCATTGTCAAATACCCTATTAGATAAGATTACGTATGTTGTCTTGTCATTGGGTTTTAAGTCCGGAATTGATGTTTATCACTATTTTTTTAAAATTTGAGATACGCCAAACGTAGATTCGACCGAATACAAATGTTCGGCCGAATATTCGGTTCAATTCTGCGAGGTAAACAGATTTTTACACGTCGGTATGGCACTCTGTAAGAGCTTGCGTTAATAGATACATAATTATTTAAAAATTTCTTAATTTGATCATTTTCATATTTTAATACTAATGTATCATATCTAAAGATATTGTTTATTATATTAAAAAAAAAATATATATTCTAATAAAAGTTGTATCTCAAAGCAGTGTTCTCTAAATTGTTAAGTTTATAGATATTGGTGTCGATTCTGGCATGATTCTCTAATCTTAAAACTAAATTTAACACCAGTCTCTCCCTTTCATTCTGTATAGAGAATGACAAGGATACACTGTTGTCAAATTAAAGTTTAGGTTTAGAGAATCGTGCCAGAATCGACACCATTATTATTTAGTTAATTTTTCATCTTTAAAAAAGCAGAAGTTTTTTTGACTAATATTTTATTCAAATTGATTTTTAAACATTTACATTTATTTGGTCAATGAATAATTGTTACAAAAAGTAGTGTTTCTTTCATTTACAAAAAGCTATATATATATTTTTGGAATACACCACACTTATTTAGTAATGAGCTAACCTTAATGTTTAACATATATTTTTTAATATTAACAATAATTTTAAATTTTCGACAAGTAGGTATTCGGCAAATCATCCGAATATTCGGCTGAAAACGAACATGAAAAAAAATGCCGAATATACCGAATACCGAACATTCGGCGAATCTCTATCATTAATAATTACTTTTGCGTACAGTTCAACAATTGTTTGTGTTTCTAATCTAATATAAAAATCGTCGTGTCACAATGTTAGTTACCATACTCCTCCGAAACGGCCTGACCCTTATGTTATGAAATTTTATATGCATATTCCGTGGGTCTGAGAATCGGCTACTATTTATTTTTATATGCTTAAGTGATAATGGTTGTCCACCTGTAACGTAGTGTTCTGAAACCTAAAATGCGGCTTCGCGCCAAAATTCAAACTATTGGGTATTTTAACGTAGTGTTCTCATATAGGTTAGGAGGAATGTTATCCCAGGAAATTGACTAGAACACTACGTTACACACACACCTAACATTTTTTGAACAATATTTATATTTTTATAATGTGGTATTAAAAAATACTTACAACCCTAAATTTTCTTTTCTCCCAACTGCCCCTATTTTTATGGCGGTACGAAGTTCGCTGGGTCAGCTAGTAAAATATAAAATATTTATGATTTTATTTATTTTTTTAAGCATTTAACTGCTAGATGTTTAAATCTAAAGAAAAGTTTACTAGAAAAAAAAATGTGGGTTACCTACAATGCGAAGAGATGGCGCTGCCTTGCAGCTTAAGGCTAGGAAAATTTCGACGCGGCTAATAGGGCCGTGGTAGCATAATGGTCAGTGCATTCGCCCGGATAGCGAAGGATGCGGGTTCGAGTCCCGTCCGCTGCCTGGTCCGCGTGGATTTTTTTCTAGTAAACTTTTCTTTATAAAATATTTTTTTTCTCTCAGATCTATTCAAACCGCAATCATCAGAACCTCCTCAAAAGCGACGTAAACTGACCCCTGATACATCACAATCTCTCATACTGACGGGCGGCGACGACCCCGAGACTGGCAGGGTGATGGAGTGCGTGTCCAGGGGACTGGCAGATTATGACGAGGATCTGGCTAAAGCTATGAGGAATGGAGTTAGTCTGTGTCTTAATACTGAAGATATGGGAGTCAGGTAGGATTCATATATCTATACTATGTAATATTATAGACGCGACACTCTCAAATAGTGACTTATAATGACGTTCCCAAATAGTGACATCCTCCATATAGTATCAAATACTAAATACTGACAGGCTCAAAAACCAACACGTCTAAATAGTGACACACTCTATTAGAATCAGATTTGTTTTACATGCATGTCAAAGTAGATTAGATATTAATAGGGATGATGACTATTTTTTTTTTCTTCGTTTATCAGGTAGATTATCAAAAAGTATTGGACACGTATTTTTTCTTACAAACATTGCAGAGATATATTGATTTGAAAAGTCGCATGACGTCACGTTTGAGTACATTTATAAGTGAAAATTCACTCAAAAGTGACGTCACGAGCCCCTACTCCCAAACTTTGACGCGCTATAACTTTGTCATTTTTTGGTTTATTGCCCAAAGAAAAAATACGTGTCCATTATTTTTTGATCATGTAACTGACGGACTAAATAAAATTTCGTTTACTGTACTCCGTCATCACCCCTATTATAATTTTGATAAGCCATAGAGTTGTCATGCTTATAGTCAATATTTAATTTCAATGGAAAAATAAGCAAAATTTCCAAAATATTTAATAAAGGACTGCTTTTAAAAATACATGTGGGATTTATTTACAGGATTTGTCATTTAATAATTACTCAACTGTATAGTAGACTTTTTTCAAATAATAATGCCAATAGACGCTTCCTTGAAAAATCTTAATCAGTAGTCATTAAAAAGTACTTGGAACCTTGTTGAATATAGTTTAGTTTACTGATACACCCAAGTAATTACTCTCCCAAATAGTGACCCTCAAAGAGTGACTTACCCAAATAGTGACATCACCAAATATTAAAACCACTAAAAAGTGACAATAATAAATAGTGACACCATCAAATAGTGACTCCCTCAAAGAGTGACATTTCCCAATAATGACACTCCGAAATAGAGATGCTCACAAATAATGGCACTTCCAAATAGTGACACTCCTACTTTATATATTTTTACTTTTTTTTTTAATATTTAGTTACATGTTTTAATAAAAACAAAAATAAAAGGTAAAACTATAATTTATATTTCTTCTCCACGCGGGCCCAGTGCGGATTGGTGGGTGCTAACGACTACAGATGCAACGACGATCGCAGTCGAACGCGCTAACTACTTGCGCCATCGAGCTCATATGAAAATATACTAATATTGAATTGATAAAGAAAGGAGCCCGATGGCGCGGGTTGTTAGCGCGTTCGGCTGCGATCGTTGGAAGTTAAGCAACTTTCGCAGTGGTCGGTCATTGGATGGGTGACCAAACATTTACTATCTCTCCCTCCTCCGTGCTTCGGAAGGCACGTTAAGCCGTCGGTCCCGGCTGCATCTGCAGTCGTTAGCACCCGCCAAACCGCACTGGGCCCGCGTGGTGGGTCACGGCCCAATCTCTCTATTCCATCTATAGGGAAGGCCTGTGTCCCAGCAGTGGGGATATTAATAGGCTGATGATGATGATGACGACCGCAAGTGCAGGCGGCCACACTATTTGGGAGTGGCATTATTTGGAATTGTCACTATTTAAGGTTGTCACTATTTGGTATTGGCACTATTTGGAAGTGTCACTATTTGGGAGTATCACTATTAGATAGTGTCTCTATTGACGACGCCACTCTTTGAGTGTGACACTTTTTGGAAGTGTCGTGTATAATATATCATAGGCTGATGATGATGATATTTTCATAGAAGCATTGTTACAGGTTAGCGGAATGCTTCATGCTTGCTATGAGTATACCGGCCGTGACCAGGAAGGGAGACGTGTGTGCGTGTGTGTGTGTGTTCCTGCAGATATTGTTCCAACATGTCCGCACTCAGCACAGGTTCCAAGTCCTCAAACTGAGTGAAGAGCCGATGATTGTCAGGTGAGAATCTCTTATCTATTAGACAAGTCCGTCCGTCCGTCCGTCTGTGGTGCTGTTTCAGCGGCCAAACCGTAAGAGATAGATATAGAGAATGTTTAAGTTGTAAGTTAGGAATAGTCTGATAAGACTACAAACCGGATTTGAGTAACGTAGCACTTCCGGTTTTCGAGAAATCACGAATTTCAAACGGAACCACACATGATCTCCGAAGTTCTCAATTAGTTAAATACATTTTTTTTCTTTTTTTTTTAAATCAGGTTTTAGTGAACATTTGGTTCACTGGTTTGCTAGTGTTGTTATATATAGTGTACATTCCTTGTAAACAAAAGAGATTAAAATATAGTCGCTAAGCGTCAAGAGCTATCAAATAATGCCCGCTCAGCAATGATTGCCGCTCAGCTCGCTCGGCGTAACCTAACCTAACTAATTGTGAACCCAAAAATATTTATATCAAGCCTACGATTATTTTCGCAATCTTACGGAGGCGATTCTCGTTTTCGCAAACATCCTATTTTTTTATGAATAGTCCTCTAGGTGTAGTCTAATTATCCGCGTTTTCGCAAAATCCCTAAGATTATGGACATAGGCACGTTATACTGACGCATGGCGTACTACAAAAAATCCATAAGAGTAAAAGAGACTACAATATAGTATTGGGTTTGAGGAATGTCATAACGCCGTAAAATTAAACCTTAACACGATGTAGAAGGTTAATAGCGCCATCTATCGAACGCTTAGTCGAACATTTGAATGAACTAGAGAGCTTAAATTAATGGCCCGCGCCGACGAAGGGCTTGTCCGTTGAGGAGAAAAAAGTTTCCGAATCGTGAAAAATGTGCGCCCAGGACTTATCACAGACTCAACGCATACGGTGTGCATAATAGGTATGTAAATCCACGGAGCTTCGTAAGATGATCGCGTAGTCAAAATCAATATAAAACATTATTTAAATATTGAAAGTAACCTTTAATACATAAATATAAATAAATAAAAGGTCTTTAATAAAACGCATGCGTCAAGGACTTCTGACAGTTCGAAATGCAAGCTCGTAAAATTTTACGACTTATTGCTATATGCGGAAGAATTTAGAACTTAGTTCTTTGACTCTACCCGCAATGAGGGCTATCGCGTCTGAAACCGCCGCTAGAAGCGCTTGTGTTGCGTGTGGTCTCCGAAATGTCAAATGTTATAGCTTGCGGGTTGACTACGCGGTTTTTTGAAGTTATACTTCTTTAGCCGCGTTATGAAAAAATTATGAGAGTGAAATTTTAAGATGCGCGCGCATCACTGTAACACAAAAGTAACATAATGAAGTTAGCCGCGCGCGCGTTATGAAAAAATCATGTGAGTGAAATTTCGAGATGCGCGCGAATCATTGTAACCAAAAAGTAACAGCATGAAGTTGGCCGCGGGCGCGTTATGAATGTTAGTCTAGTTAGTATACTAAGTGGTTAATAATCCACCATTATTAGACATCTGTTCGAAAGGTACTTTGAACGATCCACGGAGCTCCATAAGATGATCGCGTTGTCAAAAACAATGTTGGCACGCTCGTCGCCTCTGATCACTGTTTCCATATTTATAATATTTATCCACATGTTTCTAGTTTCTATATAGACACAACGTGTTTTAGTTACTTACAAGTGCTAATTACATATGGACTAATAACTTAAATTCAGTAGTGATTTTAACTGAATATTTTGAATATTTATTTAATTTTTCAAATTAAAACTGAACTTAATTGACTGTGTTAACTATCCTTTTCCAGTCCTTTTATTATTTTATTGTAATTATTAATTATTTGCATGCAATTAAAAATATTTTTAATGATGCTAAAGAAGTATAACTTCTCACGCTAAGTTACACGCATCCATTTTTTTTTCTAATTAAAATAATAGTTGTGAATATTTGGTAATAAATCAGACTTATTATGGCAAATATCTGTTACGTGTCAATGATAGTCAGTTATTTAAAAGCGGAGCTAAGATAAAAATATTGTCCTTCTTTTTTCCGAACAAAACGGGACTGCGCAACACTGTGGCATGGGCGATTATGTTTAAGATACGATTCTTTTGTATTAAAATGTAAACTTTGATATCACGAGCGTGTTTACTAACTTTAAAAGTTACACTTCAGGACCTCACTCAACAGTGGCGCCATCTGGTGAGACGAAAAACGATAGCCCTCATTCTGTACGCGCTGTTAGCAATATAACAGGCACGGACCGCGAGGAAAAGAGACGGCTATATGGCGACGTATAACCGACCATGCATTTGAATATCACAAATATCCTTACTAATATTATAAAGGCGAAAGTTTGTTTGGATGGATGTATGGATGGATGTTTGTTCCTCTTTCACGCAAAAACTACTAAACGGATTTTAATGAAACTTTACAGTAATGTAGCTTATAGATCAGAATAACACATAGGCTATAATTTATAAAGATATTGTGTGAATTGTCCAAAATATAACGATAAATGTCATTTAAGTCTGAAAAAATTCTGCAATCTGCGAGCTATTCAGGCGTGTAAGGATAAAATTGTCTAAAAAATATCCCGCAACAGCATATGTCTATCTTTTATGGTTGACTCACAATAACACGTGTAATTATATAAATAAAGTCATTCTTTATAGCACAAGCCTGAGAACAAAAAGTATAGTTTACACTACAGCTCTACACCGAAGCGAAGCGAGGGCGGGCCACTAGTATTTTATAATAAATCAGTTTATAGTAAGTATTAGAACAAAATATACTTCAAATGCGTTAAATTAACAAACATTGACTAGATACCTGTCGAAAAAACGTCAGTTTTCGTACTCTAAGTATTATTTTCGCATTTTTTCGCGGAGCTCTGTGGCATCTTGACTTTGTTACGGTCCGCACGTGACTGTGAAACAAGAAGGCTTGAGTGGAGTTCAAGCACTTCTTGATTGGGACACATTTTAAACGCTCGTGGTGTATCTAGGGTATTTAATATTGTTGGTTGTATATTATTCTTCGTCTTACTTCGCCAGGGATTCGACCGCTGGACCACCGAAGCTGCTTACAAACAGCAGAACCTACCATGGCACCTTCTTGAGTGTAGCCTCTAGGAAAATAAAGAAGATAAAAGAAGGTGAGTGTGGCTGTTGTTCTATTAACAGGTGCTTTAATTTTTTCCTGGAACTTAATTTATCGACATCAGGTTTCTACTCCACCAGCTTTCTGATAAAGTATATAAGGCTAGTACTAGTAAAAGATAAGTACAGTACAATCTCACTAATCCGGCACTATTAAAAACCGGAGGGTGCCGGATTATTGGAATGTTCGGATTACTGAGTTGTAGTGAAAAAGTCGCAGGTAACGAATAAAATAAAGCATTTCATAGATGGAATAAGTGTATGTAATGTATTAATTTAATAAGTACATACACATATGGAATTACATAGTTGTCGACGATTGTGTCTCCAATTTGCACAACGACGAAAAACGAAACGTAACGGGTGAAAGAAGCCGCGAAGAAGACCCGCGCATTCGAATTTTACTAGCAAACCAGTGAACCAAATGTTCACCAAAACCTAAAAAAAATAAAATAAAAAAAAGGTATTTAATTAATTGAGAACTTCGGAGATTTTGTGTGGTTTCGTTTGAAATCACGTGATTTCTCGAAAACCGGAAGTGCTACGTTACTCATATCCGGTTTGTAGTCTTATCAGACTATTCTTAACTTAAATATTCTCTTTATCTATCTCTTACGGTTTGGCCGCTGAAACAGCACCACAGACGGACGGACGGACGGACTTGTCTAATAGATAAGAGATACGGCGCACAATACGCATACAAATTTTTCTATCATCCAATTATTGTAATTAAACGTCTTATCAAGTATACGAGTACCTCATTAGATAGGAGACCTGACTGTCCCAAACAATAGTTTTAAAATAATCCTTAATTGAGGTCTGCTTTTGTGCAACTTCTAGTCCTTGCTTAAAAACCCTTTCTCGCATGTTGCGAAGAATTATAATATCTTTGGCAGACATGCTGTTTTCTTCAGGTATTGAAACAAATCAAATGCTTTTATGGGCAAGTTGGATCTTTTGCATAAACTTCTTGACTTCTGGGACAAAGTGATTATGAAACCATTCGCTGAATACTTCTCTCGTGACCCAACTTCTAATTTGATTCTTGTAGCAGACTGGCAGACAAATCGCACCTTTATTCCAATACTGTCATTATCTTTATGATTTTATTTATTTATTAAGCGTTTAACTGCTAGATGTTTAAATCTAAAGAAAAGTTTACTAGAAAAAAAAAATCCACGCGGACCAGGCAGCGGACGGGACTCGAACCCGCATCCTTCGCTATCCGGGCGAATGCACTGACCATTATGCTACCACGGCCCTATTAGCCGCGTCGAAATTTTCCTAGCCTTAAGCTGCAAGGCAGCGCCATCTCTTCGCATTGTAGGTAACCCACAATGTCAAATGAATACTTTTTCAAGTATTAAACATTTGAAAGAAGAAATAGCAATTATAGTTATGATTTTATTTATTTTTTAAGCATTTAACTGCTAGATGTTCAAATCAAAAGAAAAGTTTACTAGAAAAAAAAAAACCACGCGGACCAGGCAGCGGACGGGACTCGAACCCGCATCCTTCGCTATCCGGGCGAATGCACTGACCATTATGCTACCACGGCCCTATTAGCCGCGTCGAAATTTTCCTAGCCTTAAGCTGCAAGGCAGCGCCATCTCTTCGCATTGTAGGTAACCCACAATGTCAAATGAATACTTTTTCAAGTATTAAACATTTGAAAGAAGAAATAGCAATTATAGTTATGATTTTATTTATTTTTTAGCATTTAACTGCTAGATGTTTAAATCAAAAGAAAAGTTTACTAGAAAAAAAAAATCCACGCGGACCAGGCAGCGGACGGGACTCGAACCCGCATCCTTCGCTATCCGGGCGAATGCACTGACCATTATGCTACCACGGCCCTATTAGCCGCGTCGAAATTTTCCTAGCCTTAAGCTGTAAGGCAGCGCCATCTCTTCGCATTGTCACTGTCATTATCATAAAATAAAATTAAAATACAGGATTTGAAGTAATGTGTAGATTCGTAACGTAGCAAATAGATGGCGTTGTAAACTATTTTTTGAAGAATTTTGTTTAATGACAGTATATTGGAATAAAGGTGCGAAATGTTCTTGTAAGCTCGGGGATTTTTTGCTTTACCAATCACTAACAAATCTAAGGTGTAGAGGGGCGAGGGAAACATGGGCGGAGGGTGCCGGACTATTGGACGTGCCGATCTATCCAAGTGCCGGATTAGTGAGATTATACTATATCTTCCTTTTTTGTTTTAATCTAAGCTTGCAACATTTTTTTTTCTATTATAGTAATATAAGTTATTTACGTGATTGTTACCATGTACCTTGTTTTTAGCGAGTTTCCGATATTTCGGCACTGTTGCAAGCGCCATGATCACGGAGTAACTGAAGTAATTGCGGGTAGGCTGTTACTAGCAGACATATTGCGACCCCATCTATTTGGAGGTAGTACTGACCCTCATGATGCAACAGCTTGGCATATTCCTTCGGGATGTCATTTTCTTGCAACTTCACCTTCACCACTTCCAGACAATCCAACACATGTACATTTGTGAACAGCGATTCTACGTCAAAACTGACCATCAACTGATTTTCATCTACCTTGTTTTGGTGCAAGATTTCTATGAAATGGCGGGAATCCTTCACAAACGACGACGTTCGTCCCACTATCGGCTGCAATACTTTTGCCACGTGCTTGGCCAGTTCATATGTAGGTGAGTCTATCTGACTCACGATCGGACGTAGGGGCACATTTGGCTTATGGATTTTCGGCAGACCATATAGTTTTGGAGTCTGGATGTTCCTAGGACGTAATAAATATTTGACAATGTCATCGTCTAAAGCGTGGGCGCATTCTTTTATGAGTGAGCGAGTGTTACGATCTGTCCTTGCCGTTGGGTTGTAATTCACCTTCTTGTATATGTGTTCGTCAGTGAGTAGACTCTGGATTTTGTTTTCATACTCACTGGTATTCATTATGACTGTCGCATTCCCTTTATCAGCTTTTAGTACAGTATATTCTTGTTCTTGTGAAGATCTCTCAAGGCCACTGATTCGGAAGAAGTAATGTTCGGTCTTGGTGGCCTGACATGAATTCTCGGTAATAGTGAGAATGTGAACAGTGGTACGGGTATCGAACGCAATAAAAGACTTCGTCGGAGGGTAGACCGATATGTCTGCCAATAACAGCCTACCCGCAATTACTTCAGTTACTCCGTGATCATGGCGCTTGCAACAGTGCCGAAATATCCGAAACTCGCTAAAAACAAGGTACATGGTAACAATCCCGTAAATAACTTATATTACTATAATGTTAGTGACCATGAAAGTTTAAAACAATATAATATTTTTTATATTCAAGCTTTTGCCGATTTGGTTATTTTTTGTTTTAACTTACTTTAATAAATTTTATAATAATATTCATTTGTTTGCAAATCATTAATTTAAATTTTTAATCGATATTTTTATGACAAGTGGATAATAAATTAATTCCATTCATATTTAAATGAATTCGTCTTATTTCTTTACACACAAAAGCATGAGATAATACTTGAGGTACAAAATTGGACAGAGTTGTATGGTGAATGAATGGGGCTCCATTCATATTATATATAAAAGGCTTTTTATCTTATATATTATCATAATATCTTATGTAATTGATAATAATCTCAAGAATTGTAGGTTATCTATCTATATTATCTACAATGCGAAGAGATGGCGCTGCCTTGCAGCTTAAGGATTGGAAAATTTTGACACGGCCATCAGGGCCGCGGTAGCATAATTGGTCAGTGCATTTGCCCGGATTGCGAAGGGTGCGGGTTCGAGTCCCGTCTGCTGCCTGGTCCGCGTGAATTTTTTTCTATTAAAACTTTTCTTTAGATTTAAACATCTAGCAGTTAAATGCTTAAAAAATAAAATAAAAACATAATGATAATAATCTTTTGTATTCATAATTAGGGCCAACTTTAATGGCTAGTTGATCAATGGTGTCGATTCTAGCATGATTCTTTAAACCTAAACTTAAATTTGACAGTAGTATATCCTTGTCATTCTTTAAACGGAATGATAAGGAGAGAATGATGTTAAATTTAGTTTTAGGTTTAGAGAATCACGTCAGAATTGGCACCATTATTAATCTAATCTAATCTTCTCTGGTTTTTATTAAAATTTAGTATGTTAAAATTATACATTCTCTAGAAGAAAAAATATAAACATAGCTGTTAAGAAATACTTGACCTGCCATTTTGAAACTGCTTGCATCAATGTACTGTTTAATGTTAAGTTAAGAGCTGATGCATCATATATCGCACGTCACAAACAATAGAGTATTAAGTCGTCAAAACCATTTATTAAAAAAAAATATTAATAATTATTTAAAAATTGAATTAAATTATTTTGTTGTTGACATTTCTAATTTTGTATTTATTTTTATTTGATCGTAATTTGTATGGTTTTATTATTATTATTCTTGTTTTTTGTGTAATTTATATGGCTAAATAAATGAATTGAATTGATTTTTTTTTATTTGCGTTTCGAAAACTACATTTTTTTCTCTATAAACTGATAAGATAATTGTATTTTAATTCGAAATAGGTTTTGAATTATAGCAACACATGTCGTCAATTTCTAGGCAAAATTTATGATTGTGAGTATTCTAAACAGTATTAAGTTAATACCCTATTGCCGGTTCGGATTAATACAAGTTTGAAGTTTTATTTAAAATAATACCCTCTGGCCTGTTCTATTTTATTTAATATGTTATTTTTAGCGAAATTATTTTAAAATAATACTAGTTTTAATTTTATCATGAGCCATTTGAGCCATTTGAACTGCCTATAGGGTATTCTCTTTACCCAGTCACATAAAAGTACTTTTAAAATAAAAACTACTTGAGATACACTAACTAAACTTACTTAACACAAAGAAGGATAATGTACGTTTAAATCAAGGTATCATTTTAAACAGTTGAACAAGTAGTTCCGCTTCCATGATTTTTTAAAACTTCAAAACGCGATATCTCAAAACACTGTTTTTGAAGATAATACCCTTTTGTTTGTGACGTGCGATATTTCTCTTTTGCTCTCAGTTCATTAATTAAAGCCGCTTTCTATATACTAAATATAAAATTTATTGTAACTATATATCTATATCCTAATTAATGTAATGTAAAGTGACTTCAGAAGTATCTCTGAAGTCATTTTTCTACTTGACGACTCTGTATATATTAATACAGGGAAAAAAAGCAGCCCTTGCTGAGTTTCTTGCCGGTTCTTCTCAGTACAAGGTCTCCCGCCGTAGTTTTGCGAACCGATGGCGTAGCTTCTTGACCGTCACAAGTGCTTGCATAGACTGAATAAATGGCATTTAATTTCAAAGCATAATTTTACCGATCACATCTATACTTTGTTCACAGCACCCGTCTCTAAAGGTATTGATATTCAAATACCTATTAACGATATTCTTGGGACCATGATACAATTCGCAAAGGTAGGCATTACACACTTCAAACACACTAATATGTATTACAAATTCTTATGTAAATATGTTTCTCTGACTGCCTTTCACGCCTGAACCGCCGATCCAATTTTGATGAATATCATCATCAGCCTATAAATGCCCCCACTGCTGGGGCACTGGCCTTCACTGGAGCATGGAATAGGGTGATTGAGCAATGACCCACCACGCGGGCCCAGTGCGGATTGGTGCAAACGCAGATGCACCCAGGACTGACGGCTTAACGTGCCTTCCGAAGCACGGAGGAAGTCGAGGTAGAAGATTTTTGGTCACCCATCCAATGACCGACCACTGCGAAAGTTGCTTAACTTCAACGATCGCAGCCGAACGCGCTATCCGATCGCAGTCATCGAGCTCCTCAGATGAATATAATTAAAGATTTAATGGGGATTGTGAAGAAGTACTATTGTAGTATTTGTCGCGGAAATAGAACCTTGATACCAAAACGTGGAGTAAACTGATATACTGATAAAAGCCTATCCGGCCTTGTATTGTTTTGCTGTGCAAAATTTTCAGGGACCTTGAAATATTTTTTAAAATTTTCAGGATAAACCAGACGTTGCACAAGCTCTGTGCTTGCAAGTGCTTAAGAGTGTATTAGCACATTCCGGTCCCGGGTTCGATGCCCGTGCCGCCCTCTCGCGGTTAGTGAGGGACATGCTTGATTCCACGTTGGGGGAGTTAACTCCACTGGCTGTGGAGATGGGGAGAATTCTTGTGGACCAGATGCAAGTTATGCCAGGGTGAGAATCTTAACCCCCTTATCAATAAATAAGGCGTAAGCTTAGAGTAGTTACGCCGCATCTTGTTCATGACACTCAAGTGTCATTCGTCATTCATCGAACAGAGACAAAACATGGAGTAACCAACAAGGGCGGATCCGGCTTTGGTGCCAGGGGGGGGGGTCATATAGTCGTGATTAAGTACAGTGGGTACAGATTGGAAGTACAGATTGTGAAGTGGGTACAGATGGACCCAGCCCAGAAGGTTTCATGACCCCCATGACCCCCTGGATTCGCCCTTGGTAACCAATGATATTAGATACCGTAGATACACCAACACGAACGAAATCGTGCCCGAAACCTGTCCAAAAGGTACATTGGACGATCCACGGAGCACTGTAAGATGATCGCGTAGTCAAAAACAATATAAGGCATTATTTAAACATTAAAAATCACCTTTAATGTATACTGTATAAGGTAATAATTAAAACGCATGCGTCAAAGAGTTATGAAAGTTCGAAATGTAAGCTCGTAAATTTTTACGACTTATTGCTGTATGCGGATGAATATGGACCTTATTTCTTTGAGTTTAAGCGTAATTCTGTATGCGCTGTTAGCAATATAGCAGTTGGACCGCGAGGAAAAGAGACGGCTATATTACCGATTTGAATATCACAAATATTTTCTATTAAATCAGTTTATAGTAAGTATTAAAACAATATTTATTTCAAATGCGTTAAATTAAGAAACATTGATTAGATACCTGTCGAAAAAAAACATTTTACATACTATAAGTATTTCTATCGCATTTTTTTACGGATCTCAGCTGCATGTTGACTTTTCAACGGTCCGCGCGTGACTGTGAATCAAGAAGTGCTTGAGTGGTGTTCAAGCACTTCTTGATTGGGACACATTTTGAGCGCACGTGGTGTATCAAGGGTATGTTATATCGTTGAGTTAAATGCTTAAAAAAACATATATATATATATATATATATATATATATATAACTAAGCAATTTTCAACATTTACTTTTCTTAATAAATCAATGCTCATCATGCATTCAACAGTAACAGTTGTTTTTCTTCCTTTATCCTAATATCATTATGTAGGGGGTCACCCCTACAGTTTGGTTTTTTTTTTCTTTATAAAGTTATACTTCTTTAGGCGCTTTAGCGACCAACTTCATACGTTACTTTTGTGTTTACCGCACATTAAGAAAATCTACCAACAAAATAGAAATAGAATCTCTATTTAGTGGGTGCTAACGACTGCATTGTGAATGCCTATCAAAAGTATTTATTAATCTGGAACAACGGAACCAAAGCGCGATTCAGGAGACTACAGCGCCATCTCTTGACCATTGGTGTAGTAGAACCAAAAACCACATATTTATTTTTTGTAATAAAGTAACAGTTATAGGTATTCATATTTATAATATTTATCCACATGTTTCTAGTTTGTATATTCGGAATACGTGTTTGAGTTTCATACAAGTGCAAATCACATATGTTCAAATAAATTATATTCAGTAGCGATTTAAAATGGAATATTTTGATTATTTATTTATTTTTTCAAATTAAAACTGAACTTTATTGACTGTGTCCTTTTCCAGACTTTTTATTAATTTATTGTAATTAATTATTTGCATGCAATTAAAAACTAATTTTAAACGATGCCAAAGAAGGATAACTTCTCACGCGCCTACATAAGTACACGCACCCATTTTTTTTCTTGTTGAATGCCTGACGAGCATTGATTTATTATGCAATATGCAAAGTTAAGTTTTTATATACCTAATACAATGATGTATTATGATGCATTTCTTAGATACATAAACGTGATTAAAGTAGGTTATGCTTGCTCTGCAGATATACAAAATTACTGTACGTGACTCGTACAGTACATTTAATCATTATGTAATGAAAGGTGACTACATGAATCATTTCTGAAGACGTTTTTCAGCTTGACGACTCTGTAAATAATAAAACAGGGAGAAAAATCCTTTGCTGAGTTTGTTGCCGGTTCTTCTCAGTACAAGGTCTCCCGCCGTAGATTTACGAACTGATGGTGTAGCTTCTAGACATTTATGAGTGCTTGTAACAGCCTAGACTGAATAAATGATTTTTGATTTTTCGAGACTTCACACAGTTTTTTTGTTTCATAATGTTACTCGATTACCGTAACTTTTTCACTCACAATGTTCACCTCCCGGGTTTTGTCAACATATTGTAATGCGAACCATTTAGAAAAACTGAAATATAAGGTCTTCGCGTTACGAGCTGAGCTCAGTGCATAAACCACTGTTTATTGTAAGCTAAATTAAAATTTTGTATTGGTGAATAAATATATTTTTGTTTTATGGAGTTTACTCCTTAAGGATCGATTTGCATATATAAGGGGCCCGGTATGAGAAAAAATGTGAGGAGTAAAATCTATCGATGAATGACCTCGTTACGTTTTTGGTGCGCATCCTGTTCGAGCTAAAATGAATCTTAAATCCGAGAGCTTAGGTGCAAAAGAATTAAATTGAAATTACAGTGTATTTCGTCTAACAAAATACACTGTAATTTCAATTTTACTCTTTCCACAGATTTCTTTATTAGTTAGGTGACGTTTTGCCTATATGTAGCTCCAAACATATTTACAAGCGTGATGCAACGAACTACAGCGCCATCTATTTTGATACATATGAACTAAAATTTTAAATGCACAAATGGCGTATACATAATCGCCCTATATATACATAATTAATGTAAAATATTTCGACGATTAGTTATAATAAATGTATATGAAATGAATAAATATATATTTATAATTGTATATTATTTTCATTAATTTGTTAATTTACCCTTTCATACAGTATCAATCTTTTTTGAAGTTATACTTCTTTAGGCGCGTTATGAAAAAATGATGAGAGTGAAATTTTTAGATGCGCGCGCATCACTGTAACCCAAAAGTAACAGCATGAAGTTGGCCGCGGGCGCGTTATGAATGTTAGTGTCTAATAATGGTGGATTATTAACCACTTAGTGGTTAATAATCCACCATTATTAGACATCGGTTCGAAAGGTACTTTGAACGATCCACGGAGCTCCATAAGATGATCGCGTTGTCAAAAACAATGTTGGCACGCTCGTCGCCTCTGATCACTGTTTTCATATTTATAATATTTATCCACATGTTTCTAGTTTCTATATAGACACAACGTGTTTTAGTTACTTACAAGTGCTAATTACATATGGACTAATAACTTAAATTCAGTAGTGATTTTAATTGAATATTTTGAATATTTATTTAATTTTTCAAATTAAAACTGAACTTAATTGACTGTGTCAACTATCCTTTTCCAGTCCTTTTATTATTTTATTGTAAAAATATTTTTAATGACGCTAAAGAAGTATAACTTCTCACGCGCGTACATAAGTTACACGCATCCATTTTTTTAAGTTAAATAAACTCTTTTTGCGTCTGGTTAGACTATCGAACTTAAGGAGTAAACTCCAGTCGTGCGTCGGAGCTGACCAACAAATTTTTTTTTTTTTTTTTGATTTTTTAGTTTCCGCAACACCATGGACAAGTTGAAACAATCCACCAAACGTACGGAAGGGGAGGCTGTCATTTCGCTTCTTGTAGAAGATCTGTTGTTGAGAAGCGGAGAGGATGTGTTCGTGTTGCCGTGAGTATATATCTGTCTATCTGTAAGCAAGTAAGAAATTTTATTTGTAACGATATGTGTAAGAAAGATGTTCAGTGATAATAGGCTATTTGACAAGTTTTAGAAAACGATCTCACGTTATTTACTAATGTTTATAGAGTCCATAAAAAGTGGATCATCATTGATATTCATCATTATGTTGTGTATTTCGGTAAAAAAACAAATCAAAAACTCTATTTCAAGTTGCTGCGAAAACGTTTCTCTGGACAAACCGGAAGTTTACTTGCGTGTGACGTCATTTTAGGCTCCACCAATCCTAAGCGTTTTGGGTCACGTGACAATAGACAAGAAAACTATTATCTTTATCGTGGGTTTTTAGTAAAATTATGAATTTTTTTCTGTGTATAAACTCCTGCCAATATTCATTCTAAATACAGATGCTAACAATTGGCACTTTAATTTTAATACTGTCAAATACCCTATCAGCTAAGTAGATAATATGTTGTGCCAATATCGGCATACAAATTAATTATTATTTACTAGCGGGCGGGATACATAGCAGGCGGCCTCGTCTTCGTAGGCATGGAGTTAGTTAGAAATAAAGGTTCACTGCTCATTCCCCGTAGGTGATAGCGTGATAATATGTAGCCTATATGTTGACCCGACTTCTTAATAATATTCGTGCAAAATTTGAAGTAAATCCATGCAGTACTTTTTGAGTTGATCCCGGACATACATACAGTCAAACAGACAAAAAATCTAAAAACTATATTTTTGGCTTCGGTATCCATTGTAGATCACATCCCAAGTATTTTTATAAAAAAATATTCAATGTACAGTTTTGACTTTGCTACCATTTTATTATATGTATAGATATTCATAATTATAATTCTAAGACTCAAATTACAAAAATCAAAATATAACTATTGTTAATACAAAAAAAAAATACAATAAATTGGGCAAATACTTTAAATAATATGTCAATACTTTTGAATCAATAATCAAATATCAATCAATTGTATTGTCGTCAGTATAAATTTCAAACAACCAACTGCATTTAGACACTTTATTTCACTCTTAATCTTCGGTACACAATTTTACACTTAATATTAACAGTTTCCAAGATATTCACTACACGACCGATGAACACAGCCTCGCCATCTTGCGTTATTGGCACTCCCCGTAGACCGGAAGTGCAAAAACACGCCAAAAGAAAATAAGTTAAAAACAAAGAAAATCAGTACAAATCTTTAACAGTTAAAGGTACAATGTTTTATTTACCATTATTTTAGCTTTTACATATTTATATTATTATATAAATAATATCATGTAAACTAATTAATTATTTACACAGAATAGGGATGATGACTAATTTTTTTTTCTTCGTTTATCAGGTAGATTATCAAAAAGTATTGGACACGTATTTTTTCTTTTTTCACATAATATAAACATTGCAGAGATTTATATTGATTTGAAAAGTCGCATGACGTCACGTTTGAGTACACTTTTAAGTGAAAATTCACTAAAAAGTGACGTCACGAGCCCCTACTCCCAAACTTTGACGCGCTATATAACTTTGTCATTTTTTGGTTGATTGCCCAAAGAAAAAATACGTGTCCATTATTTTTTGATCATCTAACTGACGGACTAAATAGAATTTCGTTTACTGTACCCCGTCATCACCCCTATTATCTTGCCGAAGGTGCAGTGACTATTTAATATTTGATATATGACTACTTAAACATTAATTGTCATGCATGAAATAGACATAATAAAGTAAATTATCCTAACAATTGTACTAATAGTATAAATTGAATAAAACAAGTCTCAACGGGTTAGATGCACTGATTCTATTTATTTATTGAAGTTTCGCATCCTTTGAAGGAATGCGTCGACAGAATAATGATTTTTTATTTACTTTGTCGAGTTACCTTTGAAAGACTTTTATTGAGCGTTCTCATATTTCATTGGAAGATTTAAAAAAACATTGTCTATGTATGAATTCTCGATGGCGCAATTGGTTAGCGCGTTCGGCTGCGATCGTTGAACTTAAGCAACTTTCGCAGTGGTCGGTCATTGGATGGGTGACCAAAAATTTACTATTTCGAGCTCCTCCGTGCTTCGGAAGTCACTTTAAGCCGTTGGTCCCGGCTGCATCTGCAGTCGTTAGCACCCACCAATCTGCACTGGGCCCGCGTGGTGGGTCATGGCCCAATCTCTATTCCATCCATAGGGAAGGCCAGTGCCCCAGCAGTGGGGACATTAATAGGCTGATGATGATGATGAGGATATATGAATTTATTAGCTAATTTAATAATTAATGAAGTACTTTATTTATTTCTTTTTCATACTTTTGAATTTATTTACTTGACCCTAACTACCGTAAACTACCACCGGTTCCAAAATTGGGAGACCTTTCTGAGAAGACCTGGCGAAACAAACTCAGAGAGGCTTTCTATCCTATTTGAAACTTTTATTTAATGAGTGATGTACGTGAAAACCTAAGAAACAAATATAACAATATAAATGCGAAATTGTGTCTGTTTTTAAATGTTATCTCTTCATGCTTAGACCGCTGAACACTTAACATTTTATAATAAAATAGGAATATATGTCCTAAGAAAATCATAATGGTCAGTGCATCTGCCCGAATAGTGGAGGGTGCGGGTTCGAGTCCCGTCTGATACCTAGACCGCGTGGAATGTTTTCTAGTAAAATTTTCTTTAGATTGAAATGCTCAAAAAAATCAATAAAAATGTAATTGAGTTTATCGTGTATAATAACTTGAAATGTGTTTTGTTTTAGATTTATGAAACATGATGAAACATTACTTATGGAGGTGGAACCATCTTCGGCGACTTCTTTAGATGGTGAGTTTTTGAAATACAGTAGACCCGCGGTCATCCGCACCCTGTCTAATCGGACGCGCTTAAATACTATTGTATTGCGCATAAAATCAATTGAATAAATTGGTATTTTGTCGGATTATAAGGCACTCTTATTCCAAAAATTCCGGACTGTAGAGGGTAGTCTTAGACAGTACTCTGTAATTCGGCAAATTCGATAATCCATCATCGCCCTGCAAAACGTTTATCGGATTACCGCGGGTCTACTGTAATAATAAATATGATAATAATATGATTTTTATTTATTTTTTAAGCATTTAACTGCTAGATGTTTAAATATAAAGAAAAGTTTACTAGAAAAATATCCACGCGGACCAGGCAGCGGACGGGACTTGAACCCACATCCTTCGCTATCCGGGCGAATGCACTGACCATTATGGTACCACGGCCCTATTAGCCGCGTCGAAATTTTCCTAGCCTTAAGCTGCAAGTTTTTTTCTAGTAAACTTTTCTTTAGATTTAAACATAGCAGTTAAATGCTTAAAAATGAATAAAATCATAACTATAATTGCTATTTCTTCTTTCAGATGTTTACGTAAGAAACCCACATTTTGAAAAATCTCACGTGAGATTGGGGGATGGGGAGGGGGTTGAATAAAATCTCACGACATCTCACCAGGGGGGAGGGAGGGACAGAAAATTCAAAAAAACACCTCACGTAATTTATGGTCAGACCCTTATGGTCAGACAGGTCTAATGCTTGGTTGCCACTCTTCTAACATAATAATAATATTGTTACGTGTCGGGATGGGATTCGAATTTATATGCCAGTTCACGCTTGACAGTTCATTATTCACCACACAGTTCACACAATTAACACACAATGCTAATTACAAAACACTCACTAAACACTGTTTTCACTATACAAGTCACTAAACTATCTCACTTGAACACTTTTGTTGCACTTTGATCGCCTTTAGATTCGCTCCGAAATCACTGTTGAAACTCAACTGTCTCTGCGCGGCGCCAATCGCGCTTATAAACGCCGATCGACGCATTCTAGAAAGTACCTGTTAAATTGAGAATTAGCTAGCACCCGCGAGTACTAAGTACCTACTTAAACCTACGCAGGTAACGCGTATAACTTGTAAACAAGTGCAGATGTCGTTGCACTTTCACCCTTATGCCGCACTGCATAAGGCTCATTTTAGAATGAGCCGCATTACCTCTATCGCGACCCGCGGTGATCTGGCAAATTCGATCTCTGGCACTTTCGCGGTTACGTTTCGAGAGCGTTTGTGACAATATGAAATTAACCTTGTTGCTTAAGTAATAAGAACCTTTTTCCATTAGACATCACGTCTGCTTTCGGCAAGCTTTCTGACTGGGACAAGCTTACCGTACAATCGAAGTATGTCCTGAAGAATTCCGGCCTGCCCCAACTGTGGGTGGACGCTTATACCTTCAAGTCTTGGATAGACGTTTACGAGGGTAAGGACTGAATAAATAACACACTCTCATTCTATACACATTCACTCTAAAATACAGTAGACGAAACAAAATTTGTGTGCACGGAGCACACATCTGGAGTAAAACTTGTTTTCTTAAATAACCTTACATTAGGCGGTGCATAAGGCATAGGGGATTGGAGCAGCGCACGCATCGCATCCGGCCAATTTTAGCTAATTTTAGTACCATAAGTAAGTTGTTTGTGGTCAATTAGGGAGTGTCTTTAATTGTGTGACCACCACTGTATATACATATATATCTACTATATAAAAATAAGTCGGGTTTTCCTTCCTGACGCTATAACTCCAGAACGCACGAACCGATTTCCACGGTTTTGCATTCGTTGGAAAGGTCTCGGGCTCCGTGAGGTTTATAGCAAAGAAAATTCAGGAAAAATTTAAAAAAAAATTTTTAATCGCCAAACGAAATGTTACATAAAACGAAGCCATCTGGTGGCGAAACGGAGTTCGCGGGGTTTGCTAGTATCTTTATATATATAATTCTTCTGTGAATGGTTTAGATTCACAATTTAGTCCGCTAGACAATGTTTTTTTAATTAAATTTTTTTATGGCGGTACGAAGTTCGCTGGGTCAACTAGTGTATTTATATATATACTAGCTGACCCAGCGAACTTCGTACCGCCCTAAAAAAATAGGGGTTGTCCAGCGGACAAAATTGTGAATCTAAACCATTCTCAGATCCCCTTGAACACACACAAAAATTTCATCAAAATCGGTCCAGTCGTTTAAGAGAAGTTCCGTGACATACACACTCACAGAAGAATTATATATATAAAGATTTGTATACTATATATATATATATATATATATATATACATACACAGTACACATTTATTACAAAAAATGTGCTACTTAATTATATCTTGGAACACGAGACTATAACAGAGAGAGAAAAATATAACATGCAATATAAATTTCAACAGTGTTTTTTACAGTTGCTTTTTCATAGTTATGTTTACAATTGACAATTATAATTGAAATAAAAAAACCTAATTTGATGGCATAGGCCAGAATCGATACCATTGTTACTTCTTAAATAAAAATACATAATATGTAATCATAATAAGTAACAATGGTATCGATTCTGGCATAATTAGATGAACCTAAAAATAAATTGACAGCAGTGTATTCTTGTCATTCTCTATACATTTATATAGAATAAGAAGGAGGGACTGGTGTTAAATTTAGTTTTAGGTTTTTAGAAAATCATGACAGTATCAACAACCAATATCAACATTAATAAACCCAAACAAAATATTGACAGATCTGAATGCGGCTTTCACATCTGTACTTAAATAATCTATCTATCTATCTGTCTGTCTAGTGTGTTTTTGCTTACACTTTTACGCCTCAATCGAAATAATTTTTTTATTTGTGATTGTCATAAATAATATATGAACCGTCACGGGTCGCCTGGCAGATGTGAAACACTAGCCGGTTTACGATAAAAACACTCGGAGAATAGGGATGATGACTAATTTTTTTTCTTCGTTTATCAGGTAGATTATCAAAAAGTATTGGACACGTATTTTTTCTTTTTTCACATAATTTAAACATTGTAGAGATATATTGATTTGAAAAGTCGCATGACGTCACGTTTGAGTACACTTAGAAGTGAAAATTCACTCAAAAGTGACGTCACGAGCCCCTACTCCCAAACTTTGACGCGCTATAACTTTGTCATTTTTTGGTTGATTGCCCAAAGAAAAAATACGTGTCCATTATTTTTTGATCATCTAACTGACGGACTAAATAGAATTTCGTTTACTGTACCCCGTCATCACCCCTATTGCTCGGGATGCGTGCGGTAAAAAGTGACATAGGTCCTGTCTCGAAGGGCGCTGGCGCCGTACTGGTAGTAGTTGAGCACTGGTATATATAGCATTTTACGGGCGTTTTTTTTTGTTTCCTCCCAGGCGGTGGAGCGGGTGAGAGATCCTCATGGATACCCTACAGCCGGCTGTAGGGTTATGTCAGACTCTTACTGACTAAAAATAGTACATTACGATACGCGTGACCTAAGTTGCCTATTACTGCACGGCGTGAAGTTAGCGCCGGGTGCTAAACGCCGTGCAGTAATAGACAACGTATACTATTTTATAGCAAGTGTGACATAAACCCGCCGCGGACGCGGGCAAGAGGCTGCGATTAGTGTTTTGAAAGTAAAATTCATGTATTGCAATCACGAAGAATTGCAATACAGACTGCAAGTCAAACTCTGAAAAGAAAGAATTCCGGTTCAGATTACCATTTTGAAAGTATATTTGAAAAGGAAAAAATCAAATATCATTACAACAAAATAGAATTTCAATGTATCCATGAACGTTTATTCCTTGATTGGCATAGTAAAGTTAAGTTACGCGTATCGTAATGTACTAATTCTACATGAGTGAAGTTGGTCAATTCATTTACACACCGTGCAAAAATAGGCAACTTAGGTCACGGAAAAGCGTGCGTAAAGTGCGGGTTTAGGTCACACTGTGCTATAAAATAGTATACGATACATTCTTGTGTATTTAATTTAATAGTATAAATTATGTAAATGATAAATATATGTAATTTTCTGACATTTTAATTCAATATCGATGCAATTTTTCCTGACTTTTTTAATTATGAATAGATTATAAGTACTTTTTTTTGTGACATTGCGTATATCTATTATCTTTAAATTAATTTTATTTATTTTGACGTCAGTGAACCTCATTAATTTAATTGTATTTTATATTATGTAATATTTGCACGTTGACATTCAACAAAATATGCTGGAAACTAAAGAGCTAACAACTATTGTAACCATATTTTGGCAAATAAATGATTATTATTATTATTATAAAATACCCGTTAATCATGCTTATGGCCAGAAAGGCCTTACAAGCTTCATCCGAAGCGATCATCCCCTGAGAGGAGGATGATGCGGTTTTACGGGCGAGCATAAAATGCAGTATATTATTATACCAGTCGTGTGCCACGCCGGAAATCAATTTACGAGCGTCAAAAGATGTTTCACATGATTAAATCAATTCAACAGTTCCAAACACCAAGTCGTGGTTCAACAAACTGGTGGTGACTTATAAAGACGAGAGCAAGCAGGACGGCCTGCGCTGGCTGAAAGAGACGGATAGATGGCCAAGGGATCACTTCCACGTGTCTACTGTAAGTATAATTATTTATTACTAGCAAACCAGTGAACCAAATGTTCACCAATTAAAAAAAAAAATAATAATAATTGAGAACTTCGGAGATTTTGTGTGGTTTCGTTTGAAATTCGTGATTTCTCGAAAACCGGAAGTGCTACGTTACTCAAATCCGGTTTGTAGTCTTATCAGACTATTCTTAACTTATAACTTCAACATTCTCTTTATCTATCTCTTATGGTTTGGCCGCTGAAACAACACCACAGACAGACGGACGGACGGACTTGTCTAATAGATAAGAGATCCTACCAATATTTATAAAAGCGAAAGCCAGTTTGTTTATTTTTACACAACCAACATGTTTGTGAACGGAGGTGTTATGTAAAGTTTTGTTATATAAAAATTTTTTTTTTTTAAGTGAAACTTCTTTACGCACGCTTGACTTGGGGAGTGAGCTGGCGAACGCGTTACGCGTTACGAAAAGTGTGATCGGTCGAGGCGAACTGGAGTTGAGTGGAGGATATAAGCAGGGAAAGCAGTGCGCGCGCACATTTTCTTTCTCTCTTTCTCTTATAGCTAGTAAACGAAATATGTATATGTACATACAGTCGTGTGGTCATAAGCACACTCGTTGTTTTTGTTTTTCTTTCATAATATGATATATCATATATCATAATCTGCTTTTTTAGTAAAAATATTTAATAAAAAACTGCACGTAATGGGGTACTTAACACCAGGGAAAAGTCACACAATTTTATCAGTGACGGTTCCAAAAGTCTGATTGTTTGAATCTGTGTTTTATGTATATGTTATGGGCCAAGTGATTAATGCGGGCAGTATTCATAATGCCCAGCCATAATGGGCCAAATGATTAATTACAATCTAAACTCACCTATTTATCACATTGCCCGGCCATTATTAATAATGCCGGACGGCTCGTGGTCCATGTAATAAGTCTGTGTTTGAGATAGCTTAAATTTATCGCTTGGACTGGGCAGTATGAATAAATTCAACACGTTGTTACTATTGTCAAAATGACAGATGCTCGCCATTTTGTCTTTGTTTTGAGATCTTGGTAAATAAAAAATAGTATGGGTTCAATACTTAGAGTGACTTTGTCACACAAAGGCGGAGGGGCTGCTATTCGCACAGCGTCGGAGATAAGGCAGAAGTACTGGTACTTACTTCCCTAGTCCTTGCATCTTAAAAAATAGTGTAAGTATTTTTGAAGTGAAACTTCTTTATCGGCGTTGGAAAAAAAATTACCGTCACATTTTTCGGTTACGCGTCACATTTTTCCGTTACGCGCCATCTTTTTTTATATTAATAGTTGATAGCTGAATGATCACACTGTCGCCGGCGAGAACTCTCTCTACTCGTTTGTAGCTGAGTGACAATAGTTATTAAAGATAAGACTCGCTCAGCCAAACTCGCATAAAAAAACTGACGATCAGCGATACTCGCTCAGCGATACTCGCTCAGCGATTCTCGCTCAGCTATACTCGCTCGGTTAAGCTGGCTTGGCTGTCAAAAGCCGTGCGCGTGCATTTTAACTCAGGACTGCCAATTCGTTTCTAGTTTCTACTCGCTTATCGTTCATCGTCGGAGGTGGAACATGTGCCTTAGATTACTGAGCCGTGTAATAACAGTTTCATAGGCAGTAATTTGTATTCATGTCTATGATAATAAAATCCTTTTGTTTAAACTTTATCTAATTTAACTTTATTTAACCAATTTCTGGAAAGTTGCATGTAGATCATTTTTCGAAAAATAAGGCCATAAAGAAGTTTCACTTCTTACGTGTGTACACTAGTACACATTTTTTTTGAAGTTATACTTCTTTAGGCGCGTTATAAAAAAATTATGAGAGTGAAATTTTAAGATGCGCGCGCATCTGTAACACAAAAAATTAACACCATGAAGTTGGTCGCTTTAGCGACCAACTTCATGTGCCGCGCTGCCATTACCGCGTCGCCCGCCGCACCGTACGCATGCGCGGCCACTCGCGGTCCTAGCGCGGGAAACACGTACAACAAACATCGGGAAAAGTTACGAGTTTTGAATTTAGAACAGAGACTGTTTTCATATCTATATATATAAAAATGAAACCCGTTTTCCGTTGTCACGACATAACATGAAAACGGCTTGACCGATTTGGCTGTTTTTTTTTGTAGTTTTCTAATACTCTGTACAAGGTTCTTACGGAAAAAAATATAAAGAAAATCCCAAGGGGATAAAATAAGGAATGAAAGTTTGTATGAAACTTTATCAATTTTAAACCGATCGGGCTGAGACTTTGCATGCAGGTATAAGAAGAATCATAGATGAATGTCATTATGTATAATACAAGCCTGAGAACAAAAACTGTAGTCTACACTTCAGCTCTACACCGAAGCGAAGCGAGGGCGGGCCGCTAGTTTATAATATTTATCCACATGTTTCTAGTTTGTATATTCGGAATACGTGTTTGAGTTTCATACAAGTGCAAATCACATATGTTCTAATAAATTATATTCAGTAGCGATTTTAATTGAATATTTTGATTATTTATTTATTTTTTCAAATTAAAACTGAACTTTATTGACTGTGTCCTTTTCCAGACTTTTTATTAATTTATTGTAATTAATTATTTGCATGCAATTAAAAACTAATTTTAAACGATGCGAAAGAAGGATAACTTCTCACGCGCCTACATAAGTACACGCACCCATTTTTTTTTATTTTTTTTTAGATGAATAGCTAAGCAGTATAAGCTTTTCATCACGTAAAAATCTTTAAATATTGTATGTTTTGGGATGTTAAAGTTTTAATCGCTTCTCCTGAAACAATGATTTTTTTGCAGAAATGACAGTGTCGCACCGGGGGTGCGATATGTTGTTTAAACACTATAATTATCCGACGAATCCTGTAAAAATGCCAGCTTACCAAACTTCAAAAAGTCGTTATGAAGCTGACCACTGGTGCCATTACCCTATATACACCTAAAGTAAACATTCAATTCAATTCAATTTATTGCAGTCATGTAGTTACATGGATGGTTACAAGTTACAAAATGCATAAAGTACCTAACATGAACCCTGTCAGGGTATCGCAATATAGATAAAAATTACAAAAGAGAATTTAACAAATAAACAATTATCTCATGGTCATGTCTTGTATGTCCTGTGAGGTGTATGTCAATAAAGAATATTATTATTATTATTATTATTATCTATATAAATATGAAGAACCTAATATTTATTAAACAACTTTTTTTTTTCTCAAAGCATGCATAAATGTCATCCGATTTCATTAATTTTATAACTTACTCAATTGATCTTATTTACAGTACTAGTTTAATTTTGTAATTATTATTATGGAAATTCTTTTATAAAATTAAATTTGTCAATACCAAATTAATATACGATATTTTGGCGTAGTAGGTTTTACAAAATTCAAATTCGTAAGTTTACTATGGAAATGACGATATCACCTTCATCCATTCATGTCTTCAATTCCCACACTATAATGTCACTTTCAGGTTGCAGAAGCTATACAATACCACACGTCAGACAACTATGTTGACATCAAACTGCCCGGTTGCATCCGACCCGCTGATTGCTTGGCTGAGTGGGCTGCTAGACTCATGATAAGGTACAGTACAAAGGATGGAAATATTGTATTTTTGGAAAGAGTATTTCGATAAGAGATCTAAGGAGAAAGGTATATAGTACAAAACAATACAGTCTGAACCACCAAAAATACCCCGGCTTGCCAAAGAATATATGAATTGGCCACTTGTGACTATCAATCGAAGTTGACGAAGTCGAAGGAAGTTGACATCAACACATGTTTTCAATTTTTGATGTCATCTTTTAATTGACGACACTGTTTGAAACAAAACAGGGAGAAAAAAATAGCCCTTGCTGAGTTTCTTGCCGGTTCTTCTCAGTACAAGTTCTCCCGCCGTAGATTTGCGAACCGATGGCGTAGCTTTTCGATATTCACAAGTGCTTGTAACAGCCTAGACTGAATAAAAAGTTTTGTATTTTATGAATTTTGAATCTGAACGCAGAGCATTAGAGCTTGAGCATAAAGTAAGCTTAAGACATATTGGCTTGTGCAATATTATATTATCCAAGCCGACTTCAAAATTAGACATTAAATTAGGTAATATTATAAGGCTTGTGTTATGGGATGCTAGGGTAACGGATAGAATACATATACTGTACATATATATATACTTATATTTATATAGAATACGTATTAAATATCCATGACTGGAGTGCAAAATGCTCGTATTCCTTACACAAACATGTGCCCCCACCAGGATTCGAACCCGGGACCTCTCGAGTCGGCGACACCATGAAACCCGGCGTACAAACCACTCGGCCACGCAGGTCGTCAATAATAAAACTAATTAAGTATAGATTATAAAACTAAATGTAACTCATGGGGCTGACGTAGTCGCTCAGCGACAAAAGCCTTCTTTCTACTGAATAAAGATTAAAAAAAAGGGATGGAAATGATACAACGTATTGTAGGAAGGACAAAGGCGAAGATCTTCCTCCGAGCTGGGTGATGGTAGCTCGGGGCTGCCAGCCCAACTGATTTTAATTTTTTGTATGAGTGTGTATGCTGTTGGTCGCAGATGACCTTTACAGCGTTACCGGGTTTGAGGACGGCGAGATCCTAAGGGGACCTCAAGCCGAGAATTGGCGAGTGCCTCTAGAGGTATTCCAGGCAGATGGGATCTCCCCGCGGGGGGAGTCTCCTCCCGACTGGAGCCTGAGGGCGTTGGCTCAACTAGAGGGCGTCTCTGAGACGAGGACCTCGGTTCTAGTTAGCCGTTGTCGTGAGCTGCGGCCAGAGTGTTCGGGCATGGTATATATGAAGTGTTAGCCTGCGAATTTATCTTGCGCGATGTAGGCTTCCATACGTTGTGAACGCAGCGCCGGTAGCTTGTACATGTCACCGCCACAGTATTTTACCATACCGTCAACATCGAAACCCACCTGTACTTCTAGCACGAACCAATATCGAATTCGAATAGTTTGCGCGTGCACAATATCATGTCAAATCTTGTATGAAAACTCGAACAGCAGCACCACAACGGATGTTTGGAACAGTTCAAACCCAAGCATTTTGTCTGAAATATAATCAGACACTTTATAATAGGCTTAATAATAATAATTGATACTTTATTTATTTTCCTTTACATAAGTAGAAAAAAAAAACATTTACAATAAAGTGCTTAATTACAATATTTAATTACTTAATATGAAGACTGGTGCTTGCAATAGGATAAACCTGTTCTACAAGTCACCAGGCCTCCACTCCCAAAACTATATGAACAGAGCAAGCCAACCTTGTACCATTTATGTGATAAATGTATAACACAATAATAAAAATAAAATAAAATGTATTTGTGTGTGTGTGTGTGTGCGTGGGTGCGCGAGCGTGTGTGTATATGTGTGTGTGTGTGTGTGTGTTTTTGTGTGTGTATGTATTTATAATTAATGTTTCCCGTATATTCTTTATATGTATATTGCCATTTACTAATAAGAACTCTTTAATGGTAGTTTTAAATTTATTGATCTAAATTTTCATAAATGTACTGAGAAGCAAGAGTCTTTATATCGATTTCTTTGAAATTTCTCTTAAATAGTCTCTAATCTTAAGATTGTGAATTGATCGAAAAGCCCGCTTTTGCAGTACAAAAATAGTTTGAATGTCGGCAGCATTTCCCCACAGCAAAATACCGTACCACATCACACTATGAAAATAACTAAAATAAACTAATCGAGCGGTATCTAGATCAGTACCCTTAGCACGAACCATTATCGAATTCGAATAGTTTGCAAACCGAAATGTCAATGTCAAATTTTGTATGGAAACTTGAACAGCAGCGGCACAAAGTACGTAACGGGAACTAAAAATCAGTACACATTTGACAATGGTTCGTGCTAGGGGTACTGTACCCTTAATACGAGTTTTACAATTAAGAAAACTTTGATAGTTTTCGTGAGCTCGCACTCGTATAACGAAAACAATAAAATCTCTACCCACTAAGGGTAGTGATTTTATTGTTTTCGTTTCAATACAAATAAACAGTGTTTAAATTCTATCATTAAATCATTTGCGTCTTCTTAAATTTTAAGTATATTTGGTTACTTTTCACCAAAATGGACATCGAAACATAATTTACAATTACGAAAACTATGACAGTTTACGTGAGCTCAAACTCGTACTAAGGGTACTGTAGTTTATTTAGAAGTGAATTTGTCTTCAGTTAGATATTGATGTCATTACAAGTTATTGAATTTATTTTAATGATATAGCTGAATGACTGAAAAAAAATACGTTAACTAGAATCTGTGCGGAAAGAGAATGGGATTTAGATTGGAGGGCGCTGTAGTGCTTTTCTACCGTATTTGTAAGGTTTTACCCCTTTTAGACATGATTAAATACAAAAAACCTCAAGAAATCACAACAACAAACAAATCCGTATCAATACAAAACTTTGACGTTTTACAAATTGCTGGGTTTGATTGCCAAATCAAAAATCTTAATGTTAGTTCCGTTTTTGGCCACGCCCATTCTGTTTCCGCACAGACTCTATGTTAATTTTTTGTTTTACCCCCACTAGGAGAATGGCTTCCCCCTCCAGCGACAGTATAAGTGAAGATATCTCTCTCCCGGGAGACTTGGAGTTGATGTGGTGCAAAGAAGCGAATGACAGAATGCTGCCATATTTAGCCCTCAATTGTGCGAGCGTCAATATTAATGGGTAAGATTCATCATCATCAGCCTATTAATGTCCCCACTGCTGGGGCACAGGCCTTCGCTATGGATGGAATAGGGAGATTGGGCCATGACCCACCACGCGGGCCCAGTGCGGATTGGCGGGTGCTAACGACTGCAGATGCAGCCGGGACCAACGGCTTAACGTGCCTTCCGAAGCACGGAGAAGCTGGTGATAATAAATTTTTGGTCACCCATCCAATGACCGACCACTGCGAAAGTTGCTTAACTTCAACGATCGCAGCCGAACGCGCTAACCTCTTGCGCCATCTTGCTCCTCATATAAGTAAGATTACTATTAGGAAGTAATTATTTATGATATAAGTGCGATAAATTGGTTATTACAACGTCCTCTCCTCTCCTTGTCTTTCACATCCATTCGACCTCCCTGGCTGCATCTCGACGCGGCTTCGGATTCTGATGGGCCTACTCTACCAACTATCGAATCCCCTAAATCACAATTTAACATAACCCACCATCAACTTTAAAATGAAATAAATAAATAAGTGTTAGCCATAATTTTTATTTTTTAAAGCATGTAACTGCTTGATGTTTAAATCTAAAGAAAATATAACTAGAAAAATATCCACGCGGACCAGGCAGCAGACGGGACTCGAACCCGTGGGGTGAGTTACCTATAATGCGAAGAGATGGCGCTGCCTTGTAGCTTAAGAATGGCTAGAAGAATTTCGACGCGGTCCGTGAGGGCCGCGGTAGCATAGTTGGTCAGTGCATTCGCCCTGATTGCGAAGGGTGCTGCTTCGAGTCCCGTCTGCTGCTTTAGATTTATACATCTAGCAGTTAAAAACTTAAAAAAAATACGTGTGGCACTCGGGGACTGCCGCGGTAAAGTTAATACATAGCATTTTTTCTCAACATATGCAATTATAATTATTTATTTATTTTATTTATGCAGTATTTTTTTTTAGTTTTTGATATTAATTCAAGTTACACTTTTTGAGCGTGGTGACCGATAAGAAAACATTATTTTCTCTTTTACTGAATAAATGAGAAGTTAATATTGTTTAAAATATTATTATTATCTTACAATACATGTAGGTTATTCAGGTATTTTTATCGTTGAAACTATAGGTTTATGGTAACTGAAATATGAAGTTAGCTAGTCTACACGCATACGTCTAGTCACACGCACACAAACACCGTGCCGAAGTCTGCCGAACTGAAATGACGTTAGACGATGCACGGTTTTCAACGCCGCACCGCTGTAAGCCGTGCATCGTCTTAACATCGTTTCAGGAGCTCTACTCTCTTTCTCCGAAACGAAATTTCGGCAACGAACGAATTTTAAACGAAATTTCGTCAGTGACTCTACTCTATTTAATCTTCAAACACGCACATAAAGTTCGGAAACACAGACAATTATCGTGAACGAATGGAATGAGTTATGTTTATGAGTTCTTTTTGTCTACACTTTTTAGATAAAGTTTTTTTACTTCAAAACAATATTACTTTATAACAATATTTTTGATTACATTAAAACAACCTCTTTTGACAGTGTTAGCCGACTAATTTGTAGAGTTAATGCAATCGAATGTATGTCAACCTAAATTGGTCGTGTAACACTTTGAAGTATTGGCAATACAATAATAAACAAAAATTAGATTTATTTATAAATCTTTCATACTAAAAAATGTTCCTCACGCTAAGCAGCCTTAATTAAAAATACTATAGTAGTAATTTTAGGTTTAATTTAAACAAAAATCCCAAAACGAAAATGAAAAGGTAACAACTTTCATTTCGTCAATTTGAGGTTAAAATTTCGAACAATTATCTGTCAAATTCAACTTTTAGTTCAAAAGTTTTGTGAATTAGAGTAGATTTAGAGAATTTAAATGTCAAACTATTACGGACGAACGAATTTTCGAAATGAAATAGAAACAGAGTAAGGAATGTGCGAAATTTCGATCGAAATTTCGTTTTTCGTTGAAATAGAGTAGGCCTCCAGTTCGGCAGACTTCGTCTTGATTAGGTGGCCGCGCTCAAAGCCCGCGATAAAAGCTATACAATACCTTAAAAATATACGATTATAAGTCTATATTGCATTTTTAGTGCCATGGGAGTGGCACAGTTGGTTTCTTGGCACATTGAGAAAGCTCGCGCCTTAAGAACCATTGGTTTGGACAACGAAGATATGGATATGTTGAAGGAATCTCTTTCTTTACTAGGTAAGTACATAATAAACAAATAAATTAGTAAATATTTCTAACACTCACACAAATAAGCCTAGCCCCAAAGTAAGCACTGTAAGGCTTGTGTTATAGGATACTAGGGTAACGGATAGAATACATATTTTATACTGTACATATATAAGTATATTTATATAGCAATACATAATTTTTTATAGAAATACATATTTAACATCCATGGCTGGAGTACAAATGCTCGTATTCATCACACAAACATCTGCCTCCGCTGGGATTCGAAACCGAGACCTCTCGAGTCGGCAACAGCCATGAAACCCGGCGTACAAACCACTCGGCCGCGGAGGTCGTCGAGTCGATGATGGTGTCGATTCATTCTGTATAGTGAATGAACAAGGATACCCTTCGGTCAAATTTAATTTCAGATTTAATATCATGCCAGAGTTAAGCCCAATAGCAATTTAAACGGTGAAATTATAGGGGAATAGTTTACCTTATGTATAGTTAATACGCTTACCCCATCTATATTTTATAAAACTCAAAGGTGACTGACTGACTGACATAGTGATCTATCAACGCACAGCTTAAACCACTGGACGGATCGAGCTGAAATTTGGCATGCAGGTAGATGTTATGACGTAGGCATCCGCTAAGAAAGGATTTTGATCAATTCTACCCCCAAGGGGATAAAATAGGGAATGAAAATTTGAATGAAACTTTGTCAATTTTAAACCGATCGGGTTGCGACTTTGCATGCAGGTATAAGAAGAATCATAGATGAATGTCATTGTGTATAATACAAGCCTGAGAACAAAAACTGTAGTCTACACTTTAGCTCTACACCGAAGCGAAGCGAGGGCGGGCCGCTAGTTATTAATAAATAAAGAATAAGCTTGGATTAATTACCCCATGATTTGACTCTTTTCATTGAATGACAAAAATGGCATATGACAGACATGAACAAAACACTTCATACCTTGTCTACAAGTAGATATAGTATACAAGTATCCGCGAACTATAGTAATATAAGTTATTTACGGTATTGTTACCATGTAAGTACCTTGTTTTTAGCGAGTTTCCGATATTTCGGCACTGTTGCAAGCGCCATGATCACGGAGTAACTCCGTGGCTGTCGCCGACTCGAGAAGTCCCGGGTTTGGATCCCGGTGGGGGCAGATGTTTGTGTAATGAATACGAGCATTTGTACTCCACGAAGTTACTCCGTGATCATGGCGCTTGCAACAGTGCCGAAATATCGGAAACTCGCTAAAAACAAGGTACATGGTAACAATCCCAACTTATATTACTATAATGTTAGTGACCATGAAAGTTTAAAACAATATATTACCCGCGAATTAGCCTGCGTGGAAAAATATTTTCCCATAGAAACTTAACACTGCCTTATTCACTCCCTTACCGGATGGTTTCTGGAAAAAACATTATCCTAGATCCTTACACTAACTCTAATACAAATATCACATCGCGAAATAAACCATGTCTATACCAAATTTAATCGAAATCGGTTCAGCGGTTTGGGCCTGAAGAGATTACAGGCAGACGGGCTTTCGCATTTATAAGAGTATGGACTTAGGATAATGTTTTTATTCCGAAATAATTATATTTGTTGAAGTGAAACTTGTTTTCTTCAATTACCTGAAATTTAGACGGTGCATAAGGTATAGGGGAATGGAACAGTACACGCATCACTCATATTATTATCTTATTTATAAAATTCTCGTGTCACAATGTTAGTTACCATACTCCTCCGAAACGGCTTGACCGATTTTTATGAAACTTTATATGCATATGCAGTAGGTCTGAGAATCGGCTACTATCTATTTTTCATACCCCTAAGTGATAAGAGTTGTCCACCCCTAAAATTTTTTTAGATTTTGGTTTATATTTTTATAATGTGGCATTAAAAATATAATGTGGCATAAATTTTCACCCTTCTACCACCCATATTTTAATGGCGATACGAAGCTCGCTGGGTCAGCTAGTATATATATATACTAGCTGACCCAGCGAAATTCGTACCGCCATAAAAAAAATAGGGGTTGGTGGTAGAAAGTTGAAAATTTAGGGATGTATGTATTTTTGTATGATGTATCATAAAAAAAATTTTTTTTTTTTTTAAAATAAAAAAAAAAATTTTATCTAAAATTGAAAAAAAATATTTAGGGGTTTGATTACCCTTAACATTTAGGGGGATGAAAAATAGATTACATCCGATTCTCAGACCTACTGAATATGCATATAAAATTTCACGAAAATCGGTCGAGCCGTTTCGGAGGAGTTTAACCACAAACACCGCGACACGAGAATTTTATATATTAGATATAATAATATGGGTGGTAGAAGGGTGAAAATTTAGAGCTGTATGTATTTTTAATGTAATCATTTTAATGTAAGTAATATGTGTATATATTTAGTCCTGTGACGCTCGTAACGCATTTCCGTTTCATATTTTCCATACGATTTTTTCATTTACACTCGCACCGAAAATATGTTTCACTTTAATAAAAAAGCTTGGATTAACTTTCTTATATTTTATTTTAATAACGAGTTAATTTGTTTCAGAATCTACGACTTTGGCAATAGATACGGCAGATCTAGACGTTATAGTTTTGAATAAACTTAAGCTGTCATTACATCAAGATATTGGATGTGAGTACCGAGTAATTGCGGGTTACTCTATGACCTAAAATATGCACTTTTTGACGTGACAACGTCTTAAATTAGGTTGCGGCTGGGAGTCACTTATGAAAAAGTGTAACGCTCGGTAACGTTACGATGAGTTTAAGTTTACATGTACAATGTTTTAGTAAACAAAATATATTTCTATAGTTAAAATTTGTGCAATTCTTATTTTCATTCAATTCCTTGTTCCTATTGTGCAATTTAATTATATTCATATCAATAAATATTCTACCGAGAAAAAGACGTTGTCACGTAAAATCTTCGCCCGTAAAACCGACTTTACAGGCAACCATTTTTTTTATTTTCCAATCAAATTGTAGCTTCTCTTTGTAATGAATAAGTCACGTTTATATCTTTCCATTGTGAACTTTAAAGTATAAGTTAAAAAGTTATGATACGAAAATAGAAAAAAATAATGCTAAAGGCCTCGATTTTTTTTTTCTATTTTGTTCCAAAGTTGGCCTTAAAATCGGGTTACTTTTAGCTCGTAAAGGTATTCATTTGACATTGTGAGCTCCGTGCACACTATTTCTTTTTGCGTGAAAGTATAGGTTGAACTTCTATATCTCTTGCAGCCATAACTAAACAGAAAGTTCTAGAAGCACTTACGGTGGTAGGATCTTACACAGAATCACGTAATTTGAGCAGGAAGAATAAACAAGCCCTGAGCTCTTTATACGAACTAACCATGACTTATTACGATGACATTTGGATAAACGGTAAGTGATAGCATATTTTTTTTGATGTAGTGGACTGGGAATGGAAGGTCCATACAGAATGCGCTGTTGAGGATGTTCAGGAGCAGTAGGAGCTTGTCAACGCAAAAGATTTTATAAAAACAATGAATATTTAGGTAAATTAACTTTAATTGTGTGTGAAATGCTTTTAAATTTGACGGTAGTAAGCATTTGATGGTTGTAAATTTAATTTCGTTGACATTTTTACGGGACCCATCTCAAAGTTAAAGATCGAGCCAAATAAACATCTGTCCCCACCGGGATTCGAGCCCGGCATCTCTCGAGTCTGCGACACCATGAAACCTAGCGTACAAACCACTCAGCCACGGAGGTCGTCTAAATGTTTTTATATACCTAATGTAATGACGTATTATGATACATTTCTGCGATATTGTTACGTGATTAAAGTAGGTTATGCCTGTGTGGCGGCGACATCTATATGCCCCACAATCCAACGGATGGAGGAAATCATCACTCGCCTCCTCAACAGATGGCTCTATCGTTGCTGCGATCAATAAGTGTGGAAGCCTAAATCGCGCAAGTGAAATTCGAATGCTAACACTCCATATATACAATGCTCGATCAACATCAGTCGGGTACCCGCGCCAACGCACCTTCGATTCCTCCCACACAGGCTACAAACACCAACACTACACGGCTAGCAAACGTGCACACTAGCTTAGCATTAGGCAGACCCCGCACTAGCGGTGGGTCGTTCTCAATTTTTCTGACGACGAAACGCAACCGTTTTTTCTTAAACGAAAACTAGTCCTCGAAACGGTTCTCGTTCGCAACTGGTTTTGGTTTCGGCCGGGTGACACAACGAAACGACACGTGACGGTCGAACGAATGTAACGCAACGAAACTGAACTAAATGAAATCTTGTTAACGTTCGTTTCGTTGCTGCGAACGAGACGACGAAACATCGAAATAAATGTTGTGTTATACGATAATCGACTTTAAATGTTCAATAATAAAGATTATATTATTGTAAAATCAAAGCTTAATTTAGCATAGAACGAAACGGCCTCACATCATTGCGTTCTATTATAGACTGTATTTACTTCATCATAAAGTACATATTGGCGTGCAGACAATCCGAGGACTAGTTGTTCGACGAAGACTGTTTTGATCCGAAACGTAAAACGGTTCTATCGTCGCGGAACACAAAACGGTCCTTGAAAGCGGTTCGTCTTTAGAACGCTCACACTTACCCCGCACCCGTAGGATAAGAGTGCGAAGACCCGGTCTACACTCGACACGCTATACCAGGTACAGGTACGTACCTGGGCGTTTCTCCCCGCCCCCCACGACAACGGCTAACTAGAGGTCCTCGTCTCAGAGACGCCCTCTAGTTGAGCCGACCCCCTCGGGTGCTCGTGGTGTAGAGGCTCCAGACGGAGAGGAGACTCCCCCCGCGGGGAGACGCCATCCGCCTGGAATACCTCTAGAGGCACTCGCCAATTCTCGGCTTGAGGTCCCCTTAGGATCTCGCCGTCCCCAAACCCGGTGACGCTGTAAAGGTCATCTGCGACCAACAGCATATACACTCAAAAAAAACGGGTTGCACTCCGGGAGTGCCGGCAGAAGTGAAAACTTGAATATTAACGTTGTGCATTTTTGATATTTTGGAATGGTTAGGGAATAATTTTGCACGAATTGCTTTAATTGTCAGTATAAAAGTACTGTCACGTATGTGGTAGAATACAATATTTATTTATTGCGCTATCGTACACAAACATGACAATTTATATTACATTAAAAAAGTTTGTCTCAGAAAAATCAACTTACATGAATCACGTTTAAGCGCACTTAGCGACATCTATTGCAAAGAAATCAACTTACATGAATCACATTTAAGCGCGACATTTTTTTACCTAGCGACATCTATTGTAAAAAAAATTTTTTTTTCGCAATAAAGCTGCCACGTGGACGTCCTAGATAGATACTATGATTATAATACGATAAAATAAAATATTACTATGTTTAGTCCAATATATTGAAAGTCAACAACCTTTCCAATTTTATTGTGTGTCATGATGCGATCAGCCCACTTGTTTAACTTGACCAGTGGCGGATTTACCAGTAGGCTCAGTAGGCTAGAGCCTAGGGCGGCAGATTTATGGGAGCGGCAAATTTGGCCCAAAATCTACACAGAAAAACGAGTGACAAAAATTTTAATATTTTAGTAATGCACAGTATACTCAACACTCTTACGTCCGTAATCCATATATAAAAGATTACCTACTAAACGCACTATAAAATATAGGTATGTACTTATGCGATCATGAATTTTAAAAATATTCCATTAGCGTTTCAACATTAATTACAATTTAAATTTAGTAATTTTTTAAACTAACGGGGAAAAGCCGACGTAATGTGGACGATAGAACACAAATCATAAAGTTGCAATTTCAGAATAAATATAATTGTGAACTAGCTAGAATTTCAAAGGTCAGTAAGGGAAGCAAAAATTTAATAGCCTAGTAGCGGCAAATTTGTAAATCCGCCACTGAACCTGACACGAGTTTATCATTTTTTACCCATACAAAAAAAAGTGTACAACGCCGCTAAAGAAGTTTTCACTTCAAAAAAAAAAAAACAAAAAGACAGCTAGCTCGGAGGGAGATCTTCCCCTTCGGCCTCCTTGCACTTGCAAGGATGTACAAGATAACTATACATGACTCGTACAATACTAACTCCTCAATTTATTTACAGAACCTTCGAAATGTGATCTAATATCCAATATGGCGGACGTGTTAGGATCAATGGCAGATCTAGGCCTCAGTTGTAGATCGGAGATGCTGCTGTCTGTGATACTGAATAGATTGGATGACATAGACATCGTAGACGCAGCGACATCCAAGAAACTATTGGGAAAGGTATTTGTACACCCTGGCAAACTTAACTTCTTGTGCAACGACCAAAGACAAGGGAAACGGAGGAGTAACAATAATAGGGTATTTTCCATTTTTTTTAAATCTGCTTGTATTTAAAGATTGAGACAAACGATTTAACAGAAAAATAAAATAAATTAATTATTGTCTTTTTTCTCCATTAAACCAATTAAAGTTGAATTTGAATAAAACTAGTTTTTAACGGGTTAATGCACGAAACTTTATTTATTTATTGACGTTTCGCAGCCTTTTTAGTAGTTTACGGTAGTTAGGGTCAAATAAATAAACTCAAAATTACAAAAAAGAATTTTAAATAAAGTACTTTATTAACTAAATTAACTAATAAATTCATACATAGACGATAAAGTTTTAAGAATCTTCCAATGAAATATCTGAACGCTCAATAAACGTCTTTCGAAGGTAGCTCGACAAAGTAAATAAAAAAAAATGGGTGCGTGTACTTATGTAGGCGCGTGAGAAGTTATCCTTCTTTGGCATCGTTTAAAATTAGTTTTTAATTGCATGCAAATAATTAATTACAATAAATTAATAAAAAGTCTGGAAAAGGACACAGTCAATAAAGTTCAGTTTTAATTTGAAAAAATAAATAAATAATCAAAATATTCAATTAAAATCGCTACTGAATATAATTTATTAGAACATATGTGATTTGCACTTGTATGAAACTCAAACACGTATTCCGAATATACAAACTAGAAACATGTGGATAAATATTATAAATATGAATACCTATAACTGTTACTTTATTACAAAAAATAAAGATGTGGTTTTTGACCAATGGTCAAGAGATGGCGCTGTAGTCTCCTGAATCGCGCTTTGGTTCCGTTGTTCCAGATTAATAAATACTTTTGATAGACCTTCACAATGCAGTCGTTAGCACCCACTAAATAGAGATTCTATTTCTATTTTGTTGGTAGATTTTCTTAATGTGCGGTAAACACAAAAGTTGTGTTACAGCGATGCGCGCGCATCTTAAAATTTCACTCTCATCATTTTTTCATAACGCGCCTAAAGAAGTATAACTTCAAAAAACAGTATTGACGATGCAGACCTGAAAAGGCTGGTGATGTGCGTGAAAACCTAAGAAACAAATAAAGTTGAATTTATTTTTATGGTTTTGAATTTATCGCCAGAACGTAAGGTTCGATGATGTCTACTGTGTGACGTCAAGTTTGTGTAAAGAATTTTAAAATCTTTAGTCTGTCGACGATCTATGATTATGGAGTAATTATTTGACGATTTCTTTTCTTGTCAAAAATTTTGTATAAGTATTAAATTATAAATTAATCCCGAAAGTAAGAAAAGTTAATAATTTGACCTTCAGATGATTACATACCATACACAAAGATGACGTCACAACGGAGACGTCATCGAACCGAGCGTTTTGGCGGTAAATTCAAAAGCATTAAAAATAAATTCAACTTTTTTGCTCATCATCATCATCATCATCATCATCAGCCTATTAATGTCCCCACTGCTGGGGCACAGGCCTTCCCTATGGATGGAATAGGGAGATTGGGCCATGACCCACCACGCGGGCCCAGTGCGGATTGGTGGGTGCTAACGACTGCAGATGCAGCCGGGACCAACGGCTTAACGTGCCTTCCGAAGCACGGAGGAGCTCGCGATAGTAAATTTTTTTTGGTCACCCATCCAATGACCGACCACTGCGAAAGTTGCTTAACTTCAACGATCGCAGCCGAACGCGCTAACCACTTGCGCCATCGAGCTCCTCTTTTTTGCTGCATTAGCAAAAAAGACAAGAATTAATTTATTTTTATTTTTCTTTTAAATCTTTTGTCTCCAATCTTTAAATATAAGCAGTTTTCAAACATTTGGAAAATACCCTATTTTATATCGAAAATTTTTTACTGCGCAAGTTTCATCATCATCATCAGCATCATCAGCCTATTGATATCCTCACTGCTGGGGCAACAAGGGAAACTGCGCAGTAACAATTTTATATCGAAAATGTTTACTGCGCAAGTTTCATCATCATCATCATCATCATCAGCCTATTAATATCGTCACTGCTGGGGCAACAAGGGAAACTGCGCAGTAACAATTTTATATCGAAAATGTTTACTGCGCAAGTTTCATCATCATCATCATCATCATCAGCCTATTAATATCGTCACTGCTGGGGCAACAAGGGAAACTGCGCAGTAACAATTTTATATCGAAAATGTTTACTGCGCAAGTTTCATCATCATCATCATCATCATCAGCCTATTAATATCGTCACTGCTGGGGCAACAAGGGAAACTGCGCAGTAACAATTTTATATCGAAAATGATTACTGCGCAAGTTTCATCATCATTATCCTACTAATGTCCTCTTGCTAACGACTGCAGATGCAGCCGGGACCAACGGCTTAACGTGCCTTCCGAAGCACGGAGAAGATATAGTAAATTTTTGCCCAAGATAAACCCATGTTTAATGCTTTTAGATATAGCCATTTTATATTAAAATGATTTGATTGAATAAATAAATAAAATAAATTATTTTAGATCTGTACGATGATCAGTGGTTTGAATGAGTTCTCACTGGAAGCGATCAAGGGTCACGTGACTCGATTCCCGGTCGATGTAATCGATGAATTCCCGGATATCCGGGACGCTGTGACTCACGCGTGTGAAGAAGACAACGTTAGGTAAGTATTTTCTATCTCTGTTCTCCAATGTAGTCTTTCTTATAGTTTATGAATCATCTCATATTGAAGTCATTTTTCAACTTGAGGTCTCTGTATATAATAGAATTTATACAGAGACCTCAAGTTGAAAAATGTTTGTTTGTGTGATACAGGGAGAAATGAGTGTGCTTATGACCACACGACTGAAGTGAAACTTTTTTAGCTCCATCTGTATGTATATGTATATGTACGAGTATATATATGTCGTGGCAATATCGTAGATTTGCTCACTTCATGAAATGGTCACATTTCATGATGTGGCCAACTTAATTTGACCAGATCATTAAATCGTCAACACATTTGGCCGGATCGTATAATTAGGGTGTCCATAAAATATTTATTAAAAATCCAGAATATGTGAGAATTTGTTTATTGTTATTTAAGTCCGAATGACATAAACAAATTTAATCAAATTTTTATGACAAAATAAACAAATTAAAGATTTTTTTCCTAAATTAAACATCAAACATGTCAAGAACTTACATATTTATAATATTTAGAAAACTATCAAATATTTAAAAATAATAAGATACTTTGGTACATATTACAATAGTAGACTTAACTGTTCTTCCAGGGCCCAAACGGTAATACTTCACACTAGGTTAGGTTAGGTTAGTGTTGTGACCATGACGCGCGAGCCGAGCGAACAATGCGAGCGTGCCGCGGCAGAGGCCGGCGAAGCGCCAGAAAAAAAACTTTTTTTTTATGTTATAGGGGGCATACGAGCAGACGGCTCACCTGATGGTAAGTGATCACCGTCGCCCATGGACACTTGCAACACCAGGAGTATCACAAATGCGATGCCGGCCTTTAAGAAAGAAGTACGCTCTTTTTAAAAAAAAACTATTAAAAGAGATCTTTTCTACAAAAGAAATTCAAGTATCACCTCCTAGGCCCGGGAAGTACAGTTTTACAGTTTATCTTTGTACGGCATTGATTCTCATCCCCACTTTGTACCTCAACCGCCGTTTTCTAAAATGTCATATTTTGACAGCCAGTAATAATCCATAGATTTCTTTTGCGTAGTCACCCTACTCTCCTTAATTTGTTTCGTCGAAAACCCTTTTGTTAACTTTCTTCCTCATTAAATAACGAATTATGCACTTTTTTACTGTGAGAAACAACATTGTCGGCAGCGGCCGCCATATAAATATATAAATTAAGCGCTTGCAGCGCCTCTACCGGTAATTAATGTAACTACTTTACAATACGATCAAATAATTTTTGCCATTTCATGAAGTAGCCACGCGTTTAGTTGGCCATATCGTGAAACGATTTCTCATCATTGATCTGCCCAACCCGCATCATGATGTCGCCAATAGATAGTCAAACATTTCATGAAATTCTCGAGCATTTCATGAAGTGAGCAAATCTACGATATGGCCACGACATGTACACATGTATGTACATAATACATATTTCATTTACTAACTATGAGAGAAAGAGAGAAAGAAAAACATGTGTGCGTGTACTAGTGTACACACGTAAGAAGTGAAACTTCTTTATGGCCTTATTTTTCGAAAAATGATCTACATGCAACTTTCCAGAAATTGGTTAAATAAAGTTAAATTAGATAAAGTTTAAACAAAAGGATTTTATTATCATAGACATGAATACAAATTACTGCCTATGAAACTGTTATGATTACACGGCTCAGTAATCTAAGGCACATGTTCCACCTCCGACGATGAACGATAAGCGAGTAGAAACTAGAAACGAATTGGCAGTCCTGAGTTAAAATGCACGCGCACGGCTTTTGACAGCCAAGCCAGCTTAACCGAGCGAGTATCGCTGAGCTAGTATCGCTGAGCGAGTATCGCTGAGCGAGTATCGCTGAGCGAGTATCGCTGAGCGAGTATCGCTGAGCGAGTATCGCTATGCGAGTTTGGCTGAGCGAGTCTTATCTTTAATAACTATTGTCACTCAGCTACAAACGAGTAGAGAGAGTTCTCGCCGGCGACAGTGTGATCATTCAGCTATCAACTATTAATATAAAAAAAGATGGCGCGTAACGGAAAAATGTGACGCGTAACCGAAAAATGTGACGGTAAATTTTTTTCCAACGCCGATAAAGAAGTTTCACTTGAAAAATGTGTGCGCGCACTGCTTTCTCTTGCTTATATCCCACTCAACTCCCGTTCGTCTCGCCTGATCACAACTTTCGTAACGCGTTCGCCACTTGTTGAATTTCTTGCCGGTTCTTCTCAGTACAGGCTTTCATAAGAGCTTGTAACAGTCCAAATAGGCTATTTGACAGTATGAAAAATAAAGTACCAATTTTTGGCATCTCTATATAATCTATATATATATATATATATATATATATATATATATATATATATAAAATTCAAAGGTGACTGACTGACTGACATAGTGATCTTTCAACGCACAGCTCAAACCACTGGACGGATCTAGCTGAAATTTGGCATGCAGGTAGATGTTATGACGTAGGCATCCGCTAAGAAAGGATTCTACCCCCAAAGGTTTCGGTGTTTACGGACTCACTGTCCGCTCTAAAAGCTATCCAAGACCGAAGCAACACCGATCCTCTGGTAAATAGTATACACCATAGCCTTTACAGACTGCATGAAAAAGAAACAAATATAAGATTTATTTGGACCAAAGCCCATGTGGGGATAGTGGGAAATGAATTAGCAGACGCTGCAGCCAAAGAAGCGGCTGCCAAGAAAACAGCGGCACTTATGAACGTATTCCCGCTATCCCACACTAAGCGCTATCTGAAGGAAAGGACCCTGAGCGCGTGGCAGGAAGACTATGAAACGGCTCCGCAAGGAGCAGTCACGAAGTCGTTCTTCCAAACCATCGCCGAAATAACGGAATTTCGAACAGTTGTCAAACCTTCTTTTTCTGTCACACAAATTCTCTCGGGCCACGGTTACCACAAGGCCTATCTGCACAAATATAAAATAACACCCGATGATTGTTGCCCATGTGATAACCACACTAAACAGGACATCACACACATCTTAAAAGATTGCCCTATATTCCACTGCATCAGAGCTGAATATGAAAATTACTGCGGATTATATAACTTACTGGAAACAATAAAGAGCGAAACAGCCACTTGCAAATTCATCAAACATGTCGACTCAATAATTTCACAACTTAAGCGCATCAATGGTACCTAACTGCCACATTGACTAAAAGCAGCTATGTATTTATAGCGGCGGTTTTGGATCTGTATTGCAGAATCAAAACTGACCATGATCACAATTTAAACGTTAACTTCAATATATAAATATATATATTTGTTCCCTTATAAATATACAGAGAACCATATATTTAACATTACTCATGAAAAAAAAAAAAAAACCCCCCAAAGGGATAAAATAGGGAAGGAAAGTTTGTATGAAACTTTGTCAATTTTAAACCGATCGGGCTGAGACTTTGTATGCAGGTATAAGAAGAATCATAGATGAATGTCATTGTGTATAATACAAGCCTGAGAACAAAAACTGTAGTCTACACTTCAGCTCTACACCGAAGCGAAGCGAGGGCGGGCCGCTAGTACGAACATAAGCATCGATTTTGCTATTCTGAGAGAAAGAAATATTAATAACCTTTCTTAAAAATCATTAAATTCGAACATTTTTTTTTTGTTCCATGGTCACGTGATATGAAATGAAAAGTCATTTATTCAGTCTAGGCTGTTACAAGCACTTGTGAAGGTCAAGAAGCTACGCCATCGGTTCGCAAAACTACGGCGGGAGACCTTGTACTGAGAAGAAACGGCAAGAAACTCAGCAAGGGCTGTTTTTTTCTCCTTGTATAACATACAGAGTCGTCAAATTGAAAAATGACTTCAGAGATACTTCTGAAGTCAACTTCCATTACATCATTTAGGATATAGATATATAGTTACAATAATAATTTTATATTTAGTATATAGGAAGCGGCATGAGATAAGTACCATATTACTGTTACAAAAACTGACTAATACCCATCAAATAACAAATTACAAGAAACACTATGTCCATGCATTACGATCTTTTAGATAATCATTAACTTTATAATAGCCCTTATTCATAAGATAATTCTTGATCTGAGATTTAAATTTGGTTAGTGGAAGCTCAATCAGATCTTGGGGAACTTTGTTAAACAATGCAATACTACAACCCAGAACCTGACGCCTGGGATTGGCGAAGGCTAAACTGACGTCACACGCCAGTGAATTTCCGGTCAAAGTGACATTACATTGTATCGTTTGACATTTTAATGACAGTCGTGTGACGTCACGTACTAGTGAGACGCCATAATGTACCACAGAAAAATTTTCGCGGCAACTTGAAAATTGTATTTTTAATTTAAGGTTTTTTTCATTGAATTACGCAACAGAATTAAAAGTATTCACTTTTTTGGACTCCATAAACAATAATTAATTTATCATCAGCCTATTAATGTCCCCACTGCTGGGGCACAGGCCTTCTCTATGGATGGAATAGAGAGTTTGGGCCGTGACCCACCACGCGGGCCCAGTGCGGATTGACGGGTGCTAAAGACTGCAGATGTAGCCGGGACCAACGGCTTAACTTGCCTTCCGAAGCACGGAGGAGCGAGAGATAGTACATTTTTGGTCACCCATCCAATGACCGACCACTGCGAAAGTTGCGAAACTTTAACGATCGCAGCCGAACGCGCTAACCACCTGCGCCATCGAGCTCCTCAAGTTTTGTTTACCGCTTTCAAAATCGATGAAGTTTAAATTAGGCCGTATATATTTTTTCTTTATTAAATCATTTTGTTAATGCCTGTTGTTAGACGCTGCCTGCAGCTAGTCTGCGACCCGCGGCATTCGCTGTCGTTACGATGCGCAAAATTACTACAGATTACCGGTAAGTTTTAATAAAATAAATAAATATTTGCAACACTCACACCAATTAGCCTAGCCCCAAGCTAAGCACTATAAGGCTTGTGTTATGGGATACTAGGGTAACGGATAGAATACATATACTGTACATATCTATATATATAAAACTCAAAGGTGACTGACTGACTGACATAGTGATCTATCAACGCACAGCCCAAACCACTGGACGGATCGGGCTGAAATTTGGCATGCAGGTAGATGTTATGACGTAGGCATCCGCTTAGAAAGGATTTTGACCAATTCTACCCCCAAGGGGATAAAATAGGGAATGAAAGTTTATATGAAACTTTGTCAATTTTAAACCGATCGGGCTGAGACTTTGCATGCAGGTATAAGAAGAATCATAGATGAATGTCATTGTGTATAATACAAGCCTGAGAACAAAAACTGTAGTCTACACTTCAGTTCTACACCGAAGCGAAGCGAGGGCGGGCCGATAGTATAAGTATATTTATATAGAAATACATATAAAACATCCATGACTGGAGTATAAATGCTCGTATTCATCACACAAATATCTGCCCCCACCGGGATTCGAAACCGGGACCTCTCGAATCGGCGACACCATGAAACCCAGCATACAAACCATTCGGCCACGGAGGTCGTCAATACGCGTCGTAAACACGCATACTTCATTATGAATTCAGTATTAACTGTGAGCGAATTTAGTATTTTATCAAAAAAATACAGTACCCCTAGCACGAACCATTATCGAATTCGAATAGTTTGCAAACCGAAATGTCAATGTCAAATTTTGTATGGAAACTTGAACAGCAGCGCCACTTTGGACATAACGTTAACTAAAAATCAGTACACATTTGACAATGACATTACGGACTTGCAAAGGGGTACAGGACTCAAATAGAAATGTTAAAATGAAATGTTACACATCATACGCGACTACTGTTAAGGCTCGCTCGTTTTTGAAGTTATACTTCTTTAGGCGCGTTATGAAAAAATGATGAGAGTGAAATTTTAAGATGCGCGCGCATCACTGTAACACAAAATTTTAACATCTTTATTTTTTGTAATAAAGTAACAGTTATAGGTATTCATATTTATAATATTTATCCACATGTTTCTAGTTTGTATATTCGGAATACGTGTTTGAGTTTCATACAAGTGCAAATCACATATGTTCTAATAAATTATATTCAGTAGCGATTTTAATTGAATATTTTGATTATTTATTTATTTTTTCAAATTAAAACTGTACTTTATTGTCTGTGTCCTTTTCCAGACTTTTTATTAATTTATTGTAATTAATTATTTGCATGCAATTAAAAACTAATTTTAAACGATGCCAAAGAAGGATAACTTCTTACGCGCCTACATAAGTACACGCACCCATTTTTTTTTGTTATATTGTCAAAATGTTCTCCTAGATCCACAAGAATGGAAGACAAACTTAGATCTTCTGAAAGCCAACGTGTTCGAGAACCCTTACGCCGCGTCCAGCACCGAGTACAATCTGCTTAACAAGTATAGAGACGACTTTTACAAGATCGAACACTTTGGTGAGCAAATTAAAAAAATACCTTAGGATAAAAGAGATGTTTAATATTTATATTTATACTAGATGTCCCAGTGAACTTCGTATCGCCATAAAAAAAATAGAGGTTGGTGGTAGAAGGGTGAAAATTTAGGGTTGTATGTATTTTTGTATGATGTATCATCATCATCAGCCTATTAATGTCCCCACTGCTGGGGCACAGGCCTTCCCTATGGATGGAATAAGGTGATTGGGCCACGACCCATCACGCGACCCCAGTGCGGATTGGTGGGTGCTAACGACTGCAGATGCAGCCGGGACCAACGGCTTGACGTGCCTTCCGAAGCACGGAGGAGCGAGAGATAGTAAATTTTTGGTCACCCATCCAATGATCGACCACTGCGAAAGTTGCTTCACTTCAACTATCGCAGCCGAACGCGCTAACCACTTGCGCCATCGTACTAAGGGTATTGGTACATTATTTTAATCGCACGATGAGATCGCATCGCGCTATCGCACGATTGTTGCCAATCAGGACGACACTTAAGAGTGCTAAGCATTGGCCTAGCTAGTAGCGTAAATATTTCTAAAAATGCACATTTGCTTTGAGTCAAATTGTTAATAAAATATTTTATTTACAGAAGCAACAGACCATTCCCAAAGAATCTTGATTCTGGACAAAGTATTGAAAGATCTATCTCAGAAAGTTACCGATAGGAGAACACTGCGGCTATCGCAGCTCTGTCCTGCTCTAACGCAGCGTATGGAGGTGGGGAGTGAAAGAGACAGATGCATGTCCAGGTTACTGAGGCTGGGTAAGCTGAGCCTGGTCAAGTTTTATGAGCAGGTCAGTGGAAAGCATTTGAAATTTATGCATATATTGCAGTGAAACTCCTTTACGCACGTCTGACTTGTGGGGTAAGCTGGCGAATGCGTTACGCGTTACGAAAAGTGTGTTCGGGCTAAGCGAACGGAAGTTGAATGGATCCCCCATTAGCAAGAGAAAGCAGTGCGCGTGCACATTTTCTTTCACTCTTTCTCTTATAGCTAGTAAATGAATTAAGTACCTACATGTATATACATATATATAGATGGAGCTAAAGAAGTTTCACTGCAGTCGTGTGGTCATAAGCATACTTTTTTGAAGTTATACTTCTTTAGGCGCGTTATGAAAAAATGATGAGAGTGAAATTTTAAGATGCGCGCGCATCAATGTAACACAAAAAATTAACAGCATGAAGTTGGTCGCTAAATTGTGTTTACCGCACATTAAGAAAATCTACCCACAAAATAGAAATAGAATTTCTATTTTGTGGGTGCTAACGACTGCATTGTGAAGGCCTATCAAAAGTATTTATTAATCTGGAACAACGGAACCAAAGCGCGATTCAGGAGACTACAGCGCACATTGTGTTATTTCACCTCAAAATTACCACTCCCTTGATTAAAGGTGAATCAGATAAAGCTCTTCATTCTAAGCGCAAGAGTAAAACTCCCACGATTCTAACTATAATAGTTTCGACGAAATCCCGGTTTTTCTTTTTTTGTACCACATTGTGAAAAAGAAATAAAAAAAATATTTTGTCTAAACTATTACAGTTACTTTATTTTTTACATTGTATTTCAAAAGGTATTATTTTTATCCATATTATGAGTCTTCTATGGCTGCCCTAGAGCTTGTAGGAACCGAGAAATCGGCGATTTAGTGATTTTCGTTTTTAAATTTTTTGTGCTCATGTTATGCAATATTAAAGCTTATAATTTAGTTCAAAATGTAGCTAATAATGTAGACTATCAACTCAAAAAATAACAAGCTTTAACTCGGTGGTATATCGGAAATATTAAGAATTTAAATTTGTGGGACAATGTCCCACATTTTGAAGACTTAATTTTGAAAACGTAGTTATACTACTTTTTAAATATTATACTATAATAACTATATAAATACGTTGTTATTATATTATTTACTATTTATATAAGATTATAAATGTGTTTGGTATGTTTGTTACATAATCATCCACTTTTGTGGGCCAACTTGTTTGGATGAAATGTGGCACACAGGCATTAAGTTCTTCCCTATTAAGTGCAAATAAACAAATAAATCTGTTTAAACATTATCTGTCGTAAACACATTGTCTTCGTTATGAAGAACAGTTGTGAATTCATTTTCTTCACTTTCTATGCATGCAGTTTCGTCGTCGACATCACTGTTATCGTCATATAAACATCCCGAACTGTCCGGTTTTAATAAATTTATTACAGCCTGTGGCAGTGGCATTCTCATTCGGTTATTTTCACGATGTTTTAGCCGTATAGCCGATATCACAGGGTCGGATGACTCGAGCGCCCTGTGAAATAAGTCGGTCATGGTATGAACCCTAGAATCTTTCCGGCTGTGATGTTCTCTGTCCTGACGCCAAAACTTGTTCCTGGATTCTCCTGCCTGTTCGGAGAGTAGTCCAATGGGTAGCGCTGAATTCTCTATAATTTTCTCTCCGTGAATTAGGATTTTGTGAAGGGTAGTAGTCATAGGGTGCCAGTTGTAGTTTTCTACGTATTTTTTAGCTATATTTTGGCAAAAAGTACCGAATTTTTGGGCGTCTATTGGTAATCCCGAATTGATGGCTATTAAAATTACATTTAAATCATCTACGAGCCATTTCTCAATATCAAGTATATTGGCAAACGTCTGGCGGCTTTGTTCACTTTTGAATACTCGACGAGCCGTATTACCATCATTCGTGGTCCCTGAGTTAGGCTTAAAAACGTCTACCAATAGACCCATACTTTGCTTAATTTGATTTTGGATTTCTGTTTTTCGTTCTGCAGTAATTTGTCCTATGTCAGAATTTTTTATTACTCGCCACTGTCTGACTCTTGGGTCATTTTTGTATCCCAAGTGAAAAAATGACCCAAAAGTCAGACAGTGGCGAGTAATAAAAAATTCTGACATAGGACAAATTACTGCAGAACGAAAAAAAGACAGTTTGGGATGTTTATATGACGATAACAGTGATGTCAACGACGAAACTGCATGCATAGAAAGTGAAGAAAATGAATTCACAACTGTTCTTCATAACGAAGACAATGTGTTTACGACAGATAATGTTTAAACAGATTAATTTGTTTATTTGCACTTAATAGGGAAGAACTTAATGTCTGTGTGCCACATTTCATCCAAATAAAACTGGCCCACAAAAGTGGATGATTATGTAACAAACATACCAAACACATTTATCTTTATATATATAATTCTTCTGTGAGTGTGTATGTCACTGAACTTCTCTTAAACGACTGGACCGATTTTGATGAAATTTTTTGTGTGTGTTCAAGGGGATCTGAGAATGGTTTAGATTCACAATTTCGTCCGCTGGACAATGTTTTTTTAATTAAATTTTTTTATGGCGGTACGAAGTTCGCTGGGTCAGCTAGTAATCTTATATAAATAGTAAATAATATAATAACAACGTATTTATATAGTTATTATAGTATAATATTTAAAAAGTAGTATAACTACGTTTTCAAAATTAAGTCTTCAAAATGTGGGACATTGTCCCACAAATTTAAATTCTTAATATTTCCGATATACCACCGAGTTAAAGCTTGTTATTTTTTGAGTTGATAGTCTACATTATTAGCTACATTTTGAACTAAATTATAAGCTTTAATATTGCATAACATGAGCACAAAAAATTTAAAAACGAAAATCACTAAATCGCCGATTTCTCGGTTCCTACAAGCTCTAGGGCAGCCATAGAAGACTCATAATATGGATAAAAATAATACCTTTTGAAATACAATGTAAAAAATAAAGTAACTGTAATAGTTTAGACAAAATATTTTTTTTATTTCTTTTTCACAATGTGGTACAAAAAAAGAAAAACCGGGATTTCGTCGAAACTATTATAGTTAGAATCGTGGGAGTTTTACTCTTGCGCTTAGAATGAAGAGCTTTATCTGATTCACCTTTAATCAAGGGAGTGGTAATTTTGAGGTGAAATAACACAATGTGCAGCGCCATCTCTTGACCATTGGTGTAGTAGAACCAAAAACCACATCTTTATTTTTTGTAATAAAGTAACAGTTATAGGTATTCATATTTATAATATTTATCCACATTTTCTAGTTTGTATATTCGGAATACGTGTTTGAGTTTCATACAAGTGCAAATCACATATGTTCTAATAAATTATATTCAGTAGCGATTTTAATTGAATATTTTGATTATTTATTTATTTTTTCAAATTAAAACTGAACTTCATTGACTGTGTCCTTTTCCAGACTTTTTATTAATTTATTGTAATTAATTATTTGCATGCAATTAAAAACTAATTTTAAAGGATGCCAAAGAAGGATAACTTCTCACGCGCCTACATAAGTACACGCACCCATTTTTGGAATTTCACATCGTTGTGCTCTTAAAGGCCTAAACTTAATAAACAATTTTAGTTTGTGTTTGATTTTGATGTGAGCTTATCATCAATGATTGAGTGTTATTAGTGTCGATTCTGCCATAATACTCCTCCGTACCCCACGACAACGGCTAACTAGAGCCGAGGTCCTCGTCTCAGAGACGCCCTCTAGTTGAGCCGACCCCCTCGGGTGCTCGTGGTGTAGAGGCTCCAGACGGAGAGGAGACTCCCCCCGCGGGGAGATCCCATCCGCCTGGAATACCTCTAGAGGCACTCGCCAATTCTCGGCTTGAGGTCTCCTTAGGATCTCGCCGTCCCCAAACCCGGTGACGCTGTAAAGGACATCTGCGACCAACAGCATATACACTCAAAAAAAAAAACATTAAAACTAAACTTACATTTACATACTTTATACAGAATGAGAAGGAGAGAATGATGTTAAATTTAGGGTGTATTCCGTAATATATACCAGTATACTGGCTAGTGCTAATGACGTCATGAATCGATGCTATACTGGTGAATTGTTCCGAAATATATTGGCCAGTGCACTGACGTCATGATAAATCGACGAAACATTAAAAAGAGTGCGAATAAAGAATATATTTTATTCACCTCATCAATTAAAAGGAATTCTTTTTGTTCGGATGTCATTATTATTCTTTAAATAATAATAAAGAAATAAAATGCGAACGCACGCTCGGTCATACGTCATATTCGTTTTCCCGGTAAAAATATGGTAGCATACCAGTACAATATGGCGTCGGATTCGTGACGTCATTACCACTGGCCAGTATACTGATGTAGATTTCGGAATACACCCTCTATCTCTCATCCATGACATGTTGAATGATTAATAACTAATAGAAGTACCTTTTGTATTCATACTGTATTACACAGCAATCAAAATGTAAGTGGACGTTGTATCGGTAGCGAAATGTTTTTTTTTGGAGTTTACTCCTTAAGAATCGATTTACATATATAAGGGGCCCGGTATGAGAAAAATGTGAGGAGTAAAATCTATCGATGTATGACATTGATGACCTCGTTACGTTTTTGTGCTCAACCTCATCTGCGCACCTTTCACTTTTAGCCATGGCAACGGATAAAAAACATTAAGTTATCACAAATGTCAATAAAATAAATAAACTAAAAATAGATAAAATCAGAGCAAAATTAATGAAAACAAATAAATAACAGAATATAGAGAAACTAGCAAACCAGTGAACCAAATGTTCACCAAATAAAAAATGTATTTAATTAATTGAGAACTTCGGAGATTTTGTGTGGTTTCGTTTGAAATAGAAATCACGTGATTTCTCGAAAACCGGAAGTGCTACGTTACTCACATCCGGTTTGTAGTCTTATCAGACTATTCTTAACTTATAACTTAAACATTCTCTATATCTATCTCTTACGGTTTGGCCGCTGAAACAGCGGCTTCTTCGGACTTGATTTTGTTTTGTGTCTGTTCAAAGACAATCGTTTTTAGAGAGTAAACTCCGGTCGTGCGTCGGAGCTGACACACACAATTTCTGTTAAATGCTGATGAGTTTCTTTCGCCCATTCTTCTCATCAGCTAAAAGATGTCCTGAATGGGTGGTGAAAAAAAACATTTGACGATTCAAAATAGCTTTCAATAAATTGATTTAAAATTTTCATGGTCACTAACATTATAGTAATACTAGCGGACCCGACAGACGTTGTCCTGTCTACACGTCTTTGTGAATCTAAACCATTCTCAGATCCCCTTGAACACACACAAAAAATTTCATCAAAATCGGTCCAGTCGTTTAAGAGAAGTTCATTGACATACACACTCACAGAAGAATTATATATATAAAGATAAGTTATTTACGGGATTGTTCCGAAATCCGTTACTCCGTGATCATGGCGCTTGCAACAGTGCCGAAATATCGGAAACTCGCTAAAAACAAGGTACATGGTAACAATCCCGTAAATAACTTATATTATATTTGTTTCTTAGGTTTTCACGCACATCACTCATTAAATAAAACTACACTATAAAACATGCATTAGGGGGACCAAACCACTACATTAGATTTGATAAACCACAGATCCTTGCAACTGAGCGGCGATTCGTTCCTCGAATGATGCGCGAAGCTATTGAGATTAAAAAATATCCAAATTTCAATAGATTTGGTTGGTATATACCACCAGCTTGGGAACCTATTATACAACAGATAAAATCCCAACCCCGAGCACACACTGCAAGACCAACAGATACTATTAGTTCTTTTTGTTTGCATAATTTAACATAAGAAGGAGATAGAAAGCCTCTCTGAGTTTGTTTCGCCGGTTCTTCTCAGAAAGGTCTCCCGATTTTGGAACCGGTGGTAGTTTACGGTAGTTAGGGTCAAATAAATAAACTCAGAATTACAAAAAAGAATTTTAAATAAAATACTTTATTAAGTAAATTAATTATTAAATTCATACATAGACAATAAAACTTTAAAAATCGAACAATGAAATAACCTAACGCTCAATAAAAGTCTTTCGAAGGTAGCTCGACAAATGAAATAAAAGTTTGATTCCGACGACGTAGCCTGTAAAGGTTACGAAACGTCAATAAATAAATAAAGTTTTGTGCAATAGCCCGTAAAAACTAGTTTTATTTAACTTATATTACTATAGCTTTCAATAAGTCAATTTAAATCTTTATATATATAATTCTTCTGTGAGTGTGTATGTCACTGAACTTCTCTTAAACTACTGGACCGATTTTGATGAAATTTTTTGTGTGTGTTCAAGGGGATCTGAGAATGGTTTAGATTCACAATTTTGTCCGCTGGACAATGTTTTTTTAATTATTTTTTAATTTATTAGTAGTTGTTGATTTTGGAATGTTTTACATTGGATCCGACAGACGGCGCTACCATCGCAGTGTCAAATCTTTATATTTATAATTCTTCTGTGAGTGAGTATGTCACTGAACTTCTCTTAAACGACTGGACCGATTTTGATGAAATTTTTTGTGTGTGTTCAAGGGGATCTGAGAATGGTAATTTTCATCAAAATGGTCCAGAATGTTTTAGCTTATTAAAAAAAGTTTGAAATTTTCAAATTAAAGACGTGTAGACAGGACAACGTCTGTCGGGTCCGCTAGTAAAGTATAATTATTTAATTTTATTTCATCACCCAGGTGTCTGTATTCACGTCTGCCATCACTCGGCCCGTAGTGATCAGAGCCCTTCTGTCAGACGGCTCTAGCCGGCTCTACATCAGTAAAGTGGGCGAGCGGCTCAAAGTTGACGCCGCGGCTCAAACTATAGCCAGAGCCGGGGATAGTATTACCGGCTCAAGATTCCAGGGTTATACGGTGAGTATTCTACACTCAAAGGCACATCAAACCCTTAGCACGAACCAATATCGAATTCGTAACGTTTGCGAGTTCGAAATGTGAATGTCAAATATGTACTGATTTTTAGTTCCCGTTACGTACTTTGTGGCGCTGCTATTCAAGTTTCCATACAAAATTTGACATTGACATTTCGCAATTTCGCACTCGCAAACTATTCGAATTCGATAATGGTTCGTGCTAGGGTACAGTTTTCTACTTTATAAATTAAAATGACAATATATTTTTGCACAAATCTGTATGCTAAATGATTTATTTTCTAATAAGAAAATAAATGGCGCGCATTTCCAAATGGCGTTTCCAATGTATACAACCTTCATAAATTCCGCCTTTTGTTGAGTAAATGTATCTTACATTTATTTTATATAACTAGAAAAAATTCGACGCGGACCAGGCAGCAGACGGGACTCGAATCCGCACCCTTCGCTATCCGGGTGAATGCACTAACCAATTTTGCTACCACGACCTGGCCGTGTCGAATTTCTTGTAGTATTTCATAAGCTGCAAGGCAGCGTAAGTCTCTCTTCACATTGTAAGTATTAAACATTTGAAAGAAGAAATAGCAATTATAGTTATACTAGCAAACCAGTGAACCAAATGTTCACCAAAAAAAAAATGGTATTTAATTAATTGAGAACTTCGGAGATTTTGTGTGGTTTCGTTTGAAATAGAAATCACGTGATTTCTCAAAAACCGGAAGTGCTACGTTACTCACATCCGGTTTGTAGTCCTATCAGACTATTCTTAACTTATAACTTAAACATTCTCTATATCTATCTCTTACGGTTTGGCCGCTGAAACAGCACCACGGACGGACGGACGGACTTGTCTAATAGATAAGAGATTATTTATTTTTTAAGCATTTAACTGTTAGATGTTTAAATATTCATCATCAGGTGACACCACTGGGTGAAGATAGTGGGCTCATAGAATATTTGGAAGAAAACGTTACCTTCAGGGAGATGATATCCAGCGTACATGACTTGGGTGAGTACTGTGGCTTTTGTTGTGTACAATCATCATCATCATCATCAGACTATTAATGTCCCCACTGCTGGGGCACAGGCCTTCCCTATGGATGGAATAGGGAGATTGGGCCATGACACACCACGCGGGCCCAGTGAGGACTGGCAGGTGCTAACGACTGCAGATGCAGCCGGGACCAACTAACGTGCCTTCCGAAGCACGGAGGAGTTCGAGATAGAAGATTTTTGGTCACCCATCCAATAACCGACGACTGCCAAAGTTGCTTAACTTCAACGATCGCAGCCGAACGCGCTTACCACCGGCACCATTTACCTACATTATATTGTCCAAGTTCCTCCCATTCGCACGAACCGATTTGCTTCCGTTTTCATTATGCGAACGGCTAGAGAGTGGAACTCCTTGCCGAGGATGGATCTGTTTTCCCGGACCAATATAATCTGGACATCTAGGCCTGGCCCAATCTCCCTATTCCATCCATAGGGAAGGCCTGTGCCCCAGCAGTGGGGACATTAATAGGCTGATGATGATGATGGTCTTCTAGGCCAGAGAGAACAGGTCTATTCTAGGCAGGCGTGTACCATGCTAGGCCTCATCATCGCTTTCCGTCAGGCGAGATTGTGGTAAAACGCCTTGCCTATAATAAACATTAAAAAAACGACGGGTTGCACTCCGGGAGTGCCGGCAGAAGTGAAGTGACTTGAATATTAACGTTGTACATTTTTGATATTTTGGAATGGTTAGGGAATAGTTTTGCACGTATTGCTTTAATTATCAGTTTAAAAGTACTATCATGTATGTTATGAGTACAATAATTATTTATTGCCCTATCGTAAACAAACAGGCAATTTATATAACAAGGCTTTTCTGGTAAAGACTTAGAACTATGCTTATTTTTAAATACAATGAATATAAACATTTTATGTATTACAGAGCACTGGCTCAGAGATTATGAATTAGTTACAGGCTTAGATAATTATACAGTTGTTAGTAGTTTTTGTAGGAAATCGGCTATCAGGGGAGGCTCTCTCATAATCTTACAGAACAATCTTAAATACAAAGAACGTACAGATATTGTTACACTTTCAGTTGAACGTAATATAGAAATATCTTGTGTGGAACTTGAAGAAATGATCATAATATGTGTATATCGGCCTCCATCTGGGAATTACACTCAATTTCTGCTATGGAAGATGCTTTCAATATAGTATGTAGATGTAATAAAGTGGTTGTTGTGTGTGGTGATTTTAATATAAACATTTTAGTTAAGTGTCCATTAGTGTAGTTAGTAGAACACCATCATGCTTCACCCAAACATGACCTAACTTGTAGACCAATTACACAAACAGGTATAAATAAATTTCAAGATAGCGTTTATCACAAAATATTGTACTTACCAGTTTGTAGTAATAATAATATTTTGTATGAAGATTTATTCAATTTAATTAAAGATGAATTTAATATAATATTCAAACGCAAAGTTATTAAATGCCATAGCTTTAAAAAGAAATTTAGTGATTGGGCCACACCGGGTATTTACAAAAGTAGAAATAAGTTGTATCAATTATATGCTCTCAAGGCAACCTCATCTGATCCTAATTTTATAGAATATGTCACAAACTATTCAAAAACTTTTAAAAAGGTGTGTGCCATAGCAAAAGCTAAGTTTTTATCAAAAAAAAATAGTCTTTCTGATAATAAAATAAAGACAACTTGGAATATAATAAATAAGAACACTGGCGCAACAGCTGTTTTTGAATTGTCCCAATAGTTTTATTTAATTTATTTAATAAATCTTATTAATTGTGCTCTTAAACCAATAATATCATTAAATAATGATTAATAACTAAGTGTTAATATATAAAAACGATTGTAAAGTGAGTGAAATTACTTAAAAACGTACTGTGACATTTACCGGCTTTATTGTGAGTCATTGTCATCTGTTTCCAAGATATTTTCATAATTCCAGTAAGTTATTTTTACAAGTTACCTTGACAATTACTTTATTCTATATCAATAAAGTGTGTAAAGCATCAAATAGTTAAAAACTGGCAATTTTTTTTTATAAAATACCTACATAACCTTGCTATTGTTGGTTAAATAAGTCCTGTTGTATTTAACAACATACATTCATTCAAGTTAAACTAAGATAATATCGTTAATATATAAATATGATGACTCGTAAGGCTCTGTCTCGTCAGGAGGAGTCTAAATTTCAACTGACTTTGAGAGAACTCAAAGCCTCTAAGGATTTATGCGACCAACTACACAAGGAACGGGATGACAATGAGAGGGAATTAATAGAAATTTTAGATAAAAATCAAAAGTTAAAGAGCGAAATGGCAGAACTGCACAAACAGTGTATTGATACTATTGAAGCTCGGGACAGGCTCCAGTTCATCGTAGATGGCTTTGATCAATGTAGAAGTGAATATGACCAAGCATTACAGCGTATTCACATCTTGGAAAAGCAACTACATGACGCAAAAAACACAATATCACTATTAGAAATGTCAAAACACAATAAAACTGTCTCGTTGAATCGGAGCTTGTTTGATGAGTTGGTAGTCAGTGCGCCAGAGATGGTTTCTGTGCCAACCAATAACCAACCAATTGTTACAATAGATCTTACTTGTAATGACAGTAGAAATAACAAATTGGGGGTTGTTGGATGTAACAAATTGAAGAAATATGTAAAAATTAATAGATATATTAAAAAAACTCAAAAGTTAATTAAAAAACAAAAGTTATTTATAAAAAATGTTAATATCAACAGGGAGAGATTACAGTTAATTGATGAATTGGACATTTATTCTGCAAAATATAATAACATTAGTTTAAAATATGAAACAGACACTCAAATTTTACAAAGTAAAATAGATAAACTACAAGATTGTCTCTCAAATGTAACCAAAAAATATGAATTAGCACAATGTGAAATGAAGGAACACATGCAGGCCATGAATGAGTTAATTGATTTATGCAATTACAATAATGAAAGATTTCATTCATTAACAAACAATCACACTTGTGATTGTAAACAGTTGGGAACTCAATCATCGCTCAATTTTGACTCCTACACTTTACAACATAAGTCTATATCTATTGATTCCCAACTTCAGCCAATAGGTACACACTTGACACCGGTGAAAGTAACTCACTCAAGAAACACATCTTTAGAAAATAAAAATAACAAGATTGTAATGTTTAGTGATGAAATTGGAAAGAATATGGGCCCTCTTTTATCTAAAATGGGACATTCAATAACAAATAACTGTATGCCTGGTACCTCTTATAAGGATATTTTAGAAAAGGCAAGTAAGCATAGCTACAGCAAATGTCACACCTTGTTATTTTTTGTAGGAAACAGAGGCAATTTGAACAAAAAAATATTATTAAAATATATAACAGATTTAAATACATTAAATGTGGAAAAAATTGTATTGTTCACATTGCCTTACTGCAACAGTCTGCCAAAAGAGGAAAATTTGTTAAGATATAAATTAAATATGCTTTTGTACACAATTTGTAAAAGCAAAAAATACCATTTGATTGACTCTAACAATTATGTTAGAAATTTTTATTTGACAAAAGATAAATATTATCTTTCTAATTATAATAAAAGACAGGTAGCTAAATCGCTATCATATTTCTTTTTTATGTCAGCCAAGAATTTGGCTAAACAACTTGCTCCTATTGAGCAACCTTCTAATGACATGACAATCAGTAATTATTCTACTGAAACCACTCAAAATAATAATAAATGTTTAAATTAAGCAATCAGACAAAAGATAATTCGTCTTGCATATTGTTAAATAATAATGTAAATAAAAAATACAATTTTGTTAATATAGATAACAAAAACCCATCCAAAAACATTGCAAAAAATGTAAGTTTTATCAACCTGGTGCATCTTAATATTCAAGGAATGATGGGTAAGGACTTAGAAATTGAATTATTTATGAATTGTAATAATATAGATATTTTTTGTATTACAGAGCACTGGCTAAAAAGTTATCAAAATATATTTAATTTTAATAATCATCAGGTTGGTAGTTCGTTCAATCGAGAAAATGCAATTCGAGGTGGCTCTTTAATATTATTGAATAAAAAACTAAAATTTAAGGAACGAAGAGATATTGTGAGCCTCTCGGTTGAGCGAACAATAGAAATTGCCTGTGTGGAACTGGACCAGCTTGTTGTATTGAGCGTATACAGACCTCCATCAGCATTGTATGATTGTTTTGAAGTTATCATGGATGAAGCTCTTAAAAAAACTTACACTACAGGCAAACGGTTGATTGTCTGTGGTGACTTTAATATTGATTTATTAGAAAAATCTAGTTCATGTACTAAAATAAAAAAATTATTTCAATCATACAATCTGAAAAACTTATTCATTGAGCCTACTAGAATAGCTGCCACTTCGGCCACTTGTATTGATAATATATATATACAGATATTATACCACAGAAAAAACAAATTATTAATAAACTAGATAGTGATCATTGTGGCCAGTTGATTACATTTCCGTATCAGCTCAAGCAGGTGAAGAAAAAACACATCACTGTTATACCAAAAACTGATAATCGTGTGGAACGTTTTAAAAATCAATTAGATAGAAAATTGTGTTATCTTAAATATAAAGACAGTCCAAATGATTTATATAATGATTTTTTTAATATATATTGCGATGAATTTAATAATGTTTTTGTACCCAAAAAAATATGTGTTAATGATGCGGTAAATTTTAGTAAGTGGGCTACGCCTGGAATTCATAAAAGTAGAAGAACACTTTATGAACTTTATAATGAACGAAACTCTAACACTAGTGAAAAATTTAAAGAGCATGTTCGTAACTATTCTAAATTGTTTAAAAAAGTATGCCGCTTAGCAAAATCAAATTACTTAAGTTCAAAGATTAAGAACAGTAATGACAAAATCAAAATGACATGGAATATTATAAACAATGAAACTGGAAAATCCAAAACTCGCGAAAATAATTATAACCTAAATATTGATAATAAAAAGGTTACATCAGATATTGAAGTTGCTAAAGTGTTTGAAAATTTCTTTACTGATATTCCAGTTTCAACTACGAAATCTTTGAACTCTTCCCCCATTGCTGCCGAATCAATCTTAAGAGAAAACGTGAAACCTTGTACTAGTTATTTTCATTTTAAACATGTTGACTTTAAAGATGTAATAAAAACGTTTCACCAATTAAATAAAAAGAAAACCGCGGATCTGTGGGGCAATTCCGTTGATGTTTCTAAATCGGTAATTGAGACAATAGCTCCTATTCTAGCTTGCATATTTAATGATTGTGTTGACTGTGGTGTTTTTCCTGACCTCATGAAATACAGTAAAATTACTCCTTTGCATAAATCGGGAAGTACATCAGACCCCACAAACTTTAGACCAATTTCTGTACTACCCACCTTTAGTAAAATTTTTGAAAAAATCATGTTAGATCAAATGCAATCACATTTTAATAAATATAATATACTTCACTGTAAACAATTTGGTTTTACACGGGGTCGTTCAACAACCGATGCCGGTGTTGAACTTATACAACAAATTTTTGACGCCTGGGAGAACTCGCAGGACGCTCTAGGTGTGTTTTGCGACTTGTCCAAGGCTTTTGATTGCGTTTTTCATGACACATTACTCAGGAAACTCCACCACTATGGATTTAGAGATACTGATCTGGATCTTATTGCATCATACCTGAGGGATAGGATTCAGAGGGTTGACATTAATGGTAATAAGTCTCCGGGTTCGCCGGTTAAGATGGGTGTTCCGCAGGGCTCAATCCTAGGTCCTTTCTTATTTTTAATTTATATTAATGACTTACCTTACTATGTAAGAGATAACCATGAGATAGTATTGTTTGCGGATGATACATCACTTTTATTTAAACTCAAACGCAATGAAAAAGTTATTGACGACGTGAACAATAGTATCTCTAAGATAGTCCACTGGTTCAATGTTAACAATTTATTACTTAATGAAGAAAAAACGAAATGTATGAAATTTGTATTACCTAATGTAAAACAGGTAAAAACCAGTGTGAATGTAAAGGATAGGAATGTGGGCCTTGTAGACACACTTTTCTATAAATAAGCTATTTCATTTAAAACAGTTTGGTTTCACTAGAGGCAAAAGTACTACTGATGCTGGAACTGCACTTCTCAAACACATCTTTGATATATGGGAGAGTAAGCACGATGCTATTGGCATTTTTTGCGACTTATCAAAGGCGTTTGACTGCGTTAGCCATGAAACATTGTTAAATAAAATGAAGCATTATGGTGTATCAAATATTTCACTAAGTCTGATACAGTCTTATCTTTCTGCTAGGATTCAGAAAGTAGTTATAAATGAAGCTGAGTCTACAGGAGCACCCATTTATATGGGCGTGCCCCAGGGTTCAATATTGGGCCCATTGCTTTTCCTTATTTATATCAATGACCTTCCTCACTTTACAAGAGATTTGTGTGAGACAGTACTATATGCTGATGATACCTCTTTATTGTTTAAAGCTAGAAGAGGAAATGATTGTTATGACGAAATAAATTGTGCTCTCTCTGAAGTCCTTCACTGGTTTACGGTAAATAATTTAAAACTTAACTCCAGTAAAACAAAATGCGTTAAGTTTACTCTACCTAATGTGAGGCAGGTTAATACTAGTATAAAAATAAATGACCAGCCTGTACAGTTAGTGGATTCTACAAAGTTTCTGGGTATGGTATATACGTCTGGAAATCGCATATTGAGGACATAAATAAGAAAATCTCTAGCAGTTGCTATGCTATATCTATTCTGTCAAATGTAGCTTCAGTGGAAGCAGCAAAGAGTGCATATTATGGGTATGTCTTCCCACTTTTGATGTATGGTATAATTTTTTGGGGTAACTCAGTAAATGTACAGTCCACATTTATATTACAAAAGAAATGCTTGCGTAACATGCTAAAACTTGACAAATTTGAATCACTGAGAAATGTATTAAAGATTTTAAGTTCCTAACTCTGACATGCATCTATATTTTTGAAATTTCTGTATTTGTAAAAGAAAATAAAGACCATTTTTTATCAAAAAGCAAAGTGAAAAAGAACTTGCGATTGCAATATGCGTATAATATGTGTATTTATAAGTCATCTAGTTATATATGTAACAAAAGTACCATAACAACTGGAATCAAGGTCTTTAATCATTTACCTAATTCCATTAAAGCTTTAGAAAGTAAACGATTCAAGACACAGCTTAGGCACTGGTTATTATCGAAATGTTTTTATAGTTTGGAGGAATATTTCAATGATCATTGACAATAAAATTGCAATTTATGTATAATTTTGACAATTTTGACATAACTGGTTAATTTACGATTGTATGAATATAGTTTAGAGAGTAAATTTAATATTATTTTATGTAGCTGACATTTAATTACTAAATATTATTTTAATGTAATTATTTTTAATTAATTATTAATTGTACGCCCGAAATGGGCAAACTGTTAGCACTACCAAATTTTAAGAACCATTTGTACACAGTTCTGGACAATAAATGATTATCTTATCTTATCTTATCTTATTACTTTAGACTCTCGTCTGCAATGGGATCCTCATATTGATGCCTTGTCAAGTAGATTGAGCTCTGCAGCTTTCGCTGTTAAAAAAATAAGACTCTTAAATGATGTGGAAACGGCAAGATTAGTTTACTTTGGTTACTTTCATAGTGTTATGTCATATGGCCTTTTGTTGTGGGGCTCAGCCGCTAATATCGAAAGTATTTTCATACTGCAAAAGAGAGCTGTTCGCGCCATATACAATTTAAAGGCAAGAGAATCCCTTAGAGAAAAATTTAAAGAAATTAATATTTTAACACTGGCGTCGCAATACATTTATGAAAATTTAATATATGTAAGAAAAAACTATGATGAATTTGCAAAAAAAAATCAAACCCATAACTTTAACACGAGATTTAAGAACAAGTTTGCCGTTCCATGTTTCAGACTCCAAAAATCAAGAGGTTCATTTCTGGGTTGTAGTATTGCATTGTTTAACAAAGTTCCCCAAGATCTGATTGAGCTTCCACTGACTAAATTTAAATCTCAGTAGAGTATTCATCAAAAATACTCTTATGAATAAGGGCTATTATAAAGTTGATGATTATCTAAATGATTGTAATGCATGGACATAGTGTTTGATATTAAATGGGTATTACTCATTTTTCATAACAGTAATATTGTACCTATCTAATGCCGCTTCCTATATACTACTTAAAATGTTAACTATAAAATTAATTGTAACTACATATTTATATTCTAGATGATGTAATGGAAAGTGACTTCAGACGTATTTTTGAAGTAATTTTTCAACTTGACGACACTGTATATAACAATACAGGGAGAAAAAACAGCCCTTGCTGAGTTTCTTGCCGATTCTTCTCAGTACAAGGTCTCCCGCCGTAGATTTGCGAACCGATGGCGTAGCTTCTTGACCTTCACAAGTGCTTGTAACAGCCTAGACTGAATAAATGACATTTCATTTCATTTCATTTCATATTACATTAAAAAAGTTTATCTCTCAGAAAAATCAACTTACATAAATCACGTTTAAGCGCTCTTAGCGGCATCTATTGTAAAGAAATTAACTTACATGAATCACATTTAAGCGCACCTAGCGACATCTATTGTAATAAAAATGCATTTTCTTCGCAATAAAGCTGCCACGTGGACGTCCTAGATAGAGACTTATTATTATAATACGGTAAAGTAAAATATTACTATGTTTCGTCCAATATATTGAAAGTCAACAACCTTTCCAATTTTACTGTGTTACATGATGCGATCAGTCCACGTGTTTTACCTGACGCGAGTTTAACATTTTTTATCCATACAAAAAAAAGTGTACAACGCCGCTAAAGAAGTTTTCACTTCAAAAAATCGATTGATCATTATGAATGTATATGACGTAGTCTCACTCTTTTCAAAATCATCATTCTATTAATAAATGAATAGGTTTTTTTATTTTGTAGAGGAAATATCGAGGGGTCTGAGCAAATCCATAATATCAACTTCTCCAATGGACAAATTCATGACGCTCTGCAAGCAGATTCCAGCTTACACGCTCAGGTAATCAATTAATACACAATATTTATTTATTTTAAACTTTATTGACCAAAATACATGAATAAAACTAGTTTTTACGGGTTAATGCACGAAACTATTTATTTATTGACGTTTCGTAGCCTTTACAGGCTACGTCGTCAGAATCAAACTTTTATTTAATTTGTCGAGCTACCTTCGAAAGACTTTTGTTGAGCGTTCGGTTATTTCATTGTTCGATTTTTAAGTTTTATTGTCTATGTATGAATTTATTATTTAAATAAATAAAGTTTCGTGCATTAACCCGTAAAAACTAGTTTTATTTAATGAGTGACGTGCGTGAAAACCTAAGAAACGAAATACATGATATGATTATGGTGCCAAAGGCGGAGTGAATGCTATTGGATTCTCTCCCAGTCAATCTTTGGGAAAAATTCAGAACACGAACGGCAGTAAATACTTAATATATATATACATACATATATATTAGACTTGCAACGAATAGTATATTCGGCAGTATACCGAATATTCGGCGAGGCCCCTGACCGAATAGCCGCATATAAGGCAAAAGTATTCGGCTGGATTTTAGCGCCAAAAACTTGTACAGACGTGATTGTTTCGCGCTTTTTATTCTATTCTGCCGTCCTCAAGCTAAAATGCGGCTAAATGACAAAACCAACTTTTGAGATATGGCCAAAAACGGCGCATTCAGTTTAAATTATTGTTATTATGTAACCATTCATCACATGACTGAATGAATTAAAAACTGTTAACTTGTTTAATACAGAAAATGATTAAATTATGTACCTGTTTTATGTACCAATACCATACCCTTCTAAATTTTGATTACCACAATAATTCAAATTCATAGTAATCCTCCATTTTTCCAATTCAGAAGATGATTATGTACCTGTGTTATGTGCCAATGACTACTTAAATCTTTATATATATAATTCTTCTGTGAGTGTGTATGTCACTGAACTTCTCTTAAACGACTGGACCGATTTTGATGAAATTTTTTGTGTGTGTTCAAGGGGATCTGAGAATGGTTTAGATTCACAATTTTGTCCGCTGGACAACCCCTATTTTTTTTAGGGCGGTACGAAGTTCGCTGGGTCAGCTAGTATCTAATAAAATTCTCATGTCGCGGTGTTTGTGGTTAAACTCCTCCGAGCCGTTTGCTCGACCGATTTTCGTGAAATTTTATATGCATATTCAGTAGGTCTGAGAATCGGATGTAATCTATTTTTCATCCCCCTAAATGTTAAGGGTAATCCACCACTATTTTTTTTTTAATTTTAGTTTTTTTTTTAATTTTTTTGTTACATCATACCAAAAATACATACTACCCTAAATTTTCACCCTTCTACCACCAACCCCTATTTTTTTATGGCGGTACGAAGTTCGCTGGGTCAGCTAGTGATTATATATAACAGAAATGAAAATATGAATTTATACGTTATCAATCGATTTAAAGTTTTCATTTTACCAATTATTTCTCTATGTCAAAATATATCTTAATATATAATAAAGAACCGATCATAATCCTATCTTACTACAATTATATAACATACAAAAACACACAAAAAAAGATACGCCTTACATTATTAAGAAATATGATATGAAATCAATCGGTGACAGTTTGAGCAAAGTATCATGGGAACAACTAAACTTTTATTCATTAACGGACGTTAACACAATAGCTGAAACTCTTATACATACTATACAAAAAATAGTGGAAGCCAATACTATAACTAAACCGGTCCCAAAGAAAAAACTTCCACTAAAGCCCTGGTTGACTAGTGGTGTAGTAAAGTGTATAAGAAAAAGAAATAAACTGTTTTTAAAATCTAAAATAAACCATCTAACGAACAACTTAAAATAAGATACATTAAATATAGGAATATATGTAACAGGATTATTAAAAATTTAAAACAACAATAATATCACAACCAATTTGAACTAAATAAGAATAACGTTAAAGGTACTTGGAGTTTAATAAAAGATGTCTGTAATCTCAAAAAGAATAAGGAGTCTAATACTGAACTGTTAACTTTGAAGGACTCTCCTTATAGTTCACTCTGTTATATAAACAAATACTTCTCATCAGTGGGACAAGATTTAGCAAATAAAACACTCGAGACATTAGGAAAAACGAGTACAGAATTAGCTAAGCAGGCTTTTGACTTTAATGCACCGTCGCAATCACTAGTGTTGTTTCCGACCGATGCTTGCGAAGTATTGAATATCATTTCATCCCTGAAATCAAACAGTGCACCGGGGTTAGATGGAATTACTACGGACATGCTGAAAATTTTTAAATATATCTTAGCAGAACCAATTGCATACCTGTGCAACAAGAGCTTTGAAACCGGCGTAGTTCCAGTACCATTCAAGAAGGCTATTATAGTACCAATTCATAAATTCGGTAGCAAAAAGGTACCAAGCAACTACAGACCTATTTCTTTACTTTCATCTCTCTCTAAAATATTAGAGAAACTGGTCAATAAAAGACTAGTAAAGTATCTAGAGTCTAATAAACTCTTATCTCACAAACAATACGGTTTTCGACAATGTACTTCCACGGAGGACGCGGTTTTAAAACTTACCTCACTAACCACGACACATACAGATAAAGGTAATAAATGCATTGGGATTTTCCTCGATTTGCAAAAGGCGTTTGATACCGTTTCCATACCCATACTTATTAACAGATTGCAAAATGTGGGCATACGTGGCACTCCATTGGAATTTTTTGAGGATTACCTATCGGTAAGAGAGCAGTATGTTAGAGTTGCAAACCATACAAGCACATCAGCAAGCCCAATCTATGGAGTACCACAAGGTAGTACGATCGGACCTACCCTATTTTTGCTCTACGTGAACTCACTCTGCAACATAAAACTCCGGAATGCTGATTTAATCATGTTCGCCGATGACACAGTCTTACTTTTTCATGACACCACCTGGTCTCACGTTAAAAAGGCATCAGAGGAAGGTCTTGCCAAAGTGATGTTATGGCTTGAGGATAACATCATGACACTCAACATAGAAAAAACTAAATATATCTGCTTCAGCAAGACAAAAATCTCGTCAGCAACAATTAATATCAGGATTCATACATATCCATGCAATCGTGTGATGACCAAAGTTGACTCTGTATGTATGTGTACGGAACTAACACGCGTCCAGCATATAAAATACCTCGGTGTCTATATAGATGAGAATCTAAAATGGGACATACACATCGATCAGGTTGCAGCTAGACTTAGAAAATTCATCTATATCTTTAAATCGTTGAGAACTGTAGCGCCTCGGGAACTGGTAATCCGCACATACAAGAGCCTTATGTGAGTCTCTCATTAGCTACAACATCTGTGTCTGTGTGTGAGTGTACAGTACCAGTTCCAACAGTGAAAAGTGCTTTTGCAAGAAAGCAATTTTATAATATTGCTCCTCGAGTATACAATAGGCTTTTGAAGACTTACAGAAATATAAAAAAGCACGTCAATAATTACTCTATAAAGAATATAATCCTAGATTGGCTAAATAGACTAGAATACAATGAAGTAGAACAACTTCTAAATAAATAACATTGACAGAAAAAAGCGATAAAACAAATGCACATACGCTACACAACACGAACGCAGGTACATATACATACACACTAACACACACGCACACACACACACACACACACACAACACACACAAAACACACACACACACACAACACACACATACACACCGGTTAATGCTATACCTAGATACTTTTTTTTTTAAGATTATTTTTATATAATTTTAATTAAGTAGTTTTAAATTATTGTAGCTAGTATTGTAGTAACAATAGTGGGGAGAGCACTGTCTTCTGGTCCTCAGGGTAACCTTTTCCAGAGGACATGGTTCACACTATCATGTACTAAAATGTAAAGTGGTTCCAATAAATTATTATTATTATTATTATATATATATATAGGGTGAAATTGAATGTTTTAATGAAACTTCGTGAGATTGTTGGGTTACGAGTATAGAGTATGCCTGATTTTTTTCGGATTTTTTGAAGTATTTTTTTTCATGTATTTATTTATAATTTGTGTATTTTTTTTGTCCTTTCCTCGTTTTGAATAGTTATTCATATTAAACAAACATGCTTACATATCCAGTGAAAAACAACTAATAAATAAGCACTTCTAAAAAACGGAAAAACAGTAAAAATCCACCGCGGGTCAAAGCCGTTGAGTGAGTAGGTACGTACACAAAGCTCAGCTGACTCGTTTGATTCCACACAATACAATAAAATCGTCTCAGATGCCTTTATTGAAATTGAAATGATAAGCACAAATGTCATCTTCTCTTAAGCAGAGAAAAACTTAAAAAGTTAGTAATAATTTTGTCACGATTGGAAATAGGCAAAAGTTAAACAAAAATAAATACTTATTGCAGTTCAATACTTGGGTCAGAATGAAATTTATTACCAGGTATTCAAAAGTACTTACGAGACCGATGTACCTATTAATTTTTTTCTCTATAACTTCCCAATAAATCACCAAACCTACTTTCGTAAAGCCTTGTGGCTCTGCTGAGTATTCCGTGACACTCGCAATAACAACACACCATATCCAAATTCTTATATTGAGGGCACAGAACAAGAACTAATCAAGGCATTATTTGCAAATCTTGTCTTGTCACAAATTTAAAAGATACGCACGCGCGCTTGAGACTCCGCTCGTTCACTGCGCTGTGCACCGCGCATACCTAGATAGGTAGGCAGGAAGGTATTCAACGGCGGGAGCGGTCATTGCTCCCGGCCGCCCGTCTCCTGTTTTTACGTCTTTTTAGTAGTGCTTATTACTTGTTTTTGACTTACTCTGTATGCATGTTTTAAAAGAATAATTATTTAGTACCCAAAAGGAGGAAAGGACTTAAAATATAACAAAAAAAAATCAAAATTTTATTTTAAATATTTTTTTAAAAAATCCGAAAAAATTCAGAGATACTCTATATACGTAACCCAACATTCCCACGAAGTTTCATTAAAACATTCAATTTTACCCTGTATATAAAGTAATAGTTATATGAAGGATAAAGTTTTTTTAATGTTCTTTTAATTTTTTTACATTCCTGTACGAATAAAGATCGGCTGTTGAGAACAACTGTTCTTCTGTAGAAGACTTCATCGCAAAGAAACGTCATTTTACCGAAACACTCTGCTCGCTCACACTTTTTGGCAGCATACTTGGTGAGTTAACTTTGTTGTTGTTAGAAATATCTATAAGGGACTTTTTGGCGGGATCGGGAAGCGTCACTTTAGCAGTTTTGTTTTTCTTGTTAAACATTGTGCCGTGGCGGATGTTAGGGTCTAATAATGGTGGATTTTTAACCACTTAGTGTTCGAGAACATGCATAAGTGTTGGCAAGTGAAACAAAATAGCGGAAAGTGTCTTTCGACGTTCCCTCAAGAAGTCCACGGGGAGGGTCCAATAAACCCCCACTCATTTACTGAAACATAGGGAAAGGGGAATTGACTCGACTGCCACTTACTTTGACTTGATTTATTACTTTGACCACGAGTGCTATAGAATTTGTAAACATTTTAACACTTGACCTTGACATTGGCTAAATGCACAAGCCGTGCGAAGCTATTTAGAAAAAAATATCTATAATATTTTATATATACAGGGTTACAGGGAAAGTCGTACTAAATATTAAAGAACGTTATTATTCAGGTCATTTCTGATGGATTTGGTCCTATAATATGGTGTCCGAAACTTAACCGTTATGGAGATATTGGATATTAAAGATTTTTTTAAAAAATCCTATATTTTTTGGGGTTTTGTCGATTTTTTTGAAACTAGAGCTCCAAAGGTCCGATTTTTTAATGTATCTAGTTAGAAGACATGTCAAGCAATAAAAATAATGAATAAAAACTGAACCTAATTCTAACGGCTTAAAAAAACTGCTCGATAACGTTTATAACTAAAGAATTTTCACCAAGTGAACTTAAGCAACTTTCGCAGTGGTCGGTCATTGGATGGGTGACCAAAAATCTTCTACCTCGACTTCCTCCGTGCTTCGGAAGGCACGTTAACCCGTCAGTCCTGGGTGCATTGCTTAAAATAGCTTGTTCGTAAATAAGCCATTATTTTCTCGTAATAAGTAATTAAAAAATATGGGTGTACTTAAGTACGCGCGTGCGAAGTTATACTTCTTTTTGGAATTATTAAAAAATAGTTTTTAATTGCATGCAGATAATTAATTACAATAAGATAATAAAAGGATTGGAAAAGGATAGTCAACGCAGTCAATAAAGTTCAGTTTTAATTTGAAAAATTTAATAAATAATCAAAATATTCAATTTGAATAAAATTTATTAGCACATATAAATTTCGCATTTGTATAACATTATAACACGTGTTAAGAATATAGAAACTAAAAACATGTGGATAAATATTATAAATATGAAAACAGTGATCAGAGGCGACGAGCGTCCCAACATGTGCGACTAAGAGATCCTATTACTATTTTGTTGGAAGCTTTTTTTCCAGACTTACGAGTAATGTGCGGTTTAGCGGCCGACTTCATGTTACTTTTCTGTTACAGTGTTGCGCGCGCATCTTAAAATTTCACTCTCATCATTTTTTCATAACGCGCCCGCGGCTAACTTCGTTATGTTACTTTTGTGTTACAGTGATGCGCGCGCATCTTAAAATTTCACTCTCATAATTTTTTCATAACGCGGCTAAAGAAGTATAACTTCAAAAATGGTTATTGTGGGTTATACCAAAGAGATAGGCATATACCATCGCGGAATTTTTTGTAGACCTTTTTAAGGTGTACAATACTGTAGTACATTATTTTGATCTATCTCGTTGGGTTCAGCCAGCGTTTGCAATGTAAGCGCAAAAAAATGTGTTTATTTACGACCTTATATTAAAAACCTCTAAAATTATCAGTGTTTCTCTACTATATTATGCATGTATTATACATATAAACCTTCCTCTTGAATCACTCTATCTATTAAAAAAACCGCATCAAAATCCGTTGCGTAGTTTCAAAGATTTAAGCATACAAAGGGACATAGGGACAGAGAAAGCGACTTTGTTTTATACTATGTAGTGATTTACAAACTCGTGACTTTTGGACTATTTGGTCGCATATGACCTTTACAGCGTCACCGGGTTTGATGTTAAGCTCAAGACTTCGTGTCGGGTTTACATTCGCCTACTCGTTTGTAAGAACCAACTTACCGCACTAATATCATTAATAACTATTTACCATCGGATACTTTAGAGATTGCGAACGTCGTTCTAATCATTAAACTATTCTTGAAATGGAAGTTGACCTCGACACATGTTTGCAAGTTTGATATCAACTTTCAATTTGACGACACTGTATGAAATATGAAATAAAACAGGGTGGAAAAAAGCAGCCCTTGCTGAGTTTCTTGCCGGTTCTTCTCCAGTACAAGGTCTCCCGCCGTTACATCGTTTATGCCTAAGAAACAAATAAGTTAATGTGTTATTTATAGACATAAATGGTAGAATATAACTACTTCATAGATGAAAATTGTATTTTAGTCGGGTTTCACCTAAAATTCAACAAAATATCATTATAAAGTCTACCCTACTGAGGCGATTCTTCTTCAATCATTATAAAGTCTACCCTACTGAGGAGATTCTCTTACTAGTTCTTCGCCAAAGCTTAAAAAAGGTTCTAGAGCAATAATATATCTTTATTGCCTTTACAATGCTAATGGTGGACTTAATTCCAGTATGGCATTCTCTACCAGTCAACCGGAAAGATGAACAGAGTAAACATCAAACAATGATAAAAACTAAATTAAATAGCATTAATTACTTATAACTATACATACATATATGTATATATATACACTATAACAACATATATATTACACACAAATATAAACATACATAAAAACATATCTTCCAATAATATGACGACTACGATCTACCAAAATTAATTTAATATGATGAACTCCGTGGTCGAGGGGTTTGTACGCCGGGTTTCAAGGTGTCGCCTACTCGAGAGGTCCCGGGTTCGAAACCCGGTGGGGGCAGACATTTGTGTGATGAATACGAGCATTTGTAATCCATCCAGTCATGGATGTTTAATATGTATTATTATCTAAATATACCCATATATGTATCAGTATATGTATTCTATCCGTTACCCTAGTATCCCATAACACAAGCCTTACAGTGCTTACTTTGGGGCTATGCTAATTGGTGTGAGTGTTGGAAATATTTATTTATTTATTATTTATATGCAGTGTCTGATTAAAGTATTTTAATTTTATATTCTTCTTTCAGGCCTAGGTGATCGGCATCTAGAAAACCTTCTATACATAAGGAATACCGGGGCAGCTTGTTGCGTAGACTGGGCCAACAGTCTCCAGTACGGGAGGGGGGAGCTCCCTCCCGCTAGGATCACCAGGAATGTACTTGGCTTGGTGGATGGGGAGGGTAATGTGCTATTTCATTAGTCTATATATATATAAAACTCAAAGGTGACTGACTGACATAGTGATCTATCAACGCACAGCCCAAACTACTGGACATTTTAAACCGATCGAGCTGAGACTTTGCATGCAGGTATAAGAAGAATCATAGATGAATGTCATTGTGTATAATACAAGCCTGAGAACAAAAACTGTAGTCTACACTACAAAGCGAAGCGAGGGCGGGCCACAAGTATTATATAAATATATTAGCTGTCCCAGCGAACTTCGTACCGCAATAAAAAATAGGGGTTGATGTAGCAAAAAAAAAACCAAAAAATTTTGTCCAAAAATAAAAAAAATATGGGTGGACTACCCTCAATATTTAGGAGGATGAAAAAAATATCATATAATATTGCACAAAAATCGGTCGAGCCGTTTCGGAGTAGTTCAATTACGCACACCGTGACACGAGAATTTTATATATTAGAAGTAGAATTACCAATAGCTTGTTGGTGAAATCGATCGGTCAGCGATCGTGGATGTTAAGCGACTTTTGCAAGGATAGGTGACCGATAATTTAACAATAAGGATGTCCTATGCAATATTATCAGCCTTGTAATAATGTCCCAGTAGTTCGGTCAATAAATACTTATGATGGTTCTATTCTCGCCAACTATCATACCTATCGTTCAAATGTCGCTAGTACAAATCCGGCTCGAAGGACCAAAATTTTACAGCCGACTAGTGAAAATTCGAGTTGTATTGTCATCATATTTACCATTTTTTTTCAACACACCAACTAGTCTAGCCCCAAAGTAAGCACTGTAAGGCTTGTGTTATGGGATGCTAGGGTAACGGATAGAATACATATACTGTACATATATAAGCATATATAGAAATACATATTAAAAATCCATGACTGGAGTACAAATGATCGTATCCACCATACAATCATCTGCCCCCACCGGGATTCGAACCCGGGACCTCTCGAGTCGACGACACCATGAAACCTGGCGTACAAACCACTCGATCACGGAGGTCGACAAATATATTCCCACTGCTGGGGCACACGCGTTCCCTTTGGATGGAATAGGGAGAATGTGTCGTGACCCACCACCCGGGACAAGTGGGGATTGGTGGGTGCTACAATTGCAGCCAGGGCCAGCTGTTTGACGTCACGGAGGAATGAGAGATAATAAGTGTTTGGTCTCCCATCCAATAGGAGGATTTTAAAATCGGTCCAGAAAATGAGTACATTCATTACATATGGCAATAGGGATGATGACTAATTTTTTTTCTTCGTTTATCAGGTAGATTATTAAAAAGTATTGGACACGTATTTTTCTTTTTTCACATAGTATAAACATTGCAGAGATATATTAATTTGAAAAGTCGCATGACGTCACGTTTGAGTACACTTATAAGTGAAAATTCACTCAAAAGTGACGTCACGAGCCCCTACTCCCAAACTTTGACGCGCTATAACTTTGTCATTTTTTGGTTGATTCCCCAAAGAAAAAATACGTGTCCATTATTTTTTGATCATCTAACTGACGGACTAAATAGAATTTCGTTTACTGTACCCCGTCATCACCCCTATTAGAAAGTTTAAGATTTGTATATCGTAAATCTTTTATTATTTTTAAGTATAAATATCACATATTTTCGAAACCTATTTATAATATACAGGGCGTCTAACGGAGGGCAAGTATATTCAATTTGTTTCCTATTGAAGATAGGATATTTTACTGAAAGAGGACATAATTTTATTTTTAAATAACAAGTAGAACTGCATTCACAGTTTTTTTAAATCGCCTGCTACAACTGGTAATCAAACTTGTGAAATTTGAAAAAAATACACATGACGTGTGTTATTATAACCGTCGAAAGGGCAAATCATGAAGATAATGTTTTCCCAAATAACATAGCATTTTTAATTGTGATTTTTTTAAAGCTGTGAATGCAGTTCTATTTATTAATTCTTCAATATTTAATATATACTTTCCCTCCGTGTGACAGACCCGTGGGACATCCTGTATATGAGTTATGCTTATAAAAACTTTATTAATTTCAGTCCTAGAAGCTAAACTACAAAACATGCTACTGGCTCTACGCAGCTCGCACAAACTGTTTTCGAATACAATCGAGCTTGTATTCAAGCGTTTGGGACAGGAATTCCAAGATAAGGTATGTTTCATTCATTATATTAAAATTAATGGTTCATTAATTCACAGAGTCGTCTTTGTAGATTTTATAGGTCAGAGGAGCTGAATAAAATACAGAATCACAGTGACGAATGATACTTATATTCTGTGAAATATATTTTTACTAGGAAGCTGATACGACTGACTCCTAGCACAGCAGAATACAAAGTGAAGCTAGTTTATAAGTGAACTGATAACTGAATGCGTGAATGATCTAATGAGTAGGGGTTGAACGAACGAATGAAGTATTTGAGTTAAGACTGAATGAACAGGTATACTTTGGCATTACCTAGTCTAGTTACTTTCTTTTATTACAAAAGAAATACAAATTATAATATATATAGATTAATTTTTGCCAATGTAATTCAATATAAATTCAACAGTCTTCGCCAACTTTAATCATATTTAAAAGATATTTCACATATGTGTGTGGTAGTTTTAATGAAATGTTCAAATACATATAATAAAATGGTAGGAAAGTCAAAACTGTACATTGAATATTTTTTTTAAAAGAATACTTGGGGTGTGATCTACAATCGACACCGAAGCTAAAAATATAGTTTTTAGAATCTTTGTCTGTTTGTCTGTATGTATGTCCGGGATAAACTCAAAAAGTATTGCATGGATTTACTTCAAATTTGGCACGAATATTATTAAGTAGTCGGGTCAACATATAGGCTACATATTATCACGCTATCACCTACGGGGAACGAGCAGTGAACAGGGGTCAAAAAGTATGTGCAAATAACTAACTCCACGCGTACAAAGTCGCGGGCGGCCTTTTTTATTTTCTCTAATCACTTTAAGCAATTTATGTTTTCAAGTTCAATTTAAAAGACAAATAGTTTTAAAGAAAATTTTACTAGAAAAAATTCTACGCGGACCAGGCAACTGACGGTTAAAAAAATATAACAAATAGTTTTATCAGTAAATAGGTTGTTTAAAATGACATGTGTGTTTGACATGAATGTCGGGAGCTATTTTAATATTCTGTCAAAAAAATCATGAAATAGAAAATGTTTTTATGATCTACTGTCACGTGACCGAAAACGCCTGGGATTGGCGGAGCCTAAAATGACGTCACTTACTTGTAAACATCCTGAAGAAGTGAATTACGTAGATCACAACCGGAGGATCCAAAAAAAACCGAAATTTATTTAAAGTATTTTATTAATATAAAAATTATAATTATAATATGTGCGAAACCGATCGATGTAAGAATCAGAATGACAAAATATAATTAGAATAATAATTCAATTTCCGTCGATGGCGTAAACTCGTGGAACGTGGATGCGATGTTAGCAGAAACGGTCAAGTAGGCACCATCCAGGTCACGTTGCAATGCAGGCCGCTGCATGTACAGCGATTTTCTATGTGCCCGATATTATAACAAGTGGCATTTCTTTGTACTGTTTGACGCTTTAATGAGGGCCGTGTGACGTTATCTGCCTGTAAGAGGCCATATTTGCTCGTGACACATTTCCGCAGCATATTTGAAAACGTGTTTTTTATTTTTTTACTGATATACGCAGCAGGATTATAAATATCCCCTTTATATAGTCACAAATCAATAATAAATAACGTAGGAACGTTTATCAAAAATTTGTCAATTAGTCTATTATAAATTTTTAATCTAGCCATATAAACATATCAGTTTAAATTTTAAGAAAATTTTACTAGAAAAAATTCCACGCGGACCAGGCAGCAGACAGGACTCGAACCTGCACCCTCCGCTTTCCGGGCGGAGGCACTGACCATTATGCTATCGCGTCTCTGATGGCCGTGTCGAGTTTTCTCTAGCATTTCTTAGGCTGCAAGGCAGCGCCATCTCTTCGCATTGTAGGTAACCCACAATGTCATATGAACACCCTTACATGTATCAAACATATGAAAGAAGAAATAAAAACATTACATATCAGTTTAATCATGTTTAATAATTCTATGAAAATACCAAAAACACTATCAGAAATCATTTTTAATTTTTTCCGAATACCATTAATACAATTTATATTAATTCGAGGAGCTCGATGGCGCGGGTGTTAGCGCCTTCGGCTGCGATCGTTGAAGCTAAGCAACTTTCGCAGTGGTCGGTCATTGGATGGGTGACCAAAAATCTTCTATCTCTCCCTCCTCCGTGCTTCGGAAGGCACGTTAAGCCGTTGGTCCGGGCTGCATCTGCAGTCGTTAGCACCCACCAATCCGCACTGGGCCCTCGTGGTGGGTCACGGCTTTCCCTATTCCATCCATAGGGAACGCCTGTGCCCCAACACTGGGGACATTAATAGGCTGATGATGAAAAGAGACAAAATTTATTCTGTGTTTCTTAATAATTGGGAAGTGTGTAAACTATGCATATAGTAAACTATATATCTATAATTTCACCGTTTGTATTGCTATCGGGCTTAACTCTGGCATGATATTAAACCTGAAATTAAATTTGATAGAATAGGGATGATGACTAATTTTTTTTTCTTCGTTTATCAGGTAGATTATCAAAAAGTATTGGACACGTATTTTTTCTTTTTTCACATAATATAAACATTGCAGAGATATATTGATTTGAAAAGTCGCATGACGTCACGTTTTGGAACACTTTTAAGTGAAAATTCACTAAAAAGTGACGTCACGAGCCCCTACTCCCAAACTTTGACGCGCTATAACTTTGTCATTTTTCGGTTGATTGCCCAAAGAAAAAATACGTGTCCATTATTTTTTGAACATCTAACTGACGGACTAAATAGAATTTCGTTTACTGTACCCCGTCATCACCCCTATTGGGAAGGCCTGTGTCCCAGCACTGGGGACATTAATAGGCTGATGATGATGATGATATTAATTTTCGTTCTTGGTATTTCTATCACAGTTTTCCTACATAAGTAAGTTCTTACGCGGCGTTGCCTCTACATACGACTTGAGCGAGATGTCATTGAGCGAGGACGAACACAAGTACTCCGAGCAACTCAGGATACTCAGGGAGATCTTCGGCAAGGATACTCAACGGGAATACTCTGTTGTGGAACAGGTGAATATAAGAGTTTTACGGCGAAACAAACCATATAAATAATAAATTGTGGTGGCGACATCTATATGCCCCATCAGTAGAGGAAATCATTACTCACCATCCTCAAGAGATGGCGTTACCTGCACTGCGATCATAATAGTATGGAAGCCTACATCGCGCAAATGAAATTCGGAGGCTAACTCTTCATATCGAGCCCTTACCGCCAAATTATCGTAAGCGACACTCGCCAAATTATCGTAAGCTACACTTTTGTCGAAATGCGTTTTTTGTGGAAACTAATATTTTAAACCGTAACGGACCCATCTCTGTTGATATTTCCCTCTATTCTTCCCTCTATTATATTATAATGGTGTTCTTTTGGAGGGAAATATCAACAGAGATGGGTCCGTTACGGTTTAAAATATTAGTTTCCACAAAAAACGCATTTCGACAAAAGTGTCGCTTACGATAATTTGGCGGTAAGGGCTCGATATATACGATGCCCGACCAACATCAGTCGGGCCGCGGCCCCCGAGCTACCATCACCCAGCTCGGAGGAAGATCTTCCTCTTTGGCCTGCCTACAAAATAAATAAATATTTCCAACACTCACACCAATTAGCCTAGCCCCAAAGTAAGCATTGTAAGGCTTGTGTTGTGGGATACTAGGGTAACGGATAGAATACATATACAGTACATATATAAGTATATTTATATAGAAATATAGTATTCATAACACAAACATCTGCCCTCACCGGGATTCGAACCCGGGACCTCTCGAGTCGGCGACAGCCATGAAACCCGGCGTACAAACCACTCGGCCACGGAGGTTGTCAGAATGATATATTAAAGAAAAAGTTGTATACATGGTTGTTGTGAAATAACTTTTATGATGTAAGACAATAGGGTATTTGACAGTGTTAAAAATAAAGTGCCAATTGTGAGCATCTGTGTTTAGAATGAATATTGGCAGGAGTTTTTACTATTAATACAAAAAAAATATTCATAATTTTACTAAAAACTAACGAAAAAGATAATAGTTTTCTTATCTATTATCTAGTGACGCAAAACGCTTGGGATTGGCGGAGCCTAAAATTACGTCACACGCAAGTAAACTTCCGGTTAAAGTGACGTTACATTGTATCGTTTGACGTTTTAATAACAGTCGTGTGACGTCACACACTAGTAAGACGCCATATTGTCCAGAGCAAAGTTTTCGTGGCAACTTGAAAATGGAGTTTTTGATTTGGTTATTTTTACTGAAATACACTACAGAATGATGAATATCCATACTCCATAAACATTAGTTAATAACGTGAGATAGTTTTCTAAAACTTGGCAAATACCCTATTATTAGATTTATAAAATTGAAATTTCCTTTTTAACATTTCCATGCTATTATGCAAAGGCAAAATATGTGTACATATATAATTAATTAGAACATAAATATATTATACTATGTTTTATGCAAATAAAGTGATTATTATGATTTCATTTTTTTAATTCATAATATGAATAGGATTATATTAAGTGCTGAAGAGCTGAGTGAGGAGATCGATGGCGCAGGTGGTTAGCGCGTTCGGCTGCGATCGTTGAAGTTAAGCAACTTTCGCGGTGTCGGTCATTGGATGGGTGACCAAAAATCTTCTATTTCGAGTTCCTCCGTGCTTCGGAAGGCACGTTAAGTCGTTGGTCCCGGCTGCATCTGCAGTCGTTAGCACCCACCAATCCACACTGGGCCCGCGTGGTGGGTCATGGCCCAATCTCCATATTCCATCCATAGGCTGATGATGATGATGATGATATTAAGTGCTTAAAATTGGATTTTATATTTTGTTTATTTGTGTACAGGTAAACATTTTGCTACGCCAGTGCACTCACCCACGTATACTCAGCATCACCAGGGAAGGATGGGAGGCGTACATTTAAACCATACACGTTTAAATTCAAATATTGGTTTAATAATAAATTGTACATAGGATTAAAAAAATATGTGCGTGTACTAGTGTACACACGTAAGAAGTGAAACTTCTTTATGGCCTTATTTTTTTCGAAAAATGATCTACATGCAACTTTCCAGAAATATATATATATATATAGGCGTGCGCTAAGATTTTTCAAAAACTCACCCACTAAAGGGGTATAACTACACCTTACCTTACCTTACCTTACCAAATCATATATTGAATTCATCCAAAAAATCATATTGAACTTAAAAGAATTTAACAAAAACATCAATTAAAATTTACAAAAACACAAATATACTTTATTAACATAAAACAGCGAGAAAAACAGCTCGTAGTCCAAAAGCGAGTGTTTTGCCCATAACAAAGCAAACGGATACCAAAATAAAATAATACCTTACCTTACCTTACCTTACCTTACCTTACCTTACCTTACCTTACCTTACCTTACCTTACCTTACCTTACCTTACCTTACCTTACCTTACCTTACCTTACCTTACCTTGTGTGAAACACGAATATTTGCTGTCGATACTTTTTTTTTTAAAGTTGACAGAAGAAGCAATTGTTCGGATGAGGTAAATAGTGCTCTTTTAAAAAAAAGATGGCGCGTAACTAAAAAACGTGACGCGTAACCGAATAAAAATGTGACGGTTAATTTTTTTCCAACGCCGATAAAGAAGTTTCACTTCAAAAACTGTTGAATAAACTTCACTGTAATCCAAAGCATAACTACAGTACCATATTAAGAATACGTTTGTCAAAATTACCATCATTGTGATTGAAATCGTTAAATAAAGTTATTTTGAATGCTATGAAATTGTGATATTTAATTTGTATTAATAAATTGATAAATTCGTTATTTTGTCTTTTATTTTATTCATTACAGTAAAGAACGGCCCAGTACGACAAACTTGACGAGTGGGCCCAGTACTTTAAAGTTGACAAGTGGGCCCAGTGCAACCAACAATATTTATGGGCCCAGTACAACTAACAATACTAGTGGGCCGAGTACTACATTAAGATAAGTGGCCCCAGTACGATAAACTAGACAAGTGGGCCTAGTACAACCAACAATACTAGTGGGCCCAGTACTACAATTTAGATAAGTGGCCCAGTACGATAAACTAGACAATTGGGTCCAGTGCAACCAACAATACTTGTGGGCCCAGTACAACTAACAACACTAGTGAGCCCAGTACGATAAAGTAGACAAGTGGGCCCAGAGCAACCAACAACACTAGTGGGCCCAGTACGATAAAGTAGACAAGTGGGCCCAGAGCAACCAACAACACTAGTGGGCCCAGTACGATAAAGTAGACAAGTGGGCCTAGTACAACCAACAATACTAGTGGGCCCAGTAAAACTAACAACACTGGTGGGCCCAGCACAACTAACAACACTAGTGGCCCCAGTACGATAAACTAGACAAGTGGGCCCAGTACAACCAACAATACTAGTGGGCCCAGTACAACAATTTAGATAAGTGGGCCCAGTACTATAAACTAGACAAGTGGGGCCAGTACAACCAACAATACTAGTGGGCCCAGTACTATAAACTAGACAAGTGGGCCCAGTACAACCAACAATACTTGTGGGCCCAGTACTACAATTTAGATAAGTGGCCCCAGTACGATAAACTAGACAAGTGGGCCCAGTACAACCAACAATACTAGTGGGCTCAGTACAACTAACAACACTAGTGGAGCCAGTACAACTAAAAACACTAGCGGAGCCAGTACAACTAACAACACTAGTGGGCCTAGTACGAAAATTTAGATAAGTGGGCCCAGTACTACAATTTAGATAAGTGGGCCCAGTACGGCAAACTCAATTGTAGTACGGCGCCACTAGTATTGTTGGTTGTACTGGGTATGTTTACCTAGTTTGTAGGATTATAAACAAGTGGACCCAGTATGGCAAACAAGATAAGGGGGCCTAGTACGACCAACTAGACGAGAGGGCCCAGTACGGCAAACTAGATAAGTGGACCCTGTACGGTAAACTAGATAAGTGGACCCTGTACGGCAAACTAGATAAGAGGGCCTAGTACGACGTACTAGACAAGTAGGTCCAGTACGGCAAACTAGACTAAGTGGACACAGTACGGCAAAGTAGATAAGAGTGCTTAATACGTCGAACTAGACAAGTGGGCCCAGTTCCATAACCTAGATTAGGCCAAACACGACGCCTACAACGACAAAGTATCCAATGGGTGGGTGTCCAATGGGTGGATGGATGGATGGGTGACCAAAAATCTTCTATTTCGAGTTCCTCCGTGCTTCGGAAGGCACGTTAAGCCGTTGGTCACGGCTGCATCTGCAGGGGACCCACCAATCTCCACTGGGCCGGCTTGGTGGGTTTTGGCCCAATCTCCCTATTCCATCCATAGGCTGATGCTGATATTAAATGCTTGAAAATGGATTTTACGTGGTATGAAAAACAAATGGTCTACTAGTATAAGGCAGGGTAGAGGGTATTTTTTGAGACACGATTTTTTTTTGAGCGTGGCAGAATAACATGAGGGGGGGAACCTTGCACCTTGTGAAGTACACCCACCATACCTGAGCCCTTTATACAGTTTGTCTGGGAATGACTTAGCGATAATTTAAGAGCTTCAAATATACTTAATTTTATCGACAACAATATCCATATATTTATACAACTATAGAATTTACTGATATTTTCGTGTACAGCAGCGATGTGAATGGGCGAAAACTCAGCGTAACATTTACACCGAGAGTAAATCGCTGATTTTCAGTTCTGACCCATATTGGGGGTCTACCCCCCCCCCCCCTCTTTTTGGAATGACCGCCATTTGATTTTTTTTTATTTTAGATCCCTTCCACTCCCAGGGCTGAATACAGAACACAGAAAGAGGTAATTGGTATTTGGTAATTTGTGAACAAATTCTCATAACTTGACCAAAACTTGGTTCTGATTGCGTCATTGCTGTGAGCGCCGACTGGTTGGATTGTTTGATGTCGAGTCGTTTGATTGGCTATTATTTATCAGGTGGAAATGTAGTGGGGGCGAACCGGCGACCTTCTTACCTCTTTCTGCGTTCAGCGAAACCGAAGGTCTAGGGTAGAACAAAAAAAACGACGACTCCGGGAGTGCCGGCAGAAGTGAAAACTTGAATATTAACTGCGCATTTTTGATATTTTGGAATGGTTAGGGAATAATTTTGCACGAATTGCTTTAATTATCAGTATAAAAGTACTATCATGTATGTGGTAGAATACAATATTTATTTATTGCGCTACCGTACACAAACATAACAATTTATATTACATTGAAAAAGTTTATATCTCAGAAAAATCAAATTACATAAATCACATTAAAGCGCACCTAGTGACATCTATTGTAAAAAAATGCATTTTCTTCGCAATAAAGCTGCCACGTGGACGTCCTAGATAGAGACTTATAATTAAAATACGGTAAAATAAAATATTACTATGTTTCGTCCAATATATTGAAAGTCAACAACCTTTCCAATTTTATTGTGTGTCATGATGCGAACAGCCCACGTGTTTAACCTGACGCGAGTTTAACAATTTTTTACCCATACAAAAAAGGGTACAACGCCGCTAAAGAAGTTTTCACTTTAAAAATTTCAACAAACTGCAATGAGTTTTGATCGCGTATTTTGAATAGAACCCACTGGAGAGTTAAAATCTACAAAAAAATTTCTACCAGCGTATGTCCATCTGAGATCTCATCTTTAAGGGTGACTCACTTTAACTATTTTCCTCAAGTTAAAACGAAGGAAACCGCAAGTCACTTCTATTACTTTCTTGCAAATTCTCTGAAATTGAGTTGAGCAATTATTTTCTGTAGGAAAAATTGCGAGCATAACTCGACGAAAGCCGCTTGCGGTTGCTGAGAGAGACCGGTCAATTTATTTGTTGCGATGAGCTTTGAAACTACCCTTTATAATATTACTAGCTGTGCCCCGCGGTGTTACCCGCGGTTTTTAATGATATTTTCCTGCCAGCGACGTAAACGTAGCCTATTAGTGTCAGCTAAATCCATACCAAATTTAATTAAAATCGCTTTAGACGTTTAGACGTGAAGAAGTAAAAAATATTCACACTGACGAACTTTCGCCTTTATAATATGAGTGTGATTCACTTGCTAGAAACTAGATATGATTTGGCGAGCAGCGGGAAATTAGTGTGCAATTAGTTTCATCGCTGGACTATAAGGAAGTGTGCGAGAACAGCGGGCGATTATTCGCGCCACTCGCTCGCGGTGACAGTCCTAAACAAAAATGCACGCGTATTCACTGGTGCCAATTCTGACGTGATTCTCTAAGCTTAAAACTAAATTTAACATCAGTCTCTCCTTTTCATTCTGTATGGAGAATGACCAGGATATACTGCTGTCAAATTTAAGTTTAGGTTTAGAGAATCATGCTAGAATCGACATCACTGTCAAGCGAGCATCGCTAAACGAGTATTATCTTTGATAGCTCTTGTCGCTCGGTAAAAACTAGTGGAGCGGGTTCACGCCGGTAGTGTCAGTCAGCGATCATAGCGATAATATAAATGCATCTCTTTTATAGTAAATACTTATTATAAGTTATTTACGGGATTGTTACTATGTTCAATTCACTCACTAAAAACAAGGCATTGTTTTTAGTGAGTTTCCGATATTTCGTAACACAAGGTACATGGTAACAATCCCGTAAATAACTTATATTACTATAATGTTAGTGACCATGAAAGTTTAAAACAATGTATCAATGTCTTTTGTTTACACTCCGTCCGACTTGAGTTCACTGTCACATCTCCTTCATCATGACGATCTCCGTGACCGAGTGTCTTATACGCTGGGTTTCATCGCGTCGCTTACTCAGAGGCCCCGGGTTCGCGGCCCGGTGGGGGCAAATGTTAGTATAATGAATACGAGCTTGTGTACCTTAGTCATGGATGTTTATATATATTTCTAGATAACATATACTTATATATGTATCAGTATATGTATTCTATCCGTTACCCTAGCATCCCATAACGCAAGCCTTACAGTGCTTACTTTGGGGCTAAGCGTAGTTGGTGTGTTCTGGCGTGCGGTAGTTACCCAGGATTCCTTAGGGATATCGAAAGTGAAAATATATATCGATATATCGATACATCGATATTTTAAAAAA